TCACTCACAAACGCCCATCTCACTCTTAGCATCACTAAAATTCTTTGTTAATCCACAGGATCTATTTCGCAGTCTAATGCACACTGCAATAGCTAGTCGAAGACAATCTATAGACTCTATCACTCTCAACCTCCCAGTCCGAAACCAACCAACCCGCGAGTACTTTTAACCCCATATTTCCCATGGAGACAAGCGACCCACCACGAGTCCTTTCGTGTCTGCTTCGACTAAGCTGATGGCAATGGACACAGGTTGAAGCGGCATTGAAACTATTCCTCCACAGCTCCAGTTGAACGTCCCAATAGTCAGCTTATTTGTCAGCTCTATTCCCATCACATGTTGCTCTATACTTATAATCTTCGTTGACAAATTCTACCTCTTCTCAGACGAATCAATAACATCGAACAGTGGTGATAGAATCTCTGCTGCCGTCGCTTGCTGGGTGCAACAGTTAGCAGAAGTCATTCTGTGGACTCCATCACCCACAGTCTCTACTCCTGCCTGCCAGGTCGAACGCATTCCTTCCACTTGCGAATACTTCCACTCAACCCATCTTCCCTCGTGTCTGCTTCTTCCATTTAGTTGATGATGAGCCATTCCTTCACAGCGTACCGATAGACTGCCTTGAACGCTGTGAAGGAAGTAGCACCTGCATTTGCGACATCGCTAGAACAGCTAGGTTACTCAATCTCCATTTCCGTTACATGTTACCGTATATTTATGATCTTCGTTGAGGGAATGGGCCTATTTTCAGAGCACTTCATCCTGACCTATGTCTCCCTCGTGAGCTCACCTTCGTGTCTGCTTCTTTGACTAAGGTAATGACAACGGGCCCATAACCTCAAGTACTCTTAGCGTGCAAAGCCCATAAATCCTTCCCCATCTTATTGGGCAACAGGTAAAACATCGAACGACGGAGTCCATAGAATCTCTTCTGCTGTAATTTGGAAAGATCCGACAGCTAGCTAAAGATGTTCTGTGGACTCCATCAACCTCAGTCTCTCCGCCTACCATGTCGATCTCGTTCCTTCTAACTTGCGAGTCATTCAACCGACCCATGTTGCCCGTCAAGAGAAGCGATCCATCGCGAGTTCCACTTTCGTGTCTGCTTCCACTAAGCTGATAACGAAGGGCATAGATGTCCTCGTGAAACGGATAGACAATCGCAGGTCCGTGCAGGGAGTCCAAGCATAGTGGGTCCATAGAATCTCTTCAGCTGGCTGCGAGTGCTATATGCAACAGCTATCAGAAGACATCAATATTATGTAGACTTCATCACCCTCAGTCTCCGCTCCTGAAGTGAGGACCTGCACGGAATATCGTTTTTTCTGATGTGCAACATCTTAGCAAAAGATATTCTGGGTACCAATGGAAAGCAGCGAGGGCCCCAACCCAACACGGAAATCTTTCGTAACAAAAATTTCGTTCCATCCCGAACGGCCTGCCTGGTGTAGAGACCGGTGTTTTGATTCTGTTCTCCGGCAGCGTCCTCTCTGGGCGCATCTCCACACAGAAGTTCGTTGTGGTAACATCCACCAATCTGGCTAAGCTATACAGATTGAAGAAAAAGGCAGCATTGCCCCTGGCTTCGATGCTGGTCCTATCGACTATACACCATTTGCGGGAATTGAGTTCAACAACCGGTCGAGGTACATGATATTCAGGGGTAAGGTGGTGTTCAGCCATGGATAGGTAGTTGGGGAGATAGGGTACGGTCAGTACATCCAGAGGGAGAATTCCGGGGCTAAGAGAGAATGGCGGCCTGAGGTTGCATATACGAGAGGTCCCCAAGTCATTGGTTGTTATTTCAAAATTTGATGCACTCTATAGTTGAACTATGTACTTCTAAATCGATACTGTCTCGTACTTTACACATGCAAGTCACATTTAGACATCATAATCAACCGGGAAAATGATCATAAATCAATGTCGAGGGTAGGAGGAAAATGAGGTCACATATATGCCATGTATCCAAATCAATATCTGATTTGAGACGTTTCTCTATTTATTCATGCTCATCAAGTTCCTCAGGAGGAGCAGTGTCCGGCAGAATGGCAAAGTTCAAGCGTCCTCGACACTAGCCCCTCCTTCCTTCTGAACTATCTTCAAAGACATGTACGTACACGTACTTTAATGTCGGCTGAATACACCGGTTGTCGGGCAAGTAATATGAGTGTCTTTTATCAATCAGAATTCAAGTGGGAAGTTCTCTAATGTTATCCAAGAGCAGAGTCTGGTCGAGGCAGCAGGGAAATTCGTAGAAAAGTAAGCATATCGATCAACATATCGTGCGATCAACCAACGCGAAAGCAGAAACACGACTCACTGTCGCAGCATCTTCAGTCTTCCGAGCTCATCGTGAGGTGATTAATGTGGCTTTGTAGAGATGCTCTCTATGGCAGTACACGATGTACGTGAGTTAGCATTCTATTGGTACAAGGCGCAAAGGGTGAGTCATGGGGTTGAATTCCAGATGCAGAGCGAACGGCTCATACTCACACCCGGAGTATTAGTACAAGTAAGACCTATGCAGCAATGTTCACTGCTCCCGCCCCCACAAGGCTCGCGTTCATACAGGCATGTGGCACTGACAGACATACTAGATGTTGTCAGAGTAGCAACAACAGCGAGGAGGGAAGAGAAACGCATGGCTTGTGCTAGGTAATATGAGAGGGGGGTCTCGAACAATAGCTCTGATACTGGTAGCAGGAAGACGGTTTACTTTTATGTCCTAAGTACTCGGCAGTTCTAGCAGGGTGGATTAGCCTAGCGGATTTCAGTACAGGCAGAACCTGTAACAGGGTTGGCGGACAAACAATCTAGAACACGTGGATTGCAAATGGAAGAACTTTAATACGGGTTAACATCTAGTAAGGAGTTCACCTTGTAGGCAATGCAGAGAATACCGTACACATGTTGATCAAGGTTGAATGTGTATATGTGTAGAAGGTATAAGTGGAATTTTGAGACCTAGCGCTTTTGTGGTGTACTAGTCCAGGAAAGTCCTGGCGACGGAGAGAGGTCACTGGACATGTCAAAAAATGTAGCCCCTCTATGGAACCAACATTGTGGGAAAATCCATCTGCCTCGCACCAATACATAGATGCAAAGAAGCACGTCCTGTTAATGGATATACATTTAGAGCTGGGTCAATATTTTCCCGAATTCCGACCACGGATTAATACGTCCCTAAACGCACCTACTTTATAAGCTCCAGAAGGTCCGCGCCGCGCAGGAGGTGTTCTCGTACGCCAAGGTATCTGTAGAGTTTGGGTTAGTATTGTTGCAACTTATAGACTAACGCACATGCATCATCGAGCGTCCATAACGCTGAGTACAGATGCAGCATACAAAATCCTCAAACACCGAAACCTCCTCTCTTCCACCCCAAACACAAACAGAAAACAACCCACCTAAAAATATCACTATTCAGAACTCAAGTGATATGCATAAACTAGTAGTTGTTGATCTAGACTGTGTGATGTGAGTAGTGGTTCGAAACTGAATATCCAAAACCTCTGCTGACATCTCACACTGAGTGGATTGTGTGTGTTGAGTGCGGTATCGTAAAAATGTTGCGCCACTGCTGCGGCATATGACCCTCGATATTGCGTTTCTGCAAGAGGTTGGAGAAATCTGCAGCTGGCTGCTGAAAGAGTAGGAGCGCAAGCGCTGACATTCTGAGCGACGGAGGAAGGTGAACAGCGGCGGCACGTGCCCGAATCCATAGAAAGGAAAATACAGATGGTAGTGCGAATTGGACGGAATCCACTGATAATACAGACGTAGAAACTGTGTCGTATGCGGGAGGTGCATTAGTAACGGACTCGCTATCATCAAAGACTGCGGACTTGGTAGCCATGGAGGAGGAGTTGGTTAGGAGGTTATTTTCCCTAAACAAAGTAGTTTAGGTAAGCACGGAAAATATACCCGTCCTTCAATTCGCCGCCGCTATCCCACTTTGAACATGGTCACTCACAAACGCTCATCTCTTCACTCACAAACACCTATCGAGGAAACACATTGAATAGCGGGGTCCACAGAATCTCTTTCGCAGACAGTTAGCTGAAGATGTTCAGTGGACTCGATCACCCCCAAGCTGCCAGGCCGGACGCTACCAACCTGCGAGTACTTCAACTCAACCCATGAGTCTCCCTGGTGAGCTCATCCTTCGTGTCTTCTGCTTCGATTCACATGATGACGAAGGGCACAGAATGAACGGGTGATGGAACCATTCCTCCACAACCGTGAAAAGGTATACTTTCGAACATGTCAATTGATCATGTTCACCTCCAGCCGTCCACATCACTAACATCCCTGCATCTCACTCTAACAAAGTTTTTTCTCGACTTGTTGAGCAAGAGCCTCGGAGGAAAGACAACGAATGGCAGAGTCCACAGAATCTCTGCTGCTATTGCTTGCATGCGGTGCAACAACTAGTCGAAGACGTTCTGTGGACTCCATCACCCTCAGTCTCCGCTTCACCTACCACGTGAAATGCGTTCCGTCCGACTAGCGAGTACTTCAACCACTAATGTTGCCCCTCATGATTATCATATGCTGTGGTTGCATCAAGACGACGAAAGTGTCGAAATAATTATAGGATCCTTCAAGCTTCAAGCGTCACCTTACTGCCGACGATGAACCTATGAGCTTGGGTGGCATGCCTGAGGGTGAGGAGATTTTCCATCCAATCCATGTGCTGAATTGTATATTAAAGTTTTACAGCGCATGCTACGGCTAAGTAGGACAGCGAGGAACCTTCTCAACTGCTACACTAAACATCGTTGCTATCTTGCTAAAAGGAGCACATCAGGCTTTTATGAGACGCCCGATTGTCCGGACTCTGCTAAATTGAGTCGTACTTCCTGGCATGAGACCTCATTTCTGGAAGATAAAGGTGAAATGACGTTCATGTGGTCTTCCTGTTATCTCCAGGAGAGTATTTATCTCTGTCGTCTCTCGTGTGACATTCTTGAAACTTCCTTGGATACACTACCATGGATTTTGACCTTGTTGTTCGCAATGGCACCGTCGTGACTGCCTCAGACATCTGGGAGTCCTGTGATATTGGAGTCAAAGTGCGAATCCCGCCTGCTGTTGTTTCCGAGTTTTAACATGTCCCTACCTATTTCAGGATGGAACCATTGTCGCCGTCGGTCCTCGTCTTCCAGTCGCACCCGGCGCGCAAGAGATCGACGCTGAGGGGGCTTTTATAACTCCAGGAGGAGTCGACTGTCATGTCCATCTGAGCCAGGCTAATCATTTTCTCCACTCTCTGTTCTCGGATTCTTATCATGAGCAGATATACGAAGCCACCGTCGGTGTGGATATCGATCACTCTGTCATTACGAATGGGGTCGTTCCAGATCGCGAAAACTACGTGTCTGACACGTACGACACGGGCACGCGGAGTGCAGTAGCTGGAGGAACAACCACAGTAGTTACGTTCGCTTCCCAAATGAAGAAGGACGAGAGTATCATTCCTGTCATTGAGGACTATCACAAACTCGCCAAGGGCCAGTCCTACTGCGACTACTCTTTCCACGTCATCATCACCAATCCAACACCACAAATCGTTGAAAATGAATTCCCGCGGATGGTCGACGAATATGGAATTACGAGCGTAAAGTTGTTTATGACATACAAGCCGATGAAGCTTCAAGATTACCAGATTCTTGATCTCATGTATTCTGCTCGCAAACTTGGTATCACCACTATGGTGCACGCGGAGAATGCAGATATCATCGACTGGATGACACAGCATCTCGAGGAGAAGCTCATGACGCATCCCCACCACCATGGTACATCTCGCCCTCCGATCGTGGAAGCTGAGGCGACGGTAAGTGGACTTTTACATTCTTTGAAATGGGATTCTTATGCTGGCAACAGAACCGCGTGATATGTCTGGCTGAGCTTATGGATACGCCGATCCTGCTGGTGCACATCTCCGGCGGGCATGCCACAAAGCACATTCGCGATGCACAAACGAGGCTCCTTCCGATTTACGGCGAAACTTGTCCACAGTACATGTTCCTTCTCGCCGATTCCATGCGGAAGGGGGATTTCGAAGGTAAGGACTTCTCTTCTCTTCTCTTCGCAGCGCTTCTGTCCTTTATCTTACGAGCTATGATATCCAGGTGCGAAGTGCGTGTGCTCACCTCCGATCCGGGAAGATAAGTCCGACCAAGACGCCATATGGGCCGGGGTCAAGAACGGGACCTTCACTATCGTTTCTTCAGACCACGCCCCCAGCAAGTACAATCATCCCAACGGAAAGCAGCGAGGGCTCCAACACGGAAACCTTCCGTATGGCAAATTCCATTCGATCCCGAACGGCCTGCCTGGTGTGGAGACCCGTGTTCCGCTCCTGTTCGCCGGCGGCGTGCTCTCTGGGCGCATCTCCCCACAGAAGTTCGTCGAGGTGACATCCACCAACCCGGCTAAGCTATATGGATTGAAGAAAAAGGGCAGCATCGCCCCTGGTTTCGATGCTGATCTGGTAATCTGGTACCCGCAAGCAAATTTCCAGCCATTCAACCTCACGAATGAGATGTTACACCATGCTATCGACTATACGCCATTTGAGGGAATCGAGTTCAAGAACTGGCCGAGGTACACGATCATCAGGGGTAAGGTAGTGTTCAGCCATGGAGAGGTAGTTGGGGAGATGGGGTATGGTCAGTACATCCGGAGGGAGAAGAGTCTGCTTCCGGGACCAAGAGATGTTTGGTTGAGCGAATGGCGGCCCTGAGGTTGCGCATATGAGGGCCCCCCAAGTCATTGATTGTTATGTCAAAAATTCGATGTACTCCGTAGTTGAAACATGTACTTCTAAATTGATTTGGAGTCTAGAGAATACAGATAAGATGGACGAACCTCTCGCGTCACGATCATAATCAATCGGGCAAAATGACAATAAATCCGCGTCGAGAGTAGGAGGATAAAGAGGTTATATACGTCGTGTATGCAGATCTATACCGTGTTTTAAGATGTTCCTTGATTTATTCGCCTCAGGAAGTGGCTCAAAAGCACACTGGCTGGTGTCCTGCAGAATGGCGAAGTTCGAGTGGTCGGAATCCTGACACTAGCTCCTTTCTTTCTTGTGCATTCATGTAAGACGTACGCAAGTCGGATAATATGAGTGTCTTTTAATTTATCAATGCCATAAATTTCACACGGGTGGTTGTCAAATGTTATTGAAGAGTCTGCTCGAGGCAGCAGGAAACTTGGTACAGAAGTAAGCATAATGTCGACAAACACCGCAAAAAAACTGCATATCGTGCGATCAACCACCGTACCAACGCGGACGCAGAAACACGACTCACTGTCCCAACATGTTTAGTCTTCTGAGCCCGTCGGCTGGCAGTACGTGAGTTTGCCGTAAACCTGTACGAGGCGCAAAAGGTAAGTCGTGGGGTTAATCCCAGATGCAAAGCAGACGACTCGTACTCACACCCGTCTTACAAACAAGATGAGGGCAGCAATTCAACCGGTTGCTCGTTGAGGGCCCGCAAAGCCTGTTTTTGGCCACGCAATATGTGGCACCATTGACGGACATAGATGTCGTCAAAGCAACAACAGCGAGGAGGAATGAGAAACGCATGGTTTGTGCTAGGTAATATGAGAGGGGGATCTCGAGTAATAGCTCTGATACTGGTAGTAGGAAGACGGCTTGCTTTTTATGTCCCAGAATATGTTCTTGGCGAAGTACTCCGCAGTTCTATCAGGATGGTTGAGCCTGCAGGATTTCAGGCAGAGAGTACAGGCAAAACCTGTGACAGGTTCGGCGGACAAACAATCTAGAAGATATGGAGTGCAAACGTACGAACTTTGTTCATCATAGCATACTGGTCCAGGAAAGTCCTGGCGACGGACAGAGGTTCTCAGACGTGTTGGGAAACGTAGGTCATCCGTGGAGCCAATGTTATGGAAAAAACCATCTACCTCGGACCTATACACAGATATAAAGAGGCACTCGACTCCTTCCTTAGAGCCAGGTAGAGGGCATCCAAATTTTCCCGAACTGCGACCGAGTTAATACGGAAGATCCGACCGTTAGCAATAGAGGAGAGCAGTATTTTCTTGACGGTTATCTGGATATAATGAGGTAGTACGCAAGAAACCCCCCTTCTCCCAACAACACCCCAAAACTAAATTCAATGAAAACACACCTAAAATGTTGAGCATAACTCGCAGTCTCAGAGGAGCCTTTCAAGGTCCGCGCCACGCAGGAGGTGTTCTCGTACGCTGAGGTATCTGTATAGTTTGGCTTAATATTGTTCTTTAGTGGGTTGAGAAGTTGGTAGAAAGGATGCGTAGAATGGTGGTATGGGCGTAGTGGAAAAGGATGGTACGGATGCAGCGGATCGATATAAGGCTAACGCGTGTGCACCATCGTGTGTCTAGAGCGCCAAGTACTATCCCTTTCGGTGCACACTGCAATCGGCACCCCACAGAAGTCGGCAGGTCACACATTTTGGTGACACTTTTGTTACAATTTGTCACATGCAGTCACAGAAAAGTCGTGACTGCCGACTTCTGATTGCACTGGAAGGGATAGTACAGATACAGACGTGTTAATGTATAGGTTCTGAGCAGTACAACGAGATCATGATAGCGACTCGGACAGCGACGGTTCGCGAATAGGAATATATTGGGTTAGGTACCAAATGCAAAGTCATATTTATATTCAAGTACGTACTACTCGCTTCGCCGCTCAGATAGGCTCTTCGATACTCCGAGTGCACGAGCCATGTCCCCAGGTTGCTTGTATGCTACATCTCAACAGGATGCAGCATACAAAGCCCCAACACTCAATCCACCTCTCCTCCAGTCACCCCCAACCCAAACCCAAACAAAAAATAACCCGCCTCACTACCGTCGGGAAAGCCATGAGTAGTCGTTGATCCAGACCGTGTGACTCATATGAGTGGTGGCTCTAACGTTGAACGTCCAAAACCTCTGCTAACATCTCACACTGAGTAGATTGTGTGCGTTGAGTAATAGTGGTGCCGAGTTAAGCGTGAAGTGAGTTGATAAAGCCCTACCCAATAAAAGACGAGCCGACATTCGCCCTCTGAAGTTCCACGCACCCTCGGTAGCCTCTGAATCTGCAAAAAGCTTCTTAATGGCGACGTACTGCTTGTAGGACTCGGGCTATTTGCAATTCGTCTTCGCCACGTTCTATGATGTGCCAATGGTCTGCGCAGCAACCTAATTCACATCCCCAAACCTTCTTCCTCTTCTATTTCTGGCTCAACAAAACCTTAGAGACGTGGTCAGTCTCAAATCCATGTACTCCATCACTCGGTCTTTGCATACTACGCCGAACGTATTCCTTCCGACTACTGAGTACTTCAACCATCGATGTTGCCCTCGGGAGAAGCGACCCACTGTGAGTTCCTCTTTTGTGTCTGCTTCGACTCAGCGGATGTGACAAATGACATATTGATTGAGGCGGGTGACAGAGTGCATGTCCGTGCAGGGAGTCCAAGCTTTAAGCGGGGTCCATAGAATTTCTTCGGTTTGGTGCTAATCCAAATATTCAGTGCCTGGCTGAAGACATTCTGTGGACTCCATCACCCTCAGTCCCCGCTCTTACCTGCCAAATCGAATGTGTTTCTATGAACTCGTGAGTACTTCAACTTAACTCATGTTACTCCTCGTACGTTCACCGTTCGTGTCTCCTTCGACTTGGTTGATGACGATGCAGGAAAGGGTATTGGCGCGATTCGGTGGTGCATGTTCGATCTGGTGTAAGCCTCAGCGCTTACGTACACATGACATATGGTTCATTGGATCTTAGACACGTCTTTTCCTTAGCTTGTACCTTACCGTCGTCGTCGTCTCGCAATCCAGAACGTGGTTCTGTTTTGTTTCGTGTGTTTCTTCAGTGTTTCTCGTCGTTGGCCACGACTTGTTTCCATCTGGTTGTCATCATCACCACCGGACTCAAAGGCGTCGTTGAGTTCACGATCAGCATCTCGTGATGGCTGCTGCATTGGTAAGGGTACTACTTGTAGTCATATCTCTAATATTTAAGTGGACACAAACATCATGCACCGACCAATATTAGAATGCTAATAGTGGTCTCTGATCCCTTCCAGTAAGTAGCAGATCAAGGAACTTCCCAGCACTGACATAAATAAAACAGTGACCTCGTCGCGACTCGGCCTGGTATTATCAGGTTCTAGAGCTCTGAATTTTCAGGTTTCCATAGACTTCCAATGCGTGTTCGAAGAATTTATGCTGATGTGTCGCCCACGCGAACAGTATTGAGATTTCTCTTCCGTAGGAGCCCGCAAGTTTACGATGTGCTGGCAATAGTAGCTGACGTCAGGAAATATTCTGTGAGTCATGATACATAACTCAAAGGCAGCCCCTCTATTAAGCTTGTAGCAAGGTGTTGGCATCGAGATCTGTCACCAAGTTCGTGTCGTGATGCCTCCCATAATAAATGAACGACTGCCTTCCTTCTATATGGTCTTACTGCAGGAGGCTAGATGCCTCCATTATTCCCACTCCCGGGTGTGCATACCCACGTATTTTCGTCAATCAGGCTTGACAGTATCGAGTGCACGCTGGCAGATTCTCCGGTTTGCAGACTACTGCCAATACTATCACTGTCTGATGCACCAAGTTTTGCTACAGACCAGTCCTCCGAATATATCGAACGACTATCTTCGATTGATATTGATCTGGGAGACTAGTAAGGCCTCCGGCTCCGAATTTTCCAGCAAATGCCGGAGTACTAGATGCGAAATAATGCAATGACTTATAAGTAAGTCCAACTCTAATCATGTCTTCCACTTTCACTTATCAGTTCGACACACCAACCTGCAAGGGCACGTCAACGGTCACCACCGGCCTATTTATCAATGGAAAGTTTGTTGAACCCGTCGAGAAAGGCACGATCGAGTATGTGTTTATCTTCATCCTACTCAGGCATCTACCTGATGCCTGTCTGATTTAGGGTCCTGAATCCGGGTGGGTCAACTAACTACTGTCCTTCATCAGTTCTAACAGCAGTCGCAGTCAATGGAAAGGTGATAATCTCAGTCGCAGCTGTCACTGCTGTATACATCGAGATCACCGCTCAAGCTGCAAAGAAGGCTTACAAAGAGCGCTGGGGCTTCAAGGTACCCGGTGCGCAAAGGAGCAGGATGCTTAACAGACTTGCAGACCTCCTCGAAGCCAACGCTGACGAATTCGCTGCCTTGGAGGCTTTAGACGTAGGTAGGGTGATGGTTTAGCCATGTTTGTTACTCGTAATGCTATCCCTGTGCAGGCAAAGCCTTCATCATAGCCCAGATGGCTGATCTTCCTAGATCTGTCGCTATCTTGAGGTATTACGCGGGATGGGCGGACAAGGTTCAAGGGAAAACTATCGAGGTCAGGCAGGCTTCGCATTTCGGGGACAAATTAATCTGATATATAGCCACCTGGTAGACGAACGAAAAGAAGATGGCTTATACGCGTCATGAGCCCATTGGAGTTGTGGTTTGTGCTTGTACGTAGTCGCGCGGTGAAGACTTGTGAACTCAACATCTTGCAGGGAGCGATCATTCCCTGGAATTTCCCTCGTATGTTCATTTGATCCTTGTTTAGTGAGTCAATCACAACGTGTTGTAGTCTCGATGCTGTCCTCAAAGATCGGCCCAGTTCTAGCAGCGGGAAACACCGTCATCCTTAAACCATCTGAACTGACACCATTGACTGCGCTTCGTCTGTCCCTTATTTGCCGAAGTGGGCTTCCCTGATGGCGTCATCAATATTGTGAATGGGTACGGTAGTACCGCGGGTCAAGCTCTCACTGAAAACAATATCGTCGACAAGATAACCATCACAGGCAGCACGCTTACTGGGTGCAAGATCATGGAGACCGCCGCCAAGTCCAACATGAAGAAGGTCACTCTCGAGCTTGGCAGTAAGAGCCCCAGTGTCATATTCGATGGTGCAGACCTGGAGCAGACTGAAGTGGGTGGCGCACGGAATATTTTATGTGACATGCTTTATTGTCGAGCCTTACTGACCCTATTCCAGCATGAATCATGGGCAGGTGTGCACCGCAAGTTCCCGCACATTCATTCGAGCCGGGATATACGATGAATTTTCAGAGAAGTTCACTGCGCATGCGTTGTCTTTGAAAGTCAGCGGCCCTTTTGCGAGAGTTTCGCAGACGCAATTTGAGGCGAGCATCCGCCTTATGCAGCGAGTCGCTTCTGCTTACTTCCTTTCAGCGGATCATGGGATACATTAAATCTGGTAAAGAGGACGGCGCAACCGTCCACGTTGATGGAGAACGCTACGGACATCAGGGCTACTTTATTCAACCGACTATGTTCACAAAATGCAAACCGACTATGAAGATCGTGCAGGAAGAGATATTCGGTCCTGTAGCCGCGGTCATCAAGTTCACAAGGGTAAGTGCTTCCTTTTAAGGATGTATCCAAGTTCTGACAAAGTAGCGTAGAGGCCATTGAACAGGCAAATGATACTCTTTATGACCTTGCTTGCTCTGTCTTCACCAGGGACATTGACAGAGCGATTCGAGTCGCGCATAGTATCGAAGCTGGTACCGCATGGGTGAGCATGAGCATGCTAACGTCAAGACTGCTGATTGCGTGGTGCACGTAGATTAATTGTTACAACGTTCACGAAGTGAGCGTGCCATTCGGTGGTTTCAAACAGTCAGGCTTTGGGCGTGAGTTTGGCGAATATGCCTTGGAACAGTGAGTTAATATGTGATGGTGTGGCGGCCTCCGCTGACCTTTTGTTTCAGCTATATGAATGTGAAGGCTGTCCACATTAACATCGGACACCGTCTCTGAAAACCAGATGCGAAACCATCAGAACAGACGTGCAAGCTAGGCTAATGGCAGTAATCATATCGCTTCGTATCACAAACCAACTCTACTCACATACCCATCCTTCTATTTGCGATTCGATGCCAAGTCTGAGCAGCAACTTAAATTCACATTCTCAAACCTTGTTCCTCTATATTTCTGGCTCGAGAAAACAGAACCAATCATCTCGTGTCACGACCCCAATGTCCGCCGACAGCGTTTATCAGGCAGGCCTAGGATACCACAGACGGGTTCAGTGTTCTTGCATCTTCTGATGAGGCTTCATTGCTGATTTCGGCTGATTGCTCCTGCTTCGCAAACGCAAAATACGCAATGGAGTGAACGTTCTGTTCAGCAGAGTCGAGCCAAGAAAAGGTCGCTGTTCGAGTCCTCTACAGGTATGTCTTCCTTGCTTCATCCTCATGTTCACTTCACAGCTTTTTAAAAAAAATCTAGTTAATTGTCGTCTTGGGGCAACGCCCGATGTCGACAGTACATGCGATAAACTACTCAGTGCTACATTTGTTCGAGTGAGCATGGGTATAATAAATGAACCATTGGCTCGCGCCCCGTACAAGGGTTTGGGGCGGGGCTTCACAGTTTCAGCACTTGCCAGTGCTGTGCAGATCAAGCACCCAACTCTCGGCAATATGCACAGTTTCGTCATCATGGACATGGATATCTCAGCATCGCATCTGGTAAGTACTCATGCTATCAAGGTAGTCCGCATTCCTGTATTTCTTCTCTCTGCCCCCGCGCTACATCTCCGCTCAGAGTCCGCGAGGCCACCTTAGACCATTCATCTCGATTCTCCAGTGTCAACAATTTTGTCCGTTCTGAATCTAAAGAGGTTTATGCCCTACGCCGGTCAGGGATGTGATCTAACCCACATGAATATCTGATACAACTGTCGTATAGCCTATCCGTTCGATCACAGCATGGTTGTACGTTAGTTTTCGCCAGACAGACTTATAGACGAAGGAAGATGGTCGATGATCCTTCTCATAAAGGCTGTACGTTACAAACTTCTTCGAGTCATATATATTCTCCGTTGCATAATTTGCATCCCCCTATGTACCTCCCTCGTTCTCGGGGGCCGCATTAGTAGAATCCCTCCTTCTATCCTTCTATGTATCGAGAGTAGGAGGAAAATGAGATTACATATGTCATGCATCCAAATCGATATCGTGTTTGAGATGTTCCTCTATTTATTCGTGCTCATGAGCACACTGGTGGACTGCAGAATGGCGAAGTTCGAGCTGAGTGTCCTCGACACTAGTGACTAACCCCTCCTTCTTTCTGAACGATCTTCAACGATATGTACGTACAAGTGTTGCGATGTCGTTGCGGGCTGTTTTCTTGTGCATTCATGCAAAAACGTTAGCAAGTCGAGTAGGATGAGTGTCTTTTTATCAATGCCACGGAATTCAGGGGAGTGGTTTTTCAATGTTATTCAAGAGTCTGGTCGAGGCAGCAGGGGAATTTGTACAGAAGTAACCATATTGATCAACTCCGCAATGAACTGCATATCGTGCGATCAACCACAGTGCCAACGCGAAAGCAGAAACACGACTCACTGCCCCAACATGTTTAGTCTTCCGAGCTTGTCGGGAGATGGTTACTGACAGTACGTTATTGCGCCGTATTTCTGTTGGTAAAAGGTGCAAAGGGTGAGTCATGGGGTTGAATCTCGGATGCAAAGCGAACCACTCGTACTCACGCCCTTCTTACAATGAAGACCTGAGCAGCATGGTTGCTTGTTCTCCATCCCGCAAAGCAGGCCTTTAGACTCGCATGCACTGACAGACATAAATGTTGTCAAAGCAGCAACAATAGCAAGTAGGAATGAGAAATGCATGGCTTGTGCTAGGTAATATGAGAGGGGGATCTCGAACAAGTGATACTGGCAGTAGGAAAACGGCTTGCTTTTATGTATTTTTTGCGATGCACCCCACAGTTATATCAAAATGGTTGCACCTGGCGGATTTCAGGCAGAGATTACAGGCAGAACCTGTGACAGGGTGGGCGGATAAACAATCTAGAACATGTGGACTGCAAACGTATGAGCTTTAACCTCTAGTGAGGAGTTCACTTTGTAGGCAATGGCGAGAATACCATACACATGTTAACCAAGGTTGAACGTGCATACATGCAGAAGACAAAGGTGGAATCTGAGACCTAGCGCTTTCGTAGCATACTAGTCCAGGAAGTCCTGGCGACGGAGAGAGGTGACCAGACGTGTCGGGAAACGTAGACCTCCCGTGGAACCCATATGGTGAAACTCCTTCTGCCTCGGACCTATACATAGATGCGACATCAGCAAAACACTGTGGAACTCTGTGAGACTCTGTGGGTTCTGTAGAGTTCTGTACAGAAGCCACAGAAGCAAAGTGATTTGCTGACGGAAGAAGCACTCGGGTCGCCCCTTGTCAATGAATATAACCTTAGAGCTGGGTAGAGGGCATCAACATTTTCCCGAACTACGACCGAGTGAGCACGGATGGAACGACCGTACAGCGGACAATAGATAGAGATTTTTTTAAATGACTGGCAGCAATGGAGGAGAGCAGTGCTTACTTGACGGTTATCTTGTAATGAGGTGCTTAGTACGCAAGAAACCCTATTATTTGAGCCTATTTGCTTTCAAACGCCGCCCACAGCTCAGCGAGTTGATCAGTGTCCCATCCAGTTAACGTGCTGATTTGTGTATCAAACCTGTACGGCGGATGCTACGGCGAATCAGGACGACGAGGAACCATCTGAATTACTACAATAGACAATGTTGCTATCTCGCTCAAATGAACACATCAGACTTGTATCAGACGCCCGACTGGACTCCGCTAAATTGAGGTGTACTTCCTGGCACGAGACCTCACTTCTGGAAGATTAAAGGTAAGATAATGTTCATGTAGTCTTCCTGTTATCTTCAGGAGAGTATTTATCTCTGCCGTCTCTCGTGCGACATTCTTGGAGTTTTCCTTGGTACCCCATCATGGATTTCGACCTTGTTGTTCGCAATGGTACCGTTGTGACTGCCTCAGACATCAGTTGGAATCCTGTGATATTGGAGTCAAGGTACGGATACCACCTACTGTTGTTTCTGAGTTTTTACATGTCCCTGCCTATGTTAGGATGGAACCACTATCGCTGTTGGTCCTCGTCTTCCAACCGCACCCGGCGTGCATGAGATCGACGCTGAAGGGGCTTCTATAACTCCAGGAGGAGTCGACTGTCACGTCCATCTGTGCCAGGCTAGTATTTTTCTTTGTGCTCTGTTCTCATATTCTTATCATAAGTGTTGTGTAGATATACGACACCGTCGATTTGGTTGTTGATCACTCTGTCATTACGAATAAAAGTAAGACGTCTTCCTACTGCCAGTATCTGAGCTATTATTCGAGATCCCTGTCTCATATCACCTAGCATAAGCCATGCGTTTCTCATTCCTCCCCGCTGTTGTCACTGCTTTGACAACATCTATGTCTGTCAGTGCATGCACGGAACAAAGTTGCATGGGCCCGGGCGACAAATCATGCTGTGCAGGTCTTTCATGTGTGAGGCGTGTGAGTACAAGTCGTTTGCTTGATTTGACCCCGTGACTCATCCTTTGCGCCTTGTACTTATCAATAAAGTCATTACGGCGGTGTAGTACATGTCTGCCATTAACCATCTGACAGGTCTTCGCCCTCCGCGCAATATAGTGTACTCCACATTACTTCCTCCATTATTGCAGGCGCGCCAATAATCCATGACCGACCCCGGTATTTTGCGTCATCGTGCCGTATGACAGAAAGCCGCAGCTCGTCATTTGTCCACGCGCGAAATATAGATTCGAGTCTATCCCGAAACACGAGCCTCGTTCATCTCAACGAGGGCTACATTTTCTCACTCGTGTGTAATTCAGAAGGCATTCAGTGACCAAGCTCTCAAGATCTCATACTCAATAGAACCGTTCTCGATGCGGCTCTTGAAAGCTGCCGAGGGTTCCGACCCGGAGTTTGCTAGACCACCGTTGCAATAGGAGCGGGAGAGGTGGGGTACCTGGGTCTGGAGGTCTTAATCTTGTCTGGTGTGTGTTTACTTCTGGAGCAAACAGGCAGAAGCACTGGAATGCCTGTCCATCTTTGAAGAGCGCCTCTTCAAGAAGTCAGCTTAGTCGGGCCCTGCAGGAAACTATCAGTGGAGCCTGGATGCTGGCGATCAATAACCATCCGAATGTTAATGCTTTGCAAGGTAGAAAAAAAGGTAAAGCACATTAGTATTTGCCATCATCACCAAGGTTGCGAGTCGCGACTCGTGGGTCCTTTACATTGGCCCCTTCTTCGTTCTGAACGATCTTCAGGTACACATCCTTCGATCTCGGCCGATTTTTTGGGGGGATTTATTCAAAAACGTACGCAAGTCAGAATTTACGCGGGAGGTTTTCTAATGTTATTCAAGAGTCTGGTCGAGGCAGCAGACAGAAGTAAACATAAGTGTCATTGATCAACTCCGCCAAAAACTGCATATCGTGCGATCAACCACTATACCAATGCGAAAGCAGAAACACGACTCACTGTTGCAACATGTTCAGTCTTACATCGGGAGATGGTTAATGGCAGTACTTGACTAAGCCATCATCCTATTGGTACAAGGCGCAAAGGTGAGTCATAGGGTTGAATCCTGGATGGAAAGCGAACGACTCATACTCACACCTGTCTTACAAGTAAGACCTGGGCAGCATAAATCACTAATCCCGTCGCCGAACCCGCAATGGTTGGATCCAGTCAGGCATCTCCAATTAGCAGCACTGACAGACATAGATATTGTCAAAGCAACAACAACGAGGAGGAATGAGAAATGCATCATGTGACTTCTGCTAGGTAATATGGGAGGGTGATGACTCTGATACTGGCAGTGGGAAGACAGCTTGCTTTTATGTCCTAGATTTTTTTTCGCTCAGTACTCGGCAATTCTATGAGGATGGTTGAGCCTGCCGGATTTCAGGCAGAGAGTACAGGCAGAACCTGTGAGAGGCTTGGCGGATAAACAATCAAGACCATGTGGACTGGAAACATATGAAATTTAACACAGCTTAACCTGTAGTAAGTAGTGATCGTTCACGACCGCGCTCTTTGTGCCGCTGATGTGCTCTTTCCCGTTGCTCCTGTTACTTACGCTCTCGCTGCCCAATAGTATCTGTGCCCTCCTTGTGTCTCGAGCCTTGGTTCAGCGAACGTTTATCAGTCCCTTGCTTGCGGGCCTGCGCCCGCGCACACAGGTCGGTGGTAGAGGGTGCGTGGTTAAGTACAGGGAGCTTGGGAACAGGAGTTGGGGGTTGTGTGGCTGTTAAAAACGGTCCCGGATGTGCGGGCCACGGAGCCTACACGGAGGTTGAAGTTGCAGCATTGGAGGGATTGTCTCTGCTGGCTACCACTTGCGTACTGTATCGAGCAGGAATGTACTAGTGATGTCGGTGCGGCTATCTGAACCGCTGACGAGTCAGTAAACAGTCGCAGAGGGATGTTGGTAGAGCGCTTACTGGTGCCAATTAATTGTCACAAATATAAGTGTTGGAGTCAGAAACATCGGAGACGTCGGCAGAGGAGTCAGGAATGATAGAGGACTGACGGGGTACGAGCGCAACCAAAGATTATGAGCAGACAATGTCGTGACATCGGCCGAGGCTCCTATATTGTGAAGTGTCATTTCCTATGCTACGCCAATATTAATATTCCATCTCTATGCTAACATACTATAAATATTCATGTAGTATCGCATGAGCGTCTCAGTTCCTTTCAGAGACTGAGATGTATATTGTTCTACTAGCTCTCGAGTCGTCGCGTCCGCTCGCCTTTCATAACCATAATAAGTAGTAGGAGGAAGCGCACACATTCAAATATTCGACTACTAAGTAGTATGCTCTTGAGCGGGACCGATGGATGTTTGGTTGAGCGAATGGCGGCCCTGAGGTTGCGCGTATGAGGGGCCCCAAGTCATTTATTGTTGTGTCAAAACTCTATGGCCTCCATAGTCGAACTATGTACTTCTAAATTGATTTGAAGTCGAGAGAATGCATAGATTGACGAACCTCTCGCGTCACAATCATAATCAACCGGGGAAGATGATAATAAATCAGTGTCGAGGGTAGGAGGACAATGAGGTTACATATGTTATGTATCCAGATCTATATCGTGTTTGAGATGTTTCTCGATTTATTCACACTCGTGAAGTGGCTCAAAAGCACACTGGTGTCTTACAGAATGGGCAATTTCGAGTGTTCTCGATACTACTTAGCCCCTTCTTCCTTCTGAGTGATCTTCAAGGACATGTACGTACACGTACTTCGATGTCGGCTGACTCTACCGCTTTTCTTGTACATTCATGCAAAATCATACACAAGTCGAGTAGTATGAGTGTCTTTTATAAATGCCACAGAATTCATGAGGGTGGTTTTCTAATGTCATTCAAGAGTCTGGTCGACGCAGCAGAAAACTTTGTACAGAAGCAAGCATATCATCGACCAACTCCGCAAAAACTGCATATCGTGCGATCAACCGCTGCACCAACGCCAAAGCAAGAACACGACTCATTGTCCCAACATGTTCAGTATTCCAAGCTCGTTGGCAGATGGTTAAGTGCAGTAAGATGGTACGAAATAAGTAAAGACGACGATCGAATAAATGTATTGACGACCAGGAAGAGACGGGTCTGAGAAAACCATCAGTCCTAGTACTATCGTGAAGTCATGGAGGGTAGCTCACCATCGCGTCATGAGCCGACGAGATAAAAAAAACAGGGTCTCGCGCGTCAAGCTGAGACAAGAGACATCATGGCTATGCTGCGTGGCACAGTTAGCCAGGTCAGGGGAACAGTAAAACTAGCTTACTGCTAAAGAATCACACAGTAAGCAATCACGCCGTTGTTGTTCCAGTCGGCGTCTACGAGAATGGGGTCGCCATCGCCGGTAGCGCTTGGATCAGCTAAACTTGACGGATCGCAGTCCAGTAATACAACGTTGAGGATATCAGATACAGAGGTGAAGATATCCATGATAGTATGGTGACGATTAAGACGAACACGAAATTGAGCAACGGGAGAGACAAAGGGGCGGGAGATTATTGTGGTAACAGCTCTGATACTGACAGTAGGAAGACGGCTTGCTTTATGTCTTAGAATTTTGAGTTCGCCGAGTACTCGGCAGTTCTATCAGGATGGTTTAGCCCGACGGATTTGAGGCAGAGAGTACAGGCAGAACCTGTGACATATAGAAGCCCGGATACTCATGCTCAATTACTCATACCACCTTCGATAATGGCTTCTGCGGGACCACGAATACCGCCAGTGCGGATAAGAAATAATATCATGTGCCACGTACATCGACAAAGTGGACAACGAAGATTGTCATTCGTACTGCTACACCTTGAGCTTACTAGTAGAGCGCGTGTGTCTGGGCTGTTCGAGCACCTTCAGTTCGGACAAGACATAAAAAATGATTGACCACGTACTCGGCAATTCTATCAAGATAGTTTAGCCTGTCGGATTTCAGGCAGAGAGTACAGGCAGAACCTGTGATAGGATCGGTGGACAAACAATCTAGAACATCTGGACTGCAAACGTAACTTTACTCACACAAGCTAACCTCTAGTAAGGAGCTCACCTTGTAGGCAATGGCGAGAATACCGTCCACATGTTAATCACGGTTTAATGTGCAATCGTGCAGAAGGCAAAGGTGGAATCTGAGAACTAGCGCTTTCGTAGCGTACTAGTCCTAGGAAAGTCTTGGCGACGGAGAGAGGTCACTGGACGTGTCGGAAAGCGTAGGCCGTCTGTGGAGTCATATCATGGAAAAATCCACCTGCCTCGGACCTATACATAGATGCCAAGAAGCACTACTATAGAGTTGCCTTTTGTCAATCGACATGCCCTTAGAGGGCATCAATATTTGCCCAACTACGACCTAGTAAATACGGATGAATCCGACCATAGTTGGCGTGGGGTCGAGCCACAGCGGAGAGTTGTAGTATGCAAGAAACCCCTTCTCCCAACAAGCCTTAACACCCTCAAACTAAATTATGTAAATGAAAACATACCAAAAATGCTTCGCATATCTCAGTCTCAGTTCGGGTACGCCGAGGTGTCTGCAGTAGAGTTTGGGTTAGTATTTTTGTGGGTTAACGCGCGTGCACAGAACACTAAGTACAGATGCAGCCAAGATGCAGCAGTACAGTTGTCCTCCACCCTAAACACAAACATAAGATAACCCACCTAAAAAATCTCACTACTCGGGGCTCAACGCATGAGTAGTCGTTGACCCAGACCGCCGTGTGATGTGAGTAGTGGTTCGAAACTCACGCTGAGTGGATTGTGTGCGTTGAGCGTGGAGAAGGCCTGAAGCCGACTTGCAACCCCGTCAGACAGAAACCATAATAAAGCCCTACGCAATAAAAGACGCACCGATATCATCCTCGATGACCTCTGCAAAACGCTTTTTGACGGCGACCTCAGGACTCAGGACTGCCTGTAGAACGTGATTCTACCTGACAGAACACTCTTGTATGTCGCTCTCCCCTCCAACCTATTAACAATGATACTATGGCCTGACACGGGTCGACCCGGGTCATGCCCGGGTACTACCCACGGGTAGGTTGAGCTCTGAGGCCATGTCCGTACCCGTCCCGAGTCAAGTGGTACGGGTATGGGTCCATCCGTGGGTGTCACTCGTGGGTGTGCGGGTCGCCCGCGGGTAGATATACAAAGCGAGAGTTTCCATGTTCAGTCTCTCGAGCTCATCGGGAGACACGGTTAGTGGCAGTACGTGGTTAAGCCGAAATCCTATTGGTACAAGGCGCAAAGGGTGAGCCATGGGGTTAAACCCCGGATGCAAAGGGGATCTTGAATAATAGCTCTGATACTGGCAGTAGGAAGACGATGGACTGAGGGTTCCACGGACAGGGACTACACACCCGGCTCTCCACGGCCCTTTCCGTAGCTTATGTCAACACGTAGAGTAGGTTCCAGTGTGTCCGTAGAGTAGCACATCACCATTCGAGGCTGTTTGCCATTGCTCTAGGCTGAGGCCGCTGGCCCTACTTCAACAACTTACTTTTATGTCCTAGAAATATTATTTCTGTACTCCGCAGCTCTATCAGGATGGGTGCGCCTGGCGGACTTCAGGGAGAGAGTGTAGGCAGAACCACAGGGGCGGTGGATAAACAATCCAGAACATGTTAACTGTGAACATACGGACTTTAACACAACATCTAGTAAGTAGTGATGGAGACACACCGTGTGGGCTCCACATATTAATTACGGTCGAATGTACAGGCAAAGGTAGAATCTGAGATCTAGTATTGTCATGGCATATGGTCCGAGAAGTCCTGGTGACGGATAGAGAGATCAATATGGAACTCCATATTGTACCTACACGTAGATGCCAAGACGCACTAGACTTGAATCGCACGATGGACGCTCAGAGCTATGGAGAGGGCATTAATATTTGCCCAAACTAGGACTGCGTGGATATTGATAAATCATAAATCCGACCCGTCAGCAAGTCAAAGCACACCTAAAATGCCTCGCAATAGCTCGCGGGCCGGAGCCCCACAAGGTCCGCACTGCGCAGGAGGTGTTCTCGGATGCTGATGCTGATGCAGAGTTTGGGTTAGTGTTGTTGTTTAGCGGGTTTAGAAGTCGGTAGAAGGAATGCGTAAAAGTCTGGTATGGGTGTAGCATAGAAGGTTGGCACACTTGAACTATCACAATTAGCACAGGGGTAGTATCCAAGCCTCAACACCGAAATCCCATCTCCTCCAACACAAATACAAACAACCCACCTGGAAATCTCGCTACTCGGGAAAGTAACATGCATGAAGAATTCAGTGGGAGCGCGAGCGAAGGCGGGTATGCGAGTACATTGGTGGAGGGGGAGTATCGGGTGGTAGTCCAAACTGTTGGCGTGTGATGTGAGTAGTGGTTCGACTCACGGTGAGTCAAATCATCACGCACACCGCACGCTGAGTGGATTGCGTGCATTTAGCTGAGTTAAGCGTGGAGTGAGTCTAATGAGAACAACGAAAAACCCGTCAGGCAGAAACCAAAGCCCTTCGCAATGAAAGACGCACCGACATCGCCCTCTTTCCACACACCCTTGATAGCGTCTGCAAAAAAACGCTTGTTGAGGGCGCGTACTACTTGAAGGACGCCTCTCGAAGAGCTTTGCTTTTTGGCTGTCTGGGACGGTGCAATGAAGGCAAGGCCAGAGGACCTGGGAAGAGTTAGTGTGTATTGTGGAGAAAATGCGTGGCAGGAAGGACAGGAAACAGGAAGCAGGAAGACACACCTGATGACAAAACTCGTCACAACAACTCTCAAGCTTTGCATCAGGGATCTAAACGTATGCTAGAATGCATCCTGCAGTTGACGTCACTGACTTTGAGTTCTGAGCAGTGAGCCAGAGGTGGCTAAGCTGCTGCCGAGGGTTCCGACCCAGAGCTTGTTTCTCATATGGTTCAGAAAGTACAGATATAATCCCCACTGGTGTTGACCTGGTTAATGCATGTCCATCTACATAGAGTGCCTCTTCGAGAAGCGGGTGCTAAAGCTTAAAGGATAGTTCATCTTCGGGCATTGCCGCCAGTGCGCCACATTCTTATCGATGGGGCATTCGAACACAGCTGTGTAGCGTTTCCTTCTTGCCGTCATGGCGCCTTCCAAATGTTTTCTTCCCCAGTTTTTGTGAGTGAAATCGAATGCACCAAGTATGTCAGCCACCCACAAAACTCACTGGCAGTGATTCAGCGTTCTCTTTCAAGTCCAGTGTTCACACCTCTAGCGGTCTACGTAACTAACAAACGCCTATCTTACTCTCTATGTTCTGACCTATACGGATGTCGACCATGAAATCCAGAAGCCGGCCCGAAAGAGCCGGCGTCTAGTTTTGACCTTGCCGTCTTGGGGCTTAAGGCCTAGACACAAGACTCGTGGCTATAGCAAGGTTTAGCCCAAATTGTAAACCTCTCAATCAGTGGGTCATCAGACGCTGCATTATGGTCCTGCTCCCACTGCAGCTTGCCCATTTGGGGAGTTGAGTGGATGTTTGGGCACGGACCACGGGTCTGTGCACTCCCACTGATATATGCTTAAGAGGGAGGATTCCTACGTAGAACTAGAAGTACAAGCGGTAGGGGTAGCGGCAGCCCCCTGATGAGAGCTTTCGCAGGCTCGAAACCGCTGCCGGCCCGCTTTTACCCCTCCCTCCCCTGTTGACACAGCGCCCAACCCTAGGGGACGGTGGACTGCGGCAGCGGTGAAAGAGGTGGACAGCCTAGTAGGTACATAGACTGAATTCTGCGCCTGCCTCATTCCTCGGCGGCGCAGAAAACGATTAGCGCGCAAAGCCCATAATTCAGCCGAGCAGGTCCCAGGAGGAAAAAAAAAAACCATCGAACAGCGGGGTCCACAGAATCTCTCCCGTTATAGCTCGTGTGACGCGACAAATAACTGAAGACATTCTATGGACTCCATCACACTCAGCCTCCACTCCTGCCGGCGAGGTCGAATGCGTCCTACCAACTTGCGAGTACTTCGACCCGATTCATGTTGCCCCTGGAGAGTTTATTGTTCGTGTCTGCTTCTCCGACTGAGCTGATGAAGGGCAAGGAGTGAGATAACAGATAGAGCCGTTCCTCCGCAGCGTATCCATTTGACAATAGACTACCTTTAACGCGGCTCGGAAAAAAAGGACCAAACGCAACGCTTGCGATTACAAGGTTTGTGATTACTATTGCCGATCGTTGTATTCATTGATGGCGAAATCTTGACAGCACCCTAGCAAGGACCATGCAGGGAGTCCGAGCTCGACATTCCGCCAGCAGCGCCAAGAACAACAGTTTGACATGATTGGAAAATCAGGCGGTACGCACTGGCGTGCATCTACACTAAAAATTCACTGCGGATACTTGCTCCATTGTCGCAGGCACACGTATAATCCATGACCGATCCCGGTGTTCTCCGTATGGGCTTCCATGTATAAAGAAGTAGACTATAATGGATAGGACCCTGTTGACAAAGGAGCAGCGCCGATCCCTAAATACTACTTGAGGATGTACATAACTCGAGTTAAATGTATAATATGTACTGCGATACTACCCTGCCGTCTACAATCTACTACGTACCAATTCTTTTAAACCACTCACTGCATATTGAATCTCGGCCGCCTGTCCTTTCAACCTAGTACCTGTGCTACCCAACCTCTTGTCGAGCCATTTGAGCTCACCCCTCGAGGCATCATCTGGCATGTGTATCTTCGTCGCCTCAACAAGAGCTCCAAAAATATCGATACCATCATCAAGAACATTGTAATCGCCGATTACATGCCATGCCATCCTCGTTAGGTCCCACCACTGCTTGCTTGTGATGGTACTAAGCTGAGGAGCGGCTGATTCTGGGTTAGCGGCTTGAAGGCGGAGGAATATTCCAGCGAGGTAAAAGAGGTAATAAGGAGGTTCATCACGAAATTCGGGAATGATTCTGATACATCTCTCGATATGGCCATCGGAGGCTAAGCGAGGGAGCCAGTCTGGACTGCTTGTCAGAACGAAGATGAGACGGAGATAGTAGGTGTCATAGTTGGTGTTGTGTTTGTCCGGAGGGACTACAGTGAGGAGGGCTGGGGAAAGCTTGGAGAGCACTATGTCTCGTAATGACGCATCCACTCTGACATCGGTGATCATAGCCAGATCATGTCTAGCATTGAAGGCTCTGCGTAAGGCAATACGTCTAGATTCCGAGTTATTGCCTCTATCTGAACCCATGTGGCTAATGAGGGCACGACAGTAAGGAACATACTTCTCCGGATCGTTGAGTGATGGTTTTGGCAACGCAAGGAGCACCAGACAATGGACATCAGATAGCGGGAAGCATGCTAGATCACGATCTTTTAATTTTGCCGACCTAGTGACGTCGAGCAGCTGAACGGCATTGGTGAACGGGACGTCGTTTCCGTTGTTTCCATTCTGGATGGGGGGACAGATGGCCATCAGGAAAGCGTCCAGGAAATGTGGATGGCATGGCAAGTGGTTCTTTATGTTGTAGTGGAGAATTTGGAATGCAGTATGGAGTGCTGTATGGCGCAATTCATGCGATTGATGGCTGCTCTTCAGAAACTGAGTAATGAAGGTTTGATCAAGGACCGATGATGTTTTCAAGACACCACTGAGCAAGAGGAGAGCAGCTCCTACTGCCTCAAAATCTTCGGCGCGGAGGAACTGCGTTGCACAGGCCATAAGCCACTCAACCTCCTCCAGCTCGCGTTCCACCCCGAATTTCCCATCCCAAACCGATCCTTTATCATCCGGACTAGTAAATTCGTCCATGCCAGCAGGCACGACCATAAGCAGAGCAGAGCGTATATCTGCTACATACGACCGGGACGCTTGGTTGTACAAACGTTGACACTCTTCCAGCATCGAAGGAAGACGCAGTTTGTGCCACAATGTCCAGAAATTCTTTCCCTGTATACTTTCACGAAGCATACACCTCGTACGTGAATCATCCCAGGAGAACTTGATCAATGATTCCCCATATGCTCGTGCATCCTCTTGGACTATCGGAATTCCTCGGATATCGAAACAGGCCATGAACATGTCTCGCACTCTTGTGCATAAGGACACTGTAAGGTCCTTTTGGTTCCCCAAAATGCTGGGCATCTGTTGCACCAACTCGAGAGCCGCCCGGATGGCATCAGGTTTAGTCGAAATCCTCACCATCCACTCCATTGCGGATGCAATGGAATCTTCTTTAACCTGACGATCAGGGAAGAAATCGTGGAAGGCTATGGAGAGGCGCGTCTGGAATGGACAATTGCGATTTACCATAGACGCCAAGGCGGTGAAGACATAACAAACGAAGCCGAAGGTAATTATTAAGATGATGAGGATGGAGATAGTTTGCTGCTGCGTCCACATCCAAGCTGCAAGGGAGAGACCGAATAGAAATAAGGAGAGCTTGAGAAGGTCTGCGAGTGACTGCAGCAAACCTTCAAAACACCATTTTTCTACCCCTTGAAACTTGCTGTGCCTCTGGTTGCATCGCTGTTCAAGTGAACCGCTACCAAAACGGCCTGTCTTGTAGTAATTCAACCACTGTTTTCCCATGACAGCACCAAAGGTAGAAAGAAGACTGAGCGCGAGGCTCATATATGAAAGCGCCTGCATCCAGAATATGGAAGGGTAGTTGGTGGAGGGTGAAAGGATCGTTGGCTGGGCTGCGGAGGCACCATACACTGTGATCTGGATAAGCTGGACCAGAAGAGTGTTGGTGGTATCAACAGGATTCGGCTGCATCGCAATGATGAACGCAGTGGTAACGGCGGAGAACAGACCAGCCTGGTTATTCATGTTGGTTGGGTAACGAAAGAAATGAGATATTCACATACGAAGAGCAGCAGTATATCCATATAGCCATTACACCTCTCCAACATGTTGTCGTCATATTCACCAGATACTTTGTTGTATGCAGCCCAAAAATTAGAACGCACGTCCTGTTCTTTCTCCTCGGCAATTGTCGAGGTCTTGAGGAAGTCGACAATCTCCCGGAGAAATTCGAACAAATCTGTGTTGAACTTCCTATCCATGTTGAACTTCAACTTGAATTCAAGGCGTGATAAGGCGGCGGTGACCGTAAAGCGAACAACGAACGGTCTGCAACTTCAGGACGAGCGCGCAAAACAGCGCTGGGGTGGCCCATGCGTTGCCAAGGAGTGTTATTGATTCCATAAAGGCTTCAGATTGATCGGAGAACTTTGAAGAAGTACTGGATTATTGATATCTGACAGAGACGGTCAGGTTCATCAACTTCAAGATCTCGGTCCGAGCGCTTGGCGCATCAGTGAACTGATGAGCCGCAGATAAAGGAGTGTAGCATTCCGAAGTAGATCGGCTCCCAACAGGGTGGGAAACACAAGTCCCTGAACACATCAGTGACAAAGACCTCAACCACCGCTCGGTAAGCATATTTCCTCGTCATTCTCAAGTCCAAGTTCACCGCCCTCGCGCATACCCATTCTGCGCTGTTCTGCCACGTTCGTATCACTCCCTTAAATGTCCAGCGCCGAGCTACCCGACCAATACTCGATCCGCCAACAGAAACTACCGCTGCTGCCCCAAACCCCTCCGCGCGCTTTCGCTTTCTACAGCCTACGGACATCAGTACCAACGGACAGACCTCGACTAGAGTCACCGCACCGACGCTTATGATTGAGCGCATTCCTTTGGGCAGCGCTTCCCCATACACCAATCTAAGTACCTTCAAATGAGTACACTCTAATGCTGAATGTTTCAAATACACATGAACCCAACACTATCTCTATCTTAATGTTATCTACAATTTTGCTTGTAGGGTGCGCAGTCTGCGTATTCAGGGGTTGCTAAAACAACAGTGAGCGAAAGTCGTCAAAGAAGATTAACAGAATATGTTTGTAACCGGTTCAAACATTTGATCGAGTTGAGAAAACTCACTCTTCCATCACCCAACCGTTTAGCTTGCCAATGATCACGCCATGAATATTAACATTAGGTGCCGGGTTTGTGACCTTTATACAGAACAAACGATGATTGCTGATGAATCGTACAAATTTCATCAGTCCGCCTTGGATTCAAATATTCGGAACAGATTTAAACCTACCGCAGAGGTACTACTGTACGAGCAGATTTAGCTGGTCATACGTACATCCCATGTCTTCAGTAGATTCCGCTCTCTGGGCCTCGATCACCAAATACAACTTTACTTGCGATGGCAAGCTGTGCTGAGAAAGACCGAAGAGGATCCACCCTTTCCCTTTGCGCCCCACATGAAAGCGTAACTACGCGACATGCAGGGATTGGTGTCATGATATCAGTACAAACACTTGATATATATATACCACATACGTCCGGCAACAAATTCGACACCTGCATCTTGCGCAATGCATCAGCGTTTCTGGAACATCCTGATGCGGATACAAGCAACAAACTTGTTCGGTTCATTCCCTTCATACACCTGAACCTCATCTGGCGGACAACCCAAAGAGCGTCTCAAAGGTTCGTCCTTGAGTGCTTAGGACATGATGAATTAATGAATGCGCTCTCAGATAGGTATCACCGTGAACTTACACTGAAAATTTCCCAAATTCAGATGCGCAAACAGCGCCTGGTCATTAGTTGCCATGCACGCGAGACGCAAGTCGGAAGCGCAAACAGAAGAAAATCGGGGAATGAATGCAATGAACGCTGAAAAAGCTTCTCGCCGGTCATTCACGATCGCCCAATACAGTGCTGTATGACCCTCAATATTGGGTGTTTGCAGGAGGTAGGAGAACACTGCGGCTGGGAGATCAGCAGCACAGGCGCTGACAGCAGGGGCGACAGATGAGGGGGTGAAATCGGGAGAGGAGACAATATCACGGATGCGAGATAGAACGGCTTTTTGTTTCTGCCTTGTTTGCAGCAAGGAACATATAGATGGTGGGCATTGGACTGGATCTGCTGACGTAGAAATGGTGTTGTATGAGGGAGGTATTGTAACGAACTTGCTATCGTCGGAGAGCTGGTACATTATAGAGGGGCAAGTGAGGCAAAGGAGTTAGAACTTCGAAGCATATAAAAAGAAAATAGGGGCCTGTCGATCATGGCACAGCATTTTAACACCAACTTGCTCACATTATTATGCTCTGGTGTGTCTCCAGGACTGAGTGGTTGGTGTTGTATGACGAGCGCTTGATGCGCTGGGAGGGTTGACCGCAGGGGTTTGCTACGCAGAGACACTTGGCCGATCCGGCAGATAGTACGCGTTAGCGGACGAGCCTCATGTCAGGCTGCAGAATCGCATATTGAACGACAGTTGGTTTCATCATCTGTAATTCTCGTCAAGATGAGGTTGGTGGTACTCTACACGTCAATTAACTCGATATCCATTTCATCCTCCTATTAAGATAGATCGTTAACTTCATTAACTCAACGGCAGGAAATAAACTCACATCCTCAGCTGTCTCTCGGGTGAATATCAACACCCTCTCCTCGTCCACCATGATATCATGAACGGATGCATCAAAGATGCGTTCCGTTGCCAATTCCACACATACAGCAACACCTGTACGGTGTCACTCGGTCTTTAGACTAACACAGCACAATATAAAGCAAGGTGATCTCCAAGGACAGCGACTGAAAGGTTTGATTCCAAAGTTTTGAAGCCCCAGAAGGCTCTTCCAGCGATTATGCAGGATTTCCTCGCCCGTGGATATCGTGTAAAAGCGTATTTCGTATTGCCTGCCGTGGGGGAATAGGCGCTTAAGCTCGTAAACAGATATCATCAGGTCCTGTGCCCCGTCCATGTAACTAGTACGGAGGGATACACCAGGAACTAGATGCGGACGATCCTCCCATGCGCAAGAAGGGGCGCTCACCATTTCAGGTGTGCACGTCTTGAGACTAATAACTTTGGATATAACTTCATCGTCTATGAAAAAGACTGAGTTGTTGGTGGGTGAGGGACTTGAAGTCGAAAGGGTCCAAGAAACGAAGCGTTTTCGTCACATTGAGCTCGAAGGAAGCCCACACATTTGCCTTGTCTCTGAGGGCGCGCAAGCACTCCGCTGTGGAGACAGTAGGCGGCCACGGATGGGTGACCGGGATCAATCTTTGGGCTCCAAGTTCGATGATGTATTGCAGCTCAGCTGAGCTTTTGACTGTGTTGTACATCGTCCGGCAAGTCTGTAGATCAAGTACATTAGTTGGTACATAGCTAATAAGTATGATGAGGGACAGTGAACGATGACTGACCAGCGCGCAGCATATAATTTCATTATATGAAAGGAAACTAAGGATATGGCAGCGCAATTCCTCTGCGATATCATAAAGGGGATCCCTTTCAACAAGAGAGAGCATTGCCAGTCCACAGGAAATGGGAGGCCTGACATTATCGAGGAATGAGTAGATATTGAGAGAAAATATGACCGAGGAATCACTTAACCTGAACGAAAAAATAGAAACGAACATCACGAGCAGGCGTGTTGATAACTGATAAGTTCGATTACGTTCAGACCAATGCAAACATTTGAAAGCTGACAGGGCTCGGACTCACTCAGATCGTAGGCTGGGCCCTTCTCGACGGCTCGGCGATAGGTACTAGTACTCAAGCTTCAGCTTCATATGAAGGTCGACTTTATCCTGCGGGGTATTATGGATTTGCTTCCGAGTTCCGACAGCACTGCCACAGTGTGTTCCAGGTCTCGAGGTATTACTCAGTTTAGATCTATCACAGCACGATCATGTATGTATCCAGTTACTACTGAACCGGTACCAATCACCTTGCCTTGAACTTCTAAGTAAGTAATCGCCTGCAGTCATAATCTATCAAATCATGGTCTTGATATAGCATACGATCTCGAAGTTATGGGTCAGTCAATCAACAGACCATCCCGACCCCCCAGTATACTTTCCCAAGTCGGCCTGGCGCCAGAACTTTGGCTGGCAATCTTCGAGCATCTTCCTTTCCGAGCGCTTCACGATGTTTCACTCACTTGCCAATCCTTTCGTTATCTCGCACAGCCTCTCTTATTTCACTCGCTGACATTCTGTCCCTACTCTCTGGACACAAACAACCAGCGCTTTATTCCCCGACTCGAAACTGTAGAGCGTGCAAAACAACGCATAGAGTTTTGTTCCTCAGCACGCGTCGCTCACGCTGTTCGGGAATGCAAATTTTACCCTCGATATATTGTTGGTGCCGTGCTCAACGCAGACATTGCATATAATGTACTTCTGGATATACTACTCGACACCCTTCCGCTTTTCATAAATCTCCAATCACTATCGTTCATGTTCGTGGACCTCAGCCAGTCACAAGTATTGAAACTGTGCACGCTACGAAGCATTGGGAATCTTTTCTTGGGAAACTGTACCGTGGAACATGTCCAGTCGTTTCCATCTCCCAAACTGCAGGTCTCTGACTTGACCATCATCTGCGATGACAATCCTAGAGTGTTTGATGACGGTCAGAACGGTCATGGACTATCTGTTTTCTCACCCGACCACCTTCGTTCCGTCTCCATAATCAATGCAGTCGTAGCCTCACTATTCATAGACAGTTTCCTGGGAAACGCATCACAAAGTCTACTGCGGCTCCGATGTCTCACATTACCTTGCGAGTTAGAGGTCGTGCGCGCTTTCCGTCCCTTGCTACATCTTATACCAGAGCTAGCCGAGCTCAAGTTTGCTCGCCCCTCCAAGATCCAGCACGACCTTCCCAAAGATGAAACATTCTCCCTACCTACATACTCTCATCCACTGAAACCCCTCTCGAAATACCAAGGTCCTCGTCAACTTTTACCTCACTTTGTTCGCCCCGGTGCGCTGGAACATCTCACCTTGTGGAGCACACGCCCCATATCCACTGATGGTTCTATGAATCCCATAGAACTGCATGGGGCACTCGTGGGAGGCGATCAATTCGTGAGCATGTGCGATCAGGAGGTCCTGAAGACTGTACAGACGCTGGAGTTGAGCGTGACGCACGTCAATGCTCTCGTGCTTAATGCTGTCTGTATTCGCTTCCCAATACTGCAATCGTTATACGTGCATGTGGGAAGGGGCTTCTTTGGTGACGCTTCCACGCAAGCGTGGAACCCTGAGGTCCATCCCAAATCGTTCATTCTCTTTCGCAGTCTGACCTATGTGTTCTAGATGATAATGGACGCCCTTTTGACCCTCCGACTTCCTTCGACCATTCAGCGCTTGCAACTCTCCTCGCATGCGGCTGTACCTCGCGGCGGACTATCGACAGGAGACCGCCTTACACGGTACAAACGTGATCTCAGGATAAAATATCCTAATCTATCTTTCATTTCTCTGGACGAAACGGACATCAACCTGACGTGGGATGACAATAGATATAGATTGCCCGATTGCTGAGATACGTATACGAGGATTTGTTCACTGCATACCCTTCACATCCGTACGGTTCTATATCTACGTACTCTTATACCACTTGTTCTTATTAGGCTGTCATGGACTCGCTGAATACCATGATGTGTTTCAGGTATCTCCTTCGTCCATCCTATCATTCCCATAGCCATCGACAATCTCCCACAACGCACTAGCAAGCTCTTTCACATCATCGCTCTCCAGGCCCATACTCATAAGCACCCCATCACTCCTCCGCGTCCTTGCAGTCTGTTCCACAAACCTAGCATACCCCGTGAGCGGGATTGATGTAGAAGGTGCTGTGACGAGAGATGAAATCATCCTTATCGATGTTGGCTTAGTGTGGCGAAATATAGATGGAAAAGATGTCGGCACGGGATAAGCAGGTGCATGGATGCTGAGGGCAAGAAGTGAGCACACCATGTATTTGAGGAAGTTGTTACATACCTGGAGATCAGAGGTTCCTGTAGCGATGACAAGTTGCACCATGCATCAAATGCTGTCAGGTCTTGGCCCAGCAAACCTCGAGTTACGTTTCGTCTCGCAAAGACTGTATGCTCATCCTAGAATCGTTTCTTGCTTAATCATCATGGTTCGTGCGATCAAGACGCCGAGAATCCTCACCCTATTTACGCCAGTCGAGAAGTTGCAGTGCAGATTGGTGAATGTAGTTTCTGTCGCAGGAATAGGTAGGGAAACTATGCCTCCCAGTTGTCCGAACCGAGAACATTTCCGCCAGTTCAAATGGTCAGCGATCACTGTGATGTCTTCCCGACTGCCTTTTAGCCTGTGACGAAGAGTTAGATGACGGTTTACTCGTCGCACGCTACAAGGGGAATGCATACCTCAGGGGCAGCGTAGCAGTCTCTACCAGCGACGAGATCACCGCAGACGTATGATACAGGCTGTTTCTCTACCACGCCCAGTCAGGAAACCGTATAGAGTTCTGCGACAGACGCACGTCATAGGTAAGTTCCTGCGATAAGGTACTTTCCAAGGTAGACCATCGAGATGGATTTAATACGGGGAAAGTGATATCCGAGAGCTGATGGAGGCTTTGCAAGCACAATGCATCGTTGATGATTCTTTTCGTGTCGAGAGACTATTTTCAAATGTTCATGCGTTGTATCCATGAAAACGTGCTCACTCACATTGTCAATGCCAGCGTGATTCGGATCTGCGTTCGAAAGGAAGCTAAAGTTGAGCGTAGAAGCCTTGAGAAACTCGTCACGGAAGGAAGTCAAAAAAGCATGCGAAAACCCTCCAAAGGTGGCTGTATCATGCATCATTTGCAATCCCTGCAGTGGTGGACGATTCAACAGATGGTCAGTAGGAACAGGATTCAGAGCGTACCTGGAAGTTATCGCAGTTCTCGACGAGCAGACGAAAGGCCCCTTCCATGAGCTCTGTATCCTGGAGAAGTATTATAGATGCCATAAGACGAGGTAAAAACGCGAGTACCTCGTTGTATCGCCGAAAGAGCTCTTGACCAACACTCCACCCAGCCTCGGTACTTTCCATTGCGTCAGGGATGGCTTGTATAGATTTCCGATCAAGGAAAACGCGGCTATAATCCGACCAATATCTGACATTTGGGTCTGGGCGTGCCAGATCGCCTTCTTCTTCCGTATCACCTTCAAGACGAGCGTGATATTCGCTTTGAGGAATTGGATCCTGCGTTTCGCGAACTACCCCTCCTCGCCTGCAGAGTATCAGTTCGTAAGCGGAACAAATTTCACATCCACGCTCACCAGGTCGTATTAAGTGAAGCATCAGTAGCTGTATCAGTTTTGTTCGTGTTTGCAAGTGTCCCGAAATTTGCTGCTCAGATGCAGCTCAGACAAGAAGATGTCAATGCATCGACGAAGGCATACACTTCTGGTCGAACGCCAGCAGACGTGGACAAAGCGTTGGCTGGTTCTAGAAGGCACGATGACAGCGTACATCAACTTGGCAATCTCACTTGGCAAGTTGGAAATAGGACACACACCTGAGGACTGCGTCCCTCTTCAAATGAAAGGTCGTGGTTTACGATGGGTTCATCGTCATCGTTATAGGTAAAATAGCTCTCCTGTGCGTTCCAGAAGTGCGTTCCGGTGTAGTTTGCGAACGAGCCTGCTTGGATGTAGATGATCTCTCTCATAGCGCGAAGGAGGTAAAATTTGAAATTTGGTTTGATCAACTCGTCATTAGCTATTGACAATGAATTAGACTACATAAGCTCAGTTGGTTATAACTAGCTGGCACTTACCACTACACAAGTATGTAGCTGGTACGTGGCACCAGCCTTATAAACGCCCGAAGCTACTATCAGCTTGCTATTCATACATGTTCGACTACTTCTCCTTGGCTTCCACAGCTGTACTACTTCTCACTCTTATTTACTCGTCGACCTTCATGTTCTCAGTCGAAAAAGTGGACTCCCAAGGGACTGGCGAGAACACAAGAAGTTCCTCGATGATTTCATGGCTGACATGCATGGCTTTGGTTCTCCCAGCATATTTATATCACAGGCGGAAGCCAGGGTCTCGGATTTGCACTCGCAAAGCTCGTTGCACGGAAGGGTGCTCATGTTTCTATAGTCGCGAGGACGCAAAGCAAGCTAGACGACGCACTAAAAGAGCTAGAGGTCCGTGTACACGATCAGATCCTTATTCATTCTGAATTACTATGCACAGGCCAGTTCGCCAAAGCCCAGACCAGGTATTTAAAGCGTTTTCCTTCTCCCTCGACACAGCAGAGGAGTCTGCTGCTGCCCTTCGAGCTGCCAGTGACGCCCATGGTGGACATGTCCCAGACGCCGTCTTTGCGTGCGCTGGCGCTTCAAAACCGATGTACCTTCTTGATATGCAAGCAGAGGACCTGACGCGCGGAATGACGAATGGCTACTGGGTACAGGCATGGACTGCATTCGTCAGTCGATTCTCTTATCCTATAAAGTCACGGACAAGAACATCACAGCGCACAGGCTGCTGCTAAACAAATGGTCCGCGAGAATAAGAAGGGGAAGATCATCCTGGTGTCATCGATACTTGGGTATATGTCTTTTGTTGGATATTCTTCTTATTCCCCTGCAAAACATGCTCTGCGTGGTAGTGACTGTCCACTCCAGGGTATTTTAATGATACTGATGATACTGCTTGGTAGGACTTGCCGACTCTTTGCACTCAGAACTGATGCTCTATGGCATCGATACTCACATCTTCTTTCCTCCCACAATGTATACCCCTGGCTTTGACGAAGAAAACAAGACGAAGCCAGCTATCACGAGAACAATAGAGTCGACAGACAAAGGTCTGACAGCGGAACAGGCTGCTGTCGGACTGCTGGCAGGTATGTCGTCGATTATGAGCTAGCAACCGTAACCTCACCATCGACATGGCTAGGTATCGAGAAGGGCCATGCGCACATCACCGCTGATATCCTCACGAGCTTCTTCCGAGCTTCGACGCGAGGTGCTGCTCCTCGTAGCAACGCTGCTCTAGACTTCGTGTTAGACTTAGGTTGCCCTCGTACATCTGTATCTCCTACGTCCTCGAGCTCATTTTTAACACCTTCCTGCAGGTCGGGATACCGTTGTGGAGACGCTCGGTTGACAAGCAGGTGCTTGCGCATCGCGAGGAACACCAGGAGTACTTGCGCAAGAAAGGATTTTACAACTAACTCAATCTCAATCGTGCCAGGCTCACTAGTACCGCATATACCCTAATACCCATCGTGCAATCAGGCACGCTTCGAGTGCATGACCGATGGCAGTTATTACAATGCTCGTAAGTAGGCTGTATCTAAATACCCTTTTTGTTCGTCCGCCTTGGTCGTACCCCTATCACCTTATGAAGTCTTCTGGTTTTCACCTAGTACGACTTTCGAATTATGCAACCTTCAAAGTTTCATGTATCAGTAGTCGGATTGTAGCCTTCGATGCGAAGTTGCAAACCAAAGTGTTTTTCATGTCGAAGAACTCCAGTCCCGCAGCCTTATGTACGTTCAGTCGGTTTCCTCAGAACTAGTACCCTTTAACGCACCTGCTCAGATCGAGGTGTCAAGGTCAATTGTATGCCACGATGTTATGGTTAACGATGTACTTTGTCAAAGTGACCGCGCCGCGACGTCCGAAAACAAATCGGATGAGGTCATCACGGGCAACTTGGAACCTTCCGCTCATCCGATCCCGATCGAAGGCTTGCCATAGTATCACCTGCTGCGGTCATAAGTACATCGTGGATGTTTTTGTCCTTCTACTCAAGCTAGGGAACTCGGTCATCACCAATCTCGATACCAGCTCATTCAATCCTCGATAATGAACGCGACTCGCATTGGCTGTGGCCCAATGTCCTCTCATTCTAGAAGGGATACTCTTTGTGATATCGCAGAGGAGTTGCGCTGCCGTATCGTTAGTTTCCTTCCTTATAATGACATTATATGCTGCGCGTTGGCGAGTCATGCATGCAGCGTTCCTGTCCCTCTCCTATGTGACCAGATACGTTCGAGTACCAAATAGACCTTCGGACTATCTCCACGGGCGAGGGATATCCTTCGGCCCATAGAGCTCGTCTAGTCACTGGTAGAGCCACTGTCCAGAACTCAAAATCAACAGTCACTGTCCTTGGAGATCGTCTTGCTTTCTATGCTCCGATGCTTGGCACAAAGGGGTACACGCTGGTCACTGCATGTATGAAATTGACAGCAGGGCGCTCTAGCTGATGTACATAGGTGTCTCATTCCGTCTATATCCAAAGGTCTTATTTGAGCACTGAAAAGGACATGTGTGGTCGGCAGAGATTGCTAGACACAATGTTGTACAAACCTCTTTCGGACATGACGGAGTACATATCTTATTCGATAGTTATATTTCCCAACTGCCTAAGACTGACTGCTGGCGTTTGGGGCATTTTCAAGAAGTTCCTCCCGGCTTCCAATCATGCACTGCCGCCCATGTCCTGCATGCCGCGCTGCCGGTGGGATATCCACTTCGAACAGTCCCGCAATTGTTTATACGAGACAGATGTATATATGTGTATACAAATTTGATGAGGGTGGGAGAGGTAATGTGAATGTTTGCAATTTGCCAGCATGAGTAAGTTATCGATGTGCTACATTTCAGAAAAGCGTGGTTCGGGCTGTATTTTTGGTCGTGCATTTGGAGACCGTGGTGCCATGCTTGTATTGTGAAGCTACAGTGAGTTGCCAAGGAAACTGTGGTTCGTCAGACCCAACGCGCTTCAGTTCCATTCACAACACACTGTAACGACATACACCCTTCTATATGTAGTATCAGCAAAACGGAAGATGAATCTATAACGAGCATCCTCCTATAATATCATATATGAGGCTAGTGCAATTACAGATGTTGGCTATGACATGTATGAGTAGGTGAGCTATCTAAGCTTGATTACGCACATTTCCAACACGGCTCATCGCAGCCATCGGAATGCATCGCGGTACCGAGTGATCTCAACACCAGAAGAGTGTGCGAAAGAAAGTGCACTGGGCTTTTGAGATCGTGTTGTCACGGCTTCGATGGCATCAGATGCGATGCATGCGCTGCGGACGATCTGCAGAACGAATTTCTCGAGTGTAAGGTATGCAGTATTTTCGATCTCCTGTTCATGAGTAAGACAAAAAGCGACGGACGGAAGAAGAAAAAGGAGTACTTGCCTCTGATATCTGTTTGATGATCGCAGGGTAGTTCACTTGGTGCATACCAGATTTCTCGTAGAATGTGATGTTCGTGATCACCCTCTGCTTTGCAAGGCGTTCCGGAGGATTGACACCGATGAGCACCGGCATGACAAGGCCTTTGACAGACACCTTTGCAACCTGCTGCAAACTGTCTTGACCCCTGGGCGTAATCACCTCAACCTCAAAGTCTTCCGCAAGTAAAATCAGCTTTGAAAGGCCCACAACGACGCGCACGGCGTCTGCATTTTCCCCAGCCAGAGAAAATGCCTTCTGAGTGACTTCATGTACGAGCGCATGAACATCCGTATAAGACCCGGAGAGCTCGGAGATGGCTTTGGTGAGATGCCCATAGTGGACGGAGTCTGCGACGTTGTCGGATTGCCCAGAAACGTCAAGAAAGGAGGGCTTGAGATGGAGATGGACAGTGATGGAGACGGGCTGTTCACGCGTGCGCCCCCAGCAGTCTGCGCCGATGTTTGCTGCGAGTTTGATGGTATCGACGAGTACTACGTCGGCGGCGGTGGGTAAAGACATCACGATAGTTGCACTAAATGAACTGTTGCAACACCGTGCGGAATCTCTGTGATAACTCCGGTGCCCGTTGTCAACTGATTCCGAATCGAGAAGCTGTTTTTGATTCGCGGCATCTCCCGCACTTAGTAGGCTCATTCAATGGTTCATCAAGCGCGTATAAACCTCATTATTTTCTTTCAGGTACATCAAACGCCTTTCATCGTTGTGTCATCGGGTTTATTGACTATGTTGTGACTGGCGTTGTTCTTTGATCATGATAAGTATTCAAAGCCAATCGAGCTCGCAGCAGTCTAATGCATAATCGAGTCTGCATACCAGATGTACGACGACACTATAAGTAGGGCCTCTGCGACGATAACGATTGGCTCTGGGTTGCTCGGCTGTCTTGGTGCACGGTACAAGGATTGGGAGGTTGAGAGGAGCTCGTGCTGCTGGTTTCTTTCTTGCGTGATAGTTTTTCTGCGCAAAAAGGAGTCAGTTATATGAAAGAGCGAAGAAAAAAAAAGTACGGGCTTTCCCGCTGTTGACGGGACGTCGACTACTGGTGGCGCTTGCGACTTGATATTTGATCCATGTCGTCTGCTAGGCATGCTAAAGATAAGATTTTTAGTCCAGCTGAGAGGGAGGGATTAGGATTGGAAGGTCCACTGAGTTGTTCCGCGTGGATTGAAGCGGCGCCATAAGGAGGGTAGATGACCAAGGAGGGTAAGGCAACTGTGCGGCACAGAGAGCTAACAACACATTGGTCAAAGGCACTGTTCTATACCAATAGACCGAGACAAATACATCAACAAGATGCGGTACTTCGTTGAAAAACACTGGGGGTAGTCGACGAGCGCCCTCGATTTGCAGGGTTCGGCGTCGTGTAGCATCAGCCTAGGATGTAAATATTCAAAACCACGCAAAAAGTACATACAACATACATCGATGAATATTTTGTCGACAGCGTTCTGTGATTGACGAAGATGATTGAGTAAATATAAAAGGATCTGATGCAAGGCCGCACATGTCATGGAGCTCGAGTCTTCATGTTGGAGGGGTGGTCCGATGGGCTGGTTGTTTTCAAGGTTCCGAAAGTCGCGCTGTGTCGTCGTTCGATGCGCTGGCGAGGATGCGCTCGCTGCAAGGAGATAACGAGATGGTATTGAGTCCAAATATTCGTGACCCTTTGAGAACATTGATTTCAGTCCAGGTGGCAGTGTCGAATTTTGTAATCACGCCCCGGCGATAAGCGTGTTTGCATCCGAGGTCCCCAAACAGGCTGCTCTCCCTCGAGTGAGTAGTTCGCTTGTACATGTTAAGCATCACTGATTTTCAGCGAATACCCGCCAATATTAATGGTAATAATCGTGCTATCTGGCGAGTAGCAAACCGCGTACACGCCCCAACTTTCTCCTGTGTAAATTGGCCCAATGATTGTTTCTCCGCTCTCGACGTCCCATACTCTGAATGTCTTATCCTCGGATCCACTTATCACTCGCCCTCCGTCCGAACTCCAATATACAGAATGCACTGTTCCTGTGTCCCCGGTTCATTTTTTGATCACCTTGCTGGTGTCAATCATGCCCCACATTAATATTCTCACCGCGCCATCCTCACTCCCGCTTGCTACTTTCTTGCCGTCTGGCGACAGTGCTACACCGTCGTCTGTCGGGCAGGCGTGGGACACCATCTACGGTATTGGTGTGTCCTGGCGAGGCTTTGTCGCTGATTTCTCATGCTTCGCAGGGGTCGGTGAAGACATCATTTTGGCTCGGGGACTTCACCTTCAGCTCTTACCCCATCAAATGAATGCCATCACTTATTTAGATTTTACCCAGAATGGACGCGTGCGGAATGAACGCTGCAACGGATTCGATGCAGAGTTGAGTAAGGAGGAAGGTCGCTGTTAGTTCTCTACAGGTGCATCTTCCTTTCTTTAACCTTGTGTTTGCTTCATAGCTTGACCACGGGCTGTACAGATTAAGCGTCCAAGTATTGTTTTTTTCAATATATATTTTCTTCGTCGACATTGACATCTCAGCATCTAGTAGTCCTGCTACGTTGATAATGCAATCTCTTCAACAACAATCACATCACTCCCAATTTGATGCTATTCGCAGTGAATCATGTTTCACGACCCGACAATCATCTGTAATCGATGGTTTGTATTAACCCCCGATCCTGTTTGAATAATGCGACACTCGGAGATCATCACTTCGGACATTTCCTTGTCGCCTTGTGGTGCTGATGAACTTTCGATCCTCATTTCGTGTAATTTCGTTTTTTCCCCAGTGTTCCAAGATCTGCCGCTGATTCACTAAGGCGCGAAAGTCCCCTTCGAATTTTGTCTTGTATTGTCTAAAGTATTACACATTTCCAGCCAATGTTCCTTCATTCCACCGTTGTGATCGATACGCAAAGCTATATATATGATATATGCTACCCTGCAATATGCTTGCGAAGGCGCGCTCATTCGCAGATAGTGGAATTCGTAGGACACCAGCTTCGTTCCCGTCGAGCACAGCTCTATCTATCCCAGGTTCATGAAGGCTAGCAGGCACCAAACGAAATATCCCCCCAAGTAGTGTTGTGAGCAATCCGCGTTTGTTGGCCCTGATCCTCGGCGAAACTTCCCCGCCTGTGGTCATCATCGTGCCATCTAGTGAGTAGCAAACCACCCGTGTGTCGCAGTCGTTTACTGACTCGATTCTGTGCTGTTCGTTCTATCACTAACTATAATTCCTCCGAACCATTTCTGCATGGTTGCATATTTTGGATTACACACCGGCCGGGTCAAGTTCACACCCTAGCCCAATATCAACACAATCAGATCCAATCTCGTAGGTGGTCAGACTCGAAGCCCGCTAAAGAGCCGTTGTGAGAACCTGCGTTTCGCGCACGAACAAAACCGCCCAAACCAACAACATAAATGAATGTCGTACTGGCGGTCTGATCGTTTCCTGCGGCAGTTGAGCGCACTCTCATTCACGCAGGCATTCGTGGTGGTGCTATCATTTTCAAACCATGGCGACGTGGCAGCTAAATTCACAGCATTGTTGGCATTGAGGGAGCTTACCAGCAGGAGATTCCCCATATCCCGTGCTACTCTCGTCGAACCAGACGTTCTGTGACAACCGGGTACAACCGGACTCCAGAACGAAGCGTTTGTGCGCCTTCCCAAATGCCGGCTCGAGACTAATGTCGTACGTGCCCACACGTCACCAATCGCTCTGCCCGATTTGGCAGCGTGATTTGGCAACCACACGACATATGTGAATGGAGGTCTGTGAGTCCTAGTATAAAGTGCTGAAGATGTGCACACCTGATTTTGCCCCCATTCCTGAAGCTTAGTTCCACAAGTCAGCGTCACTTTCTAATTATGTTTTCGAACCACAGCACAGAAAAAGAGGATCTCAATAATAGTTACTCCATCCATACTTTGAGGATGAACACTCTTGAACCCCCTGCACCCCCTGCACCGCAGATGCAACCATACAAGAGCACATTCGGTAATCCCGTACGACTTCCACGGTTTACTCATAGTATGTCTACAGTATCTAATTGACTTCCAGGCACCTTTGGGCTTGATATCCTATGGTACTGGTTTCCTGTTCTCGTCAATAATGACGCTCGCCTCCAAGAGCGTCGGCTCACCCAACCTGGTCATGGTTCTCGCCACCTTGTGAGTTTATTCATAAATGGTCTTAATTTTGACCTGATAATTCCAGCTACTGCGGTATCACACTAACACTTGTGGGCATGTGGGAGATGTTCCTTGGGTATGTTTATTATCTCTGTATGGAGGGAGCTACCACTCAGCCTTTTTTATAGTAACACTTTCAGCGCAACACTATTTACTACATATGGAGGTTTTAACTTCTCATATGGTGCTATCTTCCTGCCTCAAGTCGGTATTGCGTATGTTATCGGGAGGCGTTGATATATGTCATGCCTAACATACCTTAACAGGGCTGCATACACTGTTGACGGGGTTGTCGGGCAGGGGTACTTTAACGCCATCGGCATCTACCTCGCCGTCTGGACCTTGGTTACATTCCTCTTCTTGTGAGTGTGAGGAATTATATTATGTAGATACGGCTCTAATCATTTTTACAGTCTCGGTACACTCCGAACGACTATCCCCACTATTGTAACATTGGGATTTAGCGTCTGCGCGCTCGTTTGTCTTTCTTTAAACGCTTTCACCGGTGCGTTTTCACCCTTTTAGTTTTATGTTCTGTCTGACGTGCAATACGCAGGCAACCCACATTTGGCTACTGCAGGTGGTGCCATGGGTGTCATCGCTTCCTTCGGCGCATACTACAGCGCCTTCTCCCTCTTCTGGACACAACAGACCACACTCTCATTCATTCGTCTCCCTCCTCTCGCTATAGCCCCTCTCGACGTCTAAGTGCTGGGCTAGGATTCTCGTTGGGGCACTCTTTCTCTTTCTGGGTTTGGTGCTGCATCTCCAACTACGCTCCAAGTTTTCACTACATAATACTAGGTGTTTGTAGTGCAGGCACAAACTTTGGGCTAGTCTTGGGAATTTTTCGGTCGTATTCTCGCTGCTTCCGATCATCGAACTCTTAGTGCTAAAATTAACAGGGTGATGTCTCTGTTTTGTCATGTTGAAATATTTCGAGATTTGTTAGCATATTTTAGCGAGTACTCCCGTGCTCTCTTCTAATAATATCAATGCACTCGACAAGAGTAGAAGGTTCCCCAGCCAAAGCATAGTGTCAGAAAGGTGAAAAGGTTGTTCTTCTGCCAGACTCTGACAGCCGCTGCACAACCGCTGGCATCTGCAGATCTGAGGGCAGGTTGTTATCGAGATTCCCGACCTCGTGAACTTGACAAGGTTGTCTACGTGCTCGTAACCAGGTTCAATTTTTGGCCGTGTCTTTCTGTACAGTACAGGCTATTACACATTCCACTCTAACAGGGCAATCTTTGAGAGAGTAGTAGTCGAGAGTTTTTCAGGTGCCAGAAATGAGCTCCTTGCACTGTATATTCTCAAAACGGTCTGGAGGGCATGAGGATCAGCGGTGGAGAGTGGAGTAAGATAAAACTATTTCCTATATTTGCCGTAGTGCCTGCTTCGATTCCGAGTTGATGATGATAATGATTACAGTGATACGACTATTTGTTCTACTCATCTTTAACTAGGCTGTGAAGGGTGTCTTAATGTTCCAGCAACGGACACACTACAAGACAACCAAAAATGCATGAAAGCCGCCATGTTACCTCCTAGTGCTGACCTTCTGTGCTCTGAATCGGCACGCAGCAAACCCAGAGCATAAAACGAGCTCGCCATCCAGCCTGTCTTATGGTGATGTCAGGACGTGAGATTGTTCCAGTAGCTACTGCAGTGCCAGTAACGGCGGGAAGCGTTGTGGAGGTTGTAGCAGTGGCAGGTGGTTGCTGTAATGATGACTGATTGTTCTGGGTAGCTCCGCTGAGTTGTTGCACAGTATGAGGATTGGAAGGTCGAGATGACTTCGTAGTTTTCTTCCCTCTTGCATGATAATCCCTCTGCGTCAACATGAGACAGAGATAAATAACCTAAAAGCCACAGAAACGCACAGGCTTGCCCGCTGTTAACGGGACGTCGACTATTGGTGGCCCATGCAACCGAATGTTCGACCTGCGTAACATGCCGGAGACAAAATTCTGAGCCCAGCTAACAGGGTTGATTCGGGATTGAGTGTCGTGCTCAGTTGCTCCACGTGGATTGGAGCGGCGACGCCAATGGGTGGGTTGATGTGGTGCTTCAGTGTGGTGACTGCGTGATGTCGAGAACTATCAAGATGTTGGTCAAAAGGTCTACTCGATTACATGAAGACCACGTACATCATCGAAAAACCCTGGGGGTAGTCGACGAATGCCTTCGATTTGCGGGGCTCGTCGCCGTTTATTAGCATCGGGCTAAGGTGTAGGTATGCTCAAAAGAATGAATTTGCCAAGGAATAAACATTACATACATATAACACTGGTTTGTTGACAATATTCTGCGACGAACAAAGATGAGTGAGTCACTGTAAGGGTGTTGTAAAGACCTGATGCAACATACAACCTGAAAGGACGTTGTCAGTGTTATTGAGGACGAAATTTATCCAAACTTACATTGTTTGATAGAAGGTCCTCGAAGCCAGCTTCTTTGACGATGCCAGAAATATCCCATGTGAACACGTGCTTGTCGTTGCAGCCAGTGGCGAGGAATTTTCCATCCCCAGAAAAGGCCGTAGATCTCACTGATGCTTCAAGGTGGAAGGGTGGTCCGATGGGCTTATTGCTCTCGAAGTTCCATAGTCGCAGTGTCTGGTCGTCCGATACACTTGCGAGGATGCACTCATTTGGAGACAATGAAATTGCATTAACTTTTTTATGTCCGTCCAGAACAGCAATTTCTATCCAGGTGGCGGTGTCGAACTTCCTGATCTTGTTGACTGACGCGGAGATAAGCGTCTTTCCGTCTGAGGTCCATGCTAGGCACAACGCTGCTCCCTTGAGTTCCGCGAGTAGTTTGCCTGTGTTAGCATCCCAGACATTAAGCATGTCCGTGCCAGTCGCAATCATCGTGCCATCGGGTGAGTAGCAAACTGCGAACACGATATTCCCTTGTCCTGTGTTCAAAGGTCTGAGGGTGGTCTGTCTGCTCTCGACGTCCCACACTCTTGCCATTCCATCGTATGATCCGCTCACCACTCGACCTCCGTCTGGACTCCAGCAGATAGATTGCACTATGCTTGTGTGCTCTGTCCATTTTTTGATGACCTTGCCCGTGTTGATGTCCCATAATCTCACTGTGCCATCCTGACACCCGCTTGCTACTATCTTGCCGTTCGGCGACAGTGCCATGGCAAGCACTCCACTAGTACTTCCTTCGGCATTCCAGGCTTCCCCAACTTGCGTGCCGGTTTTCAAGTCCCAGACTCGAAGTGAGCCATCATGTGAACAAGGTAATGATCCATCCTTTATCGGGCACGTTTAGGACGCCACCGACGATACTGGTAGTGCCCTTGCATCTTTTGGTGAGGCTTGATCGACTTTTCTTGTTTCGTAGGCGCTGGTGAAGACATTATGTTGGCTCAGGGACTTCACCTAACGGGTGGCACAATTTCAGTTCTTGCCCATCAAACGAATGCTATCACCTACTCAGAGGTACTTGATCTGTACACAGAACGAACGCGTTCAGGGTGAATGATAGCTAAAACGGAGTGGAATTGAGTTAGGAGGGAGATCGCTGTTCAAGTGCACTATAGGTGCGTCTTTATGCTGTATCCTTGTGTTTGTTTCACAGCTTGACCACGAGTTGTGCAGGGCTGTGCAGATCAAGCGCCCGAGTCTCGTTTGCATAATATGCAGTTTCTTCATCGACATCGACACCCAGCATCGCATCATGGCAGTCCTGCTATCAAGGAAGCCCGCTCTCTTCACCGCCCCAATATGATTCTTCGGTCTTGGTTTCTACCCCCGCACCACATTTCAGAGTCCAATAGGATAGCCAGATGCATCATCCTCTCGTCTCCGGCCATTGTCATCAACATCCTACATTAGTTTGTTGTCGTCGCCGTAGCAATAGCCATATCGATGCTCCACCAAGATAGATGATCTGGTTTACGGAGTATTTGAGATGCCCTGCAGAAAATAACTGTTGTTTCCTGCATGTGAATCTTAACTCCGTCTTATACTTTGAGAAATTGTGCTGGACACCTGCTGGACGTAATTGTCATGTTTTGCAGGAACGCGCGGCGTGGTCAACGACCATATATGTAGGCATCAGTACGGCGCAGAGTAAGTAAACCCGCAGACAGAAACTAACCCAATTAGGGGCGAACTACAGGCATATACGAGAACGTTGATTTGTGCAACTTATGCGCGGTGATGGAGTGATGCTGCACTATGTAATGATTGGAGTCCATGACATAGCGATTACTATGATGGATGCAGAGTGGCAGCTAGTACCTGTTGAACTTTTTATAATCCAGAGCCTGAACGACACTGTATCTGAGGTCTGAATCCTGGAGGACAACTACGTCACCGCAGGGTATAATTGCAATCGCAACATAATGGAGAGCAAAATGACGGTAGAGTGCGATGCTCCAGTGCTTGGAGTTCACGAGATGTCGCGATTATCATGGAAGGACGTAGGGTACATGACAAGCGTTTCCTGGAACTCCGAGCTCAAGTGATACTCTACACAGTATAGCGAGCGTTTGCAATTACATACAACGAAAAATAGAAAGCAAAAATGTCAGTACAAATGAGTAGCTTTGCACTGTCCCACAACCCTCAAAGCAGCAAGATCATACTTATTTAGTTTATGACTTCGATGTCATCTACACCTTCCATCTTAACCCACATGCCACCCTATGAGGTAGAGCCTAGTGAGATGATCGCATAGCACATCAGATTGAGTCTTGCCTTGGCATAGAGTGTCAGGTGGTTTTGCGGCCTGAATTGCTCAATTGCCTGCCGACCGTCTTTCCCAGCCCACCACGCAGGTGGGCACATTGCGGGCTCTGGTGACAGTGTAATCGCGGAAAAGTTTTGCAGTAAACGAATCAGCATGAACGACATTTCGTTGTAGGCAAACTGAAGTACGAGATGAGGTATGAGATAAGTGGCAACAATGAATAATGTGATGAGCGACGTACTTGTTGTCCTAAGCAGATTCTAGGTCCTGCATTAAATGGTAGGAAAATGTAGGGATTGGGAATCAGGTATTTATTCACGCGCTCGTCGAGCCATCGATCCGGATCGAACTCCAGCGCTAGAGCATGGATTCGACTGAATTAATTGATATGTAGACGAAGTTCAAGTTCCTTACCATCTGGTCCCCATAGATCCGTTCTCCTGTGCATAAGGAACACTGAATAGCTGATCCTAAAGTTGTTCAAGCAGTCATACTATGAATCCGAACGATCGAATGAGATACATACGAGATCCCCCCTGGGACAAACAGTGGCTTCTTCCCAGGTTCGGGAGATGTCCATGTAGTGTCATGTACGCTTTCCCTGAGCAGGTAGCTCTAGCCTATGATCTTCGGCGCAGCCTAAGAACGTACCTCGTATTAAAGGGGCTAGGTGATTGTGGTACGATGATGAAATACTTCTAAACCCAGCTTTAATCACTTACACTGCGGGGAAAAGGCGCATTGTTTCTGAAGTTGGTTAGCAACATCGACGAGCGGCACGAAACAAGAGTACGCACCATTTAGGACTGCCCGGAGGTACTTCATCTCTTTGATATCATCATATGTAGGCCTGCGAGTTAGCCCAAACTTCGAGACGATTTCCTCTCTGAGTCGCATAAGGAACTCTGGATGCATCGCAAGCAGATAAATAGCCGATGTTAGTGTCGAGGCCGTCTGTTATTGTTTGTTACCGACCCGGATGGCTCAAAGTCGATTGCAAGCTTACAGTATCTCTTCCGGCCAGTAACATATTTAATATCTCATCTTTAATGATTTTGAAATCTGTATAGAATATTTCAACTACAAAAATTCCGTTGTTACATGATATCTCACCAGACGTAGCATTTACGAGATGGTCCAGAAGGGTTTGGTCCGCAAATTCCGTTCGGTCTAACTCGGCAGTCGTTGAACGCTTCTCCAGAGCCTCTTTGAGGATCGGATCTAAAAATGCATGTACCACTTTCATGTGTTGCGCAGTGCTGTCAGCAAGAATCTCAGCAAGTGGCCAGGTCTGCCCGATTGAAACACGACGATTGATTACATGCTGAGCTTGAGAGAAAGCATTTGCGAAGGCGGCAGCCGTGTTGGCTTCTTGAATGGCGTCTGTGGATTCTGTCGCGTGACAGGGGTAAGGAAGTTCAGCGGAAAGTGTATCGATACAGTGTCCAAATAGAAACTCCGAGCCGAGTCAAGCGTAAATTTGGAGATGAGATCCTGTTGTAGGTTTCAGCAAAAGAGGACAAGATGCCAGCTTGAAGAAAGCCGTACTTGGAAGTCAATTGCCACGCCCATTCGGAAACGTTCCTTCGCCAAAGCGATAGCGTGGTCCGCATGACGGTCAAAGATCTCAAAGTGACTTATTCGATCATGAGTAAAGAAGGGTCGTGTCATGGTGCGGTGAAGCCTAGAAGCACCTAAGATTCCCCATCGGAGGCAATTTTCAAATCCATCACTCACTTCCATGTTTCACCTGGTGGCACAGCCAATCGATCAATCAGTCGCAACATAACTCACTTGTCGATGCACTTACCATCTGAGTTAAAGACGCCTGTTCCAAGGACGGAGTCGGCAGCTTCTCCGAGCTTGGGACCTGCATCGAACCACATGTGTACGTGTAAACAAACAGCATCTATGGTGCACACCTTTGACGTAGTTATCAAAGTCGGTCGCGAGAATGGTCTATGTGGAGTCTGATTATAATATCTTCAAGTATGCCTTGGAGTGTACCTTGATGTGTTGCGGCTCCGTGGTCAGGATGATATCCTCCCAAAGCAAACGAGAATTGATAGTCGGCCCGAGTATCTTTGTCTCGTTCAGATCATCTTGACCTACCAGTGGATATCGGTATGATTCTGTAAAGCACGAGCATGGGATGCATAAAAAGAAAACTGTACCAAGGTATTCGTTCTCGGATCTCAGGACCGTGTTCACAATCTTGTCCAGATTTCCAGGCCATTTTCCCTGGACACGAGGAATGAGTCTGGCACCCAGTCGATCGGCCTTTCGTTGCTGCAATCTCCCATCCGCAAGAACGTAAGCCGCGAACCCCAGAGGCGCTGCACTCAAAACCATCGCAGACATAAGCCATGGAGAGACTCGAAAGCCTTCTAGAGAGGCCAGCCGTACTACGATAATGACGGAAGAAGCTGCCGGAAAGACGATGGAAAGCAAGCCATGTATGAGGTAGGCCACACCAGGACTGACCCAAGATCGCCGTGACATCATAGCCTGAAGTTTGTTGGTTGGAAAACGAAAAACCAAGGAGCTCGTCGAGCGTCAACTTTGCAATACTGTCTTGACTGGAGCAGGTGTCCAGACCAGTGGCCATTTCCGCTCCACCGTACCGGCAATTTCAAATCACTTCACCAAGTGGCGCCTAAGATGCAAATAACACTTCCGTGTGTAATGGCTGCCCTGTTCTGCCCACAACACTACCTGTTCCACACATCTATTCCCCTGCTCCAACACTACTTCCGATTTATCTCATTCGCTCTGAATCGTGCTTCACGAAAATGATCATCTTGTGTACGGGCTAGCTGGATCAAATTTATTTTGTTTGAACATTAGTGCGTATGCAAATCCAGTATCAACATCAAGAGCAAGACGCACTGTGAATGCTACCTGAACCACAATCAAGTCAAGCTCTTGAAAGATATACATCTGGGGGCATGAGGTTTAGCGGTGGTAGAGTAAGACTATTTTTCCGGATTAATGAAGCAATGTGGTGTGACCATTGGTCACGTTCATCTCTAACTAGCCTGTAAATGACGATAGGGTGTCTTAATGTTCCAGCAATGGACAAATTATGAGACAACAGAGAATATTGCCAATGGTGCACGAAAGCCGCTAAGTCGCCTCCTAGTGTTGACGGTCTGGGTGTTAAATAGGTATGCAACAAACTCACAGCATAGAACGCGCCCGCCATCCAGCCCGTCTTATGGTGATGTCAGGTTGCAAGATTATTCCAGTCGCGTTTGCAGTGCCAGCAGGAGCCATTGTGGACACCGTGGCAGTGGCGGGTGGTTGCCGTAATGATGACAGATTGTTCCGGGTCGCTTCGCTGTGTTGTTGCATAGTATGGAGGCTGGGAGGTCGAGAGGAGCTCGCACCTTTCTTCCCTCTTGCGTGATAGTTCCTCTACGTCAACCTGAGACAGTGATAAAGAACATAGAAGCCAAAAAAGCTCACAGGCTTGCCCGCTGTTAACGGGACGTCGACTATTGGTGGCACATGCAACTGGTTCAATCCATCTCGTCTGCGTAGCATGCCAGAGACGAAGCTTTGAGCCCAGGTGAGAGGACCGAATCGGGATTGAGTGTCATGCTCAGTTGCTCCGCGTGGATTGGTAGCATCAGCCTAAGGTGTAGATACTCAAAAGCAATGGATTTGTCAAGAAAAAATATCATGTACATCCAACACCAATTTTTTGATAGCATCCTGCGATGAACGAAGACCAGTGAGCAAGGTTATTGAAGACACCTGAAGCAACATATGATCTGAAATTTGAAAGGGTAAGTGGACAGTGTTATTGAGGGTGAAATGTATCCGACCTTACATTGCCTGACAGAAGGTCATGGAGGCCAGCTTCTTTGATGATAGCAGAGACATCCCATGTGTATATGTGGTTGTCTTCGCAGGCAGTGGCGAGGAACTTTCCATCCGCAGAAGAGGCCACACATTTCACTCAGTCTGGATGGTCCGATGGGCTGATCATTTTCGAGGTTCCATGGTGTCGCTGTCTTGTCCAACTATGTGCTTGCGAGGATGCGCTCATTTTTTGGAGAAATAGCAAGGATATTTGTCCCGCCTAGAACAGCGGTTTCTGACCACGTGGCGGTGTTGTCTGGACCCCCGGCGATAAGCGTCTTTCCATCCGCCACACGAGTCTACCGTCCCGTTACTCGTCCGAATATCACACTTTTATTCTTATGACCCGGTCATTTCAGAGGGTTATAGGGCAGTCAATTCTGAGTAGTTTAAAAAAGGATTAAGAAAAAATATTGAGTTGTTGCTGAGATACAACATCCACAAAACAACAAGATGCAGTATTTGCGCAATTTGCCCCTATAAGCTATAGAGAGACATGATTTTGTGAGGCCAATATCTCAGCAACAAATCAATTTTATTATTTTTTTAAAACCACTTAGAATTGACTGCCCTATATATTATCTCTGAAGTGACATGATCATAAGAATAAAAGTGTGATATAGCGAGAAAGTGACATTTTTGACATTTCTCCTATAGTGTGGGCAATTCTTGGCATTTTATTTCACCCTCTACAGAGCTTTGTAGAGCAGATAATGTACTATAACTTTACACTTTACACCAAGGAGAAACATTGTGTTCTTGTGGAGATGTAACTCAAACAAATGTGTGCATTACTTTTTTGAGACATTGTATAGGTGCGTCTTCATGCTGTAGATACCTTGTGTTCGCTTCATAGCTTGACAACAGGCTGTGCAGATCATGTGCCCAAGTCTCATTCTCATAATATGCACAGTTTCAACCTCCCAACATCATCCTGTTATCAAGCAAGCCTGCAGTTCGGCTTCTCTTCTCTCCCCCAATATGATTCTCCAGTCTTGGTCTCTCGCCCCACCCTACATTTCTTCTCAGAGTCCAATATTAGGATGCATCATCTTCTCCTCTCCTCCCATTGTTGTCGACGTCCTACATCAGTTTGTCGTCATCGTTGCCCCCAAACCTACATCGATGTTCCATATAAATGAATCTGGTTGACCAAGTACTTGAGATTCCCATACAAAATATGACTGCTATATTTTGCATGGGTATCTCAAGTACTCCATCTTATACTTTGAGAAATATTGTTGGATGTAATTGACATGGTTTCTGGAATGCATCAGCGTGGTAAACCACTGGTATAGATATTCATGCTGGAGGACAAAAATGAACTCACTGACGCTATCATCAGTGAACCGATGAACATATTGAAATATCATATCATACCATATATTGATAATGATCTCAACAATGTCCACAAATGTGGAGGGGGGGTTGACATGGGAATGCTTGACCTTATGTAGGAAGAATGCATTTTGAAGAGGGCCAATCAAGTCGTGGTACCTTCGGGGCACTATGTTCTTAGTCAATTTTGATGCAAAGGTAATACGAAACTCAGGCCAAGGAAGTTGATTGCAGTCTAGAAATATCAACACCAGCACAAACTTCAGTCACGCAAGAATTAGTAAAAGGAGACACATGGTGTAAAGGATGAAATGTTTTGCCCCACTTGTGAATTTCTGTTCTTCATATTCAACTATATAACGAGAAACTCTAAGTTCCTGTTTGACAGCCCGTTCACTTGGTGGCTCACAAGGCAGTCAATTCCTATGTTGCAGACATTTGCCTGGGCTGACTGAGACGTTCACTAGGTCCTTTGCATGGAGATCCGGCGATTGCTGACAATGTGTGTAATCTTGCTTGTGACTTCCGATTCACACAACCACGAGGTAGTTGAGTATTTGTGAAGCTTTGGTTTAGAGTACCATATCTTGCTGGATATTGGCAGTCTGCTGCATTTGACATTTTTTGGCGATCGCACTCCATCCTCTACTTTATTCTATGCAAGTCAATCCTGTAACACAGGTGGTGCGTTTCATCCATGGAAGAACTGTGCCAAATGTGGGCACAGCTAAATCTGTTTTAACCCATATCATAGTCGCTGAAAAAAACTTCAGCATTGAACACATGCAATTTTGGTTTTTGCATTGACAATTCATTCAAACGTGCCCTGTCTTGAACAATGATGGCGTGTATGACGGAAATGGTACATTACGTATATTCCAGGTCCTGGGCCAATTCCTTCTGCAAACTGATGCAATACCCTACACTGACATTAATCCTTACTTTATACAGTTAATGCAAGACCAGCCTGTCTTCAAGACACAGCAGATACCGAGCCTGAAGCCCAAGACTGTTAAGTTGGCGCCAAGCGCTAAAAACGACAGGAAACTCCTTGTGCATGGAAGCTACACAGCAATCAACAAGAAGGTGTGCATATCTGGTTTTGCCTTTGTGGCGCAAGTCAGTTTATTCTGACCAGCCTTGACAAAGTTGAATAATAGTGACAATAAGTGTTCCTCAGTTCCACTGACACCCCAGAGACCACAAATAAGGCTTGGGATAATAGTTTGCCATCAGGAGCATGAATGACAGGATGATGGGGTCGTGAGGAGATGGTAAAGTACCTCTAGCGGTTCATTTACTAAGTTATCCTCGGACTTTGCACTTTCATCCTGAGATCAGATTGTCCCCAGAGGAGTGATTTCATTCGTTAATTCCGCTAGTCGCTCACATGTATTTTGATATACCAGTGGCTGCCACAGCTATATCACCTACCAAGTGCGCCCCTCACGTTTGGGATCCTCGATTGATTCTCTTCAGTCGGAGGCTGCGGGTGAGCAACTTTACATGGGTGATCCATACACAGGCAGCATAATGTTGGTTGTCGCAGTGGTGAATATAGTTATTCACATCTAAAGTGTCGCCACAAAAGCTCCCCAATATTCATATATATTGGTAAATGACACATTATGATTATATGAAAACAGCTATAGATTTGAATGATAGAAGATATGAAGAGTATGTTAGTCCGAGTCAAAGGCGGCGTCCTCCATTGCCTTTCTCTGGTCGGCTAATGCAGTGACAGACATCTTGGACATGACGTCTGGCATCAGGTTTTCGCAATGATTTTTTCCAAAAACCTTCCTAGATGGTAGGGTTAGAGGTAGGTCTGATATACAAGGTACAACACTTGATTACCTGGTCCACCACTCGAGAAGTTGGGCCACCCTATGTCATGCGACAGGACCAGGGACGTCCTCGAAAAAGTCCATGATGTTGTTCCAGAACATTTCATAGTCAAAGTCGCCATCCATGGTGCGCCAAGATCTGACACCGGATAGAGTGAAATGAACCTGTGAAAGATTATATGTTTAGACATCATTGGCAGGTAATCACTTGCACTCACCTGACAGACAACATACACGATGGAGTGAGGAGTAACCTTCTTCATATTGATGATTGAAGCCATGCACATTTTCACCTTGACGTGGTTTAATGCATGCCTAGCACGCCTGTTGTTCTCCAGGATGTTGGCTTCTCTTGTGGAAGACGGAGAGGTGAATGTGGCTTTGAAAGCCTAGCACCATAACAACTGTGAGTAAATTTTATGACTACTAACACAAGCTACTAACCTGCACCAGAATCTTAGACTTGAATAGACCTTTCTCGAGGTTGTTGCTGTTGATTGAGTAATTCTTGTACAGGAAGAGAGGCCAGGAATTTTCTGATACAATATACTGGGATGTTCGGTCGTGAATACCGGCCTTCACTCTTCTCAAGCATCAACATCATACATAAGCCAAAAGAGTTTGGTGCTCACCGGGCATCACTCCAGTCCCACTCAGCAGGGCAGAGCAATCTCCCACAAGTTTCATGAATGAAACCACATGAGTGCTTGTCGTCAGCCTTGAGTAGATAGGACAGACGGAAATCTTGATTGACCCAGGCAGCAATGAGGTCCTTGAGAGTGGATGTATCATCTCCGCAGGCCACATCGGCTCCTCTTCTGAGCTATAATATTATTAGGATACGGTGCAATAAGCATTGTGTTATGATCAACGTTCACCGATTGGTAAAGGTTTCACACAACCACTAGGACTCGTCAAGATAAAAGCAAAGGATGAGATTGAGAGTGAACGTCTCTGTCTACATAAGGTAGGAACAAAGAGGTTAAGTCTAAGGAGTACTACTGACTACGACCTAAACTATATACTACTCTCTAGGCAGAGATATCTGAGTATGAAAGGTAGTGATATATCTATATAAGATCATAACATTGCGCCTAGGGTTCAGGGCGTCTTATCTACCAATCAACTACAGGGAAGGGTAAAGGGTTCATAGGGGTATCGGTAATTAAGCAGGGTTCTCAGGGTACTGCTTCTATTCAGGGTAAGCGGAGATGAAGAAGGGTGAGAGAGTTCTGTGACAAGAAGTCTCGAGCGGTGATTAAGGATCTCGATAAGAGATAGAATCTGGAGATGTATCGGGTATGATCGGATCTAGGGTTTCTCCAGGGTCTTCGGTAATGAGCATGCTTCTCTATGAGTGGCACTTCTGTGATAGGGGTTCAGGGGTTTAGCTGTGACTGTGCAACAGGTTCTTATGTAAGGGGTTTGGTGAATGACAGAGGTAACTCTTAACATGTCATGTGTGGGAAGTAAAGGTCTGCGGTGTGAAGGAGTGATGACTCTTCGAGAGATGGCTTGTAAAGGACTCTTGGTTATGGTTCGATCATAGAGGCGTGTAGATGCTTATGATGTAACCCGTTGCCTAATCGTAGGACTTCTAAGGATGTGATGAGTGTCGGATGTCTAGGGTTACAGATATAGATGGATGACATTGATGTAGTATAGATGTGATGTGATGATAGTGATCATTAATTGGTTATCCATCTTATCTTATCAGGGATCTTATCTAATCTAATCTTATCGGATAGGGTGACTTAGGGTTTGATAATTGAAATTTAGATGCAGTTGGTAACATTCATGACACATTGGAGTTGAAAGCACACCTTTTTTTAGCATATCTTCGGAATCATTGCTGTCAAGTTCTGAAAGCTTGGGGTGTATCCAAGGCAAAACCTGTGCGAGCGTGATGTAACCGCATTGCATGTGATCTTGTCTGAAGAATAAAATTAAACATAGTACAGAATAAAAGGAACAACGTACTCTGTGGTGTTGTCCACCGTGTGCTCCTCGTACCTGCGATCATTTTTGGCAATCAGGTCTTCCAAGTTCGTAAAGAGAGCAACCATGCAGCGAATTGCCCTACCTTGAGAAACGTAGTAAGTCGTCTTTCTTTAAGAGTCAATGAGCAAGAGGGACGGAGCAAGCAAGATGAACATGTGACGAACCTTTGTTTGGTTCCTCTTTCTTGCTGCATTGTTTGCAATTCCTCCTCTAATGCAGCAATTCAACACTTTGCCCTTGCCTCCGTGGATGTAGGAACTGCCCCAGACAGATCTGGAAGTGTGAGGGCATGGCCTGGATCTGGCTCAGACATGGCAGGTGTGATGAGAGGTGAAGCGGTGAAGTGAGATAATAAAGAGCGATGAGTGAGAGAAAATAAAGAGCAAAGATGGAGAGAACTATAAAGAAGATGCAACAAGTCAGAAAACACACCTGGAGCGTATATATAATGTCTCGCTAAATAATTGGGCGATTCCCAATGAGGATTGTCCCAAAACAGGATATGGCAGAAGGAATCCGGAAATCATGACATCCCAGCCCTTTTGGACATGCTTCTCTGTGTCTCCGACAATCTTGTCAATTCCCACGGCAACTTGAATGAACTCAGACCCTGCCGGATGCGGAAATCAGGAAGGGGTGTTAGATCAGGGACATCAGGATGGGGTGTCCGGTATCTTTCATTGGTGAAGTAGAGGAAAGATCCTTCTTCCTTTGCCGTGAAGTAGTAATTGATAAGTTTGTCCTTTAGAGGTACACTGAGCCTCCTAGAGTTGTTGAGCTTTGAGTAGTTGATTAACTCGCCCAAGCGCCTCATAACACCAGGCTTGTAATTGCTTTCAGGGTCCTTCTGCGGCAGGGGGAACCTCATGACGCCAACATCCTAGTTAGTGGAAAAGTCAAGAGGTTACATAGTGAGCATCTTTGGTGCAGTAGCATCAAATGAGTGACATATGTAGTAGTCATAATCATCACCATTTGGGAAGTTGTAGGTGAAGAGGTGGCCGCCAATGTGGTCCGATGCCTCCAAGAGTGGTATTGAAGATTGGGTGTGTTAGATGAGTCATCTAGTATGAACAGACCGAAAACCACCTTATATACTATGCTTTCGTTTGGAGAATGAGAAAGATTGGGTTCTGTGACCACAAGGAACATGTAGACAGGAACACCTGCACACCATTTCTCCAGCGAACCTCTAGAATTCAGTGGTCCTGGCATTAGAATGTTTGATGTAATCGCTTCTTTCATACCTTAGCTTACGACCTAGGCACTGAAAGCCAGTTCCCAGATGGTCAAAGGGCTCAAAAAACTTTATGTGAATGTGGTCAGGACAGTTTCTGGCGGTTGAAGAGATCGGGTTCTCCAGAAACTTTACAACAGTATCAATTGTCAAACCAATTATGTGTAGTGGGTCGGCCACAAGTCCTACAAGCCGATTGATGCAATCCAGAAGGATCAAAAACACATCACTGAATGCCAAGTGTGTCACACCAGCTTTAAGGAAAATTAGGATCAATGACATCAGGATGTCTTTATACGTACACAAAAGGAATGTGTGCCAGGAAGATGCTGTTGTGGTGACCTCCTGCAGTATGGTAAATTTGGCTCCGAGTGAGAACTCTTCTGAATTTATGGTCAGCAGGGGACTAGATATTTGTCCTTTCCAAGGCGTAAGTCCTGAAAAGCGATCAGCTGATTGATGAGGAATTTATCATACTCAATCACATTGTGTGGCAGGGTCAAAGACAATTACATGGGAGAAATGGAAACTGCCGGAAGCGGTGGCAGCTAACTGCACTGTGTTAAAAAAAACTATGAGAAAGTAAATCTGGACTCACAGCCAAGCTACTGCCAAATGAATGTCCAGTCATGATAGAGTTTGAGGGGTCTACACAAGTCCAAGGCGTCCAATCCCAGGCCCCTCTGGAGAAGTGGGTCTGTGGTACTTGTTCACTTTGAGAAATGTGATAGACGGCCCAGATAACATGTTCTAACTCTGCTTTACGGACTTCAAGCTGAACATGCCAAAGTGTGGTATTGTTTTTTCGGCTGTTCCTCTAGATCTACCCAGCATGTATGTGTGAGCAATACTAGAACGGACATCTGCAGGTGCTTGGCGTACTGTAAGTCTGACCAATCCAGCCAGTAAAAGTCTTGCTTGATTCCGCCTTTGGCAGTAATGCGAGAGCTGGGGCCAGTACCATCTCAGTGTTCAATTGCAACTACGACGTAGCCACGCGAGGCCATCTCACTGCAAAAAGCGGACTACATTATTAGATGAGGATTTGACACAAGGTATTCTATGTCTCATCATCTCACTCACATACATCAGGCATGAGCAGCCAATGCTGTGACTGAATATGATGACTGGCCATTTGCTCACAGATGGCGGTGGTGACATCAATGGTGCATTCTCGATCATGGGGAAAGCCATACCCCAGATAGCTGCAGCAGCAGTTGGATCTGTAACAGACCCGAGTGAGCCAAAAATAGTGTGAATATGTTACAGACAGACATGCTATTGCTCGATAGATACAATTGGGTGTGCGTTTGGCCATCTTGAGGAAGCCATCAATTGTCTGATGCAATCTGCTCAAATAAGTTATATATCAAAATCCAACACAGGTTTAAATACGAACCTTGGAAACCAAACAGCTTGATGGCTTGTGTCATGAGGTGACATTGCAGGGTAGAACAGAGTGAACATCACGGTGTCAATCGTAAGACCTGCCTCCACGTCTGGCATAGATTTATGCTTGAAGTTCCCAAAGGATTGCTTGGGTATTGACAATTCAACATTGTGAACTCCTACTGGATATTGACCACTGTAACTTGGCAGAGTTCTGGAGAACAGTGCACCCAAGGGTGAACACTTAGAATAGGATGAGACATAAGGTGTCAAACTTGACTGTTCAAGTGAGGAAGACATGATGGATTTCGAGAGGAAATTGGTGCAACTTAAAATGATGTCATCGATATCCTCAGTGGGTCATGCATCATGACTTGGGTGGGGTAAAGTGGGGCAAGTTCAGCAGTTCCTGTGGGAACATTTGGAGACTGAAGTGTAATCTTGAACTTGATCTACTACCTATCGCATTACAGCCGGTGTCAATGCTCACTATGTACTACGTAGGAGCTTGCAACGTTGATGTTCAGCGTAGACATCATTACTGGAGTAGCCATCTTGATCTGGCTGAGCAGAGCCCCACCTCATAAGAATTATTGACAACACTGGTCCCTGTTCTGATTCAACACTCTAAGATATGTTTCTTGTTCCTACTAGCCAAATTCGTACATCAGTGAACCGATGAGTCCTTGATATTGTAGCCGTGTGAATTGTAGAAGGGCAGAATTCTTCTCCTGCTAAATATCATTATTTATACTACAAGAATTTTGATTTGTAGATACATTGCCTGCAATGTAGTGCATAGAGATAGACATGAATGTTACTGATTCGGAGATTTCCGACTCCAATCACTGCACACCGAAAGGTGTGCAGGAACATACCCAACAAGTAAACTTAGACTAGAATTGCTGATTTGATTGTAGGTACAACGCAAGTGTAGTAGAAAGTACTAGTATACAACAATATCACTTACTACATATATGTCTTAATGTATTCAAGACAAGTAAAGTATACTTGTTCCACCATGCCAACAGCTCTGGGTATGGGACAATCTGCATATCGATATAATCGCTAAATGAGTTGTATGTGGGTTTGAAATCTGTTACAGTAAACTTGACTTCTTGTCCTGTCAAACGCTCCTGCAGGGCACACTTCACAGCTGCGGATGCTGTGCAAAACAAGCTCTTGAGGGTTGGATCTGTTATATGCTGGAGATAGTCCAGTTCCACAATGATGTAAAAAACGACATCACCAATTAGCACCTGCTGAACATGTTGCTTTTTGTCCTTCTCGGACAAAAAGGGAGTAACATTAACTGCGTCCTTGATGAGACTTTCTAGTGCATTCTTGAATATCATTCCATGAGTTGTATTATCTTTGTCATATACCGAAGGTCCAATGGGCTGCAATGTGGACTGCGAAGGCTCAGCCTGGGTATCCAGAGTATCCTAGGAGTTAGTTAGTAATTGATGTTTTAAACAATGAACAATGATCAGCCCCACCTTGGTAATTGCAGCAAAACCCCTCAGCTTTGCCTGAGACACACCGGTGTATGGATGGAATTGCAGATCTGATGGTTTTGATGGGCAAGTTCGCAACCTACTGGACTTTGGGTGGGTTGGAAGAGAGGAATCCAAGTCTTCTCTAATGGGTAGTGGAAGTTTGGGGGGTTGTATATGTAGCATCTCATCGAGACGAAATGGCTCCTCGAAAGGTAGCCTAAGCCGCTCTTTCAGAGCTGGTACATCCTCTGTGCCAGCAGGCAAAGTAGCCATGCCATCAAAGGACACCTGGGGCTGATAGTGGTCCAAGCCAAAGAAGTAGGAAGCGAAGGATGGATCATAGGACATAGAGTTGACATAAGGTGTATCGATGATTTGGGATGGGCCGCTGTGAGTGGCATCATAGTACAGATGGGAGAAGTTGGATGCAGGTTGCCGCATACTAGTAGTAGTAGCAACGAAGTCCTGATTTGAAAATAGGGGGTCATAGTCGTCAGAATGGCTGGGATCCCTTGAGTCAGGCTAGGCCATTGGTGCATCAAAAGGATTGTCAGACCTGCCCGAGTACATCGTAGTCACGGCGGTGGCATGGTGTTGGGGACTCAGTACTCAGTGGTAAATAAGCCTGTCCTTAGATATTAGTAAATTTTATAATTGCGCTGATCTGTAGAACCCTCAGAATAAGTCTGGGACTGTGATAGGGAATAAGTTAAATGAAATCATCTACCAAAAGCCACGTGCCGGAGCCATGAGGCATGGGCGCTATACTATAGATCCCTAATTTGGCTTTTGGCTTTAATAACCCTTAACTTACCTTTGAATAGGATCATTAATCTCACTGCCTCACAGGTAATACATAGGGGGTGGCTCGCCATTTTGCATAGTATTGTAATGAGGCTGCAATTCACATCGGATCAAGGTGGAACGACCTGATGTGTAATAAGACACATTCAAGTTAGTGTTGCTGTCGACCCAAGGTGACCTTGAGGTAACTTTGGTTCGGTTCAAAATTGAGGCAGTTCAATACAACTCGATTCATTTACACCTCATTGTAGATAAGCATCAAATTAGGAACGAACTGCCAAATGAAATGCTAAATCTGGCCTGTGACTTGGTGATTCGTTAGAGTAGTACTCCAGCAACCTCACATCTCTAGCATTTCCTCAATGTACTCTGCTCCTCTGTTGTCTGTCCTCGAACCTTTTGGTATAGAACATCATTATACATATTTTCATTGGACCGTAGTACTGCTTTAGCGCCGGAGGACAGGTGCCTGCAATGCTGTACAATACAAATGTTGAGCAATCCTCAAGCGCAGTGAGGTGACAGATGTATAGGTCATTGTATAAATTTGTGCATCGTACTGTGAGTTTAGTATTATATTCCCAAAACATGAGTTTTCACCAGTGGAACAGTTCTGCAGCTTCTGCTATCCCTTCGGCATCTCAGCAACAGCATCATCACCCTCACCCAGGCTATACAAGTCTGGCATGGTCCGCCGCTCATGCATGTCCACCATTTTACCCTCACACACCATATGGGCTCCCAAACAACACTTCTGCATCTCTGCATCTCCCACATCCATTGCCTGTCGCAAATTCATTGGCAAACATGCATCACTTTGTACAAGCCCGTTATTCACCAGCTGCAGCAAGCTTTACATGGTGCTAGTGATGTTCTGGCCTGGCTTGGCTCGAAAGCCGCAGCTTTGGCCTGGCTTCAGATGGCTTGGGCTCACAAAAAATCCAGGCCGGGCTTAAGCTGTCAGTGACAGCTGGCTTTGGCTCGGCTCTGGCCTGAGCCGTGGCCTGAGAACTGCTATCGACAAACCATTGCTATCTTCCAGCATTCAGCCCCGCTTTTTTGCGTCACTTTCTCCATAGACAGAAAGCACATCCTCAGCGGAGGCGATGATAAGATGATCTCAGAGTGGGAAGTACCCAAGGACATCTTGCCAAAGGAAGCTCCCGAGATCCTGGCACCAAAGGTACTTTCTTGTTCATTTTACTTAGCACCCCAATCAGCGCATTCGTATAGTATGTGCCTTCCTCGGACTACTTGGCAGGATGGGGAGGTCAGCACAGTTTGGGTGAGCTGACAAAGGAGAAAAATATCAGTAGAAGCCTATTGTCAGCCCCCATGCAATACAACAAAATCACGCATCCGCTTGAGACCACCTTTCATGAAACGAGACAGCAGGGCAATGACAAGATGGAGCTGGGTGACTTGTCAGTCCAAACAACCATTGGGACGCAAATCAAGGGTGTCTTGAAACAAAGAGATAGGGATATTGAGGTCGGGATATGTTCTATTAGCTTGACAAGCAATAAACTTCGCAGCAGTTAGATTAAACAGTGCAGCAGGGCGGCAGGGATGATCAACGGGGCATCGGAGATCAGCGGCACATTTGAAGTGCTTTATTAACTGGTCGAGATCCCTGCCATCTTGCATCCTGTGGTATCATGGGAGAAGATGATGCAGACTGCACATTACAAGTCTCGGCATTGGAACATCGAATGCATTAATCACTCATGGGAGCAATGGGGTAAACTGCATAGTCATCTTCATAATGCACCACGGCCAAGAATAGTGAAGTGCACGAGGAAACAACTTCACTCTTAGGCTGAAATATGATGACTGGGATGTCTCATTCACACCCATCAAATGTGATTTACAACTGACGTTATGGACGATGTGATTTTCCACTGCGATCCAGTAACTCTCCAACAGAGGTCTCGACTGTGCAATTCTCATCCATTTGCCGACATCACTCCTACGGCTGTCAATAATACCACTACAACTACTACTACGAGAAAACGCAAAAATGCGGCTGTCGGACAGGACCATTCAATATGGGCGAGCGTGTGACTGATCTCATTCACTTCTGGGAGGTGAGCTCGACTTTTCCTTCACATAAGGAAGGCAAGGCTGAAGTCAATTTCAGCGCATGGAAAAAGTCTATCCACTACTTTTCTGCATTGCCATGGATGTCCTGCCAGCTCAGGCATCCTCTGTGCCATGTGAACATGTATTTTCATCCAGTAAAGAAACCTGCACACTCTGTCGAAGCAGACTCTCACCACGAGTAATGGAAGCACTCCAGATTCTCAAGTTTTCTTACAGACAGGAGAGATTATGTTTCACTAGTGATTTAATTGCAAAAGAGGATGACTACAAGATTTCGGGGCCTAGGACACGAAGGGCTACAGAGGAATTGATAGTTATGGGGAAGTTCGATGAGCTTGCTGATCTATTACAAAATGTCGACGATAATAACATAGAATGAAACACAGCCACTTCATATCTAATTCGCTTTACAAACAATTCTCATTGGCTGGAGCTTCGAGCCATATTTGTTACACTTCGGTTCGTTCCACCTTGACCATCGAACCTGGAATGAACTCCCACCTCATTTCAATTCGGTTCAATTCGTGGCAACACTAATTCAAGTTGTGCCTTGTCACTTGAGCCTTGAGGATATGAATGAGTTCCATCATCCGAGCCTGAGCCATACAACTCCAATGAACATACTTCTGGCAAGTTCATTCACTGGGCCTCGTGCTCCATGCCCAACAACACAAAATCCCTCCCACACATCCATGACATCCCAGCGTGGTTAGACAAGGTTTGGCTCTCAGCTTGATATCCTACATCTTGGCCTCATGTGACCCTGTGCACGCATCCCCAACAGACAAGCGGAAGTTTCTTAGGGCTGGTCACCGTCACGGTAACTGTATACGGTTACGGCCATACAATGGATTCATCCGGCGGTGCATCCATAGGGGAAGTAAGCTAGAATCATTGCACTTCTCATACCGTTAAAGTTGTGAATCGGAGGTTTCTCGTTTGTCTATGACTCATGTATAGCACCAGTAGATGAATTGAAGTCTTGTAGTAATTTACACTACATGACTGTGCCTTTCCTTCATTGTTCTTCACCATACTCAATAATATCAAGGACAGACTGCCAGTCAGTGCCTGATTTCTCCCGGCAGATGCACTTGATGACTGGAGTATCATGATGACTCAGAGATATTGTGATGTTCTCCTTGTCAGCGTTGACATCATTGCAACTGTCGATCTTCCTCTTGCAAGTCTGACGAGTAGTAGTAGCAGTACAAGAAGCTCGAGCTTGTACGACTTGACAACCTCTGGGGCTGACTTCAGGTTTCTAACTTCAAGATCAGTATGACAAAATCAAGAATGCGGATGCAGACACCCATTGTTCTTAATGCTCGGACAGGCCTTTGATTTTTTAATATCTTTTCCGAACACAACTGAAACATACATGAGCATGTTCCAAGCAAAGTGTTTTAGTGATCGCTTACTTTTCGATACTTCGGAAGCTGCACAAGTGCAGCTACCTCCACAATATTAGAGTCCAAGTCAGGTGTGAGACTGGGAGAGATCTCACCCATGACAGCGGTCAATGCAGACGGTGGTTCACACCACGATACGGCAGTACTAGTGGGGTCAAGCACCATGGAGTGTTGACTCGGAGCATTCGAGTCAGCCTGAGTATTCAAGTCAGGACTTCCAGTGTGAGATGACAGGGTAGCTGCTGGTGACTCAGACTCGTGGGTTGTGGGAGGGTCTATTACAGGTACATCGTCGCCACTGGTTTCAGATGAAGAAATTTCAGACGCTCGATCATGAGCATATCCAAACATAGTAGCTGCTGGTTATGATCCAAAAGTTTAAGCCTGGTGAGTTCTTATAGTTGTTCGTAGCTGCTGGTAACCAACTATGTACGGTAGGGCAGAGCATGCATGTCATACCAAATAGAGAAGTGGGCTCTGATGCATGCACGCATATGTGAATGACATGGTCACAGAAGATGCAGTACTCTACCATTATGGTATTTTACTTTCTCCGAGGTATGCAGTTACCAGTTTGGGTATGTACTGGGTTTCAACTTTTAGTAACAGGGACCAGGTCACCAGGGTGAGTTTACAAAGCATATGTTACCAGTTTGAGTATGTGCTGGGTTTCAAGGAAGCATATGTTACCAGTTTGGGTATGTGCTGGGTTTCAACAGTGCAAAGCATATGTTACCAGTGATATGATATAGGCTGGCTTTCAACAGGGCTCCGAAGTTGCACTCTAACATTACTTCTTCTGGATGCCTCATCACACAGGAATCTTCATTCCTGGCTGATCCGGGCTCCATGAGTTAACTGAGAGCGATATTGGTCCCAAGGACAATCTTCAGCGATGGTTCCTTTCAAACTCCGATGGCCTATTTACCAATCGTGAACCCAACCATGAAAATAGTACCTCCCTTGAATTTGTGCTATCAAACAGTCATGTTAAACCCAGTGCCAGTGTCCTGCATTGATAAACTTCAAACTAAAGTTCCATACCTTACCAAGCCATCTTCTACACCTCCTCGACATTCTCACTCTTCTTCCTTTGCTGGGAGTCCCAACATGCCTAGCCCCCGTTCAAGCTCTCCCTCAAGCTCTCCAAGTCCCTCATTTGTATCTGTGACAGAATCAGGTAGTGACAATTCATGATATATTACTGGTCATCAGATAGACTCAAATATAAAAATGACAGCAACCAGCACTACCTCAGAACCAGAGTTCCCGTTAACACCTAATTCCAACCATTCCAGCGGTGTATGCCATTTTGCTATCCCCTCTGTTGAGCCTGGATTGCTGACTCCAAGTCCTCCTGAGAACCAACACTGCAACCCTTCCCGTCCCTATTACTCCAGCTCGCCTGAAGAGGAACATATTTTTAATCAATTGTTAGACAACCTCAACTGTGACCAGCTGTTATGACCAACGTCCCTTAACCTAACTAGTAGGTGTCTGGAGATTGAATCACACCACAGGACTCGTCTGAGAGAGGATAAAGCAAGGATAAGATTGAGAGGGAACGTCTAGGTCTACGATGACGTAAGAACAAAGAGGTTAAGTCTAAGGAGTACTACTGACTACGACCTAAACTATATACTACTATTGGAGCGGAGATATCTGAGTATGAAAGGTAGTGATATATCTATATACAGTCATAACATTGCACCTAGGGTATAGGGCGTCTTATCAACCAATCAACTACAAGAAGGGGAAAAGGGTTCATAGGGGTATCGGTAATTAAGCAGGGTTCTCAGGGTACTGCTTCTATTCAGGGTAGACAGAGATGAAGAAGGGTGAGAGAGTTCTGTGACAAGAAGTCTCAAGCGGTGATTAAAGGATCTCGATAAGAGATGGGATCTGGAGATGTATCGAGTACGATCGGATCTAGGGGTTTCTCCAGGGTCTTCGGTAATGAGCATGCTTCTCTATGAGTGGCGCTTCTGTGATAGGGGTTCCGGGTTCTAGCTGTGACTGTGCAACAGGTTCTTCGGTGAATGACAGAGGTAACTCTTAACATGTCATGTGTGGGAAGTGAAGATGTGCGATGTGAAGGATGATGACTCTTCAAGAGATAGCTCGTAAAGGACTCTCGGTTATGGTTCGATCATAGAGGCATGTAGATGCTTATGATGTAACCTGTTGCCTAATCGTAGGACTTCTAAGGATGTGATGAGTTCGTATGTCTAGGGTTACGGATATAGATGGATGACGTCGACTTAGTATAGATGTGATGTAAGATAGTGATCGTTAATCGGTTATCCATCTTATCTTATCAGGGATCTATCTAATCTAATCTTATCGGATAAGGTGACTTAGGGTTCGATAATTGAAATTTAGATGCAGTTGGTAACATTCATGACACCAGCGTATCTTGGAAATTGATGAGCAGAAGGTGAAGTCCTAATTTTCATACATACAATATAGCTCTCATGATATGTGCTACATTTCTAGGTGATGGAGGCGTATGCAAGACATATAGGACAACTTGATGCAAGCTCTTTCCACTCCATTATTTGCTACATGGAAGCAATTTGTGAATGCCAATGCATGCGCTACTACACTGCATGCTGGGATGTTGTAGTAGTCCAAAGGCGGGAAGCTGTCGTCCTTGCCACACATGATAAATCAAAATTGGACTTCCTTGTGGCAGAGCAGGAATTGTGATTTGTACTGGACATTTTGTCTCGACACCTGTCATTACCTCGTGAAAGTACCACGGATGGCCAAAATCTCGCTGCCGCCCACGACAATGACAGGATATCCATCTCGCGGACTGACACTGTACTCGCCACTCTACAGGGCTATGCTAATCCTATGGATAACTGGTATGTTCTGCTTCAAGTGTTTACACATTTCCAGAGATTATCATGATTACAAGTTCGACATTTCGTTCACATGGGATAAATCGGTCACTTGAACCAAGCTTGTATTGCATCCGATAGTGCTGGTACTACTTTATTTATGTCTTAGTTAGCAGAAAATCATGTGACGATGCTGGACAGTATGCTCAGGCTTTTTTGTTCCATCACAATCTTGAGTGACTTCAGCAACATATTTCTGTACTGCCACTCGGACTCAAGGTGCCCTAGCTGGTAACGTGTTCTCAATCAATCACGAATTTCTTCCTAAAGAACTGGGGCTCATTCACTTGCTGATTGAAACAGCATGTGGGGGGAGCAGGGGGGGGGGGTCAGTGATCGCGGCTTTATCGTCGAATTTTTGATGTGGTCATGCCTTATCACGACTCACAATGTTGAGCTGTCTGGCTGAGTATTTGATCATATATTCCACAGCCAAATTTGGCTTTGTCACTCTCAGCGATTTATCATAGTAATCATACAGGCATGTCGGACTTTGCACAGATAGCAGTCTAAGATGTTATCTCACTTTTCTTTCAATAGCATCAGCTTGAGCATCATGATAATGCCCCAGAAGAAGAACCCAGACTTGCTCTCCTGAATTATATGAAAGTCTGGGCACATCTTTGGCGATGTACGTTGTGTAGGCCACCGTGAACATGGTCACATCAATACCAAACAGGAACGCGGGCAAACCTACTACCCCCACGAACGAGTCAGATAAGGAAACTGACCCAATCAATTATATAAGTAATACCTCATGTTTGCTGTTGGTTTGCCGCGTGTTAGTCCCTCCTGGAAAATCTAGTAGACTTGCCGCAGTGACTCAATGTGCGGCACAATGCACTGCTCCGAAATTCTTTGGATCTTTTTCTTCTTGTTTCTTCTAATGGCGACCTGCGACACTCCAGGGTGCTCTTGGGAAAGGCCAACAAACCATCGTGGACTCGCCAGACATCGTACATCCTGTCGCTTCTACAAGAGAGCTAGCTCTCTCACAAGCTGGAGGAGACAAGACCGTGCAAAAGAGGCGGTCCTTTCGAATTTGGGTCCAAAGCCTCGGTGCAAAGCAGTCAGTAGCTTTAAGTTTACTTTGAAGTTTGAAACAGAATATTCAATATAAATGTCAGGGAATCTCCACCATCCGATATGCAACGAGAGACCATCCAAGTCTCAAACCAATTGCCTCTTGCAGACTTCTCATGCCAACATTAACTATGGCTCGCAAATTAGGTAGTACCTCTAGTCTTGCAGAATCGCAACAACCCCTCAACGCGAAGAAGCAACAAAACAATGAGATTGACTCAGATGTTGAGATGGGTAGCAATTCTGGAACCATGTGGGACTATACTAATTCAGGTTTGTGTCTCATTCCAAGTTCCAACGTATTCACAAATTACTCAAATAATTTCAGAGGAAACCACACTTCCAAGGGGACGAATTCCCAGAGCTCTCCATGATGTCAAGCCTTTGCACAATGATCTTAATTATTCCAATGATACTAGCATCGCATCAGCTCAAGTGGCTTCATTACCTCACCAGTCCAGAATTCAATGTGTTCTGTTAACCCTAAGAGACACCCTCCAGACCGCCTACAACTCATTTGGGCTGTGCCAACTATACCCTTGTCAGCCTTCCTTTGAGCCAGATCGGTTCATTCCATCCTCCCTACTCGCAAAAACTTCTCCAACAGCTGTCCAAGGAGCTGATCCTGCACTGAATATCTTTCCGCCACCCTACCCCTTTCCCAACATGACGATCTATCGTCTCATGTCCTGGATGAATTCCGGTAGTCATTTGATATCTGAAACCAAAGTTTCGCATCTCGTCAGAGATGTAATGCTGGCAGATGATTTCGACTGTGATGTGGGGAACGTCCCCACTGTGGGCCCGTATCCCGCATATTTCCCATGCCTTCCCACCATTTTCCCGTGCGTTCCACTACCCATCCGCATCTTCCCTGACCCGTCCGCTACACGGAACCAAGCGGAACCCAGCGGAACAATCGTGTACCACACGCATTATATTCCTTCAGCCTTCGGAACATCCTCCTCTGTCCTGTCCATGTCCTTCCATCCTCACTGGTGAGTACTAGCTACGTTCCCTGTGTCACTAAAATGTTCCTATCTCATTTCCCATGTGTTACGGTACTTATACGGATCCTTCCGCTACTCAGGACCGATTCCTTATCTCACAGCCTCACCTGGTTGTAGCATATCGCATTTCGGAACCCCTTCCTATATAGGTAGCAATAGATGGGATCTTAGTTTTTTACCTTCTGATAGACTCGACTCCACTTCCACTTACAGAGTACTTCCCAGTACTCCACTCACTGTTTAAAATATCTTCCCGAATCTATTCCTGATCACATTGCATCGTTCCCGCCCCCGTGAGTTCCGCTCGAAACGCCCGACATCGGATCCGACGACTTGGAGCAAGTACCAGACACAAGCCTGGTCCGACTTTGCCCAATCATCCTCCTGCAGGCTCGTAGTTTCTTTTCCCTCCATTTGTTCCCCATTAGTTCCGTTTGTTCCCCGTTTGTCCTGTTTGCTCCGCGTTAGTTCTGTTAGTTCCCCGTAGTTCCGCTCATCGCGCGCTGAGTTCCGCTTGTCGGGAACCCTCCGCATCTTTGTGTTCCCAGTCCTAGTAAGGACCGGAACCCTTCGGGTCGCTAGACAGAGTCTAGTCTTTGTTTCCTTGCACTTATTTGAGGACTCGCTACCCAGTAGCAATCCCCTTGGGACGAGTATAAGCCTCGCACCCTTGTTAGACTTCTGATTCACACAGAGTCTATTTTCCTCACCCACAGCAAGCATCTGGAGAACTTCTTGGTGAGGCAGAACCTGCAAGAACTGGATAAGGATGACAAGGGGGGAAAGGTTACCTTTCCAGATGACTGGATTGAGACCACTGTCAACATTGACATTCCAATGAAGTCAAAGGAGGATGGCCCTCAGCCTTATGTTATTCATGGATTCCATTACCGCCCTATTGTCAAAGTCATACGCACAGCATTCGGAGATATCCAAGCACAGGTGTTCCATCTCTTACCTTTTCAACGCTTGTGGAAAGACCCTTTGGACGGCCACCAAGAACAGATTTTTGATGAGCTCTATACCTCTGACGCATGGCTGGAAGCCCAAGACAGTCTTCAGAGGCTTCCAAAAGAGCCCGGGTGCTCACTGGAACGTGTCATCACGGGTTTGATGTTTTTTTCTGATGCCACACATTTAGCAAACTTTGGGACTGCGAAGGCTTGGCCACTGTATCTGTATTTTGGAAATCTGACGAAATATGTGCAAGCATCACCCCAATTGGGAGCATGTCACCTGGTAGGATTTTTACCTTCAGTAAGTCCTATTGAATACCACATCTTCATCTACCACTGTTGACAATGACAGCTTCCTGACAGTGTCAAGGACATTCTGAGTAGCCTAGCTGGTATATCAAAAACAGGCATGGCATCCCTTCATTCACACTGCTGCAGGGAGCTGTTTCATTCCTGCTGGCAAATCCTGTTGGATGAAGACTTTACGTCTGCATATTGCCATGGCCTTGTTTTGAAGTGTGCCGACGGAGTAACATGGAGGGTCTTTCCCCAAATCTTCACCTATTCCGCTGATTACCCTGAGAAGTACATTCCTTTGTGATTTTTTTTCAAGAAAGTCAAATTACTCATCAATTCACAGGGTATTAATTGCTACCATCAAGGATATGGGCTTGTGTCTGTGCCCTCACTGTCTCACACTGAAGAACTTGTTTAGTTCTCTTGGACTCGTGAGGGACATGAAGAGCTGTTTAACCAACCTTTGAGTGTATGCTGTGACAAAGGTTATCCAAGCCTGTGATTTTATCTACAGATGTGGAAACACTGTAGATGGTGTCAAAGTAGAACATACCCTTGGCGAAGGCTCATGGGTGCCTATTATTGTACGTGAAACTGTTTTCTTATCATTTTATGGTCATATCATACATTTAATTGTAGAATCAATTTGCTGCGAAGCTTGGACCTCTCGGTCTCATTCCATTTTGGATGCTCATCATCGACTTCATGCACAAGTGCGAATTAGGTACCTGGAAGGGGCTATTTACGCACCTTATTAGGCTCCTCAATGCCCTTCCTCAAGGTAATAAGCTTATCGCGATTCTCGACAGCAGGTACGAGGAGTTCGTAGGGAGTATTATTGCCTGCTAACAAGCTGTCATGGTCAATTCTCAATCTTGCTCTAGGTTTTGGCAGGTCCCGACTTTCAGTAATGGTGTCATCCGCAAATTTTCAAACAATACATCCAAGATGAAAAGGTTAGCAGTGCGTTATTTTGAAGATATTTTACAGGTTTTTTCGGCTTATTCGTTTTCTGCATTCGACCCACTGACAGCTCTCATTGTTAGTGTGCCATTCCCATGTTCAAAGGATTGTTCCCCACCAACCATGATGTAATTGTGCAGTCACTTCTCTATTGATTTGCGCAATGGCATGCACTTGCCAAACTCAGACTTCACTCAGACTCTACGGTCACCTTTCTTGCTGAAACATTCAAGAAGTTGTCACAGAAGTTACGGAAGTTTCGAGCCTTTACTTGCAATGCATTCACCACTCTGGAATTACCCAAAGAGAGTGCAGCTCGGCAACGGAAGGCAGCAAAATGCTCTGAAACCAATTGTACCCCTCCTGAATCAAGTGGGCCGAGGATCAAAATGTTCAATCTGGGCACTTATAGTTCCATGTGATGGGTGATTATGTGACATCCATCAGGCTCTTCAGGACTACCGACTCTTTCACTACTCAAATTGTATGTACCATCTGCGTTCAGTTTTTACCTGAAGTTAAGGTTGGTCAGGGAGAACTTGCTCACAGAGCCCTCAAGAAATTTTATCCACTGACCAGCAAGGTAAACACCCCAGAGCAGCTAGCTAAGCATGAGCATAGGCGCCATGTACTACAGCGGGTGGCAGAAGTCGGTATATCCTCCTCTGGTAATAAATCACAGGCTGACACCCCCCCACCAACATCCTCTGAACGGCATCACTGCATCATGACTAATTGGAACAACCCCATAAATATTTTCACATTTCTCCGAGAACACGACAGGGATCCAGCTGTTAAGGTAGAAGTTGCATTCCGTTTGAAACACACCCTATCATTTACTCACAGTGGTTGCTAGAATTTCTTACCAAGACTTAAGGACCATATCCTCTATTGACTACAGAAGCTAGACGTTAGCTATTGCGACCACGTCTTCACGGATGCAGAACACAACTCCATCATTATTCCTGATAACACAATTTACTCGGTGCAGACCATGCAAGTGCACTACACGACATATGACCTGCAGTGTGAATACGACACCATCAACCCCAGAACCCACGGAGATATCATGGTGTTGTCAGGGGAGATAATGCCTCATCACCCATACTGGTACGCCCATGTATTGGGTGTATTTCATATGGAGGTTTGGCTTAATATTGGGGGCCAACCCATAAAGTGGCACCTCAAGGTGCTCTGGGTCAGGTGGTTAGCTGCCTTGCAGAACTATAAATCTGGCATACATCATGCTTGTCTCCCAAAGATTGTGTTTGTGGAGGAGTCAGACCCAGATACATTCAGGTTCCTTGATCCAGGACAGGTAATCCGAAGAGCTCATTTGATTCCTGCTTTTGCCTTGGGACGTGGTGTAAACTCACTTTGTTATGGGAAATCACTGGCGTGTCCTGGGGGGCAGTTAGATGACTGGGAAGAGCACTATGTCGGCATGTAAGTGCAAACATCCATTTTCATATTGCATTAACCTCAGGCTTTGTGCACCACACAAAAGATTTGTTGACAGAGACATGTTCATGCGTTATACTCATCTTGGCGTTGGACATTCAGCAATGGTACAGAAAATCACGAGGGACTGCTCTGGGTCAGTGGCACAGACCAATGCCATGGACATTACAAATATCAGTAACGACGAGGATGCAGATCATGAAGTGGTTGGTGATGGTGATGGTTATGATGAATGCGACAATGAACAGGAGGACAGTGATGAGGATGAGGAATTGGATGATAGTGTTGGGGATGACAATGGTGAAGGATATGGCGATGACAATGGTGATGACTTGGACGAGTTTGATGTCTCTTTCTAACTTACATACCAATATTGATATCGCGAATTTTGTTTGTGTTGTGTTGTTCTCTAAGTTGACTGCATCTACTAATTATAGTCTGGTTGACGATAAGTGAGTCATGAATTTACCATATATTGATAACGATCTCAACAATGTCCACAAATGTGGAGGGGGGTTGACATTAGACTCATAACCATTCTGCCTACGTGCATTTTTGAGATGTGTGTGAATTTTGCCATAGGCAGACTGGTCAATCTCGGAAAGATTTGGCAGGGGAAGCACGGAGTTCAAAAATTTGCAGTTGCCGATTGTGCCGCTTGATGTTATCGTCGTTATCATCCAGTGTCAATGATGCTGCATCATTTGTTCACAGTATAATGATACCATCTCCTGTGCTTTTACCTCAGATGTTGCACTATCATCAACCATCCGAGCTTCTGGCATGGACAGTTGACCACCATGGCCTCAGTGAAGACATCAAAGTTCTAGCTATCCTGGAAATACTTCATGGCTTGCGGATGACTGTAATAGACTTACTTCTGTGCTCTGTCTCGCAAAAACCTGCCATGATCAATTGGAGGAAGGGCTTCTTCCGAAGCTCTGCACTTGCACGATTTCTTAACGTGCTGGAGTCCGATGAGCAAGGAGCCATTCACCTTCAGAATGTACTGCGACCTCGCGCTATAGAACTCGTCACCCGTGAGATCGATGTGGAGATGGAGGACACTAAGCTGATTTTTCATATGTCTACAAAGGACATCACCCCAGAGTACTTGCTCTCTTTCGACATTGAGCACAGATTGACTGTCCCATTGAAAGAGACAACTCCCTGGCTCTGTCAGATCCTTATGTCTGCTATGTGGACAACACATGCTGTGAAAGAGAATAAGCATCAAAATGTCGAAACAGTTAGATTTTTTTCAAACCACATGAAACTAATGTAGACATCAAGCTAGTACTGCACTGTAATCCAATCGCAAATTGCAAACATTTGCTCGCAAAACAACCTCGCCTTTCAGATCATTCACAGACTTTGCTTGTTCAGCAGTGGTACATCTCGCAAAACCATTGACTTACTCGCACATTGCGGTCTTTCGCCTGGGTATGATGCATTGCACATTTCTCATACTATTATGGCTGATGGTCAGATACGAAGGGCACAGCTCATTGCGAGAGGACCGCATATGATAGGCTGGGACAACATTCAAGTTTTGACATCTACTCATGTTGAACAGCATGCTTTAGCCCCCCCAAAAGTCCAGTCAGGCACCACGACAATCATATACCCACTGCGTAATGCAACCTTAGAAGATCTTCGACTTCGACCCATACTCAATAACTGTCTCAAATGTGACATGATCACATTCTCTGATGATGTCCGCCCAATACGCACACACATGCATGATATGACGGACCACCTCGTCATTGACATCATCAAAATCCTGATCAACAATCACCCTGGGTTCAATTACCTTTCGAATTCACCTGTTCTCAAGCATCGTTCCTATCGACCTCCGCCCCTAGGATACAAAACTCAAGAATGTGTTTTATGAACTACCACAACAGATGAGTCCACAACTGATGGAAACGTCAAAGTCGCAAGAAATGCTTACATAGATCAACTCACTTTTGATATACACAATCTTAATGATCAAGCAATTCCATGTATCAACGATCAATCAACCAATGCACAAGTTCGGAGTGCCCAGTTACTACGTTCAGATGATGTCGGCTCAATAAATCGGATGGAGAACTTCCAGTTAGCCCCAGGGTTGTTTCACGCTCAACTCAATCTGATCTGGGCAATCCTTCATATCCATCGAGGGTTGCTTGAAGAAATTGGAGGACTGCAGTACTATATTTCACTGCTTGGCAGGGTCAGGCTTGGAGCAGAACACCCAGATTATCGCACACTCATCTCTCTTGCTACCCAAGTCCTCATTGGTCATATACTGCTCTACTGGGAGATTGTCTCTGGAATGAGCCTCACAGCTCTTGCAGACAGGAAGTCCACGGTGGAGGAATTAAAGGTTTTCACTACTAAAATCTACCATACCTATGTCTCCACACGTGCAGTCGAGGATGTCAGTGGACAACCAGACTTGGAGATTCAGGACAGGGTCCTTCAAAACATCATCCTTCTTAACCGCGATCTTTTAATCTTCTACAAGTTGGACCTGGCAATATCATCGGGAGATTTCGGACGTGTTGAGATCTTCCTCGGGACACTCACTATGATGTTTGCTGGTGCCGGGTGCAAAAATTATACAACGGAGCTCCTTCATTTCATTCAACACTTGAACAAAGTTTGGACTTCCAACTTTGCGTGAGTAGTCTGTGATTGTTGCTCATCTCAATACTGACTATCATGCAGGAATGTCGTACAGGACAATATTCTCATCAACACTTCTGGCTGTGATGGACATGCTGTCAGAGTGGATAAAAACTGCGAGCAAAATATCAACTTCCAAAAGGTAATTCATGTCAGCTCGGTACGACATCTGATTACAACTCTATTATTTCATACAGAATTGGTTCGCAGCCAAAGGTGTGCATGGCACCTGGGATCAGCTCAGTGACTTGGCACCAAACATTCCTATCTACCGTCCTCTGAAGCGCCGCTTTGCTGCGTTCATGGGTAATGCATATGGTGGTACCACGCATACAAATCCCAACAGCTCAACATCAGTCAAGAAAGTATCATCGAAAGCAATGGAACACAATTTGCACATCTACATCCCTGGCCGTAAAACGAAGTGAGACGTGAAGGATATCTTACTGGATGGGGGCTCGCAGTTGAAGCTGAAAGGTGTTGATACATTTACGTGAAGTTACAAGGCATGGGTAAACAATACAGTAGCTTTTCCAGAAGACAATGATGATATAGAGGTGTTGGTAGTTGGGAACACCATGTAGTGTAAAGCATTAGCATGTAGTACAGGAAATTATAGCATTACTCTCTTCCATGGTCGTGAATTTGGCGAGGCATGTATTTGTGCGAATGATGCAGGACATGAATGGCGTGCTGTGAGAGACTCGGACAGTGAGAGGTCTAAATCAGGTGTCGAACAATGGCTGGAAGGTGGTGAAGATGCAGAGCTATATGGGTTGACAAGTATTGCATCTGTGTCGTATACATCTGCCACAAAGTCCGAGAGAAGCGGAATGGAATCAACAGGGAGAGCATGAGGAATCTGTTGTCCTGGGTTATCGTCCTCGGATTCGAGGTCTCTGTCAGTAGCTGTTGCATTGGCAGGAGGCTTCTGCATGACACGTCGTGCTTTCCTTGGGAGAGACTTGTTGTATGAATCGATGACACCATGTACTCCATTGCCGAAAAACGTACTCCACTCCTCGCTCTCCTGCAGAAATGTGATCATATCAGAGGCCAATTTAAATGAACCATCTTCCTCTCATGCAAGCTTGACAATATGTTGATCAGAAAGGATCCACTTGGCAGGCCAACCTTGAAGAGCAGTGTCATTCGAGACGACTGTATGACGCCAGACTTTGAGCACTTCTTCCAAGGCTGAGTGTTGTTTCGTTGGTCGATATTTCTTGCGAGTCTTCTTTGGTGGAACTTGTGCATCTGAGTCGATGTTTATGCCTGGCTCGTGATTGATGGGCTGTGCGATGACTGACTGTAGAGTTTGGCCAGGGACGAAATAGTTGATGTTCCAGGATTCATCGAGATGTTGATCGCAGCAAGATACACCTTCGTATTGAACAGCTGCGAGGCTATTAAAAAACACGAGTCTGTGAATTAAGCATACTAACCTTCAGGTGAAGTGTCGTTATTGTTTTGAGCCAAAAATAATCGACAACACATTGATAAATTGATGAAGTTGAACATAGCCGAGTCAGTTCAGCATTCTTTGGCACTGGCCTTGCATTTATTGACGACTCTTTGAGGTTTGTTTGGTGTATTATATGCCCATTTCTCCGCAATCATCAGGACCAGACATTGGAGCTTATCTCGCCCACCTCGCCCTGCCCGCTGCTCGTGTTCAAGGAGGTTGACGGTAACACCAAACTGCACTACCAGACGTATATCTGGGACATTGATGCCCTAAAATATGAACATCACATTAGCCATCATCAGAATATATTTGCCTGCAAAATGGTCACAGTTGATGCCCCCGAAGTAGCTACGACTCCTTGAACAACACCGTCGGGCTTCTGAAAGTCGTCGAATACCATTTCGTTATGTTCTTATGACATGCTCAAATGCAGATGCTTAAACTTGAAAACACGACGGACAGCTTCAGGAAGACAACCATTCAGGTATCGTGCGACACCTGCAGTGCGAAGTTTGTGGTCGATAAATATCAGGCATTTTGGAGGATAAGACATCGGGGGATGGAATGGAAAAGGAATGAGAAAATCTAAGTTACTGAAGTTTTTGATGGAGTCGAGCATGGGTATTACTGCATGCATGATATTCAGGCGATTGGTAGAGAGTTTGATGACATCCATCTTGTCGCGCGGAAGATTGAGAGATTTTAAAACCTTCTCCAGTGTCTGCAGAGGGAGAGTTGCAGAAAATAGTGCGACAGGCACATCCACCGGAAGCTGGATCAATACTTCTGCGAGTTTTCCATATGCAGGGCGGAAGGGAAGTTTTTCGCCTATCTGAGCTTCTCCGGCAGTAATGATGAAATGTGCTTTGTCAATGAAGAAGAAACCGATGCACTTGGTGAATGTTGGATCTTTTAGCTGCAAAGCGAGGCGGGAAATGTGTCCACCTTCCAGGAAAAATTGTTCCAGAGCAACAAGCAAGTTTTTTATAGCGGCCAGCAGCTATATGCTGTAGAGACTTCATCACAAAAGCACAAATCATTTAGTGTGAGATTCACTTACATTCCATAGTGTCTTGTCATGTGGGGTATCATGGTTGATTGCGATAGAGGGAATGCCATACTGGACAAACTCGTTGACCTACAGACAGATCCAGAAAGGTTAAACTCATGATTTGAATTTTCCGAGTCAAGTGTACGTGATCTTTTTGCAAAAGCTTCAATGGTGTGACAGTGATTGCAATCTTGTTGGGAGAGAGCAGCAAGGGAAGGATCATTGCCAGTGTCTTGCCAGCACCTGTTGCAGCCCAGACAACAACATGTCTTGATGTGAGCAATGACATGAGGCACTCAAGTTGAAACAGCTTTGGTTGCTTTGTTCCTTCTGTAAGAAAATTGAGTCGGGCGAAAGAGTCTACAATGTTCTGGCGCTGGAATATATGCAAAGGTTCAATAAACTCTGTCAGAAGGTTCTCAAGTGCATCTAGCGCAGCAAGGGACATTGGGGAAACAGAAACGGCCTCGCAATCCATGGTTGCAAGGCCACGATCATAGCATATGCGTGAATGCACAAAGACTATGGTATAGTGATTCGAGATTGAGTACCACTGGCACAATCAGCAACTGCAGATTTTCAAACTCCATGCTTCCCCTGCCAAATCTTTCCGAGATCGACCAGCCTGGCTATGCCACTCAAGCATCCGTGGTAGTATACGCCAGGCTGGTCACGAGCCTAGGTTGACATGGGAATGCTTGACCTTATGTAGGAAGAATGCATTTTGAAGAGGGCCAATCAAGTCGCGGTACCTTCGGGGCACTATGTTCACCTTAAGCTTGTGCACACAGTATCAGGATGCATGAGGAGGGAAAGTCAATGGCAGCATGTCACAACTTTGTTGCGAACTCTAATACTATTCTAGTTTTTTTATGAGTGCCAAAGGCTGCTCCTACACGGGAAGATATTGAATAGTAGTTCAGTTCAATGCATAAACAAGGAAAAACGAGAGCTGTTAAATAGGTGGAGGGTTTTGCGCTGTCATCTATCGTTGGTCTTCATGGCTGCAAATCAGGACTTTGGTATGAAATCCCACGTTGTTTTACATTCGTTGACGAGTGCCAAAGGTACCTCCCATGAGATTGCCTTGGATGAGCTTGTGGTACAAAGTGTAAGTAAGGTAAAATGACAATGCTCAAAATATTTGGCATAAGTAAGCTACCATCCCTCGTCGGCTGCAATTGAGGAACATCATAACCTTGTCGTGTACTGCTGCTCATGTTACTCGAGATTTGCAGGCGATGTATCTACAAATCAAAATTCTTGTAGTATAATGATATTTAGCAGGAGAAGAATTCTGCCCTTCTACAATTCGCACGGCTACAATATCAAGGACTCATCGGTTCACTGATGATCGTGAGGATAGTGCACGTCATTGAATATAGGTATCAGTATGGCGCAGACCAGTAAGTAAACCCACTGACGCTTCTACACTAACAGACGATCAGACAACGGATAACGTGAATGAGCGTATGGATTCGGCGGTACGGTAAGAGATGAGATATGCGTAAGTGAGCGGTCAGGTTCATATACTGTGTCGTGCAAACACGGGACAACAATCAACGGTGTCCAATGACATCAGGCGCTCGTCACTTGTGGTAAGCGTAGACTTACAGCCAACTACACGCAGATACGACTGATTTTTGCAACTGATGCGCGGTGCTGGGGCAAAACTGCCCATTGCAGTTCGCGGCATAGTGACTACTATTACAGATGGCAGAATAGCTCAAGTAATACTCCAACGAGCGTTTAAAAATGTCAGTACAAATGATTAGCCTTGCACTATTCCAAAACCCTCAAAGCAGCAAGATCATACTTAGTTAATTTATCACTTCGGCGTCATCTACACCTTCCATCTTAACCCACATGCCACCCTATGAGGTAGAGCCTAGTTAGATGACCGCATAGCACATTAGATTGAGACTTGCCTTGGCATAGAGTGTCAGGTGGTTTCGCGGCCTGAATTGCTCAATTGCCTGCCGACCGTCTTTCTCAGCCCACCACGCAGGTGGGCGCATTGCGGGCTCTGGTGACAGCGTAATCGCGGAAAAGTTTTGCAGTAAGCGAATCAGCATGAACGACATTTCGTTGTACGCAAACTGAAGTGCGAGATGAGGTATGAGATGAGTGTTGGTAATGAATGATGTGATGAACGACGTACTTGTTGCCCTAAGCAGATTCTGGGTCCTGCATTAAATGGTAGGAAAATGTAGGGATTGGGAATCAGGTATTTATTCACGCGCTCGTCGAGCCATCGATCCGGATCGAACTCCAGCGCTAGAGCATGGATTCGACTGAATTAATTGATATGTAGACGAAGTTCAAGTTCCTTACCATCTGGTCCCCATAGATCCGTTCTCCTGTGCATAAGGAACACTGAATACCAGATCCTGAAATTATTCAAGCAGTCATACTATGAATCCGAACGAATGAGATACGTACGAGATCCCCCCTGGGACAAACAGTGGCTTCTTCCCAGGTTCGGGAGATGTCCATGTGGTGTCATGTACGCTTTCCCTGAGCAGGTAGCTCTAGCCTATGATCTTCGGCGCAGCCTAAGAACGTACCTCGTATTAAAGGGGCTAGGTGTTTGTGGTACGATGATGAAATACTTCTAAACCCAGCTTTAATCACTTACACTGCGGGGAAAAGGCGCATTGTTTCTGAAGTCGGTTAGCAACATCGACAAGCGACACGAAACAAGAGTACGCACCATTTAGGACTGCCCGAAGGTACTTCATCTCTTTGATATCATCGTATGTGGGCCTGCGAGTTAGCCCAAACTTTGATACGATTTCCTCCCTGAGTCGAGTAAGGAACTCTGGATGCATCGCGAGCAGATAAATAGCCGATGTTAATGTCGAGGCTGTCTAATAATTATTGTTCGTTACCGATCCGGACGGCTCAAAGTCGATTGCAAGCTTACAGTATCTCTTCCAGCCTGCAATATATTCAACGTCTCATCTTTAATGATTTTGAAATCTGTAAAGAATATTTCAACAACAAAAAATTCCGTTGTTACATGATATCTTACCAGACGTAGCATTTACGAGATGGTCCAGAAGGGTTTGGTCCGCAAATTCAGTTCGGTTTAATTCGGCAGTCGTTGAACGCTTCTCCAGAGCCTCTTTGAGGATCGGATCTAAAAATGCATGTACCACTTTCATGTGTTGTGCAGTGCTGTCAGCAAGAATCTCAGCAAGTGGCCAGGTCTGCCCGATTGAAACACGACGATTGATTACATGCTGAGCTTGAGAGAAAGCATCTGCGAAGGCGGCAGCCGTGTTGGCTTCTTGAATGGCGTCTGTGCATTCTGTCGCGTTACATGGGTAAGGGAGTCCAGCGGAAAGTGTATCGATACAGTGTCCAAATAGAAACTCCGATGCCGAGTCAAGCGTAAATCTAGAGATGAGATCCTGCGGTAGGTTTCAACAAAAGAAGACAAAATACCAGCTTGATGGAGCCGTACTTGGAAGTCAATTGCCAAGCCCATTCGAAAACGTCCCTTCGCCAAAGCGATAGCATAGTCCGCATGACGGTCAAAGATCTCAAAGTGACTTATTCGATCATGAGTGAAGAAAGGTCGTGTCATGGTTCGGTGAAGCCTAGAAGCACCTAAGATTCCCTATCAGAGGCAATCTTCAAATCGATCACTCACTTCCATGTTTCACCTGGTGGCATAGCCAATCAATCAATCAGTCGCAACATAACTCGCTTGTCGATGCACGCCTACCATCAGAGTTAAATACGCCTGTTCCAAGGACGGAGTCGGCAGCTTCTCTGAGCTTGGGACCTGCATCGAAGCACATGTGTACGTGTAAACAAACAGCATCTATGGTGCACACCTTTAACATAGTTATCAAAGTCGGTCGCGAGAATGGTCTATGTGGAGTCTGATTATAATATCTTCAAGTATGCCTTGGAGCGTACCTTGATGTGTTGCGGCTCCGCGGTCAAGATAATGTCCTCCCACAAAAAACGAAGATTAATAGTCGGCCCGAGTATCTTTATCTCGTTCAGTTCATCTTGACCTACCAGTGGATATCAGTACGATTCTGTAAAGAATGATGGAAACTGAACCAAGGTATTCGTTCTCGGACGTCAGGACCATGTTCATAATCTTATCCAGATTTCCAGGCCATCTGCCCTGGACACGTGGGATGAGTCTGGCACCCAGTCGATCTGCCTTTCGTTGCTGCAATCTGCCATCCGCAAGAACGTAAGCCGCGAACCCCAGAGGCGCTGCACTCAAAACCATCGCAGACATAAGCCATGGAGAGATCCGAAAGCCGTTTAGAGAGGCCAGGCGTACTACGATCACGACGAAAGAGGTTGCTGGAACGACAACGAAAAGCAAACCCCGTGTGAGGTAGGCCACACCGGGACTGACCCAAGATCGCTGTGACATGATAGCTTGAAGTTTGTTAGCTGGCAAACGAAAGACCAAGGAGTAGTAGTGGCGAATACTAGTACTCGTGCTTGAAATCGCCACTGATACAGATGCTGACGGTCACTGGTACTGTTAGCCTTGCGTCGAGCGTCAACTGTCTTGACTCGGGGGCCTTTTTATTACACCGGCAATTTCACATAGCTCCACGAAGTGGGGGCGTTACGCAGCATTGCGCCCAATATGCAGTGTTACCTTTAAATAACCTGTTTACTGCGGTGCGAGTTTCGGTTCCGGGTTAATGAAATAATGGGGTATGACAACTGGTCCCGTTCCTCTCTAACTAGCCTGCAAATGGTGGTAGGATCTCTTAATGTTCCAACAACGGACATATTGCCAATTTGTGCACGAAGGTCGCCGAGTCGCCTCCTAGTGTTGACCGTCTGTGTGCTGAAGAGGCACGCAGCAAACCCAGAGCATGAATCGAGCCCGCCATGCAGCCTGTCCAATGATTATATCAGGACGCGTGGGCGTCCCACTTGGCACCGCGGCGACTGAAAAAAGTGTTGTGGGTCCCGTGGCAGTGGTGGGTGGTTTCTGCATGACATGAGTATTGGGAGGTCGAGAGGAGCTGGCAGCCGTCTTCCCTCTTGCGTGATAGTTCCTCTGCGTCAGAATGTGTTAGTGATAAAGAACCTAGAAGCAAAAAAAAACGCACAGGCTTTCCCGCTGTAAACGGGACGTCGACTACTGGTGGCTCTTGCAACTCGGTGTTTGATTCATGTCGTCCGCGGCGGCGCCAGAAGGAAGGTAAGCGACTGAGGAGGGTGCGTTGACGGGGTGCTGTGGTGCGACGGTCACGCTGCCCATGGGATGAGACACCGCGCGAGGTAGAGAACTGATAATATATTGGTCAAAGGAAGCGATAAATTATGGATGGAGATCACGTACATCGTCGAAAAACGCTGGAGGTAATCGACGACAATCTTTGATTTGCGGGACTCGTCGTGATGTAGCATCAGCCTAGGATGTAGATACTCAAATCCATACAAAAAGGTCAAGAAAACTATAACATACATCTAAGGCTGACTTGTTGACAGCGTTCTGTGACGCATTAAAATCAGTGTGCGAGCCATTTAACGAGACCTGATACAACATACCACCTGAAAGGATGAGTAGACCGTTGTCAGTGTTATTGAGGATGAAATGTATCCAGGCTTACACTGTCTGACATAAGGTCCTCGAGGCCTGCGTCTCTGAGGATAGCAATAACATCCCATGTGTACATGTGGCCGTGGTCGCCGCCAGTGACGAGGACCTTTCCATCCGCAGAAAAGGCCGCGCATTCCACCCGGTATTCATGTTTGAGGGGTAGTCCGATGGGTTGATTGTTTTCGAGGTTCCACAGTTGCGCTGTCGTGTCGGATGATACGCTTGCGAGGATGCGCTCATTCGGTGATAATGAAATTCGTGAAACGCTGCCAGCCCCATGCTCATCCAGAACAGCGATTTCTGTCCAGGTGGCAGTGTCGAATTTCTTCACCTCTGACCCGGCGGCAATAAGCGTCTTTTCATCTGAAGTCCATGTCAGGCAGAACACTGTGTACCCCCCAAATTTCTTGAGCAAGTCAGCTGTGTTAGCATCCCAGATTTTCAGCGATGAACCCCCCGTAGCAATCATCGTGCCATCTGGCGAATAACGGACGATCCACACGGCGTAGTTGTACCCTGTCTCGATTGGTCCGATGATTGTCTCTCCGCTCTCAACATTCCACACTCTGAATGTCGAATCTCTGGATCCGCTCGCCACTCGTCCTCCGTCTGGACTCCAGCAGACAGAAAACACTTCCTCTGTGTGCCCTGTCCATTTTTTGATGACGTTGCCGGTGTCAACGTCCCACAGTCTTACTGCGCCATCGTCACTCCCGCTTGCCACTGTCTTGCCGTCCGGCGACAGTGCTATGGCGTGCACGTTTCCACTTCCTTCGTCCCGCCAAGCATCCCCGATCTGCATGCCACTTTTGAAGTCCCAGACTCGAAGTGAGCCATCCCATGAGCAGGTGATGATCTGCCCTTTATCGGGCACGCGTAGGATTCCAAAGACGTTACTGGTGTGTCCTTGCATCTTTTGACTCGCTGATTTCTCTTGCTTCGCAGGGGCTGATGAAGACATTATTTTGGCTCGGGACTTCATCTAATTGGCGCGGAATCGCGGATCGTTTCAGCTCTTAGGCTTACACGTCAAAGAAATACCATCACTTACTTAGAGGTACTCGATTGTAAAAAGAGAATGATTGAAGGCTGCAACGGAGTGAACGTTTTGTTTCAGCGGAGTCCAATCAGCAGGGGGGTCGCCGTTCAAGTCCTGTCTTTGTCTTCGCGTTCCCTGCACAGCTCCTCGAGCTGTGCAGATCAAACGCCCAAGTGTGCAATTTGTGCATCAACATCAGCATCAACATCTCAGCATTGCATCTGGTATCAAGCAATCCCGCATTGCTTCTTCACTGGCTTAGTCATCAAGCTTCTCGCCCCGATACTCGCAGTGCCATCGCCGGTGCCCAGACGCTAGTAAAGTTTCTCAAACAACAGCCAGGAAAAGGCTGCCAGCGACAACAGCACAAAGCCCCCATCTCGCCGATCCCTTATGGCTGGTTTGGGCACAGTTCTCTCTCGCTGCTCTCATTGATGCGGATAAGGAGCGGCCGGGGCCGCTCGCAGCGGCAGCGCTCTGGATTCCCCGGTCACGGAGAGCTGACCGTCGTAATCGTACACGCTATCGCCACAGCGCCTAGCACTCCTACATGTTTGATTCTGACTGGCCAGCTACTAATACAGTTAAGCGGGTACAACGGTCACACCCTGACTCGATGTATCTTGAATTCTTGCATACATTTCGCATCTAACTGTCTCGCACAAGCCTCTGTTATATGAGGAGTCGGGCCATAATGCTTTTGTCTCTGCTCGGGAGGGCGCAGTTTGTCCGACGTCGCAACCGATTCTAGTATGTATATACTATATACATTTACTTGATAATCCCAAAATGACTGACAGATATTGTCGTTTGACTTTGCCAACATCATCACGCGTCACCGAGCACTCACCCGGTCTTTCTCTGTGCGCTTCTAACCGAACCGATGATTGTACTTGGACCGGTATATACATATGTCAGTCTAGTCACTTCTTTCGTCGTCGTCTGCCGTTCACCGAGCCTTCTCTTGTCAGATGTCATGCTCTAACCTGGTCAAGCACGCTTCATCTAGTGAAGACAAATGGTGCCATTCTGCCTGGCTGTCAATGTGCATTAAGTTGGGCTTGCTTTAGTGTCTAACGCCTCGCCTCACCTCGCCCTATAAAGTGAGTAGAAAATCTCGAGAATTCGTATCTCAAGTCGCTCAACAATATTCACATCAATCAGCTCCTGCGCAATGAAGTTCACACCCGTTGTCACTATTCTCTCTGCCTTTGCCCTCCCCGCATTCGCAGAGGGCGTGTTTGTTGTACAGGATGCTAAGTACAGCAACCCCAACGCGTCCCTCTCTACCGTCACCTGCTCGGGTTTGACCAACCTCTCCTCCCTGTCCAACATTGGAGGTATCCCAGGCGTCCGCTGGGACACAGCCTTATGCGGCAGCTGCTGGAGCCTCACGTCTACCCCGCCCTGCAGCGGCGCTACCATCTTCTTCACAATCGTTGATGACGATTACAACGTCACCGATGCTTCCCCACATGTCGATACTAGCGATGTCGTATACGCTGTCTCCCCAGAAGCGTTCAACGATTTGACTCGACCTTCCTGCCAAGTGGACGTAGTTTATGCTGAAGCCACTCCGGTCGATCCTAGCATGTGTGGCATGTAGAGGCGAGTGTGTTTATCCTCGATGTTTTCCAAGACTAGACCTCTGATTCGGATGTTTAGTTAAGCTGTTGTACTAGAGGGTACTGAGACTGGGAATCGTTGTCGTTGTCGAAGAGGATCTAGAGTTTTTTTTGGTTCTTGGTGGGGCTGTTTGTACGTTGTGGTTTGTAATTTGGTCAGCGCGGTGCAATGTTTGTTGGGAGTTTGATAGGCAGGCTGTGTGTGTATTCAGGGTTGTGAGAGCAAACGCACTGCACTTCCTCCCTTGCGTTGGATTACATTAGCACGGACGACCCCCTGTGAAAACATAAAGGTGTCCGAGTGCAGGATGTTGGAGCTTGCTGGATACACAATATTGATGGCCCAGCAATGCCAATCGGTTCGAATAAGCGTTTTGGTATGGTCCGGTATTGTACGAACAGACACGAGTCAGCTTATTTCTTTCCGCTGACAGGGTGGTGGAATAATGACCTGTGTGGTACAGGTTTGTATGGGTTCGCATTCAAGACATCCGCTAGATCAAAACACCTAGGAGGGTGAAACAGCCAGTTGAAAGGCCAGGTTAGGTCATTGATACTCATCCCAGGAATACTATCGGGATGTCAATAATGAGCTCAGGAAAGACTGGCATATTAGGAGCCGTCTAGTCGATCAACACAGTAAAAGAACAATTTTTTGCATACTGCCCGGTGATCATTACCACGGAGCGTCATGGACGCGCGACTGAAATGGCGATATCAAAGAAGTGAATAGCGCTGTACATACATCCGTGTCATACAAAGTAGGGCATTGTATTCTGCAGGTAAGACCGTGAGCGTGCATTCTGATAGCAGTCTCAGGGGCAAATATCTACCCACCAATCTTTTTTGTTTGCATCCCCTTATCTCTCTCGTTCTCAGGGGCCGCATTATAAACAGTAAAATCTCTACTTCCATCCTCCCTGACCGTTAATATTGACGCCATGTTACCACATCGGTAGCAGTAATTTGGTGCGGACCATACGGTAACGAGCTGGTCGTCAAACATGTACTTGTACCCTTCTTGGACGAGCTGGTGTGCACGAGCAATGAGGCTCAAGGAATTAACATGGTTGAACTGGGGAAAGGTCAGGGCGACATTGAGAGAATATGGTTAAATGGACGAACCTCTCGCGTCACATTTCTGCCGAATAGCCAACCGGCTCCACGTGGACTAACAGGCCCAAGTTTCGATGTCTTCCGGATCAGACCACATGAGGTCTGCGAAGATAAATCAGGAGAAGTCTAGTGGACGGTAATAAGTTCTGACCACAGAAGGCGCCTTCATGAGGAATTTCCTGGGCGCGCGAGAGGACACGAATTTGGTCTAGAGTTCGGATGTCTGGTGATAGGCCACCGTGCACGCACAAAGTCTCTCCGTCTATTATCTATACAAAATTTAAGCGTTTCCAAGACGGACTGGGAACAGAACTTACTGCAGCAAGATTGAGAAATCAAATACACTACAGCATGCTTTCCACACCGCAGCACTGCCATACTTTTGTTGGCATTCATCTATGCAGCGAATTATCAGCACTATCGGACAAGCAGCACTACACCGATAAGTATCACCATAAAATCCATACACCTGGGTGATTTGTCTACTTTCATGGTTTCCACGAAGGAGAGTGACTTTATCTGGGTATCTAAAAAAAATCAATACAGATACAACGACTGCTATCGGTAACAATACCGAGCTTTCAGTGCCAGCAGCAAGGACACGGTCTCCAAACTATAGTGCCCTCGGTCGACGAAGTCGCCCTGATCGACATTAAGCATGTTCAACCCTCCAATCGTAAGCACACATACGTGCCATAAAAATATAACTTGTGTCTGGGACCTTCCCACCCTTTCGTAACAGCTCAAGCAAGTCCCAGAACTGTCCGTGAATATCGCCGCAGATGGTTACTGGACTCGAAACGGGCTGGATATTTGATTCTTCCATAAGGATGGCGCGAACGCGGTCGCAAAGGACTTTCATATCGGGCTCTGGGAGGTGACGACATTCCATGAGTTGGTCTATCCATTTGTCGGGATTATAGGAAGGCATGAGAATAACGAAGCTGATTTCTAGTGTTTGACTCGATAATATGCTGTAGATTGCAGAACAAGCTGGAGGATCGTGCGGGCGGTTTATGAGGCAGGTGCTCGCCGAGGAAGTGGAGGAGGTCCGTGAGAAAGCGAGTAACAGCTGGGAGCAAAGTAAATGTCAAACCACGTACTACTAGTCTAGAGATATAGTTGCTTTTACTTCTTACTCTGGCAACATCAAAATTCGTCGGTCTATCCGAACTCGAAGCCTGTCTTCCATGCGCTGCTTGCGCCAGCTCTTTCTCGTTTCGCTAGGTGTCACAGCATGGGCTCTACACGAATCTGACGTGGGTGTGGTGGATTGGAACACGAAATTAATTGGCGTACCATTATATGGCTCTCCGCATACCGCACCTGCATTTCATGGTGATTATGTTCTGACGACTACAAGCAACAACGTCTTGGCAGCATTGAACGCCACGGATGGCTCAATAGGTGTGCACCGTCCTGCCCACTGATTCCGGTTTCCGACTAACGCGCCTACAGTATGGAGAAGTATATATGATGCGGAGGATCCGATCATGGCCTTCAGCCGCCATGATAATAGTGCGTCATAACGTCAATTTCAAAGTTTACGTGTCAAACATAGTACTAGGCGTATCTTCTTTATCTGGACCGGGAGGGTCAACTTTGCGCACGTACGACCTGGAAACTGGCCACCTCATACTGGAGAAGCAGCTACATAGCCCAGTAGATGGACGACTCCACGAACCCCAAAACCTGGGAATTTCGCTACTGCGCTCTACTGACCCCTCCCTCAACTCAACGGCATATTTCGCATTGACGAACGGAGACTCCGTCACCCGTCTAGACGAGACTGGGGAAATTCTATGGACATGGAACTCTCCTGATCAAGGGTTTGTTTCATTATATTGACATCATACGGTCTTCATTGATAATGGTCAATTAGGTCCTTGGTCTTGTATTCTCACATCATCGCTGACCCTTCAACGGTGTATCTCGTGGGACTCGCGAAGTCAATTGCGTCCTACACTCTGCACGTGACGACCTTGTCATCGACCACAGGCGAAGTCATCGCGTCTGTCAACATTCCGGCGAACATAAAAGACGGCCAATCACAATTCGTCGCGGTTAGCTCCCAGACAGGACTAACAACAGCTGCCTGCATTAACTGGCTTGAAGATGGTGCTCTTAGAGCAGCCGTATTAACGCCTGATTTGAAGGGTCAAGTTATGGCTCTTCCGGGTGTCAAGTACCACAGCATTCGTCACTTCGGTCTTTCGACCAACGGTCAATTTCTCGCAATCACAGACGGAGGCGCTACGCACGTTATACATTTTGACGCACAGACATCTTCACTTCGCCCAATCTGGGAATTCGGTGACGCAGTATGTTTCATCATTTCATCCTTGTGCCGTTTACTGAGGAGTACCTCAGGCCCCTTCGCCGGCGCAATCGGACTCTCATTTCGTAGGAAGCCTTGGTCGAGATGGCCAACCACGAATTGCGCGTGTTTATTGGTCGAACACTCACAATGTAGGCTTCTTCTGTGTCTGCTACAGTTACTTATGCAACTAGAAATTCAGAAAGCCATCCACCAAACTCTTGCCATCCAATTATCTGAAGGCAAGGGATCAGCCTCTGGTTTTGGGTTTCCCTTCCAGACGCTTGACCATGGCGTCGTCCGACACGTGAGCACAATCTACAATTATTCCAGGGAAAAATCTCATTTATATGTTAGGTGGCGTTTGACGGTTTGAGCAGCACGGACGATACGCACTGAGAATACTCGCATGTTGTTGACCACTTCGACAGGTTCAATACAGCTTTGGCAACATGACAAAATGCAGTGGGTACGGGAAGAAGCACTGGCATCTATTCAAGTCGCAGAATTCGTCGAACTGCCCGAGAAGAAGATTGTCATGTCCCATGCTGCTGTAGATGAGGAAGGATACTTTGAGCGCCTTCATCGTCAGCTATCTGACGTAAAGGTACAGGTGTTCATGTATACTGACGTCGCTAAAGCTAAATGACCTTTCAAGAACCTTCCCCAGTACTTAGCAAACTTTGCTAGACGCTTTGCGACTGGCTCATATGCCACTGTATCTGCGTCGGCGGCATCTCCCTCAGCGGAAGATACGCTCACGCGTGACGCTTTCGGCTTCCGACAGATCATTGTAGCCGCTACATCGTATGGTAAACTCTTCGGCATCGACTCCAGCAATGGTCAAGTCTTATGGAGTCGCGTGCTCGGCCTTGGTTGGGCAGCAAAGGTTGGAGGAACCATAATCCCTATCAAGATATTTGTCACGCGGACAGTGAGCGACCCAGAAGGACCTCAAATAGTGCTCGTCACACAACGTCGGGCTGACAACGTGAGCCAATCTTTCCTTGCTGCTAAGGTTTATATTGATGCGGCTCAGTCTCTTGTTGACACTGTGCTATTCCACGTGAATGCACTCACGGGGGACGACGTCAGAGAGGATCCGGGCCCAGTCTACTTCTAGAGCTGCCTTGCAAGGCTTTGATGCCGTCCTTGGTCCGTTGGTCGATGTTTTCATGCTTCCCAACGAGAACCGGACAATAGTCATGCTCGATGAATACCTCCAGGTGTGTTGTGCTCCTTTGCTCAAATCCTTCGCGTCTGACAGTCAATAGACCCGCCTTTATCCAGAAACGCCATCGGCTTTGGCTGAGTTCGAGTCGTTCGTCCCGTCCATACATCTCGCTCTCCGCGCGGGTGTTCCTGGTCAGCGCCAGATTTTAGGCCATCAGCTCACCCTTAACCCCGAGGTGTCCCAGTTCCATGTTGCCTATCCAACATGGACAATTTCGCTGCCGCCAAAAGAGGAAATTCGCGTCATCATTCCGAACACACGGGGTCCCATTGCATCGATTGGAAATGTCCTCGGAAACCGTATGACGCTGTATAAGTACCTCAACCCACACCTGACGCTGGTCCTCACATCTTCCTCGCCATCCCGGACGTGTGGGATATATATGTTGGACGTGGTCAAAGGTAGTGTGATTTACCATGCCAGCGTTCCTGCTGCCGGTGGTGTATGCGACGTGCAAGCGGACTCTTACCGAGAACTGGCTGGTGTACCATTACTTCGACTGATGAACTTGCCTGGAGTTGGGCAGAGCAAAGGAAATAAAGTCATCTCTGTTGAGTTTTACGAGGGTGATGGTCCAGATGATAAGACAAGAAGGTTGGTCTTTTGCTGGTAGGTTTCGGGAACGAGACTGACGATATTGACATAGCTCCGAGCTTTCAGTCGTATTCCAACAAGACGCTGCACGTCAGCGCGTATGAACAAGCATTCATCATGCCTCACGGTATCACTGCTATATCGCCAACCTTGACAAAGTTTGGAATATCAACGAAGGACATCATAGGTATGATTTCCTCGTGACTCGGCGGTGCCGTTTTTTCACGCTGTTACGCAGTTGCAAATCGCAAGAACAGCATTCAGTCTATTCCCCGGCGATTACTCAATCCAAGACGTCCGAAGCACAAGCCTACTAGTGAAGAGCAGGAGGAAATGCTCGTACAGTATGATGCTGCGCTGCCAGACGACGCCCGACTCGTGCTCTCACACAACTACGAGGTTCGTATACTCTCAATCCTCGAGGTACACGATACTCACGCACTCCACAGGTTGCAAATGTCCGCCGCATCGTTACCTCTCCATCTCTGCTGGAGTCCACGTCGCTGGTCTTTGTCTACGGCCTGGACCTCTTCTTCACGCGCATCGCGCCTTCGGGCACGTTTGACGTCCTCAGTGAGAATTTCAATAAAGTGCAGCTTGTGCTGACGGTTGCTGGGCTGGGGATTGCGATTGTGGTGACGAAGCCTATGGTGCGACGGAAACGGTTGCGCGAGCGTTGGTACCAGTAGCTTGCCCTTAAGTATTGTACTTGTTCCGAAATGCAAGATCATATAGACCAGGGTTTGCGAGTGCCTATAAAACGGAACGCTTACGATGTTTTGTGGCGTACCAACGAGACCCTCCTCGGAGTCCAGGGTGTGACTGATATTTGAGTCGGCTGTTCCCTCGATATTATTCATCGGCATGTTGTTTGTTGACCACTTCAGACGAAGATCAAGAAATAGTAGATGGTGATTGGATGGCGAGCTTTACCGCGTAATGACCGGCCCTCAACCTAGGGAGATTAATAGGGGAGACCTCCTGGATACTAACATTTGTTCGGGAGGAAGCCAATGTCACTCGGTCGTATCATTTTTCCAAACTACCTTGCGTCGGCTACAGCAATTTTATTTGTTCGATTCTCCCTCAGTCCAAAACAAGTGAACAATGCATGAATTGAACTGGATTATGATAATGATGGGTAACTGGTATATACCTTCAACCCTTTCTACTGCCAACGCTTACGTCTCATATTAATAGGTAGTCACGAGACTTGGGATCCACTACTACTTCAAGGGAAGGAATGAGGGTAATGTTTTCCACTCGCTGCTCATTCCGTCGTTACGTCGCGGCCAAAATCAGGCTCTCTAGGGGACAGTTTGACCGTGCTAACAATGCCTTGAACTCCTCGTGAGGCCACGGATTCACAACAAGCACGCGTAAATTGGGAAGTGGTGATGAATTGAACAGGTCGTGGAGTGTGCTGTCATACACATAGGTGATGCGCAAGGATTGAAGTTTAGCATGCCTGAATGGCTGAAGAGAGGTCGGCCTGAGTTGCCTGGACAATATGCCAATCGTTAACGAGGAGAGGTCGGGAGAGAGACGAAGCAAGTGAAGCAATACACATTTGGTTGATGTATGGGGAGCTCGAGGTTTGTCAGTTGTGGTAATATGGGATTGAAAGACGATAAGTCCTCGATGCCGACGAAGTACCCCACTAGCTTGAGACTACGTAGAGTGGACGGCACTCGCGAGACGGTTTGTGACATAGGTGGCAGTTCATATTCTAGATCTGGCCTTGCGGCGAGCTGCTGAAGTGCTGGGAGGTCTTTCCACATAACGTGGGGATTGGCGCCTCGGTAACATTTGATATAGAGAGACGAGATTTGATTGATGTAAGGCTTAAGAAGGCTTCGTGTGTGGGTCTCGTCGTCTTCATAGAAATCGAGTGTTAACATCCTTGGGTTCGCTCGAGCCATGAGGTATAACAGAAAGCTGCCTGCTCCCATTTCCTACGCTTGCTCAAATACAGGTTGCACCAAAAACTAGGCATGCCCACAACAACGTCCCTCCATCGTCGGCATATTCTGGTCAACAGTATGGGAGCACTTCGGGTTGGGTGGGGCGACGGGTAATCGCGTTCCCAGTGGCGGAAGTCCGGGAGACAGTGATGAAAAATTTGGGCTAAAATCTCAGTTGGCAGGCGCCAGAGAGGCGATACAAGTCCCTGGTGCAAATTCATGGACTTGGCAATCCTCTCCTTCTTTTCGACGAGCTGCTGGTCAATACTATTCATGATAGATTCCATGATACGAATACAGTAAAAAAGGCCTTGCTCTGAAGTGTTGGTTCGGGCGAAAAGGAGTAGAACTCCTTATAGTTGTTTGTTGTAATGTTACGTCGAAGTGTTCCAGGAAGAACGGAATATAAAGGAAGATGTTGGCTTACCGACGCGTAATGACCGGCCCTGAATCTAATTATGTGGAACCGTGTTCAACATTGTGGCACTAGGTCTCAGTCTTCACAACCTCTCAACAAGTTCTGTCGGACCAACGAGTGTCCTGCAGTCTGCTAATAACAGGCTATGTCTCATACGTCTGAACCAGTGGATCTTCTCGACCCAGAATTCGACGAACTGAATGTTCTCGATAGCTCCAGGTCCAGTACAACTCTAATTGGTGACGGGACTCCTCCAGTCGAAGAGGGGAAGAAACTTACCATCAAGTTACGTGCACGGAATACTTTACACAGCGGAGATAATGTTCAGACGACGGGAAAGCGCGTCAGAACTATTTCACTGTCTGCCAAAGACAGCGGCCTGAATTCTCAGAAAAAGCAGAAGATGGAAGATAAAAAAGCGGTAAGGCTCTATATTGTCATAATACTGAGATGATGCTGATGATAATTGATGTTCTAGAATACCATAGTCATAAATGCAAGAAGGGTGCAACTCGAATCTGCCCGTAGACGCTGGATGTACCGCCATCGCGAACTGTTTCAACCACTATTGCCCTCGACATCATTCTTCGACACCCTGTGCAAGGAAATGAAGGAAATGGGAGGAAACACGAATTATGTCCCACTCCGCGTCCTCACGACCCAGCCTTCGTTGATAGAGGGCGGTGAAATGAAGGACTATCAAGTACGTATAACGCATCTTAACCACGTAGCACTCGCTGGAATTCTTCTTGCTTGCAGCTTCAAGGACTTGCATTCCTTATCTATATGTATAAGAATGGTGTGCTTTCTCTCTCTCTTTATGATGCGTCTAAAGAGACTAAGACTACTCGTAGGGATGAACTGCATATTGGGTGATGGTAATTTCACTTTGTTTTATCTCGTACGTCACGACGTTGACGTTTTGTCTAGAAATGGGTCTCGGAAAAACACTACAGGTACTTCTTCCCTCCTGATCCACATCCTCTATCTGACATCGTGCCAGACACTATCCCTCTTTGCACATATCCAAGAGAACGAGACGGGTATGCCACCCACAACGACCCACTTTTACTTAACGCTGAGAATTGGTTGCAGGCAGTCATGATCCCCATCTCATCATCTGCCCTCTTTCTGTTTTGTCTTCCTGGCAAAACGTAAGATTTGATTCCCATCCCCGAGCGTTTCTCATGTTTGCTATCAATTTAGGAAGCTGCCCGTTGGGTACCCTCGTTGCGGGTGTTTCGTTTCCACGGTAGTCAGTCAGAGAGAGATCGGCTGAAGAACAGCGTCCGGAACGATGACATCAAGTTTGATTTATGCATCACAACTTATGAGGCGTATGTTTGCGAGGACTCTTGGTTCAAGAGTCGACGGTGGTTTTATTGTGTTCTCGACGAGGGGCACAGGATTAAGAATTCAGATACCAACCTCTTCAGCAAAGTCCGTGGCATAGGTTCCCTTTACCGACTCAGTAAGGCGTTTCGTTCGCGATGTATCTCGTCATCTCACCAGTGCACTGCTAGTCCTTACTGGCACGCCTGTGCAAAACAATCTAGTCGAGCTATGGGGTCTCTTGAGCTGGCTATACCCAACCATATTCACCGCTCCTTCACAGCGGTTGTTCCACGAATCCTTCGACCTCTCTCGTGGTTCCTATTCGATACCCTTCCTAAAGGCGGCACAAGAGCTTTTGACTATCATTATGATGCGTCGCACGAAGGCGAGCGTCGATATAGCAGTGCCGCCACGCGAGGAGCTTACCTTATTCATACCCATGACGGAAGCACAGAGGTTCTGGACTTACAGATTATTAACACGGATGGATACAATGGAACTCAAAGAGATATTTACAGAGGAGGATGGCCCGATGAATGAGGGTCGCAGGGAAGTCTTTTCGCACATCGCCTCAGCAATTAACCGGAATGTTTCTGGAGAAACAAATGGCAGTAAGCACCTCCTTTGATCGTTTATATATATCGCATGCTCACAACACCAAGGATGGCGGAAGCTCATGAATTTGCTGATGCAGCTGCGTAAAGTCTGTGACCAGTAAGTCGTATTTTTAGTCCCCTTATGATCGTTGCTGAGGTTAGACGACAGTCCTTATTTGCTGAAAGACGCGTCTCCTTCGCCGTATATTGTTGGCGAACACATTGTTGCCTCTTCCTCGAAACTCATCGTCATCGACAAGCTTCTTGCTGATATCCTGCCGAAAGGAGAGCGTATTTTGATCTTTTCAGTGAGTTCTTCAAAAATACATGTACAGCCTGAGACTGACGAGTGGCCATAGCAATGGACAAGGTAAAGGGCAATCACTCCTCCACTGAATACACTTTGACACAACGATATTAGCATGCTTGATCTCCTGGAGGATTACATGGAGCTACGGTCAATACCATACGCTCGGCTCGATGGCGGCACAACCCGCCCTCGACGGAATCTTGATATCAAGCTGGTGGGGATAATTTTCTTGCCCCGCTAGCTGCTTGCTGACGCCCGCTGTCTGTAGTTTCAACAAGAAAAGTCTCGTATGGTCTTTGATTTATACTGTATCATCTGTGGACTGAAAAGCGTTTAGCATATCAGGTCTTCCTTGTTTCAACCAAAGCTGGTGGACTCGGTACGTGAAGTGTTGCTTGCAGCGGTCGGATTTTTACACTTGGATAGGTATAAACCTTACAAAAGCATCGACCGTCGTTATGTGCGACTGTGATTGGAATCCTCAGGTGAGCGTACCGCGCCAGGTCTACTTGATGCTCGCTAAAACCAATCACAGAATGATTTACAAGCGATTGCTCGGGCGCACCGCATTGGCCAGACGAAAACCGTCAAAGTAGGTTTCTTCCTGTATCACAACTCACCATACAAACAAAGTTCTTGTAGGTATACCGCCTTGTTTGTCGTGGCAGCGTCGAAGACCAGATGCTTGACCGTATACGTCGCAAGATGTTCCTGTCGCTGAAAGTCATGTCTTCCTCGTCGTCGTCTTCTCCCAATGAGGATAATACCCAACTGAAGACTACAGAGCTCCTAGACATTTTGCGCAAGGGGAGCAGCGCGTTATCTCGATCAGATTTAGGCATGGACTTGGGGACGTTCCTCGATGCGCCCATCCAAGAGATTTTAGACGACTCACGAGAGCGAGAAGGGGCTCGGGATGCCAAGCTGAAGAAAGAGCTAGTGTCTTCGCATGACGCTGCTCAAGAGATCGATGAGAAAACGCTGCATGACGCAGAGGAAGAGGAGCAAAGGCTTCTTAGCGGCGTTGCTCAAGTTCAGAGCAGGCTCTTCGAGGGCAAGCTCGTCAAACGCAATCAAAACAACAGCCAGATCGCGCAGGAGTGGCAGGAACTGCAGAAACGAGCGCACATAGACAGGACCGTTGTGGTGGATGGTATCACAGTTATCGCCGATCATATGGGCCAGAGCGCGGTTCGTGTGCTGCTCTCTGCGGAATATAAGCTGTACTGACACATACCTTCATTAGCCAGAGGAAATAAATCCGGCCTCGAAAAAGAAGGCGAAAGCAACGCGCGAAACAGAAGATTGGTGCATTTATTGTCGAGATGGTGGCGACGTCGTCCTCTGCAACTCGTGTCCCCGAGGTGAGACTGAACGAGCCTGTGGTTTAGCGTGCTCCTGACGCCATACTACTAGTATTTCATCCTAAGTGTCACGGTCTCACCGCAGCGCAACTCCGCAAGCTACCTTTGGTCCGATGTCCCCAACACAAGTGCTCAGTTTGCGATCGCTCCACTGGTGATTCAGGAGGAATGTTATTCAGGTGCGTAGAATATCCTCGATAGCGATTTAGTCTAACATCATGTAGGTGCCAAACATGCTCACAAGCGTTCTGCGAAGACTGCATGCCTGAGGGGGAGATCGATGCTGTCGGGGATGTGCTACCTGAGTTGTGAGTGCATGGTGGTTACCTGATGAGCTTAGCTTGACTGACGTATCTCCGATTCTGCAGTTTATTGTTGGGCTACGGTGCTAAGACTTCAGCATACTACATAAGATGCCATGAGTGTCATGAACATTGGAAGCAGGAGCCACAGGCCTGGAAAGCCTGGGAAGAAGAAATGGCGGAAACACAGGCGAAACTGGAATCCTTGCAGACTACGTAGAGTTTTGGGAGTGTGAGTTTACGTGCCTTGATCGATTTAGCCTGCAGCATACGCGTTCTAGCAACCACTGTAATACTTAAGCATCATACAGTGGAGCAAGACACAGCTGAGCACTATATCTTGGCGGGCGTTGGAGTAAGAGATGCGGCCGCAACAAACTGCCACATTCAGACTCTTGATCGAGAGGTTTCGTCACTGGTCCTCCCAGTATGACGTCACTCTCGGCCTGGCAGTATAAAACCTCGTCTCTCCTCTTACCCGTCGACCGACATCAAGAATGACGAGCATTGTAGTACCAGCTGCCACGCCCCCCACTGAGTGGGCGGACAAAACTGAATCCATGTTCCAGTCCGACACTATGAACTCTGATCTCGCTAAGAGGACTGAGGAACACCCCAACACAACCACGGCGAATTTGGACACCCCAGGTCAGGAATTTCCTGGTTCCTACCCCGGAGAACCCGAGCAAGAGCAACAACAACAGCCTCGCGGGGACGGGTCTGAAGGTCCCACGACGGTTGCCTCAGTCGTTCACGCAGCGAAGCAGTACATCCCAGAACAAATGGAGCGTACCGTCGAGACGGCGACCACGTATATTCCTCAGGGCATCAAAAATGCGGTTCACTATTTGTGTGCGCTTATGTTATCTCGTACATGAGCTTTCCTGTTCTAACTGACTTCTATCAGCCCCTGACAAGGATTCTCAGGCCAAAGGGACCCATTCAGAGCAACACCTCTCTACTTCTCTTCCAAGTTCCGAGTTAAAAGGTGCTCAGCCTTGCGAACACGTTGGGGGTGTTGGTTCCCTGCCAGGAACTATATCAGAATCAAGCGTCGCATTACTACCTGATGAGCGGGCAGAGAAAGGTGCCCAAACACCGGTCAATTTGAAAAAGGACGACACTCAAATACAAGGTGGTAACCGAGCAAAAAATGCCACTTATCCCGTAGGTGCTGCTGTTGCGGGGAAGCCAGAAGTAAGTACAAGTCCGTCTCTGCCTCTACACCTGTCTTCTTTCTCGATGTTTATTTTTGGGCGAGTTGATGCGAGCCATGGTGCACTGCATTTTGCTGCTGAGATTATGTGTTGTCCGCGGATGGGATAGTTTCGCTTCTTTTCGCTTTCGCTTTCTCGTCGTATTGACTTTGGTGTCGTCCTCGACTACTCCAACGTCGTCATCGGCATTTCACGGGAGCTATTTATTCGCGGGAGCACATTGCCACTTGTCGCGGGCTCATTGCCGGACACATGTCAGGTTCGATCATGATCGCACCAAGTCGCATCACTGATAGTGATGGCAATGTATTTCAATTCCCGCGGTGTCGTTGCTGCGGATGGTTTTTAGATTCTTGTTGAGGAGTTGAGATGTTCAGTGGCTTCCAACGCACGTGGGACTCGGACTCGCCTAGGTAAACACCGAGTCCCTGACGTCCATGGGGCCTTGGGGCTTGATACGTGGGCTGGGCTGTGCCATGCTTATGGCTCTTCTTCTCCGGGGTTTTCGTAGAAAGCGCTGTACTTCTCGGTTGTTAACCTCGGTCGTCCATTGACTTGCGCGTCTGTTTCTGTTATTCACCGTTCCCTCGTTGCATCTAAAATCTGACGACGGTTATCTTCATTGTAGCCTTCTATCCCTGCGAAGGATCTGTGTTCTCAGGCTCAGTCCAGTCAGTATGGGTCGCAGACAGATCCTCCGCAACTGGACACAACACCGACGACTCAGCATCCTGCAAAGCTTTCTGACCCAAAGCTCGCATCCTGTGAAACCACTCCGAAGCACGAAGTGCCTGAAGGGCAACGTTCACGCTATGCTGAGGCAACTGGTATTGGCGGAGCCGCCATGGGAGCGGCTCAGACACGTGATCAGCAACCAGGCGAGACAGCAGAGAGTAAGGCAGCCAAAACTGCCGTGGCAGGAGGTGCAGTGGGTGCATGCGAGCCGGCGAAGGAAGGTACGTGCACGTCGTTTTTGATGCATTTTCTATAAACCAATTATGGTTCAAGCGGGCTTCGACGATAGGGCTCGCGATAAGAAGGACATTCATGGTGAAGAAGCCGGTGTGTATCATCAAAAGGAAGCGAAGCAGCCTGGGGGTGAAGAGTGGACCAAGAGCAAAGGCGATAGGAACGGAAAGGACGATGTAGGCAAAGTTACTGGTAACAAGGGCAGCGAAGAGGGCGTCAAACACACTCGTCAAGCTGAAGCAGGAGGCCACGATACCGATTACCATTCAGCGAAGCTGCATCCTCTGCGCGCTGGCGAAGGAGCAGATCAGGCGGAATCTCAGTCAGGTTCTCCTGTGTCGCTAACATCTGCGCCTTCAGCGAGCGAGACAAACAGCCCCAAGGAACGTCGGGTGAGTTTCCTGGATAAAGTACGAGGCGAGGCAAAGATAATCGCCGGGAAGATGAGTGGCAAGGAGGGTAAAGTGCAAGAGGGTAAACGAATAATGCATGGCGAAGTGTAAGCTACCGAGGAGCTGCGATTCTTTTTTTCCGCCCTAGTTCACTCTCTCATGCCAAATGTTGTAATGTCTAGCGCGCTTAATTTCCACTGCTTGATTCCTGTCCTTGGCCCGCAGTCGCGTCGCACGACGTCACTGAGTAGCAGAACATGACATCATTTATTCGCAAGTCAATTAGCTAGTCACGAGTCTTATCTACCGGTCCCAGTCAACAATCACGAGCACCTCATTGGTTGTGGCCAATCCACTGTCTCCCACAGCATTGCTGCGGATGAGCGGTTATATGACTGAAACTGCCTGATCACATCTATCAGTGATAGTCGAACGGAAAGAACGATAATGTCGCTATAAGCGTTTCCTTCCTCATGCAGCAGGAAGAAAGATGAAAGAAAGCCTGTGAGAGGGAGCTCCAAGGCCGCCAGTTGCCGAATGAAAACGACGACATCATCGTATTAGCTGTGGCAGGCGTTCTTCAAAACACCCGAAGCCTTAAAGCCCATCGAATAATTCATGGAGACATGGTGATAATTCTTACCCACCGGAAGCAGAGTCCATCAACATAAGGTATGAAAACTAACAGGGGGTTCCTGGTTGGGTGATTCACACATTGACAAACAATCATGGGACGGATGACCGCCTGATAGGACAAGCAGTAAATAAATCTTTTAGTAAGGCAGTGCAGCGAAATAAGTACCATGTGGAGATTGTCCTAGAGGTTAGAGAGATTGTGTTGACAAGGGCTCATGGAAAAATACTCACCGCAAGCAATTTGACTTCCGTGAACATATGTCACAGTTGATCCCGTGTTCTGCGACTGACCTCGGCGCGACTGATTGGTCGAATCTGGACCGAATGCATGGAGACTGGACAAGTACTCTCGTTTAATTTTGTTGAGCACCGCGCTCTAAGCTGCAGAAAAGGAAAACCTTGCGATGTAAAATATAGCTAGACACAAACTTCGTGAATCGTCGTGCCCACGACTGTCCTATCGCACACAAGTCACATACGTTTGACATCGACTCTCACCGAGATAGTCGCTGAAAAGGATTGCCAAGAGCAAGTTCAAATGGGTGTTAATCTAGAACTTGATGCAGACGATGAGAAGCCACGGTGTTCAATGTACCCACTCAGGCTGGTAACGTATTTAGGCATTGTTGTTCGTATGAAAGCGGAACTTCAACCTAAATATCCTAAATTATAGCCAGACCGCTTAGTCACGGCACCCGCTTCACAGCTAACACAAGACTACCCCAACTCTTCAACGGTCGGGGACTATTATGATAGTATGATACGAGCTACTCATAGTATCATCACAGTAAGTCATTCAAAACAGGAACTCTACGTGTTATAAAGACTCTTATCTCTACTCACATACACAGTGGTTTGGGAGGTCATTCTCAAACATCTACTCAGTCGTAGACAGGCTGCTGCATATTCTGTAACGTCTGATCTGAGAGTGTACACAGCTGTTGACCGCAGTACCGTGACTAAAGCCCTAAGCTGGAGACCGGTACTAGTCACCAGTCAGGCGAGCTCTGACTCATGTCACTTCTCCTGGTCAGACGACAAGGAAGCAGTCTTTCCTTCTGAATCTCCAACTACCTTTTCAACCGTCGCACATTTCAGATTCGAATTAGAATTTTAAACACTTACAATGTTAAGATGAGTTTTGTGTCCAAATATCATCGCTGAGCATGAATTCACCAGTACGATCTGAATCAACGGCGGTAGCGGAACTTTCAAATGCCGAGGATCACCAAAGGCACGCGATGAGCGATTAAATCATTCTCACTCATCGCGCAATCACTAAATATCTCGCCAGGGTGTCAGTGCTTTAGGCCACGCGGTTTCTTGAAGCCTCTCGAACGGCGTTGCTGCAAGTTGCCGCAAGGACCATTGGCATGTCTATGCGCTTCGTGTGCAGACTCTCACCCTCGTCACTATACCAGACTATACTTTCGGCGGGCTCGGAGTTGGACAAAAAATTAACCGAGAGTAGCAGCAAAGTGACGGATGGCACGGCGGCCTCCTTCGAGAAAATTATTTAGCATGGACATAAACTCGTCATAATCTGGAGTCATTCTCGTTCCTGACAGAGCGTTCGTGGTTGCGCGATTGTGGGACGAGACGCAGTACGAAGCTTCTTTACAGTCGATGTCCCGCAATTTCGAGTTCACATCTAATAATTGAAGGACAGCCTAGGGCGCATGGTCACGGCTTTTACTGTTGATCCGCAGTAAGAGAAAAAAATAGACGAGGACTCGTGATTGCCATCTATTTGTTTATCATGGCCAAAGCATGGCATCCCGTCCCCGCTACGGGCATCGGAGATTCAGGGCCTACCAAGCTGACAGTCCAGACATGTATTGACAATAATACATCTTCCATCAGGTTCCCATGAGCTACAATCGGCTACTGGTGACCGTCATGCTTAGATCTTGACTTATGTCGGACGTGGTAGTGCACACTGGTTCGTCATACTTTGGTCCGGGTCTTGGTTGTAGTATCAGGATTCGCGTCGTTGAGTACGACGGTCAAAGATTGAAAACTTCCGCGAATGCGGCGCACGTGCACGTTCCTACTGCTAGTAGGCGTACAGGTATAGCAAAATGCGAGAAGCATACTATCGTCACTGCAACCACATGCTTGAAGCCACAAATAACTCATACAGATTTAGATTGAGCACAAAAAATGGAAACCTGATAGAATCCACGGTGCAGGGTGTAACATTTACGCGGAAGTGAACAGTCAGCGCGTTGGCGTGCGAGCACCTTCTTCGATTAAGAATTGGGGTTCACATCGAAGAGCTGATTAATATCACTTCACGCAAAGATATCAAGATGCAACTCTAGCACGAGAGTTGGGCCGCGCGATGGCCAGCGTGAAAGCTCTGTGAACGGAACCACAGGATTTTTTCTCTCCCCTGAAACACACGCTGTGGGCTGAGCACCCCGACGTTGAGTGTGGTGTTCGGCGCTGCGTTGAGACACACGGAAATGAACAATACCTCAAATGTGTTCTGGCATTCGGGACTTCAAATTGTCCGAGGACCGAGTATCATATAAGAGTCTCTTGATATGTTCTTCACCGCCTTGTCAGTCACAGGAGGTTAACATGGTCGGGGAGAGGATGGTTACATATTAAAAGTTGCGTCAGGAAAATATCGGCCGTTCCAAGAAATTAACAAAACGAACGCAGGGCCTCTGCAACGTCCGGGGAAAAATAACAACAAACCAAGACGTTTCCAACGTCAGAGGCGAGGGGGAAATGCTATAACACGACTTTGAAGCTATTGAGTACTCGTCTGTCCTCTGCAGATAAGGGACTGTAGCTTGTTGGAGAAGGATGACCGAGCTGCACAGATTGCGGGGAATGAGGTTGTCGAAATTCTGGTGCAGTACGTTGATCAGTCAAAATCGAAATGCTAGGTAGGGTCGTCTCTGTATGTCCAGGTCTCATGGTAACAGCCGATGCCGGCAGATGACTTGGATGATGCTGGGTAGGAGACAAAGGGATTGACGATGACGAAGAAGCGGAAGACATAGGCCGTCTGGGGATTCCATGCAAATTAGAGTGCTGACTTGGTCCGCCATGTACATGGCCCGCCGAATTGTATGGGTCCATTCCATCAGTGGTGAAAGAGAAGCGATCGGTGCGAGATCCGCTGGCTTTGCTGGAGACAAATATGCCACCCGGAACTCGTAAATTTCGAAGGTAATCGTAACTTTCGATGACAGGAAGCCGGACATAGTCATCCCCCTGTTGCGGTAATGGATAAGATGCCCCCTTGGATCGTGTAGATCAAACTCACTGTGAAGTATGCAACAACATGCCATTTACGCGGGAGACTTGAGCCCGGAAGATAGACTAATGCGGAGTAAGTTTGTTTCGTTAATCCGTTCGGACGATTAGGACGATCCTTTCTTCTGTTTGTCGGAGGAGCCACAGCGAGTGGATCAGTGGTACGAAGTGCTCTGAGATGGTGTGAACACCAAGACAGATGTTGATTCAAAGGGCAACGAATTACCTCAAAGCAGCTTTAGCATCTTTCTCTTCCTGAGTTGTCTCCATCTTCTCCTCGTAGAACAGGTAGTCACCACGCATCCGACTTTGCGACCTGGGAATGGACTCATGTCATGACAACGTCTACACAAAAGAAAATGACAAGTACCATCTACGCCCGTCTGTCCAGCGTAGGAGTCCTCCATCGCTCTCAGCTTCCTCCCAGACGAAGACGTTCCCGGAGGATAACTGCTCTCTTTCTGAAGCAGTGAGTCGCCGCTTGATCAACGGTAACATGTTGAGGCGCACGGCCTCGAGGACGACATGCGCGTCTTTGGCGTCTCGGACATCTTTGGTGACTCCTTAAGATACAGAGCCACTAAGAGGAGGTGACGACTCACGCAGTGCAGGATGTGTCGGGGGTCCGTTGTGGACAACAGGTGAATAGTGCGACATTTTAGGTAGGATCTGAGATAGTAATTAAAAACCGCTACTCAAATGAGAGGGCTTTATAGTCTCAGACGTGTTTGACATGGACGGAGATCTCGAACAACGTGGATAACAGAATCCTGGCATGAGACGAACAAACCTTGTTTCGATGACCCGCATTCAGGTACCCGCTCCAGAGCGCAAGTTCGCGCGCCAAAGTTCTTCCTGCCGTAAAAACACCCCTGTACCGATCAGCCGATCGTCCGAATAAGCAGAGAAGATAAATCGGCGAACCTTCTCACATACCAAATTCAAGTGGTCGGCAAAGCTCGTGAGATATTATTTGACCTTGTAGTCCATTCAGACAACTCAGTGCCCGGGAGAAGGTCATTAAACAGAGGCTAGACGCAAGCCAAGCTGTGTATCATGTTGCCCAAAAACAAACACAACATCATGAACGAGAGTGGGTTGAATAGCCTGGGTACTCATCCACGGCAAAAAAAAATCCCCACGAGAAAGTCGGGTGTAGTCAGACTCCCATCGAATAAGCATGCCGGCGGAAACCACGAAGGGGGCGAGTTTAGTTCAGCAAAGTGACATGCGATTGAGATCTTCCGCTGTAACTACATCGCTCATTTTGATTGGCAGGTCCATGCGTCAAAAGTCCAGAATTAGGGTTATCACTGCAGGCCTAGCGAAAGTCCCGAGTCACTGTCTGACAATTCCGTCGCTCCAGAATGCCGAGTGCAGGCTCAATGTGATTTTTTGTCTGCTTACTCGTTATATCGGGTGTTAGACCTTGAAACAATTGGCCGTGTCTTCTGACGTGCTGTCTAAGCGTATTTGAAGCGCCAATATGGTGAAGGAAGCTGGCACTGCGATAACATAGTTGAATCAGTACAATCCGCGGATTCATCGGAAGAAGATTCGCTGAACTGAGAGAGAGACTCATCCTGAATCAACCCAATTCGTGATGAAAACTCAACAGGCTGAGCAGGTTAATCGCCGTGTTGACGTGGGGATCAGACTTGGAGTGCTGGGGAGAAGTTATCGGTTTCACCTCGTGAGTAATATGGAGGGTATCTTCGCTTGAGATACGGCGACCGAGTCTGGATTACCGTGTATCATCATTGAGACTGCAGTCTCTGACACGCCCATAGCTCTCCCGCGAGTATCATTCCGATTCAGAGAGCATACCACTTACGAGAAATAGCTTTCGCCGTGTCGGAAAAAGATTGTTCTTCACTTCAAGCTCCGAAGGAGACTCGAAATAGACTTCCGCCACAAGTACGGTGACTGAGTTTGCTTCTGACCACATCGTGAGTCATGATCGTGATCACGGTATGAATATTCAGGCCTCAGGATGAATATACAACTTGAACTGGCTTATGGCAAATTTAGATAGTATTTTACCTGGAAAAGCAAGGTAGTTCCTGCGGTCAGGTGGCACGGTTCCAGAAACCATACCCATGGCCCCGAAACCAGGACTTGGCCATACAAGCTTCAAGCTTGTTTTCCATGCCTTATTCAAACCCTCAGATTGCCTTCGCGCAGGCGCAGATTCAATATCATAATCATGGTAGTAACAGGTATTCCACCGCAGCACTCCATCATAATCAATTGCAGCCTAGATGCTGGGACCAGGGACAGGCGTATTTATATATGAGATGAATGCGACTGTAGACTTTACCCATGCGGGGACTGTCCGTCTTCCTGGCAGGCATTCGGATAAAAATACGGCATTGTCGCTTTCGGTGAGCCCCTGCATAATGCATCACGCCAAAAAAATGGTGGGTTAGCTAATATTAGACGGTCGACGCATTTTTATCTTTGCGAGTCGCGCATTGTGCCGGACGGACAACTACTAGCATGATGCTAAGAGATATAAGAAGTTTTACGACGGGTTGGTCTTGATAGGAGGGTTGGAAAAAGTTCCCTTGTGCCGCGTCGGGACGAGAGAAGTATAACATCCGGAATGGCTGTCCGAATCTGAGGACGTAAGAATAATTGCCCGCTGCCTTTTCGAACAGTGGCGATTAGAACGTCACAGAAATCTCACCTTGAACCCCTGATGACGCTGAAATGGACATGCGTCCGAACCAATGATTTGGTCAACAAGTTGACATTGAAAGATATGCATCATGTTAACGGCAAAAGCACCACTGGACAATTAAATAACGCACTTTTGCCAGGAATCGCGCTTTTTCAAGTCATTTATTTGAAATTAGGAAATTCGTGCCTAGAAAGCCGCGAGTCCGCGATGTTATAAGGTGTGCTGTGATATTGAGCCTGATTAGAACAGCGATGATTGGCTGCCTGAGCTATAAAACTCGGTACCGAAGCTGACAAAATTTGACAAGCCAATAGACTACTCGACATTAGACTGATTTACTGGGGGAGAAAGTCCTCACGGACGGTGATACGTATCGGTATTCCAAGACCTTGGAAAATGTGAGCTTGCTAATGGCATGTGAGTGTCATGTTGAGGAAGCAACAATTATAGAGGTGCGAGCCAAATTTCCTGGTTGGCGATGGAGAGACAAAGAACACTTATCGGGGAGTCACAAATGAGGTGGTATCCGTGGAGCTTGCTTGCAAGAGGTCACGCGGACGAAGGACGAGAATTTTCTAATTCGAAGCCTCCTCCTTGCGGGCGGTGGAAGATACATAAGCCTTGCCATGGGACGGATTCAAAGTTCATGAGAATGAAAAGGACAAAACCCACCCAAGCTGTACAGAAAGAAGCACTTATAATGTGCCTGGGCGCGGTTGTGCGGGGCCGCCATATGTGCAACGCGGCCCGATCGGTAAAACCACGAATACTTGAATCCTGCTTACTTTTTAGTACTGGATGACTTTCCGTATGGGCTGAATTATTAGATCGCTTTGAAATGCAAGAAATTCTTATTCGCTGTATGACGCGTAGCCACCGGCGCTTTGGATTGTGAAAGCCAGAAATAATTTCCCGGGCATTGATAAGATACTGTATAATTTCGACCTTAGGTTCGTCACACTGTAGCTAGCTTGATGAACCGAACCTATTTTTTGTGACAGTCACAGCTGTTTTTGGGTTGACGAACCTAATTTTGTGACATAACATATGATATGTTTGTTTTGAGATATGTTTTTTTAGGAAAACATTCACCTAACCACTTTTTCCACTCCTTATTGTCATTTTTGAGCTATACTGTGTGTAGAAAGTACATATATTATCCTACTGAACATGTATATATGAACCTTATGAACTTATTTTAAGTTTGTCACAGCTGTCCTCGAGAGACGAACCTGTCACAAAGCCATTAGGTAATGCAGTGCAGAAACTCCCACGAACCTAAGGTCGAAATTATACAGTACGTACCAAGTGATGTAATTGTGATTCGAGTCTAGATGTCCACTAGAGTTCGCGCATTTTAGGGGTAACGTCTATTATTCCACAACGCACAAACATAAAAAAAAAATCCTTTGAGAGTTCGATAGCCTGACATTGAAAGTGAAACATCTGCTAGTTTTTTTTTTCGAAACTCGACGTGTTGAGTCCGGCGGAGAGTCACCGCGTAGAAAAAGTGCATTTTCCCTACAGTTCGCGCACTTTGTCACACGATGTCACGCATCTGCCGCAATGCCTTTTCACACTCCGCAGTGTCCGCAACCGTTCGTACAGTGTGTTGCGAGGAGAGAGAGAGAGAGAATTTCTATATTTATATACCGCAACAAACAAGGTAAACTGTTAAGACGCGGTGCCCTGTTAGGGCTGTACTGGGGGATGTTGTAACAGGGTAAGGGGTGTAAGTATAGTACGAATAGCCAAGCGGTCCGCGTTTGAGAAGTTTCGGTGCGCGTATAAGTTAGTGTGTTGCGAGGACTTTAATTCGGCATTGGTGTTTTTGTGCCGCATTTCGGCATTGCGGAGTTTCGATTTACACAGTCTCATGTAACGCTTTGAATAGATTGTCACGTCTGAGGCATATTTCTTTTATTGTAGATGATCCTGACAAGCATGTGGCCCCAGAGAAATTTGTTTTAGTATTCTCTCATTGTGTATAACCATCGTACCGCATTCCAGAATTTTATGTAGTGATCTGACCTTTAGAGCGAGCCTTCTATGCACAAAACTAGCCTCCAGCACCAATAAGTTGGCCATGACGAGATCTCCTTCTATTTTCTTCAAACAAAAAACATGGCAATGTGTATTATGTTGGGGGGAACCTAAATGCAACATACATAAGGATTCCGTGCAGAATTGCGTGTGCTAGAGTCAATGCGCAAACTCTTGGGACACACGGACTCGTGGGACTATCTAGCAGGGGGTGCAAGTAAAAGACATGGATTTGATTGGCTACAATGTATATTTACGTAAGTGTCTGCATTCAAAAGACATCGCTTAAACCTCTTAAGCTACGCGTCAAAGACCTCTGTGAAATAACTCCTTTCAGCCGAACGAAAATACAGCTAGTGAATATGAGACAAGGCAAGAATGCTCCTTTCTGCAGGTCCACATGTTCTCACTAGCACCATGATAGACCACAATACCCAAGCGGCAGGTCACAGTGATGGCGGTCTCAAAGTGACAGCGGAGATGGAGGTCATCCTCAACCAGCCAGATCATATCGGCATCAAAATGGGCAGCGAGAAACTCAGGTCCATGTTTCAGACACGTGGGTTCTTACTTGACAAGCTATACCTTGGCATATCTCCGGAATCTGAGAATGACACTTGTAGAATTCGGCGAACTGGATATTAATAAACTTTCACCATTTGCATTGGCGTGCATGACTGGGCAAATTCAGGTTGTCGAAACTGTTTGTCCCTATCTCTATGTCGTGGCTGAATGCTAATTCACCAGTCAAGGCAATCAGTGGAGGGAGCGCTCCCGACATAACAGGAACCGAAACACCGTTCAAAATTGGGTTTCTTTCGTTTACTGTTCTCGGTGCACAACGAATCAGAGGAGGTCCTCCAAGTTCTCTAAGGTATCTTGATGTCATCAAGTATCTCCTTCAGTGCGGTGCGCCACCAGATCTGCCCGATATATCTGGCCACACAGCCCTCCATCATGCCTGCACTCCTCCACTTGGGCATTTTGAACTTGCCAGGGCACTTCTTGAGGGTGGCGCCAACCCGAATGTTCAAAACAGATATGGCGAAGTGCCCCTCTTCTTCCCATTCCAAGGACAAGACATACCCATCCTGGATTTGCTGATGGAGCACAACGCTGATCTGGATATTAAGGATGGAAATGGTGATTCTCCCCGTGCTTTATGTGTGGTGTTTGGTCCTCAAGTCACGGCGGCGGTTCGCCGATGGGAAAGAAAGCGATCAGGAGAGAAAGCACTATTGGAAGAGAAGGAATGCGAGTACTGCAAGAAAAAAGGAAGCGGCTTGAAACAGTGTGGACGGTGTCACACAGTTCGTTATTGCTCGTCTGACTGCCAGCGTAAGCGACCCCTTCTGTCATGCCCACGCATTTCACGGACTCGCGACTTATGCCAGGTATGCATTGGAAAACTCACAAACCGTTATGCCAGCCATTCTCCACATCAACTACGGTCACGCTGAAGCCAACCTATGGGGACTTCTCGTCCGCGATTTCTCGTGCTGATTTCACTCGCGAACGGCTTGGCCTCTCCAGTCGCAAGTCCAAACCGCCTAAAAACACCCCGATATCCTTTGATCAGAAGTCCATGATAATCAAAGTGCAAGTGCCCGTGGATCCATTCTCTCCGATTGCGACATCGATGGGACTGGGCGGCTTGCTAATATATAATAAGAAGAAAGATTTCATGTGCACTATTCAGCGGGCTGGAAACGAAAACGCATATGACGAGATCGTTCGCATGGTGAAATCCAGGGGCGTTGGAGGGGTGAAGGCTTATTTTGCTGCTGAACTGCGAACTCGCGATGAGTTGGTTGTCAAGATTTCTGAACCTTTAGCAGAGCAACCATTTTAGGACAGCTTTCTTTACCAGCGCAACTCTCCATTAGCAAGTAAGAATCGTTATCAAGTGGTGTCCCGCTTACGAATCTCTTTGAACGACAAGCAGGAATAATTGTTCTCGTCGTTCGCGTCACAAAATTAAATCATCAAATTTTATTGCAAGTGATAATCGCGCTCGTCGTGTGGCAACACCTTGATATGCACGGGCAAGTAGATAAGACAAAATAACTTGTACATCAGCTCAATTTCCACAACGTTCACCGATCAAATACATGAATATCTCTCATGACAGGAGGTTGAAACTGAGGGTATACCCATGTTATCGAGAAGGGGTTCTTCCAGTCCACAACCACTCAGCCATGGATAAGGGGGCGTGTGTACCAGCACGGAGGACCATAAATACACTAGTGGTCAGTGCTTTGTGCGAACTCGGTGTGTAATCAAGTCATTCTCCTTGCTGATGGTGCGTACCAGGTACTGGGCCGCCGATGTCAAAATTATTTCATTTTCTGGGGGTATGCTGTGTCGCGCACGATGACGTGGTGGATGTGGAGGGAGGGACTTCCAGCCGAGTTTCATGAGGCAAGATCACATGTACCCTGCGCCGTGCGCGCGAGGTTGATTTTCAGGTTGAGTAGAATCATGAGAATGTAGAAGGGCTGCTTCTTCATTCATTTCCTACGTGTCCTTGTCGTCCATGAATAGGATTGAGGTATAAACACCTCCGCCTCGAGATTCGGTGCTGGTGAGAACGCATTTTCTGCAGCATGGCCCACAACATCAGGACGCGGCTGACATCGAGAGGACCCGCAGATACGCCACACAACATTCCAACAGCATCGAAAGTGGCGGTGTCGAAGGCTGGGTCGGCCGATGACAGCATTGAACGCATTGAGGCGGAGAGGTCGACATTGCATAAGATGGGCGGGCATGAATGCTTACATCCACTGCTGCTTGTAATTTACCGGTCCACCACCGTGGGCTAGTTTTGAAACATGGTGTCCACCATTGCAGTGGGTGCCCTGCTCAGCTAGAATGAGCTCGCCATCCGGATGGCCGCTCGAACTCCAAAGTGGTCACGTTCCCCGGACATTTTATGGCCCCTGATAATGATTTGGTCGCTAGGAACAATGTCAATTAAACGTGTACTATCTAGTATATGGAGAAGTATTACCGGCGGTTATCGTCCTGGAAAACCTTCCGTTGCGTGTGCAAGTCAGCGTGGCGGCCTGGGGGGTGGGGAATACTTTGTTTGGTGCAAGGACAGTGCCGAGGGGGGCCGCATTGTCTACCAAGTTCATCGTATGAAGTCATATCTCTTACGTCCGTGACAAATAACTTACCGAAGCTTTTGAAGTTCCCACTGGCAAGTTGTCATCATATTACAGTCATGAGGCCAGGCAGCGTGGTGCCTCTCGAACCCATCTCCCCTTTGAGACCTTGCCATAGTTCTCTCCAACGCAGATCAGTCGTGTATCCAGTCACAATTGTTATTGCAGCAACTTGAATGCCAATGGAATAGAAGTCATACATTCTGAAAAGTCTTCATGTTTTTGCCGCCCAAAGATCCGGCGTCCCGCATAACTCTGACAAAGAACGTACAAAATTAATGCAAAGTCGTGCCCTTCCTGCACCTGGATGTAGCTATCACAGATGTCCTTGAAATGACCAAACACGGAGTGACACAGCATGATATGTAATAATCGTCACCGCGGCCGAAGGAGGGCGATTGAAATAGAGCGCGGGACTTGTGTGCTTATGTGCAGCAGCGGAATGTTCTGGTTGCCCCAATTCCGAAGGAGACCACAAAGGACGTTATTTATTCCAGCTTTCCTGTCTGCGCCAAGCGAGCAAGTCATAAGCCAAACGGTGAATATTGAGGCGTTCAGATCTGGAAGGCCGACGTCAATTCGACCACGGTCGGCAAGCAGTTACACTCACCAGCAGGATATCGCACGACCGTCGGTGTCGAGGTGACCAGCCTCAAATGGATCCGCAAACACCTCAAAGGTAGGATCGGGGCTTGTGAAGGCATCATGTACTCGATACCCATGACACCGCTTCGCCCCGGGTACATCGAGGTCATCTTCCAGGTTGATGTCGACCTTCTATATCTCTTAGTATATGGAAGGTCAAGGTCAACATGCCACACACGGTCATTGGATCGCTCGCTCTCCATAAAATGAGAGTCAGCGGCAACAGCACAAAATTCGGGCTTGTTATGATGCTGTCCTTATTTCAAAGTGCAAAAAAAGCTTCATGCTTGGAATCTTGACGGCGAGGGTACGCGTGGGTCATCGCCGTTGAATGATACTAAACCAGAGTATGGACACAAAGGATATCGAACAAAGGAATTTCATGCCTGTCAGATTAACATGTCACAGTCAAGTTGCAACGTTCTAGTTGGCGGTCACACGGCGGCGTTATCAGCTGGCATTATGCTGACCCGCGGAACGGCTTAACCCCATCCTCTCGTCTCTCATCCTCGTCTAATCTAACGTGCCTCGGACGTGGCTCCTCGACAGTGGTTCAATCAGACGTCATTAATGAAAATAAGCTTATTTTGGGGGGTATCAAATACAAGGATGCAAGCGAGACATGTGAGAATGCGAGGGACTCCATCAGCAACACATGATGGCGAAGGTTCAGGATGGAAGCGCTTAGGGTATCTTGCGCATGGGGCTAAGTCGGCAGGCAACGGGCATCTTACAATCATGCACGGCAAAATACAAACATTAGCCTTTGCCCCTGTCCACGTTACCCAGCTTCATTTCCGTCATTAATCAGATGAACCGGAGCACTGCAAGAGCTAGCTTACCTCAAGTAAGTCGATATCTCCACCCGGAACTGATTTTACACGTGTACGAGCGGAGGCAGTGGTCGCTTTACTCTGCGTGCCTCCGCTGCTGTCCCCATCGCTTGAGGACTGCAAGTCAGATAGGTTGATGGTATTGACGCGAAAACTCATGCTGTCATTTTGACTACTGTGATGGTTGCGCCCTCGTAAGGCAGACCGACTGTTTAGCGATGCAAGGAGGGAATTGGCATATACTGCAGAATGAAAGGGTGAGGATACATTCTGTAGGCGCAGACCTGCACTCACGCTTTCCGATGACAAAATCTATCGCGATGAACCATAAACTGCCTGGGCTGACAGCAAACTGCACGACGAACGAACATCAGTTTCAAATATATTTTCCTGCTTCCATCGCTTGAACTTACTGCGATGACTTCGGCCACAGCAACGGCTCTAGAAGATAAGAAGTGAGGTTGATCCAGTCCCATGTCTATCAGACAAGAGACGTACGAAGTCAGTAGACAACGATTGATGGCGTATACAATTAACGTATTAACGAGTGCGTTGGTCCTGGGGTTGATACAATCTCAGCTATGCCAGTAATTAATGCGGGATTAAGACCTACTCAACAAGGGGGCTGCGATTGCCATGCAGAAGGACACACAATGCAGCAGCAATGAAGACGTCAGACAACACAGCAGTGACAGCGAATGGCGTAGCGGCGTAAAGCTGGAAGACTGTCAGCAGGACGCCTAGCCGAACTAGTTGTTCACCACACAGTGATTTGCGAAAGGGCACTGAATTCCTTCTTGATGAACCTGAGGGTATTCGTTACATTTGACACGTATTTAAGAGAGGAGTACTTACATGAGAACAACTGTCTCTATTCTGGCTCAGCGCATTGTGTGAGTAAGATGAAAAAAGGAAGCCCACCCAATCCAAAGCCTAAGCCTCCAATTAATGAGCTGCTCATACTAGTTATATGAAGCCTTACCGAAGTGTAAGATGACGAACACCATCTTGAGATGACGAATCACCTTCAGTACCGAGCCACTGTATGAACAAGATATCTTCGACTTACAATAGAGCATGTCAGCCACCATCGAATACTGGATCGGGTCACTACCCCGCAAAGATTCAACGCAGGCAAATCGATTGAAATAAAACGCTTACGATGGGATATTCGAAAAGCAAAGTATCTGGAAAAGACCCTTATTATATTTCTCCACAAACCGTCTATGGAACAGTCACGTACGTTTGCACGAGGACGGCCATGCAAAGCTGCAGTCCTATTGTTAATTTCAGGAAGAATTTCAAATGAAAAATCTCACATTCAGACCGAGCGATGTCTTTGGTTGTCATATGTGAAATACCGAATTACCCAAAGCTGATCACTCACGAAAAGAGACCTAGGATGTACAACTCAGCGCTGAATATTCGTCGTATTCCAGAAGCACATACCAATTTCCAGCACTGAGGGCATCCTCGTCACCAAAATTCGATACCTATACCTAAATCAGAATTGTGAACCCGATGTTGTTGCCGTTGACGCGCACAAGGTAGTAATACAGAGCATGACACACTGGAACAGGACAAATTCAGTTGATTTCAACTTAAACGCCAATTCGTGACTCACTGAGGGAGACGTGTAGCGTGTCTATGACCCTGCAAAGAAAATCAGGGTGGCAGAATCTATAACTCAAAAGAAAATTACCAGACGAGCGCAACCTGTAACACCTGTCGTAAAAAGCCATCGTATAGCATAAACCAGACACGACGTACCAACAGTTTCACACTTTTGTTGTCTCTGGGGTAATATACATAATACAAATATGTCTTGCAGAGTGGAGCAGGATCAGCACTGTCGCCTGCGGACGGCATGAGGCGTACGCACCTGCAGAGTTGTGATGCCATACAAGCTATTATGCAATCGCACTGTCAAGTCCTGACCGAAGGAGACAGACTCTCGACGCACATCGCAGCCACCATGCCCCCGATGAACCCTGCGCCTAAAGAAAGGTCAGCTGCACAGCTTGGTACAAAGACGGGCACAAGATATGTACCAAACGTATCACGAATATCCACCGCCATAGCAAACAGTCAGTGGATGAAGAGAAGAGAAGAAGAAAAAGTTGCGACAAGGTTGTTTACAGCAATGCATTTATGACACTGGGTTCTAAGGTCCCAACAAAATAAGTACCCGTGATGGGGGAGACCTGAGGAATGAGTTATGCTTATCAATATTAAATCCCCTTGGCGCGATTTGCGCGGGGTTCAGATTCCAGACTCCGAGTAAGCACTCAATATCCCTTCAGCTGCCAAACTAAAAATAACGTTCCCCCTTGACATGTGTCCCATCGCTTCTCATCGTCGGGGAAAAGCAGGCAAACGCTCACCGTGTTGAGGCCTCCAAGGCTGACCTCAAAACCAGAATTTGGATTTATGCATCTCCTTGTGGGCGGTCGCCGAGTTGTAACCCAATCGGTCTGATGCCAACCCATGCCAGCCATTCGTGGTGAGCCGGAAAGCCAGATCAAATGATGAGTTGATTTTGTGTGGCGATGCAACATACATATCACATCATGACCCTTGCTTGGCATAGGTGGAAGGTGGAGAAAGCGATACTTCGAGACGCCACGGCCATGAACATAAATGGCGAGAACGTGATTTCGGACGACACCGTAACAGCCATCCAACACACATTCTGTTGTGATCAGTACCTTTGGAGGAAAATACAGCTCAGGTGGAGCACGCAGCGCTGTCTAGCGCTCGACCTGCAACATGTACTCAATCATTAATATATGCGTATATCCATAGTGTTTCCACACAATGTCCACCATGTCATCGCCCACGCCACCATGGAGTTTCCGTGTGTGCACACCCTGCAAAGTGTGATCAACGCAGTGACTATATAACATCCGACTATGCAGGGGCATCTTGTGGATCCGAGATGAAGATGTTGTTTCCCTTAATATTGATGAAGGAGTACTGCGGAGGCTCGTCAGATCAGATGGAACACGAACGTGAAAGCTCGACGAACCTCGGCGAGATCCGTGTCTTTTCCTCGATTGTAGTTCTGGTATACGAGGTTCACCTGAATACACAACGTTAGATAGAAAACACGACACATATATTCAATACGCACCTCAGTCATAAATGGTCTCAATCCAGCTCGTTCTAGCATCTCCCACCAAGGTAAGAAATCTTCAAATTTCTTATCCCAGGCATGGAGCTCAACTATGAGCTGTCCGAAGGGGAGGGGTTCCCCGGACAAGATGTATGGTTGGATTATCTGAGTGAGTGTGTCAAATTCCCAACCCTCTATGTCGATTTTGAGTACGTCAATATGGTCGTGCTCTAATCACGAACATAAGAGCGTTTTATTAACAAGAGACAGAACGCATATAGAGAGCGTACGAACTGTTAAACTCGAGCAGAGTCTTGAGAGTATACAGCTTATGATTATGGTGCGACTCGTGCGCATCAAAGTTGGCAAGACCCCATGAATAAAAGTGTGCGCGGTGGTTGATCTTGATGTGGGATCCAAACGAGTTTGAGCGATAGTCATATCCCCATACTTCACAATGCCGTGTCCGTTCGAGCAGCTCTGCCTCAAATGTCGTTTCATAGTTCATACCTACGCGATTGCGAATGAGGGTTAGTCCGAAACGGGATGAAGGAACTGGCGCACCAAAGGTGTATATGATACAGTCTGGCTTGTGCTCCAGTCGAGACATCCCACATGCCCACTTTCCGCCATCCCCCAGTGCACCTATGCGCTCCAGTTCGTGCGGACAATCAAAAGATGGAGGAAAGAAGCTCCCTGAGAATGTTCGTAAACGGCTGATGGCAAACGGAAATCTTCATCATCGACCAAACTCACAGACAGTGTATGCTGGCCATGGCTCTTTGTCCGGTGGAAACCTAAAATATGTTCAACTCACAAAAGGACTAGTGAGTCGGTGAGACGTACATGACGATGTCGCGAGAAGTTGTGCCATATCTCTGTATTAGGTCCTTGCGGCCAGCTATTACTTTCTGATAGACTCTTTCTGCTCGCTCAAGCCGTGCTGGGAGGGTACTGTCACGGATATACGCAGCATATGAGTCGGTTGAGAGCGGAGATTGGTATGGACTGAGTAAGAAGAAAGTTGCTGTCACAACTAAGGCCACGAGGAAGAAATATCGAGGATGTCGATGCCATACTGCAGGCATGATGAATGAGAATAACGGTCGATCGGTAATGACAGGACTGAAAGGGTATACGGGGAAGGCACTGGCGCTGGCGGGAAGGATATGTCGGGAATAATGATAACCAGTTTAAAGAGTCTAGGTCGTGTACAAAAACAATTGGGCGCTGCGGTTGTATACGGCGCTAATTAGATGTTTCAGTTAACATGCGTTATGAAGAAGAAGACTTACGCAGGCTGCAGACAACGCTCACTAGTAAGGTAGGATACCTTCAAGCTAGCATGCACGGTACAAGACCTTGTTTTTGCGAGAAACAGGGTAGTTCTGGTTCAGCTTGGCAACGAAATCTCCCACTTAGATTACGACAAACAAATGGTCCCATGATAGACAAGCCTAGGCCTAGATCAGGAACTAGCAAGTCCGAGTCACCCTAATTCTACTTGCTTACTACTTCCACCATGACCTCCATCAGTGATCAAGAAATTATCTATACTCGCACTGGCGTGCAGAGTTGCGCTGTCAAGTCTGCTGAAACTCTAGATAGTGACCTGCCTTTGAAGGAATCAGATAATTTTGTACGTTCATTGACATCTGTGCCTGCCAGACTGTATATCATTTCGTCGACATCTGATACAGCATAACCGGAAGGATCAAGGTGACGTGTCTGATAGTGAAATCCAGGTTCTAAAGGAGAGACTAAATGTAGCTGAGACGAAGTTGAGGCTCCGGGAGGATCAGGTGATAGCACGAGAGCAAGGGTTGACAACGATAGAAGAAGGTCTAAGGCTGCGTAAAGTTGATTTGAGGTTCAGGGAAGAGGATCTAAACATCCGAGAGGAGGAATTGAAGGTACGAGAGGATCGTTTGCGTGCGCGAGAACAGGAACTTGAAGAAAGGAGTCGGAATGTTACATCCCCCGGAATATGATTCAGATGGACAAGTTGAAACATTCATCCTTGGTGCAGCAATTTCATTATTTTCATGTCATGTCCTCAGCAGGAAATTGATGCGGCGGTCGGCAGCAGCACCACGGTACTGGTTCCTTCAGGGAAGGAACACCCACATGATGCTTCATTAGACTCAAGTGACTTCATCTGCTAGATCGGACCGTTGCATTTGCAATCAACCACCACCACCCAACGACTGCAACTCAATTCGAGGTTCGCCCTCTCAGATCCAGTTCCTTACCATTATGTGGGAGCAAGCATAATTGTGCGCTAGAGGAATGTTTCTCTCTACCAGACTATTACGAAGCGAAAGATTCAGCAAACGGTTTCACAACTGTCGGACTTGACATCCATGGTACGTTTCATTGTGGTCGCTGGACAGCATCAATGATGGAAATTGCCTAGGATGCACGTGGACAGGCGCCTGGCCTCAACGAGGCAAATACTGACCCAGGCCTCAAGGCGAATCAACCTGCTTCTCAACTCATTGTCTTTGGCAAATGGTGATCAAAAATATTTGAAACACTGGCAGCCGAGGAATTCACTGCTCCTGTATTCTAGAAGGCTGTAGTCTCGCTTTTGTTCTTGCCTCGTGCACGCTATCCCTTCATCGGCACGAACTCCTTCAAGCAATTAAGTACACAAGGACTTACTACTTATTTGTAATGCCCCGGCAGCGTGAGCGGAAATATGCCGTATGGAATTCATTTAGGCTTAGCTAGCAGGCGAAGAAGACCGCTGCCTCGTGTCTGCTCTTGTCCTGCATATAAAGTCCTACTGCCTATCTGGAAGCACCCCTTGTTGAGTCATCCACTACCGTCATGATCCACACTGTACGAGTCTTTCTCTACTGCCTTCTTGTAGGTTGCGAGTTCGTCGTATGTCTTTCGAGACGCTGACTTCTGTGTCTAGTTCATATTTTCAATCGTCGTTATGGCGCTGAGCGCAGTACGGCTGCACTACACTACCCATCTGTCGCCAAATGATCCTCTTAACTATGGTATCCATTTCTATGGTACGTTCGTTGTCACCACCACAAATGCATAATCCCTTACTTAAGCCCATCCAGACCACATCGTGGTTGAACTGCTCGTAACATCCATCATCACCATGTTCTGGTCCCTGTTCATGTACGTATAATTTCCACCGCAGTTACTCCAATTTTAAACCACTCGCATCAGTGCCCGGACCATACATCGCAGACACGAGCATCGTCTGGTCAACTCCTTCACTGCAGAGCTCGTTGGGTTGTTCATTCTTTTCCTCCTTTGGGTTATCGGCGCCTGCCATCGCCACGGTAAGTCACTCCACTCAATCCCTCTCCATGACTCGTCATACTCACACACTCGGGCGTAGCACACCGGAAATGCACCTGACGTCAACGTCAAGTGGGGCAACCTTTCTTCCTGCTGGGAGTACAGCACGTGCAAGATTCCTCACTGCGCTACTCGCATTCGCTTGGCTAGGATGGCTCCTCGTCCTAGCACTCTTCGTGATGTCATTGTTGTTTGCAATTGCCAACAAGGCATTCCATGATCCGATGCACGGCCGCTGGGATCGCCGCGCCACTAACTACGGAGACGTGCCTATGCGCACCGTGATCGGCAGGTGAGGGGTGACGTCAGGAGGCACGAGGCGTAATATTAGCATATGGGAGTTGAAAAATGTGAAGTGGGGAGATCTTTCAGGAATCGTGGACTGCGCCGGAACGTGCTATTTAATGACACTTATATGACAGTAACGATACAACACATCATGGTAGCACTGATGCAGCGGAGATTCTGCGAATCATCGATGCGCAGGGCAAAGTGTTTGAGAAGTTGAGAACATTACGAGATAGATCATGAACAGATAACTTTTGATACACTAGCACACTTTCCCAACACCTTTATTTCCTGCACGTATTGTAGTAACTATACCTCGAGGCCTCATGGTATGTGACACAAGCTTCTTCATTGATCGATGCAGCTTGTGTCACGGTGGAGCGGTGCTATGTGTCTCGATGATGGACTCTGCTATGTGGTTGTTCGTACTACTGACATGCTGTGCTCTCTATGCTCGTCTTGGCTGACTAAGCCTTCGGAATCGCCCATGGTGCGGTCTTCGTTTGACACTCCGCTACGGCCGAAACTCCGGCCGCTGCCTGCTGTGACTTCGGGTGTCTTCAACATTCGCCAAAATCTTCCGTTCAACCTCGCAATCAAAGGTGCATGATGGAAACATTGATTCCAGGTGTAAGGTGTAAGTTGTGTGTGAACATAAGAAACAAGCAAGATATTCAGTTCGTGACGACTTGTGGGAGCGACGACTCGGCCGTGAGGGATAGTAAGAACTATTTGGTGCTCTCAGCTTCGGTCATGCGGATCCACAGACTGCCCTACCAGATGAAGTTATCAACACAGAAACGATGGAAATAGGAGAGCACAGTACATGAGCATAAATCGTGAGATATGTTTTCGGCTAGAACCGTTCAGGAGCTTTGCGGCCTTCTGCATAACGTAAGTCTCTGTGAAATTAGATCACCGCTCGACGCTGGCCGCAGTCGCAGTGACCGTCATTTGTGTTAGTGGCGATTTCAAGCGCGACTATTGGTACTGAGGTATTCCTCGTTTACTAATCCGAGGCGCCAATACTAGACTCCAAGCTATTATTTAAGTATGCCACGATCTTGGGTCAGTCCTGGTGTGGCCTACCTCGCACGGGGTTTACTTTCCGTCATTGTTCCGGCTGCTTCTTCCGTCATTATCGTAGTACGCCTGGCCTCTCTAAAAGGCTTTCGAGTTTCTCCATGGCTTATGTCTGCGGTGGTTTTGGGTGCAGCGCCTCTGGGGTTCGCGGCTTACGTTTTTGCGGATGGGAGATCGCAGCAACGAAAGGCCAATCGACTCGGTGCCAGACTCATTCCTCGTGTTCAGGGCAAATTGCCTGGCAATCTGGACAAGGTTGTGAATTTGGTTGTGAAGTCCGAGAACGACTACCTTGGTACAGTTTCCGTTTCATGTATTCCAGGCTCGAGCTTTACAGAATTATACTTCTTTCCAGCTCGACCTATATTGGATGAGATCAACGTACTCGGGCCGACTATTAATTTTCGTTTTTTTTGGGAGGACCTCATCATGACCACGGACCCGCAACACATTAAGGTACGCTCTATATATTTTTGAAGATATTATAATCGAACTCCAGATAGACCATTCTCGCGACCGACTTTGATAACTACGTCAAAGGTATGCACCATAGCTACTGCTTCTTCATACGTGACATGTGGCTCGATTCAGGTGACAAGTTCAGAGAAGCAGCTAACTCCGTCCTTGGAACGGGCGTATTTAACTCGGATGGTAAGCATGCATCAGCAAGCCTTTTATATCACGACAGATTGATCGATTGACTTTGCCACCAGGTGAAACATGGAAGTGAGTGATGGATTTGAAGATTGCCTCTGATAGGATTGCTTAGGTGCTTCTAGGCTTCACCGAACCATGACACGTCCTTTCTTCACCCATGATCGGATAAGCCACTTTGATATCTTCGACCGTCATGCGGACCATGCTATCGCTTTGGCGAAGGAACGTTTCCGAATGGGCTTGGCAATTGACTTCCAAGTACTGCTCCCTCAAGTTGGCATTTGGTTCTCGTTTGTTGAAACCTCCCATAGGACCTCATCTCTAAATTTACGCTTGACTCTGCATCAGAGTTCCTATTTGGACACTGTATCGATTCACTTTCCGCCACACTCCCTTACCCCTATAACGCGACAGATTCCACAAATGCTATCCAAGGAGACAACACCGCTACTGCCTTCTCAGATGCTTTCTCTCAAGCTCAGCAGGGAATCAATCGTCGTGTTTCAATCGGGCAGACCTGGCCGCTTACTGAGATTCTTGCTGACAGCACTGTTCAACACATGAAAGTGGTAAATGCATTTTTAGATCCGATCCTCAAAGGCGCTTTGGAGAAGCATTCAACGACCGCCGAATTAGACCAAACTGAATTCTCGGACGACCAAACCCTTGTGGACCACCTCATCAATCTGACGTCGGGTGAGATATTATGTAACGACCTAATTTATGTTGTTGAAATATTCTTTTCAGACTTCAAAATCATCAAAGATGAGACGTTGAATATATTGCTGGCTGGGAGAGATACAGTAAGTTTGCAATTACCTTTGATTTGTCTTGGTCGCTAACGAACAATGACTGCTAGACGGCCTCAACATTGACATCGGCTATTTACTTGCTTGCAATGCATCCAGAGTTTCTCACTCAGCTCAGGGAGGAAATCATATCGAAAGTTGGGCTAACTCGCAGGCCCACATATGATGATATCAAAGAAATGAAGTACCTTCGGGCCGTCCTCAATGGTACATACTCTTGTTTCCTGTCCCTCATCGGTATGTTGCTCACCAGCTTTAGAAACACTGCGCCTTTTCCCTGCCGTGTAAGTGATTAAATTTGGGTTTAGACGTAATTCATCATCGTAACGCAATTCCCTAGCCCATTTGATATGAGGTAAATTCTTAGGCTATGTCCAAGATTCTAGAGTTGAGCCATGGAGCTTGCAGGGAAAGCATACATGATACCACATGGATATCACCCGAACCTGGGAAGAAGCCACTGTTTGTCCCAGGGGGTACCACGTATGCATTTTATTCCATCGTTCAAATTCATCGCATGACTGTGTAAACATTTTAGAGTCAGCTATTCAGTGTTCCTTATGCACCGGAGGACAGATCTTTGGGGACCAGATGGTAAGGAACTTGAACTTCGTCTACATATAGATTTTTGATTCGACCGAATCCGTGATCTAGCACTGGAATTCGATCCAGATAGATGGCTCGATGACCGCGTGAAGACATACCTGATTCCCAATCCCTACATTTTCCTACCGTTTAACGCAGGACCCAGAATCTGCTTAGGGCAACAAGTACGTCGCTCATCATCATTTCATTACCGTCATTCATCTCCTCTCGTACCTCAGTTTGCTTACAACGAAATGTCGTTCATGCTCATTCGTTTACTGCAAAACTTTTCCGCGATTACACTGTCACTCGAGTCGCAAGAGCCCGAAATGCACCCACCTGCATGGTGGGCCTGAGAAAGACGGTCGGCAGGCCATCGAGCGATTCAGGCCGAGAAACCACCTGACACTTTATGCCAAGGCAAGTCTCACTCTGGTATACTTTGCAGTCCATCTGACTAGGCTCTACCTCGTAGGGTGGTATGTGGGTTAAGATGGAAGCTGTAGACGACGTCCGAAATCCTCAACTAAGTATGACTTCGCTGCTTCAAGGAATAAATAGTGCAATGGACTATCTATTCATTTGTATGGACATTTTCGCTTTCCATTTCGTCGTGGTTATTGTTAAGTATTGTAAACATACGCCATACTGCGTGGAGTATATTCAAGCTGCACAGTTACAGGAAATGCTTGACATATCCATCCGTGATAATCACGATTTCTCACAGATCCCAAGCGCTAGAATGTCATCTGCCCTGTTACTTTTACTCTCCATTTTGTCGTAATGGCAATCATGGCAGGTATCCTTCAAGGTCCTGAGGTACGGCGTCGTCGAAGCTCGGGATTATAAACAAAGCTCAACAGGTACTAGCAGGTATGCCATCCCTGGTAGTAATCGCGATGTGTCGCGGGCCGCAATCGTTAGCACAACCCCAGCGCTGCACATTGGTTACACAAACCGGGAACATTCCCATACAATTGGCCTAGCTTTCGAGACGAAGCATCAGTGGGTTTACTTACTAACGTGCTGATTCCGCGTGACAAAACGCACGATGAGCTCATTTCGTCTCCCAAATCCCTGAATATCTACACCGGTGATTGACCGACGTGTCCTGCAAATTGTGTCAGTCATCCAGCAGACGCCTAAGTATGACGTATCACAGTCTTACATGGACATCTCGAGTACTCTGTTAACCAGATCCATTCATCTCGGTCGAGCATCATAGGGCTAAGCGCATTTGGTGAATGTCGATATCGACACATACGGCCAATCCTGCGGCCACAACATGCCGCGCATTAGAGACGAGTTGATAGCATTTTTGTCTGGGGCAAAAAATGCCATCAGAAGCTTTCAACAGGCGTGCTCCAGGGCCGACAGCATCGTATTCTTAGCTCGTGGCACTGCACCTTCTCCATTCAGGCGACATTTGATGAGTGCTCTTGATTGTTGTGCCTGAAAACTGTGATAGGTGTCCGAGACTCTGGAATAAAATCCATTAGGAATGAATTCGTCGCGGATGAGAACATGTTTGACTGCGGCCCGCCTTCTGAATCACAAATCCAGGAAGTGACCACTCATTGTGCAAAAAAAAAAACTGTCGAAATCGCTGCTGTCCAACTGAGGATTACAACATCCCAAGAACAGTTGTTGATCCAGACTCCAGTAATTAGCAGTCGAGGCTTGGTAAAACACCAGACGAGCAGTCAAGAGGCGCACATAGGAAAGCAGGTGAGTTGTGTCAGACGTTAACCCTCAAATCTTGCTACATAGAATGCGGGATAACATACAATGTACAGTACTCCCCTTACACGTCCGAGTCTCGAACATGCAATCAGAAATCGGATCTGGCGTGTGGGAAGGGGCCTACACAACAAGGATACAACAGTGAAAGTCGATTGATTATGCGGTCCCTGCCCTCGACCTGATCGCTCTGATGCCTTGAGACATGACAGGTTTCAATTAGGGCGCTTCAGAGAATCAGATTATCAGACTCAGAATAAGTACCGACGAGGCTGAAGGCGATGGTTTCAGTTCGCACGATCACGGATTATGACAGCACTAGCACATGTAACCGGTGAGTTGATCGGTAAGCGAGTGCTCGTGCGAGCAGTGGAACAGTTGAACCAAGTCGTTTAAGTCTGACGTTCATATCACTGTTGAGTCCAGCATCCAGATAGCAGGTTTAAACCGTTTACCGACTACAATTTCAACGGGCCAGCTCTCTTAATCACTGGTGCCGCATATTCGTACATTCGTGCCGACTCGGTTCAAAGTCCACCGGGCCCGGGATATTAGCACGACCAAAAGCTTGTCTGGAGAGCATTAATGGTTCAATTTTGTCCAGATAGCGATGCGCTGGATCTATCAGATGCCTGCGTGCGCGCCTCTCTTAGTGCCATCGTCCCTGCTGCGTTCGTCTTCGCCCTTTGCCTGTTCTCCATAATACCCATTCCTGCATTCGCCCGTCCGCTTACCACCGCTATCAAATCACCCTTCCGCACTTATTTGACATTGCGCGAGGCTGAAGCTCTAGATGTTGAGGGGGAGAACACAGGCGATATAGTCACCGACAATACTGTTCCGTTATGGCGCACCGTACTTCTCTCATTCGTCGCTTTGGTTCAGGCGCTTGTCTGGACTGCTGTTGGTGCATACAGCATTATCATGGACAAGGCCCATGTCTGGGCGGGTATCGCACCCCTTCTCATTGCTACCACTTGGATATATGCCTCCTGCAAGCCTGTCTTTTGGCCTAAGCCAACCATCCACTACGATCTCTTCGCCTTGTTTGTGCTACACCTCGTCCTTGGTATCATCCTACTTGGTGGTACAGTGTATGAACACGAAGTTCTCGGTGTTCCATTGCCTCCAAAACTCCCATTCGTGGGCCTCATTTCCAATCTCGTCGCCATTCTCGTGGTCATTACCACCGTAGGAAATATGCCTTTTGAGCTGCCGAGCAACCGTATCAAGAAAGAAGATATTGTAGGTCGCTGTCTCTTAATTTCTTACTCAAATTTTCACTCGCCTTATAGTATGTCAAGTACTCTCCTGAAGATTATGCTACCATGTGGGAGTGGATCACTTTCTCATGGGTCTACCCTCTCATTAGGCGTGGCTCAAACATGACCATGAATGAGGATGACGTTTGGGACCTTAGTCCTACTCAGCAATCCCGTCCAGTGTTCATCAAGTTCAGCGCCATCATGTACGTATATGTCATGCAATGAGGTTGCCCATGTTGATGTCGCTACTGTTAGTCGTTCTTCTCTCCTTCGCCGTCTGTGGGCTGCAAATTCAATGGATCTCATGTGAGCCTATTACATACTCCTACTAAACATATCATATAACGCTCGAAACAGTATGGATTTCTGCCTGACTTATGTCAGCGTCACGTTCACTTATGCCTCGCCATTCTTTTTGAAGTAAGTGCCACTTGTTATTAACTTGCTACTTAGCTTTATAATGTTCAGGCTTATTCTTGATGCTATCGAGGAACCCACCCCAGAGAAAAGATCTCAAGCATACATCTACGCTTTCTTGGCCTTCCTGTGTACCTTGCTAAAAGTATGTGTCTACACCATCCGCTCGGAGGCTCTCTTTTATGCTCCATCAGGCGCAAGCCGATGTCCAACACTTGTGGTTCGGGCGGCGAGCAGCATCAAGGATGCGTGTCGGATTGATGGCTGCCATCTACGACAAAGCCCTCAAGCGTCAGGACTACTCAGGCATCGTCGACAAAGACAAAGCGAAAGAAGCTGCCGACAAAAAGGCGGGTATCAAGCCCGCCGAGAATCCTGCTGCGGATGACCCCAAGGCTGGCGCAGATGTTGGAAAGATCGTCAATTTGATGGCAGTAGATGCCAATAAGATTGCCATGATGGTGACTGGCGCATATTTCATTTATGGAGGTCAGTTATATTTATCCTCCCTTGTCTGACAATTGATTTTATCGCTGCCGGTAGGTCCGCTCGAGATTGTCATTGCCACCACCTTCCTCTACAAGTAAGGCAATCCACTCGTGTCAACCGATGTATGCGTCTTACATTCTCTCTCCAGTCTTTTGGGTTTATCTGCATTTGCTGGCTTTATCGTCCTTCTTGCTGGCTGGCCTTTGAACAGCTATGTCACTAAACGCAGTATTCGCATTCAGAAGGGTGTATCTGCCTCGCGAGACAAACGTATGGCAGTCCTTAACGAGCTCATCAGTGCTGTCAAATTCATCAAATTCTTCGCGTGGGAGGACCGCTGGATTCAACGGGCAATGGAGGCCCGTGGGGTGGAGATGACTTGGATGGTGAAGGGTAAGTAGCCGCGTCCTCAGTTTTTGGAGGTCGCCTGATGTGTCGCCAGCTCGGATTAACTCAGTGCTATTCTCTATGATCTGGACCTCAGCTCCTATTTTGGTGTCGCTCATATCGTTCTTCGTTTTCGTGTACCAAGGCAACCAATTGACTGTGTCGGTTGCGTTCACGGTTAGTTTTGTGCTTGTTGGAAATCATCCGAGATTACTGATGCGGTATTGCAGTCCATTGCGCTGTTCAGCATGATTCGGTAAGTGACGAGTCATGTATTTTTTTTGATCCCAGGCTCATGCGGGCATCAGTCAGCCGCTGGGTATTATTCCAGCTTGGATTGTTCAAATCCTGCAGGTATGTTGGTATCATTCATTCTTAGAGAGGTGCATCTGATGGCGGGCATTCAGACTGGCGTTGCATTGAAACGTATCGAGACCTACCTGGGGGAAGACGAAGTCGACGAGCAGGTGTCTTCCATCAAGAAGGTTCGCGCACCCCATGTCGATGGAGAAGACGATACGCTTTCAATTGAAAATGGATACTTTAAGTGGAACGAGGTTCCTGAGAAGCCTGAGAAGCCTGAGGAGAACTCGAAAGCGAATGGCAAGAAACATTCTCCTCCCAGTCCGAGTGACGAGACTGGGACTGTTGTTGATTCCGAGTCCGAATCCATCCGTTCGCTCCCTGAAGATCACAGATTCGAGCTGAAGGATATTTCGGTGCGGTTCCCCGAGGGTGAGCTATCCTTGATTACTGGACCGACGGCGAGTGGAAAGACTGCTTTGCTCGTGAGTAAAGCTCCTCGCACCAAAGCTAACTTTGAAATGACATGCTTTGCTAGATGGCGCTGCTGGGCGAGATGACGACTATCAGCGGAAAACTGACCATTTCGAAGAATACGTCGAAGATAGACGAAAATGGACTTATGCACTCGATCTCATATGCTGCTCAATCACCGTGGCTGCGCCATCAATCCATCAAAGACAACATTCTCTTCGGGCAGCGTTATGACGAGGAGAGGTACAATGATGTTGTCGAGTGCTGTGCGCTGCGGCTGGACTTAAATATGTTGGAGGATGGAGATGATACCGAGATTGGCTCTAGGGGAATCAGCTTGTCGGGTGGCCAGAAAGCTCGGTACGGCGTGGGCGTTTGACCTTCGTTTGGGATGCTCATGGTCTTTTAGTGTTGCCCTTGCTCGTGCTGTGTATGCTCGCACGAAGTATGTCCTCTTGGATGATCCCTTGAGTGCCGTGGTAAGTATTACTATCCGCCTGTTCATGTGTCGCTCTCACCTCTTTGGCGAACAGGACAGTCATACTGCTCGGTTCTTATACGAGAGGCTCTTCCGCGGACCGCTGATGGAAAACCGTACTGTGGTATGTCTGTCATTCACGATGATGCAAAGCGGGATTTCATCCCTTCGCAGATCCTGGTCACTCACCACGTAGAACTCGTGCTTCCTGGCACATATTACTTGGTCCGCATGCTGGATGGTCGCATCGATACCAAGGGTACTGTCAAGGATCTCCGTGTGCAGGGCGTTCTGGACCACATTACGCAGGATTCCACTGCGGAGGTCGAAGAAGAGAAGCCAATAGCTGCCACCGAGGCCCCCATTGAAACGCAGGACATCGCTGAGGTGGATACGTCGGCAGAACCGAAGAAGAAACCTCGAAAGCTCGTCAAGGATGAGCACCGGGAGGCTGGAGGCGTCAAGTGGTCGATTTATAATGCATACCTGAAGGCATCGTAAGGGTTTTGTTAAATTTCAGATGTTGTATTGGCTGATTGCAGTTGCTGGCAGGTCATACCGGACGTGGTTCCTGCTTGGGATTCTGATTGTTTTCTCGCAGAGCTTGGGTGTTCTTGAAAAGCTCTGGGTTCGGGTGAGTGTATACCGTCCTTTTTACATTCCCGAATTTCATGTTTGTCATAGCAATGGGGTGACGCGTACGGCGATGGTGCCCAGCCGACTCCCTACATCATGGCATCTTCAGTATTGACCGAGAACGAAGCGCTGATGAACGGCTACGTGCCCTACCATGACCATCAACACTACTCGAACAGCTACTTCCATGTCAACTCCCTTGGCCTCAGCTCAATCACGTTGCCGGATGTTCATGAACATCCGCTATTCTACGTTGGTATTTATGCATTGATCGGTTTCACCACCGCGGCAGTCAGCGTGTTGTCGACTGCTATCCAGTACAATGGAGCGTTGAAAGCATCAAGATCTATTTTCTACAAGCTTTTGACGGGTGTCGTGCGCGCCACGATGCGCTGGCATGATGTCACACCGGCTGGCCGCATGCTCAATAGGTTTGGAAAGGTAAAATTACAAACACTTTTTACGAACCGTCAATTCACGCACGGTGGCCTGTAGGATATTGAAACCATCGACAGCAATCTCGCGAGCTCGCTATCAGCTGTCAACTCATCATTAGCGACGTTTGCCGCTGCAATCATCACTGTCGTGTAAGCGACTTCTCACATCTCGACAATCCATATGCTCATACCATTGACTTCCTAGTTTTTTCTTCCCGATTTTCCTCATTCCTGCTGTGGTCATAGGTTTCTTCTACCGCATGCTAGCTCTTGGGTATCTGAAAACTGGCAGAGATCTTCGTCGCATGGAGTCTAATTCCAGGTCGCCTATCTTCTCTGAGTTTGGCGAGTTGCTCGAAGGTATTGTCACGGTTCGGGCGTTCTCTGCTGAACAGCGCTTTTTGGACGACCTGCATGGCAAGATCAATGTCACTACTAAGGTAGACTAAACAGTTGGCTCTTACTGTATAACAGTGCTGAGGGTACTGTGACAGATGTGGTACAATTTCTGGATGACGAACCGATGGCTCTTATTGAACTTTGATGCGCTAGGTGGGTTGGCTGTGTTGACCACCACTCTCCTTGCGATATCAGGTGTTGTCTCGCCTGGTACCGCGGCTCTGTGTATCACAAGTGCGATGACGTTTACGATGAGTGTCTACTGGGCCTGTCGGTTCTGGACCGCACTTGAGCTTGATTTGAAGTAGGTGGAAGTGACTTTTTGATGTTCTTGGGTCCATGTAATGTTCCCCTTTCTAGCTCCGTTGAACGTGTCGTGGAATACCTCGAGTTGCCTCAAGAGCCTCCTGCGATCATCGAGTCTAGTCGTCCTCCAGCTTACTGGCCGTCTACCTCAACCAAGGAAGGGTTGATAACTGTCGAGGATCTGGTCATTAAATATGCTCCTGAGCTCCCTCCTGTCCTGCATAATGTTTCTTTTACTCTTAATGCGAAGGAACGAATTGGGCTTTTGGGACGTACGGGTAGTGGAAAGTCGACTTTGGCAATGAGCATTCTTCGCTTCGTAGGTGATGCTTGGCAAGGAGTAGTGTGCGTTTACTGATGTGATTTATTAGGTCGATCCTGTCAGTGGCCGTATCTTGATTGACGGGATTGATATCTCCACGATTGGTGTCCATGATCTTCGCTCTCGTTTGGTGAGTATGCAATATATCAATTGTGTATACCCTGTTACTTATTCGTATCCCAGACTTTCATTCCTCAAGTAAGTCTGTATCTGGTGCAGTGCCTTGCATAATATTCATTTGATGGCAGGATGCGACTCTGTTCTCTGGCACATTGAGAGATAACCTTGATCCATTCGGTACGTGAACGTTATTGACCCTCGCATACTGATGTTGGAGCCTCTTTCAGATGAACATGAAGATAGTGAATGTTTGGACGTCCTATTCCGCGTGCAAATGCTCAGTGAAAGTGCTTACCAATCTCAACATAACTCCCGCGCACCTTCTCGTGCATCTACGCCCGATGACGTCGCCTCCTCTGCTGCGTCAACGGCCGTCACCGACGTGGACTCCAAGACAACCGTCACACTCGATACTCAGGTGTCCGCAGGCGGCACGAACTTCTCGCAGGGTCAACGGCAGCTGATCGCGATGGCGCGCGCACTGCTGAGGCGGAGCTCGATTGTTGTGCTTGACGAGGCAACAAGTAGCATTGACTTTGATACCGACGCAAAAATTCAGGCGACGATCAGGGAGGAGTTCACGGATTCCTTATTACTCACAGGTTAGTACTTTATTTTGAGAGACTGGTCGGCATTCACTGATGTAATGCTTATTATTGCGTAGTTGCCCACAGATTACGCACCGTAATTGATTACGACCGTCTCATTGTGCTTGATAAAGGAGAGGTACGTGTGACAATAGGTTATGCGGGGCTCACATTCATGTGTGATTATGCTAGGTTGCGGAGTTCGACACACCGTTGAATTTGATCCAGAAGGAGGATGGAATATTTAGGACGATGTGCCTCAAGAGTGGAACGTTCGTTGAGCTTGAGGCGGCTGCCAAGGCCAAGGCCGAACGCGGTGCAGCAAGCGCTAGGACATAATCGGGTACTTGATTGGGTTTGACTTGCTTTGTATTTGCACTTTTGGGTTTACCATCGTTCTCTCGTAAACAGACATGAGCTTAATCAGGGCGGAGCCGGTACATGACAAGTTGACACAGCTAGAGAAATGTACGTCGACGATGACGGACACATGGGATTCTTGAATATTCTTCCTTGCGATAAGATCATGGTCGTATGCTGACAATAGTCATTGGGTATTGTGTTGTAGCGGCGCCGAGCGCCGGCGAGCAGTGGTAATGGGTATGACGCCAGCACTATGGGAGGGGTTCAATGGTGCCATGCAACAGTATCCCCTTGATAGAGGCCGTGTCACACGAGGAAGACCAAGGAAGACAGTTAAATTTGCCACATTGATCCGTCAGACAGACAAAATGAAAGACCACGCTGTGCATTCAGAACTCAAATGAGATATCACCATCGCATCAAGCTATCCATCTGCATCCATCCACTTATATTGCGGCTCATATTCACTCACAGAGCAGTGTCTTTGCGAGCCACAACCCCCGAGACTTACTATGTCCTTCCCAACATGTACCCAAGTTTGGCGTGTCAAGAATTCACCTGCAGAGTCTGTAGTTCTTGACTCTTCCGATGATGCAACGTTTGCCTTGACAGAGGAACCTCTGCCTCACCTTGAGGATGGAGAAATGCTCGTGGAAAATGTGTACTTTTCCAATGACCCTGTGCAAAGGAGTTTGTTTTTTTATTCATGCAGTTGGAACCCAGTCAATGACAGTATTTTAGGCTTGATCCAGAAAGACGTCTCACCAGAAAGCCTCTGCATTGCTCCCGTGCGTGAGGGCGACGTAGTGACATCTCATTCCATCGCTCGTATTCTCGCAATCAACGGTAACACTAGTCATGGATTCAAGGTAGACGACCTCGTTTTCTGCATGACTGCTGGGTGGCGACGGTACGCGGTGGTCAAAGCAAACTCTTCAGCATGCCTACCCCTGATGTATGTGAGCGCGTGCTCTCGTCGTTGCAATGCTGACCTGACACAGGGTGCCTGAAAATGTGCCAATCACTGCCGCTCTTGGTCTGTTCGGAATCTCTGGATATACTGCGTACTGTAAATTGTCATTAATCCGTGGTGTCTTTACTTTCTGACTTCCGGGAACATCAAATACAGATGGTCTGAAGGATATCTTGAAACTCAAGGAAGGAGATTCGTTGATTGTCAGTGGGGCTGCGGGGTGAGTTTATCTTGGTTCGTATGATTGTTCTAAAGGCATTGATACAGAGCTGTCGGCAACATCGTCGTTCAATACGCCAAGAATGTGATCAAGGCGAAAAAAGTGATTGGAATCGCCGGATCAGAAAAAAAGTGCAAATGGCTCAAGGAAATCGGTGCAGACATCGCCCTCAATTATAAATTGGATACGTTCCCGCAAGACCTTGCTGATGCAACACCGGACCTTGTAGATGCGTTTTTTGACAAGTAGGCCTTTTGTAGTTGCTGTATCTTGAATATTTGTTAACCACCGTCCTGCATGCAGCGTTGGGTAAGCTACACTGGTGAGAGGTTTTACTTCTATTGGCTGAAGAAGGCACTCCAGTGGTTTTATCCTGGATCAAGCGATTGCACGAATCAAACGGTATGGTCGCATCGCGGCTTGTGGTTCTATTTCAGGTTAAGCAGAGTATGCTTGCGACCGGCACAAGTTATCAACTGTTCTTTGCAGGATACGATAAGGACGTAGGGAAGCCCACGATGGGGACTACATGGTCCGAAGTAACAACCAAACGCTTGACAATTCAAGGCTTCACTGCCCTTGACTTTATGTTTTCGCAGGACGGGTCCAACAGAGTGGCCGCGGAAGGCTTTCCAGACATCGCTGGTGCACTTCAGCGGGGAGATATCACACTCGAACATGCCGAGGAAATTATGGAGGTACCCTTTACAGATATTCCGAAGGTTTGGGGGATGCTGTTCACTGGCACCAACTCTGGGAAGTTGGTGACAAAGCTTAAACCCAGTGCATGATACGATGACAGGAGAATAAATTATTCAACTAGGCAATGTCCAAACTGCTTGAACGCAACGCTCAACTCGCTTCGAAAAAAAATCAGGCATGCGTATATATACTATCACCTATTGTTCACCGACTTTGCGCGCGGGTAACACCCCTCGCTTCATCTCATGAGGATTTAGTGATTGTTACTAGGCTCAATTCTGAACCACTCTCCTTCGAAATAAGTAGTCGTAGTTTCAGAACTTTCTAAGTGACTCGCGAATCTGATACTGCATTTGATAATTATGACATCGTGTACCCTCAATGGCGTGTTTTCTCCTGGCAGAGGCGTTAATGGCACGCAGATAACTTTGCTGCTGCGCGTTGCCTCCGATATCTTTTGTCCATGTTGCAGGGGATGGTAACTCGATTAAGCTCGTAGTCAAGCAACTCGAGTTCAATAGAACTTTCTTGCCATTTAAAGTGCGGACACCGAGCAAGGCATAAAACGAAGGCGTCGTTCTCGTTCTCCTTGGTTGTTCCTCGGCGTAGTGGGTTACGAAGCAGTTGGAGCACTTAATTTGAATAGTAACGAGGCACGTGGATAAGTGCATAATGAGGGGTCATCAGTGTGACAATCGAGCGTACGATGATGAAGCGGTTTCCTATTGCTCGCCGGGTGGCGTTGACTGATTGGCATAATGATTGCTATGCATTAATAAGTCTAGATAGGACTGTGTAGTAATACGCTGACTACCCCTGCCGCTCTATGACGCGTGTGCGCAAGCCGCGTACTATGAAAGGGCGCTCGAATGTACTGTGAATCTGTTACAAGCTTTTCCCCATCATGAAGAAGTCACTTCTCAACTCTATGATCGAGCAATGGTTGGTGGTGCCCCCAGTGGAAACGACTGATCTATCTGGGAAAACGGTTCTCGTCGTTGGTGCCAACGTAGGTATTGGACTCGAGGCATCCAAACACTTTGCCCGTATGCATCCAGCGCGGTTGATATTGGCCTGTCGTAGCGAGAGCAAGGGAAAGGCTGCTTTGGCTGGTATGTATCACTGTTAGAGAATGAATGTGATGCGGGGTGACTGACATCTGTTTCTCTGAAGAAATCGAACAGGAGACTGCATACAATGGATGCGAGCTCTGGATAATCGACCTTGCTAATTTTGCATCAGTGACCGCTTTCGCTGATAAATTCGACAAGGAGGGCGGCGACTTGCACCTCCTAGTCATGAATGCAGGTATCTTGCAGTCCGATTATCAACCCACTACTGATGGCTGGGAGTCTACGTTGGTCCTTCATGTTTCTCTGTGCGTGGATATTTCTCTTATTGACCTTCCAGACTACAAGTCAATCACCTTGCAACATCGCTCCTTTCTTTGCTCCTTATTCCACAACTTGTTGCTGCGGGAAGAAAGTCGTCAACACCTTCACGGATGGTAATCGTATCCAGTGATGTCCATCACTGGATTACACTCGCGGAAGAAGTAAAGTCTTCCACGAAACCACTTGAAACGCTGAACAGCAAAGAATTGGAGTATTCCAGAGTAAGCAAACATACCAAACTTCATACGACTTTCACTTACGCGATATCTCTCAGGCGTATGCAATCCCGGTACTATGAGTCAAAACGTACGCGCCTCCTATCTTCTTCGTTCATTTCAACCTCACGCACGTTGCCAGTGCTGAATCTCTTCTTCGTTCGTGCCTTGACGGACCGGTTGCAATCCATCACACCACTTAGCGCCGTAGCCGTGACCCCAGGATTCTGCTATTCACAACTACGGCGATCCTGGTACGAGAAACCGGCTTTTTCTTTTGCCAGCATCATGCTCGCTATTCGGGAGCGTCTCCTAGCGTGGACGCCCGAACAAGGCAGCCGCCAGCTTATATTTGGGGCGGTAGGCGGACGAGACAAGGAAGCGGACATGAAAGGCGGGTATGTAGCCCGTGGTCGCGTCGAGGAGGTCGCCGATTTCGTGCTTAGCGACGAGGGTCATAGAATGCAGGATGCTTTTTGGGTAGGGGATATTTGTTTGATTCATCCCCCAAGCTGACACCTCCTATTAGAACGAGACTGTAGACATTCTGACCAGCGTTTCTGACAAGGTTGCACCAATAGTCCAGGATTATCTAGTACCTGGAGCGTCCGCAAACTGAGATGTATATATACTATGGGATCCGTGGGATCAAACGCTCCGTTCTCACAATATGTAGATGTATGTTATAGACTACATTCCAATTCCTCTATCATCAGTCATCTCTCAACCGGGCAATCCTCGCCTCTCCTTCACAACCTTTGATAAGAACCGTGTTGTTCGCAAACGCCATGCCCTTCGCCAACAAGTACAAGCTCTGTCGATCATCCCAACCCAGCGGGACCTTCGAGTCGAAGTGGAAGCCCGACCAGATATACATGAACCTGGCCATGAGCCCACAAGCCACCGGAACGCCCACGGCTGCCTTGTACCACACGAGGGCGACGACGAGCGCCAGGAAGATCATAGCATGATGGAATGCGCAGTCGGCCCAGTGCGCAAAACGGCGTATACCTTGTGTGGATTCGAGATAGCCTGAGCGGAATACCACAAGCTCGAGGTTGTCAGGAAATAGAAGAAGTGCCCCGCCTACTGCTGCGCACCAGGGAACAAACAGCACTACGTGGAAGGATACTGATGAGAATGCGCTGGGACGATTCACGTTCTTCAGGTGTGGGGTCAGCGAGAGAGACGTGCGCGACCGCAGGTAGCGACGAGGGCACAGGTGACAACAAGGGCGCAGCGGCCTCAACGAATTCCGTCGTATCGAAAGTGGTCTGACTGCGCGGCCTACGAGACGGTTTATGATTATGGACGACCGAGAATAGCGGCCCTGACATGGATGCGATCCTTCTTCCCGTGTGATGTCCAACGGTCTCGGCCTGAGGACGTCAGGGAGGTTCGAAGACCTGAAATCAATCAACGCACCTTTTTCATAGGCAGATCGTGTACGGAGAAGTATCGGTTTGGAAGACTGTAGAACTGCTCACGCGAATTGCGTTAGCGCCGTGTCCATGCTAAAGCTACGCTGATGTACTGACCTCTTCTGGTCTGATCCTGACAGAAATCCTCCTCCCAAACCTTTCTCGAATCGGACTAGCCATGTAGATCTCCTCATGCAGCCTCTGAAACAATATGAGTCTAACACCAGAACCAAAAGACAAGACCTGACTCACTTTTTTCCTAAAGACAGTAGTAAGAGCCCGAGTCACCGTGTTCAAAGCAGTAGTCAACGCTCGGGGTCGAGCATGAATAGCAGTCGCAGCCTTCTTCATAGCGATGCTGCTTCGTAAGACAGGACGCAGCTTCAGCTTCTCCTCGTTCCCAGCCATATGCCGTACGTCCAGTTCGAACGTCTTCTCCTCGCCATCTTCAGGAGTGGTCTGTCCTGATGAGGATGCGTAGGAGTATCTGTCAAAGTCTGATGAGCTTGAGCTTTTATCTGAAGAGACGCTGCTGAAGGATGAGCCGCGCTGGATTGTCGTCAGTGTGTTGAGGCGACCATACGTAGTAGCCATCAAACTTACCAGTACAATCAAGGATGAAGTAGTGGGTTTCGCGTTCGACATGGTTGCACGGAGTAAGAAGCTAACGGAGAAGAATGTGAAAATAAATAGGCAGGCCGGGAGGAAACAATTCTGAATTCGTCTGAGTCTATCATCGTGAAACAAACCAGGATAGTCGTGACACAAATGATGGTCTCAGACGAAATCAACACAAGTGAGACGCATAATAGGGGACTAGTATGAATTAGAAGCCGTATTGCATTATATAGATAACCATCGTCTGTAGAGTGCATCAGCCAATGGTACAGCGCCAGTGGTCACATAGATAAGAGAAAGATTATACGCGGCCTCTTTTGCGACGGATGCATACTTCTGCGTCAGTGTCAGCCACCACGATTTAACGTGGCAGGTATTCCACTCACCTCGCCTCCCCGTTTCTCGGCAATCTCAAGAACACGCTCATAATGCGAGACAGCGTGCGTGTGAAGTCCTGAACAAAATGTCTGAGATAACAGCTGTCAAGTGGGAAGGGAAATTGCGTACCAAGCTGATGGAACGCTCGACCGAAGTTGTAATCTATCTCTGCAAGCATTTCGTCACCGGATGATTTTCGGATTTTACGATATTGAGACAAGAAGGCCATTCCCTGCAGAGTAGGTGAGATATGAGCGGATGAAAAGCACAAGCACAAATGACCCACTTGTGCTATCATGTGATGTCGATTGTCAGACTGCCGCTGCATAGCTCTACCAAGAGAAGCTATGGCCAGCGACAGGCAGACGACAGGGTCTTCGGGGCAATAATCGTATGCATGCAACAAATAGACTGGAAGAGGAACAGTCATCAGGGGAACTACTAGAAATAGATGCTAACTTGCATATGGCACTCTGATAGCTCTTGGCAGCGAGAGACATCTGACCATAAAGAGTCACGATGATTGGATTATTCTTCGTAGGCATCTGAACTGCTGTTTTCTCCGTCGTGGTACTCTCCGTCGTGTGACTTTCCGCTGGACCAGCAATCTCAGCTTCTTCATCTCCTTCTTCCTCAACTTCGTTCGCCTTCAATGGTTCTTCCTTGCCTGACGACGACATATTATATTTCCGCCCAATAACATTCCATTTCATAAGCTCCGGAGTCTTGACAGCAGCATCGTGAAGTCGGAGTTCTCGAAGTGTATGTTTCTGCAACGTAGAAGAAACGAATGAATCAGTAGGGCGGTGTCCACTGGCCAACGAAACTAGGAGAAGGCGGAAAGCCTCGTTGTTGAATTGGTGAGTGTTGATGACTTTGCGACATTGTTCTACTGCGACAGAGAACTTGCCAGCAAAGATGGCACACGCTGCGAGACGTCGTCATGATGTCGAACAAAGGCTAGACAAGACGCTCACTAGTAATCGCAATTCGAATCGTGGTCTGTAAGTTAGGATCTCTATAGGCATTCGATAAGAGGACATGGCGCAGGACTTCTTCAGCTTGATCGTAATCTCCTCGCTTGGTAAGAACGAAGGCATACTATAAAGGCAAAGCGATTAAAAAGCCAGACCAATGACAAAGGCGAAGACTGACTTGCATGAAAATCCTCAGCCAGCTCGCAAATGTAACACCGCGGAACGAATCTACCTTCTCAGATGCTTGACCGTCATCTTTGATTCTGCGAGTATGTTTGTCGCGTTCTGCAGGAGCGTTAAGTCATACAACGTAGTCATCGAATGCCTGCATCACTGACCATTAAGCTCGAGCCTTGACGCCATCCTATCCTCCTCCGTATCGTCCCTTCGTTGATTTTTTCTCTTCGGGAACATGCCCTTGAAATCATAGTCCTAATAAAATCAATCAGCCACCTCAGCACCAGCGCAGTCATATCCACGATCACCCTCGTCGTCAAAAATAAATTCCTCGTCTCCCGAAACATCTCCACAAGTTTTTCAGCTTCAATCATCCACTCCCTCTCCGCCTCCACGTCCGCATGCAGCATCCGCGACCACAGATCTTCAACGCGATTATACCCCAAAAGCACTTCTCGCTCGCGTTGCTCTTCGAGCGCTTTGAGCTCGGGTAAGGTGAGCCGACTTTTACCGGGAACTGGAGTTTTTGCTTTGGTGCGTAATTTTTCTTCGAAGAGGGAGGCGCCTTGGGGTTGAGGAACGGTATCGGGCGCGGGCGTAGCTTCTGGCTGGTTAGCGCGTCGTTTACGAGAGTCGATGACTGTCAAAGGATAAACATTCGAGTGATCAGCTTGAATAGTAAGAGACAAGCAAACCTTGGTAAACAAGTTCCAGGGCCTTCCGAGGCTCATCCATGATTTCGTAGAGCTCTGCTAGTTTCATCTTCGCATCGTTGTTGGTTTGATCTGCATCGATGACTAATGGGATATTAGACTTTCATATGAGGCTCCAAAAGCTTCTCTCACCTTGTTTATAGACCTCCGAGGCCTCTTGCAGGTCGCCGAGCATCCTACGACATACAGCAACCTGAAGCAGTACGTACAAGCTACTAGTCTATACCGCGGATCAGCAAGAAGACGGATATGGTAATGAAAGAAGGGTACTGCAGGGTCCGCGCCGAGAACTTCATATATCGGCCTCGCATCAGCATACATCTCACGCTCAAAATACGAGTCTGCGATCTCTCCAAAAAGAGCAGCATAATCGAGAACATCTTGCGCGAGGACGATAGTCGCATGCATCTGTACGACTGGTCATCTACCCATAGGTTTATTGCCGCATGATAAGCACGCACCTTGCCTTCCTCGACTTCTCCTAGCTTAATTCGTGCGATAGCAAGTCGGTGTCGAGCGTTGACGTCAAGAGGATAGTGACCAGGTTGAACATCGCCGCCTCGCTCTATGTTCACATTGCCTCGATCCTCGCGGGGTAAATCGTACTCTCGGTCATCGACACATCCATCCCAGAAGCGTTGGCTGGCACGGCCTTGCAACCACCTGCATCCTTTCCTTATAGTTTGGATTGCATGATCGTATTCTGCCATAGTGTTATACAGGTCGGCGAGCACCAAGAGGTCAATGAAACCGAATATTTGGTTTGGTGGCGGGTGGTCAGTCAAGGAGGTGTTGACGGGCTGTGCAGGACCCAGAGGCTGAATGACCTGATAGTGTTCCAGGGCAGCGTGATAGAGAGTGGCGCAGAGGGCCAGATCTGATACTTCAATGAGTATTGGGCGGAGCTCTGCCAGAACTGTCATGTCGTGTGGGAACTGTTTCAGAATTGCAAGAAGGGAGTGTCGAGCCTAGTCGGGCTAATATGTCAGGGACGCATGAATAGGAGGAGGAGGACGTACTGCACGAAGATCGTTTAATTCTTTTGCCAAGGAAGCACGGTCCCAAAGTGCATCGACGTTCGTCGGGTCAAGACTATATACTTTGCTGTAGCAATATAGGGCTTGTTGATTATAGCCTAAATCTCTAGGGAATCGCACCGTCGGTCAAGGTTGCCTTCCATGACAGTTGATCACGACCCTACCTTGATTGTGCAGCTAGTCTCTCCCATTCATCCGCATCGGGTCGAAGATGTGCAGCCATGATACGTAGTTGAAGGGCCTTCTTTGGCTCATTGGAATCTTCATAGCATTGAGCAATAACAGACCACGCAGATGACGCTCGAGGCTCAATGCGAATGACTTCCTGCATAATTCGTATTGCATCTGGGATGTTTCCATCGACATATGCTTGATTTCCTTCACCTATTAGAGCGCGCACTTGATGGGAGAGTACCGGACCGTGTTGACGGCCGCGCTGAGAACACGATGCAAAGTAACAGTTGCGGGTGAGTCCGAGAGCTATCGCAAACCACGCACCTTCCTGCCTTTTTTCTTCCCTATCCCAGAAGCTTCGCGAAGATCATCACGAAATTCTGCATCCTGTTGGGCGATATTGAAGTCCCATTCTCGATGGAGCATCGCTGCGTTTGAGACATCGTCTGTCATGCGAATGTTGCTCACTAGTCGGCTGCATCTCACACTCAGATACGCAAAACTGTGTCAAAGGAAATGGATGGACTTGAAATCAGTGTCAATCTCTGCTTGAACACCCTGAGGCAATTCAATGTCTTCAGCTTCCGATTCTTCTTCTTCTTCATCGTCCGACCCAGAGTCATCCACGAAGTCTGACTCGGAATCAACCAGACTCCCGCCGTCTATTGCAAAATCAAGCAAAGTACATGCATCACGATTTCAAGACTTACAAAAGTCGTCCTCTTCATCCATGTTGCACGATGTGACCGTTAATCAATTCCCCCTTACGGGTCATTTTGTGACATGTGTGACTGTGACACGACTCTATGTGACTCCGGTAAGCTACGGGACGTTGAGGGGACCGGCACATAAGCACTTCGACCACACCCACCAAGCTTCGACATCTCTACTCGCACCCTCTCAAACCGCGAAGGCTTCTTGCATTGAGCCTAAAACTGAACAACACGCGATTCATATCAACTTACGTAATCCACAACTGATTTCCACAAGCTGCACGCACACAAGTGCCAGTACAACTTGCCAGCACCTCCATGGACTCATCCCTAGATCTCAACGGTTTGGCCAAATCTCTTCCAGCAGCAAACTTCGAGAAGGCTGAAAAGGATCTCCTGAACAACTTCAAAGGTGGGGCATCTTTTTCCAGGCTCCTCTTGCTTTACTCACGTTCAGCACCTCTAACAAGCTGCGGCGCTCAGTATAACAACCCTCTACCGATCTTCCAGACATGCATCCAAACGTGCTTATAATGCAGGATATGCAACAGCCTGTCAAGATCTCATGTCGATGATCCAACAGGGCGTTTCTACAGGTGGTGTAGCACTATCTGGGTCTAATAACCCTGCAGGAGACGTGATGACAATCGGACGAATCATGGACTGGATCGAGGCTAGAATGGAGGCAGTAAAGGCTCGCGAGGAAGAGGAAGATGAGGATGAAGAACGTGAAAGGGAAAAAGAAAGGGCAAGGGGGAGCGTACCTGCAAGCCGCCCCGACACAAATAAAGACTCGACTCCCCGTGACGTCTTCCACGGGGACGCTACAAGGAATACTGTACAAGCAGCTCCCTCTTCTTCCCGTCTGGAGCAGCGAACGGTATGCTCATCTATTTATTGTTTGGCACACTGACTGATGTATTTCTTAGGTTGTTCCAGCGCCATTGACTCCACACTCCCCTTTCACAGTTAACACCCCAAATGTTCCAAACAGACAACCCTCACCTACGCCATCCGCAATGCCACCCGTACGCCCATCAAGCCACCCATACACCGGTCAACGTCCATCCAAATCTCGCCCCTCAGGCACCAAGAAAGACAATTCGGAGCCATTTCCAATCGGCCCACCAATCACAGCTTGCCTTACGCCGTCAGAGAATCTATTCCGGATGTCTCCTGTCACGGCCTCATCAGTCACAGGAGAACCTGCTTTCTCCGACTATACCGCCGGCGCTAAACGTCGTCACGCTGTCATGATGATGCTCGATTCCACCACTTCAGGCGCTACCGAATCATCTTCACAAGGCAGTAGCGTCTCATCATCCCTCACATCCGCCTCTGGAAACACTAGACGAAGAACGCGGAGCTCACGCACATCCGTCCTTGGGACTCAACCCCAAAATACCTTGGGGGACGCCATGGACGTAGAAGATGAGGGACGAGAACGAAAGCGAGTGGCTAGACGATGACCGCTATTCAATTAGAAGTAAAGAAAGGTAGGTATTACCTTTAAGTGTATGTCATAGGGTCGCTCCCCACACTACCCCGTTTCCACAGTCTTTTAGCATTTGATTTAACGCATTCCTGATCCCATTCCCTTTGTATTGCTCACCCTGCACGAGTTCTGTATGTACGCTTGATTTCATGTGATACCAATTTTTGTTTGGCAATCATGGCATCCCTATTACTGTTCTACGCTAATATATGCAGTGGTTTATGGTTTATAATAGTAGGACTGGAATATCATAAAGGAGAAAACAATACACAAGGAGATTGTCGTAGCCTCGACTCCGCAACTCATCTGTTCTACGGCTCATCCATTCTGCCATTCATCCGCAACCCCCCTTCCCTCCATCCTTGTCATCTGTGCACCTCATTGGTAGATGGAACTCCAGAAATTTGACTCCCCGATCTACTCATAACACCCTTCAGGATTATTCAGTCATTATCGCAATTAAATCTGCGCACACACTCACCATCCTTCAAAGACTCCTATTTACTGGAGCGCATAGGACCTGAACCCCACGACCCAAACCCATACGACGCCTGAAGTACCCCAAAGGCTGCTTCATAATTTTTTAGCTGTGACTGCCCAAGGGAAGCCTGCTTGTCTTCGCGTGATTTGAGCAGAGCTTCTGAGGATGCGTTGGAAGACACTTTGGTTGAAATAGCCGATGATGTACTAGATGATTTGTACATATTAAGTGGGCAGCGATGATAGAGCTCGGCGAATAATTTGCTTCTTCTCAAGAGCTGGGGATCCGGGATGGCTTATAAGTGAATCGCCTTCAACTCTATCTGTTTTATATGACACCACAGACGGCATGATATGTTGTCCGTCAGCAATGCCGCCAGAAGATAGGCTGCGTAAGTTCTGACTCAAACATTTGTTGTAGCGCTCGCTACTGAGCATGGCATATGACAATCACCTGCGCCCGCTGCCGCAGCCTGGAATGGACCACGCCGATTGACTCGTGGTTAGTGTCCGTGTCTATCTCGCATCCCAAAACAGATCCGCAGCATACATCTTTGCCATTCATAGAGGGCATTGTCATTTCCTCGTGCTCAGTCCCACTTCACTTACCGAATCAGTAAGTAGCGTCAAATTGATATCATCCGATGTGCTATCAATCATTGACCGCCCGTCCCGGCATTCTTGACACTTGGGATACGTACCACGTGGCTCAACATGTTCCTGTGGCTCTCTCATTTTATTGTCTTGCTGTGTTCCATTGGGTCGCGGTAATTGCAAAAGCCCGAGAGAAAGACATCTAATGCTGAATACACATTGCGCACTAGAACGACCACATAAGAAGTCTGCTAAAAATGATCAAGTATGAGTATTGGCATTTATAGAGTGGTTCACAAATACATCGCCTTGGCAGACGAGTCGAACAGTCCTTCTGCCGGATAAATGAAAGTTTTGACTCGCAGTTCTTGCGACACCATTTGTTTCTTACTTTGAGTTTGACAGAGGAGCTGCGGTTGTCTGAGAAATGCGACTGCGGTGCAACTTGACGCTGGGATGGCACCCTACTCCATACTTGAGTGACAGCTCAGCGACGAGAACAGTGGCTGCATATATTTCCGGAGGTTGCGCAGAAGAAGAGCTAGATGAACTACGCACTTCCCCTGCGCATGACCTAAGTAACTCATTAGAATATATTTTAGTCCGTAGATGATCCAATTGCTGACCTTGTAAGTACATAACAAATGCCTCATCTGAGCCGGAATTACATACAGTCATCCAGAACTACAGTGTGCGAAGAAGGTTTTCGACGCCTCGGGTAACGCCGACGCGCAACTACTACTGCACCACGAAAACTCACGTATTCTTGTTGAAAGTAGCGTAGATCTACTCCATTTCATGTGTACTTTGATGCTTGCTGGTCAGAAATTCAAAAAACCAAAATTCAAAATTTTCGTCACAAGAATTTGAAACATGGTAAGAAAATCAGTGTTTGTAGGCCTAGGAGGCATACCCGGTGACTAGAAATGATACTACAGAGCTACGGGAGGTTGTTCTGTGCCCCTGCAGCATTGCTAACACATGCGAGGACTTCAGCCGTCATACCAATACATCGATGAGACTTGTACTTCCTCACAGCAAATGCAGCTTGTCGATCGAGCATCAAGTCCTTTTCTAAATTAAGAGTTCAAGAAATATGTTATTTGACGAAAAAGCAGTAGTGCACCTGTAGGCATCCATATAGCGCCAAGATTTGCGGAAAAATCGCCGGATAGTCAAGGTATCACAAAGATCGAGACATTGAGGAACGAGAATTTTTGCAGTTGGGAATTTACCATCCAACGCATTACGAAAACCTAAGCTTTCATCAATAGATGTATCAATACTTCTTCTTCACGACTTGAGTGATATACATAGGTTGTTGAATCATGTTCTTCGTCAGTCTCGACTAAGGTACACTGCTGCACAAAGTGAGTGCTGCTGTGACGCTGAGCTTTTGCCTGGCTTGTTTTTTTGCTTGGTCGAGGCATGTCTACAGAAGGTTGGGATGGCCAGGCAAACTACGATATATAAGTTTGATTTTTGTGTAAAAATTTGAAACATCCCCACAAAAAACCTGAAATTGGTAAAAACAGTGTATTTTAGGCATGTTCCTTCCTAAAATTGTCTACGGAGTTGCAGTAATGTATTTCTGACGCTGTACAGAGGCGCTGTGTTTGTGCTTCGCACACTGTAGGTTGAGTGCAACGTAACTCGGGGGTTATTACTTGAGCCAATTCGCGGCTGGCGCTAAGTACCAGCACAAAGTCAGTATGATCCCTGGGGGATTAGGTATCACTGACCGTATGATAGTCAATGAGGCGAAATCCCTGACAGCCGCAAGTATGAAACTTCGAGGCTTGACCATTTGAAGAACCCGACACAACCTAAACGTAATCAAAGGTCTTGAGGATAGTTGCCGGTGCACCACCCGAGCACAGCGCTGAGCACTGCTGCATATGATGTGAGATCCGGTTGCGTCCTGAATTGTCGAGGAAGGAAGGTGCAGATAAAAATCACCTAGTGGTCCTCGAGGTTCGCTCGCATAGCCCCTCAAGAAATCAGATAAGCTTTACCGTATTCGGGTCGCTGATTCTAAGCTGGGCCAGCATAAAATCGTCGAACGCTTGTCTTCCCCAGGGATATTCGGGTCCCAGAGATAACCCACGAGTACCTGAATACAACCGTCACCACCTGGTAGAGAGCCTTCGTAAGCGTGTTTCGCGTTGGCTGGGGGTTGCAGCCCTCTCTACATCCTCTCATATGTACTCGACGGCACTCTAGCGCCTCCAAATAATCGCCGTCATGAATAATAGAGTATGCGAAATCGCCACAAGTCGCCGATCGCATTGTCTTCCTCGAACATGATAAGCAAGGCGATTGGCAAGTTGTGTAAATCAAGACTGCGAGGCGAGGACCATGTTTGAGGACAAGTGACAGCGCTGCGTCGATGTCGCAGCAGCAGCGTGAATGGCTGAGCCATAGGCCAGGAACATTCCCCCCTTGCACAGGCCAAGCAAGTTCAGGAAGAAGTAAAGTGGTGAAGCAGCACTTGATACCATGATAGTCGGGAACACAAGCCGGGCAGTACATGCGGCACTCGCCAATTAATATAGGACACTGTCGGAGTAAAGGTATGATGTATCAGACGGATGGTTGTTGCGGCCACGCTGGCAGGTCACACGCGTGTCACTCCATGTGACCACTGTCTGTGCTTGACTTTACCGTGACGATGATGCTGCTGGAGACCAGGAGAGCTCGCCACCTACCAAGTTATTCTCTGTTCCAGAGGACCATATTAATTCATGTCCGAAATATTTTTGGGTCCTCGGCACTAACCCGGTGGATATCATGGAAGTCGGGGTTGAAGACATGCTCTCGGAGTGTCATCGATTTGCAGATGTTCATTCAGTAGGTCAAAAAGCCCATCTTCGATGATGTCGATTATGCCTCTTTAGATATATGGAAGGTGAGTTACATGCTTAAGACCCAGCATGCTGATGCTGACGATCATACTTTGTAAGGTCGATTTCAACTTCGTGAAAAAGGACATATATCTATTCATTACGTTAGGGGCCCGAGATGGCATCAAGAGCGGCAAGGAGCTGCGTGGGTGGACCCCAATCTCGGAGGTGTTCACAGATCCATTTGACCCTGAGTGTCTCGACGTAAAACCTCCTGCTGGTGAGTGTAACACCCCACTCTTCTGACTGAGGCGGACCTACCTAGCGGCGGCCTTCCAGATCACCACACCCAATCATACGTCGTGGATGGGATGATGTCTGAGTCAGATACGTATGACTTGTATGCCGTGTTAAACAGGGCGGAAATATGGGGTGCGATTTTTGCGAAAGGGAACCAGGAAGTGAAGAAGATGTTAGTCCATCTCGGTTATCCAGGACCCCACCCTTCTGTGGAGCACGCTGAGGCCACGCCCGACGAACCTACCACTTCGGAACGTCGTACGTATGGAACATTGTTCATGTTTCCAGGTGGCTTGTCATCGCTGCATGTTGAAGCGAGCATTCCGTTGCAGAGGTAAATTTTCCAAGTTGCACATACAAGTAAATTCTGTGTTTGGGAGGCAATCCAGTTCCATCAGTCCGTGTTCATCAAGCCACCCAATTTCCATCCAAATCTCGTGTCTCTGGCGCCAAGAAATACAACTCCGGCCATTTCCTATCAGCTCGCCGATCCTAACGCCGTTGGAGAACCTATTCCACGTCTCTCTCATCATGGCCGCAACACCCCGTCACAGGAGAACCTGTATTCTCCGACTATACCGCCGGCGCTAAGCGTCGTCACGCTGTCATAATGATGCTCGACTCCACTACTCCATCAGGCGCTACCGAATCATCTTCACAAGGCAGTAGCATCTCATCGGCCATCATGTCCGCCTCTGGAAATACCAAACGAAGAATGCGGAGCTCATGCACATCCGTCCTTGGGGCCAATAATCCATAACCCAAAAACACTTCGGGACGCCATGAGGGATAATGGGCGAGAACGAAAGCAAGTGCCCAGACGATGACCGCCATTTCAATTAGAAGTAAAAAAAGGCATTTGATCTAATGCACCCCATTCCCCTTGTATTGCTCACCCTACACAAGTTCTGCTTGATTACATGTGATAACAATTTTTATTTGGCAATCATGGCATCCCCGTTGCTGTTCTACGCTAATATTTGCGGTGGCAAGACTGACATATCATGAAGGAGACACCATCGATCCACGAGGAAGGCCGTGACTCGTCCGTTCCGCGGCTGATCTATTCCGTCACTTATGATCCGCCACTCCCTCCTCCCATCCTTGTGCACTCCATCGGTAGAAGGAGCTCCATAAGCTTGACTCCCAGATCCACTTATAAATTAAACATCCTTCCGAAACATTCAGTCTCATCATCACAATCAACTCTGCCCTCACTCACCATCCTTCAAAGACTCCTATTTACTGGAGCGCCCAGGACCTGGGCCAAACGATCCAAATCCATACGATTCCTGCAGCGCGCCGAATGCCGCTTCATAATCTTTTGGCTGAGATTGCCCAGTGGAAGTCTGCTTCTTGTCTTCGTGTGACTTGAGCAGAGCTTCTGAGGATGCATTGGAAGACGCATCGGTTGAGTTGACCGATGATGTACTAGATGATTTGTCCATATTAAGTGGGTAGAGAAGATGATAAAGCTGAGCAGTGAATAATAGGATAAAAGCTGGGGAAGCTTGTGAGTGAACCGCCATCAACCGTAGTACCTGTTTTATATGGTACAATAGACGCCATTAGCATTTTGTTTGTGCGACTTGCGTTGTCAAAGATAAGGACAGGCCCGGGCTTCGCAGGTTCTGACTCAAACATTTGTTGTAATGCTCACGAGTATGGCATACATTTGTTTTTTCCTGATGCAGTCTACTAGTATGAAGCGGCCACGCGATCTACTCATTAATGTCCTCGCATTGTCCACATCCCTGAAACATGAGTCCGCAGCACATCAGTAAAATACCACGGTTCTTAAATTTACTTAATGAGCTTAAATTTGCGGCCAAGTCAATATAAGTCGGTCTTTCTCAAAGACCTTAATCTTAACATAAGCCTCTCGTCTTACACCAACAAAAGACTTAATAGAACTTGAATTTACTTAAATTTATACAGTAAGACAAAATAAGCTCTAAGTATGCAAGGCCAACAAGATGCGATCAGAGACAGATGATAAAAATAAAATAGGCGACAGCGGGGAGCATGGGACGTGGATATAATGAGCGACAAAAAAAAACAGCGCCGAGCGGCTTCAACGGAATGCAAAGAGGTCAGCAAATACATCATCCTCGTCAGGCACTTCACTGGTGGTAGTCCTCGAGTTCCCGATGCTTTTTCGCGTGCTTGGCATACTGTTGTGCCTCCCCAACAATGCTCGCGAAGGCATCATCGGAAAGCACCACAATGGGGCCCATGAGTTTGACGGTCATGTGCCCCCAGATAGGTTTGCTGAAAGCAAACTGCTCGCCCTTCATGATGATGGGGGTCCAGATATCGCCGCCATCGGTCTTCGCACCTTTGTGTTTGCCGCGGGATTCTTGAACGACTTCGAAGGTGAGGTTCCCATCAATGATGAGCTGAAGAGTACGATAAACCTGAAAATATTATTTTTAGACAATGAACGGTAGAAATCGAATGACTTACAGCAGTAACGGCGAGGGCAAATGCAGCCCGCGCGCTAATGCTCTCGGTGTCAAGGTTGGGGACTTCAACACGGCCGAAGGTGAAATTGAGGTGTGATGTGAATGTCTGAAGTACGAAGGGGGATCTCCACATACCCGTCCAGTCCTTTGAACAAATAATTAGATGGTTTCACAGTAATTATTATAGCCACTTACCTTGGGAACGAGTCCTGAATTATCCCTGAAAATGAACTGGTTATGCTTCAGCATGGCCCTTGAAAAGTCCTCGCGAGCCGCAGGATCCAAAAAATCAGCGTCCTGCGCAAAAAATGCAGTGAGGATGGAGCATGCTGCGATACCGAACCCTCCACGCCATTCCATAAGGCGTTGTTTGGCCTAAATGTTGGTTAACATCTGAATGACTGAAAAACAACTAGACTTACCACTTTTAAAACAGGCACCAGATCTAGAGATCTCGTGCTGAATCTTACCCCGATATATGTAGTTCCAGATCTCCTGCATGGCAGTCCCTTAAATCTTCGTCTTCAGGACCCCAAGGCTCAACTTCTCTACCAGCCCAGTGTGCGACAGTTGGTATGAACACCCGGCGCCAGGTATTACCATCCTGGCATCCCTCAGGAAGGTCATCGTTCTGGTACCGGTGATTGGCGCCACTGCCATCGCGGCGTGACATGACACTCTTGCTCTGCGGCTCTGTCTTTGCTCGTTTCGAAGGGGGGGGCTGGCTATTGATGCTGACGCCGGTCTATGTTTAGTGGAGAGAAAATGAGAAGGGTATCACAAAATAAGTACCGGCTTACTGAAGTTGTTAGGCGTTTGGTGCCTTTTGCTGATACAGGAGCAGGGGGCGGTGATGTGTCCTCACTCTCGCCAAAGTCAATGTCCATTGACAAGTCAGTAACGGGCTCAGTCGGGATGAACCTGGCGGTGGCTCTGGATGGTTGCATAGAAGGAGGGGCACGAGGAGGGGGGGAGGATAAGGACTCGGTCCTTGCCATTATTGGTGAGCGTTTCTTTGGTCGCAATGGAGGCGGTGATAAACTGTTATCACTGACTTCCAATATATCCTGAGTGGGGAGTGAGTGTGATGCAAATGCATGAAAAATGAAAGAAATACCGCAGAAGTCGTATGCCTGGCACCAGGCTTTTTGGTAGCCTTGAAAGCAGCCTCACGCTCAAGTGAATCGTCCTCGTCCAGAAACGCTGTGGTAGGTTCTTCGAGATTGACTTGAACATTGTTTGTGGGGTGCGGGCTGCCAGTGGGATTAGCCCTGGCGCTAGTGACTTTCAAGATCCTTGAAACAGCAGTTGAGGTGGTGATTGAAGACACCCGTCTGTGTGATTCAGTGCGAAGGCTTTCAAGTTGAGGGCGGAGCAACTTGCTTGTTGCAAGTTTCTCAGCCCAGTCCTTTGTTTTCCCCATCCCCGCATAGTCGTCCTTGGCGGCGCAGACATCCGCACTGAATCGATTGAGGTGATCGAGATGAAAAAGAGTCGTTTCGGTGAGTAACAACATGGCAGATGGGAACAATAATCGACTTACACTCCTTTCTTGCCTTTCTGGTCACCACGTGCCGTTGGATCAGCCTGATCTGATATATCGACCTTCGAATTCTGATTGTGAGTCATGTTGATGCCTGTATTATTAACACTTCGCTCAGCATGGACAGCCTCACGATATGCTGTCTTCTGGACACGCTTATTCCTCGGCTGCACCTCTTCATTCTCCTCCTCACTGGATACAACATAGTCAGTCTCTGTGTATGGTGAGTCTCCTGGAACCTTACCTTGGTTGAAAGTCCTTATCTCCATCATTATCGCCTGCAGCAACGTCCTCCATTTCGACATCCCCCATCTCAGCTGCTTCTACAATCTCCTCGTCATCCTCAATGTTCGGCTGGCTCACCTTCGACTTCGACACAGGACGCGCCCGAGGCCGAGGCTTTGGCGCATGCAAAAGGATCTTCAAGTCCTTCAATGCCTTCTTGTCTTCAATAGACGCAATCTTCTCAGTGGTGCGTTGATCAGCGGCTTCTTTCTCCTGCCGCTCATGCTCGGCTTGGTCGTTGTCTTCCTGGATTTGACGAGCAGTGCGCCTTTTCCTCTTGTTTTGGAGGAGGATCTCACCAGGATGCTGGTTCACATTTTTAGGACGAGTGTTTGGGCACACCATTGTTTGAACGGTCGGGCTTGTGGAGGAGAAAATTTGGTGTAAGGTTGAGCGGTCACTATGGACTTTGAAACTCTAAGTTACGTGTCGCGCACCCTGTTTTGTATGTATTACATTACATTCTCCCTAGTGTGTTTGCTAATGGTTTGCGCTTTTCAGTTAGCCTCCAATCCATCATGCCAGACAAGATCCCTCATGCGCAGCTCAAACGACGAGCGTTTAGCGCCCGCCGCATCCAGTGTCCCTACCCAGGCTGCAAACGCTGGTTGAAAAATTCCTCTGGGCTGAAACTTCATCAAAGCTCGGCCCATAGCCACTCGTTTACCCATCCTGGATCGCAACGCACACAACACGCCTCTGTTGAAGAAATTGAAGATGAAGAAGCTCCCAGACGCACCAACAATGAGCTCTGGGAGTTGAAGCATGGACTTATTCGTGATTATCACGAGACACTGACTGGTAAGTCAATAGTTGTGCTGCGGTGCCAGCTTGTCTCTGATTAAAACCTATACCCACAGGTCGTATTTGTGACGAGAATGGCAACTTTGTTGACCCTGGCACTCCTCCTCCACCATACACAGCAAAAAGTCCTGACGACTGGACTCCGTATCGCAACCGACTGGAATTTGAGTGCGCAGATTTCATGTACACTGAAAACCAGATGTCCGCTGGTGATATAAACAAGATTCTCTACTTGTGGGGAATCACTCTCGCTGTTCATCGCGACAATCCACCATTTGCCGACTACAAGGACCTGTACAATACTATCGACGCAACACCGCTAGGCGATGTCACATGGGAAAGCTTCTCCCTGAAGTACAATGGCGATAAACCTGCTGGAGAGTGTCCACTTTGGATGGAACAGTCGCACGAGGTTTGGTTCCGGGACCCTCATACCGTCGTCAAGAACATGCTCGCAAATCCAGATTTCAAAGGTGGAATTGATTATATGCCCTACCGTGAATTTCAGGAGAAGGATGAGCAACGCTGCTATAAGGATTTCATGTCAGGAGACTGGGCCTGGCAGCAAGCAGTATGTATTTTGTGTCTGTTAGTATATTCTCATATTGATGTCAGGTACAGGACCAAATCGCACAGGACCCACAAACGCATGGTGCGGCTTTCGTTCCCATCATTGTAGGCAGTGACAAGACGACGGTGTCTGTTGCTACTGGTCAAAACGACTACTACCCTCTATATCTCTCGATTGGGAACGTTCACAATAACGTCCGGCGGGTGCATCACAACGCATTGGCTCTGGTTGGATTTTTGGCGATCCCTAAGAGTATGTACCTAATTCTCTCCTAATCTACTTTGAAGCTTACACCGTTGTATGCAGCGGAAAAAAGAAATACAGATGAACTTGGATACCGCAAATTCAAGAAGCAGTTGTTTCACTCCTCGTTGTCCAGGATCTTCGCCAATCTCAAACCTGGAATGACAACTCCAGAGGTCACACGGTGTGGCGACGGACACTACCGGCGCATTATATATGGCCTTGGACCCTACATTGCAGACTACAAAGAGCAGGTAGTATTGGCATGCATGGTCAAAGATTGGTGTGGAAGGTAAGTGGCTACCAGAGATCCTCAGGACACCGCCTGTTCGTATCCGCATTCATCTCAGGACATCGCCTGTTCGTATCCGCATTCATGACCCCCCAGCAATCCTCAGGACACCGCCTGTTCGTATCCGCATTCATGACCCCCAGGGATCATCAGGACACCGCCTGTTCGTATCCGCATTCATGATCCCCCAGCAATCCTCAGGACACCGCCTGTTCGTATCCGCATTCATGACCCCCAGAGGGATCCTCCTCGAAGTTTTACGCGATGTCCTCAATGTATCTGCCGTGTTCCCCCCCCCCCCCCCCCCCCTCCCCCCCCCTCCCCCTTTTAGTTCTCTCTGGTTTTACTATGCAAAGTCTCATTTGTATTCACAGATGCCTTGCATTTCCCTCAAGTCTTGATGAAGGAGGTGTTTCTCGGTCACGCGAACATACTGATGCGCTTGTGGATTCTATAGATTTTGGTATACTTTGGGACGAGTATGGTATCATTGGCGAGTTAGTGGTATGTTTTCCCCCCATATCATTTGTGCATTGTTGAACTAACGGTTGCACTTCATAGCCCTTCACCAACGACTTTCCTCGTGCCGACATTCACGAGCTCCTTGCCCCCGACATACTGCACCAGCTCATCAAAGGAACCTTCAAGGACCACCTTGTTGAATGGGTGGGTCAATACCTCGAACTCACGCACAGGCAAAACACGCGCCAAGGCGATTTTAGATGATATTGACCGAAGGTATTTTCAATCTGCCGCTGCCTGTTGTGATTACTGACAATACACTAGAATTGCTTCCGCGCCGCCCTTCCCTGGCCTACAACGCTTTCCACAAGGCCGTGGATTCTCACAATGGACAGGTGACGACTCCAAAGCTTTGATGAAGGTACATTTTCATTCACTATCTCACGTTTATCAAATTTACACAGCTGTTATCTAGGTCTATCTACCAGCAATCGAGGGCCACGTACCAGATGATATGGTTCGGGCATTTCGAGCCTTGCTAGAGTTCTGCTACATCGTGCGCGCGAACGTAGTGACGGACGACACTCTCGCAGCGCTGAAAGATGCCCTTGGGCGTTTTCATACTTACCGGACTATTTTCCAGACTACTGGTGTCCGCTTCGACATTTCCCTACCCCGACAACACTCTCTCATCCACTACGAGCTTCTCATCCGAATGTTTGGTGCTCCGAACAGCCTCTGCTCGTCAATCACGGAATCAAAACATATCAAGGCGGTAAAGCAACCATGGCGACGTTCAAGCAAGTACAACGCGCTCAGCCAGATGCTCCTTACCAATCAGCGCCTGGACAAAGTCGCTGCAGCAAGAGTTGATTTCACAACACGCGGCATGCTCAAAGGGTCTTGTGCCTTCAGCTACTACAATTCATTTGGTATGTGGTCTGTTTTATTTTAATTGAATTTTACTCACTGAATTTCTAGTTGAGAATCCCTCATATATCGACAACGACAATGGAGACCCAGAGGTCCAACCAAACCCAGCGCATGCAGGAAGCAACCCCTTTGCTATCGAGAGTGACGACTTTGACGATGTTGAGGATCAGGGTGTTGTAGATGACGTGGATGTCATTGCTGATGTGCAATTAGCACGGACCTTTCGTGCGTATCCAACCCTCTACTCACTGTGACCTTCGTTCTTAACACACCGTTCAGAACGAAAACGCGCCCTGTACCGTTGCTGATCTCGCAGACGAACTCGACATCCCATCAGTTCCCGACCCTCATTCGCCTCTTCCTGTATGACCAAATACACGCGGACAACCACCATTCTTCTGCCGATGTCCCCCTTCGCGACTGTCCATCCTACACGGGACCAATCAAGATATTTCATTCAGCCGCTGCAACATTTATCGCACCCAGTGATCCGAGTGGAATCACTGGTATGCGCCGTGAGCACATTCGCGTTGTGCCTTCGTGGCGCAAGGGACCAGCTCGCTTTGACTGCGCCTTCGTCAACACGGACAATAGGCATGATGGAATGTTGAGCATGGATGTCGTTCGAATATTCTGTTTTTTCTCTTTTACTTTTACTAACAGTCACACATACCCATGTGCCCTCGTTCAATGGTTCCATCGCATCGCCGAGGAACGAGACGAGCTCACAGGAATGTGGATGGTGGCACCGTCTTTCAATGAAGACGGCTCTCGCGATTTGTCCATCATCCATATCGACAGTATCATTCGCGGTGCTCACTTACTCCCAATATTCGGTACTCAGCTCGTACCACGCGGCCTTCGATTCTACGATTCTCTGGATGTATATCGAGGATTCTACGTAAATCGGTTCATTGATCACCATGCTTTCGAGCTGGCATCTTAATATATTCATTTTTTCTTGCAATGCTTAAGTTCAAAATTTGTCTTAAAAATACTTTAATTGTCTGAGCGTCTTTGTCGGCTTGATGGTAAGACACTCAAGTTGCCATCCAAGTCAAATCGAAGCCTTAAACATCTTGACGCACTTGGGCGCCAAACCAAGTAAAATAAGTTCGTAATAAGTTAAATTAAGAACCGTGGTATTTTACTGATGCATGCTTCTTTGCCATTCATAGAGAGGGCACTGTCAGTTCCTCGTGCTCAGTCCCGTTTCAGTGCAAATGATGAATCTAAAGAATATGCTGCCGAATGAGAGGCGTCAAATTGATATCATCCGATGTGCTACATTCCAATCATCGACCGCCCTTCCTCCCCACTGTGGCTCTCGAGTCTCGTTTCATTTCCTTGCTGCGTTCCCTCGTTCATTCTTGGTCGTAGTAATTGCAAAGGCTGGAGGGAAGGTAATCCAATGATGAGTACGCACAGCGCACTAGAACGACCGCATAAGAAGCCCACTAATAATCACCGAGTCTGATCATTGGCAGTCATAGAGTGTGATTCACACATACATCACTTTTGCGAATGTCAGACGAGTCCTTCTGCGGGATAAGACTTGCAGTCCTCGCAACATCATTTTGTTTCATTAATTTGAGTTTGACAGACAGCGCAGCTGTGGCCGTCTGAGTAATGCGACTGTGGTGCAACTTGGCGATGGGGAGTGGCAGCCTATTCCATACTTGAGTGACAGCTCAGTAAAACCACAAGAACTCGCTGCATCCATTCCGGAGGGTGAGCGGAAGAAAAGCTGGATGAACTGCCCACTTTCCTTGTGTATGACCTAACTGAGACTCATTAGAATATATTTTAGCTCTTAGATTATCATGTTGCTAACCTTGTAAGTACATAAAAAGTGCCCTATCATTATGAACTGCAATTACAGACAATGAGGTCCAGCTGTCACTGTATGTCGGTTCGCGGCTTGCGGTAAGTACCAGCAAAGAGTCAGCATGATCCCTGTGGGGGATTTAGATATCGCTGGCTGTGTGATCATCGAAGTCCAATCCCCGACAGGCAACAAGTATGAAACTTTACTATTTGAGGAACCTGACTCAACCACCAAATATAATCAAAGGTCTTGAGAATAGTTGCCGGTACGTCACTCGAGCACAGCGCTGAGCGCTGAGCACTGTTGCATTACTTATGAGGTGAGATCAGATCGCGTCCTGTATCGTCGAGGAAGGGAGGTGCGGAGAAACCTCACCTAGTGATCCTTGGAGCTGGCTTGCATAGCCTCGCAGTAAATCAAATATGAAGCTTTACCGTATTCGGATCGTCGATTCCAAGCGAGGCCAACGACGATGAAGAGTCAATCAAGGTATATCCAAGATACCTCAAGAGAACCTGCAAGTATCCACTGACAGCCTGGTGAATGATCGTAAGTGTTTGCATATTCGCGTTGGCTTCTTAGTGATCATCATATAGAGGGGGGGAACTAACCGCGTGTCAATCGCACTGCCCCTTTTAGTTCCACACGCACTCGACGTCACTCCAACCCCTCTAAATAGTCACCGTCATAGATGATATAATATGCGGAATCGCCACAACACCGATCGCGTCATCTTCCTGGAGTTACAGAAATAACATGACTGGCGAGTTGTGTAAATAAAGACTGCGGAGCGAGACTACGTTCGAAGATAAGTGACAGCGCTGCGTCAATGTTAAGGCAGCAGCGCGAATGGCTGACTCATAGGGCCAGGAACATTCTCCACTGGTGCCCGCTGCAAGTTCATTACTACCTTAGTGGTACCAGACTTACAGACGTGGTTAATCGTGCCAGTACTGAAAGGACCTACCTGATCATGCACGGACCAGTGCTGGTCTTACTAGTGCTGGCCCTTTGTTAACGAAGAGGATAAGCATCCTTTAAGGCCTAGTATAGAAGGAACAACGGTCTTCCTCTGAGGTGCGCCTAGGGAAGACTAACATTAATATTGAAGGAAGTTATCGATGAAGAATTTGTTGCGCAGTGCGAAACCAAATATTGGGGTTGTAATTCTGAGGACAGCTTCCGACAAAAACATGACCTTGCACGTGATGCAGATCATACACGAAGGACAGGGGTTAAAAGAGATACTCTGCTCAACTACTCATGTCTAAAATATCCTTCAATTTTTGGTTCCTCGGCAGTTAAAATCCGATGGATATATTTACCGTCGGGTAGAAAGCATGATGCGTGTCAGCAACTTGAAGACGGTCGTCCAGCGCGCCAAGAAGCCCGTCTTCGATGATTGTGATCCTGAAACTCTAGAACTATAGAGGGTGACTTATACGCTCAAGACTCAGTATGCTGATACTGACGATCTGAAGGTTAATATCACCCTGGTGAATAGGTTCATATATATGCTCAATACATTAGGAGACGGCAAGGGCGGCATCAAGGGCGGCGTAGAGCTGACTGGGTCGCAGCAAATCTCGAGTGTTTTCACGGATTCATGGGACTATGATCGCCTCGACGTCATTGTGAAACCTCCTGCTGGTGAGTGTAACTGCTCATTGACCGAAGCGGGCCTACTTAACAACAGCTTTCCAGATCACCACACGCAATTCTACGTCAAGGAATGTCTCCTTCAAACGCTTTTGAATATTACGGCGCGAATAACAGAACGGAAATATGGAAGGAAGTTTGCGCGCAAGGGAAACAGGCGGTGTGGAATGTGTTGCGGTACGGGTTGCACGCACCGCACGACTGTGACAGGTTACATGAAAGTACACAAACCAGGAATACAAATTACGGACGGTGTATTTAAGTAATCATTGAGGACTGATGTGTCTATATTAACAGCATGCTTCAGTTTTTGTGGGGCACGCTTAGACTACGCTCGATGGACGTACCACTTCGAACCTTCGTAAATCAAGATGCATATTGTTCCACATGGGTTGCCATCGTATTGCTGTATGTTGGAGCAGAACGCATGTTGTATGATATCGTGTTGCAGAGCTGACTTCAAGTTTCCGTTGACCTTGGAAGTGATTCCCTAGTCTGAGACTTGCCAATCCCATCGTCTTCCAGTGCACTGGACAGAAACCTGGCGTGATCGGAAAGTTATATAAACCAAGACATCAGGGCAAGGACTTTTTTTGAGGATAAGTAACAACGTCGCGGTAGCAGCGTGAATAGCTTGACCAAGAGGGCAAGTTCTCTCTTTGCATGGGAGGCCAAGGAATTTCGCGGAGAGGTAAAGAGGTGTAGCAGCACTCGATACTGTATAGTATAATCAAGAATAAATCCAGGCAGTCATGGTACATGTAGTACTCGCCAATATTGGACACGGAGCAACGCGAATCGGATGGATAATGGCTCTTTCACGGTACTAAGGAGTGTAATATTCGCATTGGCCTGTTGCAAATCTCAGTAGTACCTGTCCTACCAGACAAGGTTGAACATGTCGAATGGAGAGAGGTCCTACTTCGTCTAAGGTGCGCCCACCGGGGCCAGGGGAGACTAACAAGGCCCAAAGGAGTACTAAACGCAAGGTCACGGGCGACAGAGTTCGAATTGCCACAAACTCAAAACAATGCAAAACAAATCAGGTTTGACAGGAAACGGGGAACAGGGGTCCCTCGCAACTCGTCCTACCTTGTTCTCTACTCAATACTCATTTCATATTCATCATGTACAAAACAACTGGGTCCTCGGCACCAACGCGCTTGATGTCATGGATGTCGAAGTTGATGACACGCTGGAATATCACCGAATTGCAGATGGTCATTCAATCGGCCAAGAAGCCCGTGCTCGATGGTGTCGATTATGCCACTCTGGAAGGGGAGTTGCATGCTGATATCGACGATATAATGTAATATAGGGTCAATGTCAGCCTGAAGAAAAACATACATCTACTCAATACGTTAGGGGACGGCGGAGCGCTGTTGGGGTGGTACCCAATTTCGAAGGTGTCTACAGAGCCATTTGACCCTGCGCGTCTCGACCTCATCGCAGTACCTCCTGCTGGTAAGTGTAACCCCTGCTGACCGAGGCGGACATACCTAGCAGCAGTTCCAGATCACCACACCCAATCATCCGCAGTCAGGAGTGGGGCGTCCGATGAACATGCTTATTACGCTTCTTTGAACAGGGCAGAAATATGGGGTGCAACTGTTGCGAAAGGGTTAGGAAGTGAGGAGAGCGTTAATCCATCGCGGTTTCCAGGACCACCGTCACCCGACCATGATGTGGAGTACGCTGAGACCACACCCGACGAACCTACCACTCGGAGCCTCGTACGTATGGGACCCATGTTCATGTTTCCGCCTGGAGTGAGCATCCCGTTGCAGAGATGACATACATAGAAGTAAATTCCTGTTTTCAGGAGATAATTCAGCTACATCAATCCACATCTCGAGCAATTTATTGTTTGGGAATTGGACGGAGTTTAGTAACAGAACGCCTTTGGCTTCGTTTGATGATGGTCTCTCGATAAAGTTGTTCTGGCGGTTGAACGTTGAACGCGAGCGAAGCTTACTGACTCCATTTGGAAAACGGAATGAGTCTGGACTCTGGAGTTGCAGTTCTGCAAATCATAGATTAGGACTTCCAGGTTCAGCTGATGTGACGTGTACGGCAGCCGGCCCAACAACACCAATCTGAGAATTTGAGATGCATTTTTGAAGACTCATCAAAACTGATAGGATCAGAAGCATGTACGTGCTTTGATAAGGTAACGACGAGCATCCAGTACTTGTTCAGAAGATGATTGTTTGGATCTTGGAATTTCCTAATTCTTGTCCAGAGCGTTCGCCTGCTGGCAGCGTGCGAGGACGAACATCCCAGAAAGAAAGCCTTCGAAGTTCGGGCGCTACTTTGATCAAGAAAGCTATGTTAGGAAGAACGCCTACGTAAGTGATGGCGAAGAAGTAGCGATTAGTACATAAGAAATATTCGACATTTTTGACGTAGCATGCGTTTGAAACAATAAGTATACATCCATAACCTCGTCCCCCGGAACCAGTGTGACTTGCAACTGGCTGTCATGACTGTTCGCCGCTTGGGCTCATGTCTCGTAGAGAAACATCAACGACACCAAGCTCAACGACAGGTGGTCCGTCCACCTCCCGTGTGTGATGTGGAGTGGGCATAGCAATGAGGACAGCGACATTTACGGCAGGTGATGCCGACCTTGACGGAGATGAAGATACAGGCGTAGAGGCGACAATCGGAGATGACGGCGCTGCTGCTGCTGCTGTTGAAAATCGTGTATGAAAAGGTCGCAGGAACCGCATCGAGCGAGACTGGGAGTCAGATCGGGTTTGAACTGACTCTGGCCTCGGAAATTGTGAAGGTGGAGCAGATTTAACGTGAGCGGCATAGACGGGCTGTGATATGAACTTAGCGACACCACTTGTGAGACGGTTGGTGCGACAGAAGCATACCATTATGTCATCCCAGGTGCATTTGCCGTCAGCGCCACTGTAGTCACCACTGCGAAGCCATGCCTCCCACAACTTTGGTTTCTTTCCAATTTCTCTTCGTCTGCGACTTCCACGGGGATCATATGGCTGATGAGGGAGCCATGTCCCTGCTCGGATTGCTTCCTCTACGATGCGTTGATGGCGTCGTCGAAGGACGAGGCTGCGAACAACGATGGCCGATGAAACAGCAAGGAGAAGGACGAGGGTAGCTATGAGTGCCGTATATGACATAGATGTGACAGGCAAGGGGTTTTCAGGTGTTGAGGTAGACATTGCGAGTGATGAAGGTGGGGAGAACGTTAGAGCTAATGAAAGCAAGAAGTAAGAGGAACGCACCAAGAAAGGTGTAAACTGTGTAGGGTGAAGTGCTCATTTTGGTATCATGGGGACGATTTCAGGGCGGTATGATTCGATGCACAGGTAATCGAACCGGTTCGGAGTTGTTGAATAGCACAAGCCGTTGAATTTCCGGACCCACAGGTATGGGTGAGCACACAACAGACACACGAGTATGAGGGCAAAAAGCAAAAAAGTGAGGGAAGATATTGGGGAGCAGTGTGAGAAATGGCTAGGCAGCATCACGATAACGATCAATTGAACTCACGGTACAAGGCAGCACTCGAGGTCAAGCTGGGTTCAGCGCTGTTGGTTGAGGTCGCTGTACTACTGCTAGCGGTATCGGTAGAAGTACCAGGGAAAGTGGACATAAACAATGGGGTTGGAGTGCTGGTCACTACCGGTGCTGAGGTAGTGTCGAGACTAGAGATGGTAGACATTCTGACAAGTAGCCTGGGAGATCGACAGCTAGTGGGAGCAAAACGGAGACTATGAAGTACTATTAATACGTGGGTTTGAAAATGCAAGAAAAAGTAAGACAGCCAGTGAAACTTGAGTGTTCGAACTCAGTGCAGTTCGAGGTCGACGTCGTCCACAGCGATGAGCTGGGAGTACTTGAGCACTTTCACACTAGGCTCGTCACGATCGAATTATAAACGGAAAATTGCGAAATGAATTCATAATTTCACACCCCAAGATTCCCAACTTCCAAGCAGATCAACGTTGACCGCCAAGTTCACCTTACATACGTTTTACAACTACAAGACAAGTATGGCACCTTTACTTGACATATGCCGAGTTTCCAGTGTATGTTTCGACTTTGTATGGTTGAGATACATTTTAATCACAAACACTGCCAGGTCTCCCAACACGGATCATTATACTGCGGAATAAGCATTCTCCGACGAACCACGGTGCAAGGGAAGAATGATCGATCATTCTTTGCGTGCATCAATGTGTTCGTGGAATCATTACTCCCGTGCGGCGTGCGTTCAGGTCCTAGACTATTTCTACGACCCTGACAATGAGGTTGGTTATTATAAAGTAAAGATATTTTCTAACGCAATGTATGCAACGACAAGGGTCGGGGGTCAACGTTTCATGCTTGGTCGCACCGTCCCTCTCGTGACATTCCCAGTCGCGCCAGGTGCCTTGCTTGATTTTTCGTAAGCAAAGTCTTCATCTTTCGTCAATGCGTCCCCTGTTTTATGCTAGCACGAATACGTCTCGTGGTAATCTCGGGGCATCCATGGTGCACGAGAGTACCTGATCATTTTCTGCAGTTCTACATGGCAGTTTAATGACCGTTTTGATCTCTGAATGTGCGTAGCACTCCGCGCCGATCGTCGTCGAGCCCTGACTTATTGATCGCCCTTTCTTAGCATCGCGTCTGTACTTCAGGCACGGCCAAGTGAAACGCTTCTCCATGGGAAGATACTTGACACTGACAAATACAACAGGAGTTTGATTTCTGTAACACATCTGCACACACTGCACAGCCCGGCGACGCAGCACGTACGCCACCTCTGACAGCTGAAGGAGTGATGAACTTTTCTGACTGCTCTCAGCTTCCCTACAATGGATTTCAGTGAGTTTTTCTCACCTGCGAGCACGTATGCGTCCCTCATCTTCCGACGACGCATGAAAGAGTCTATGCAACTATCTTCGGTTCCGAATATCGCCAGCCCACTACTGGTGTATGGAGAACACATGCGTTGCCCTTCAAGAGAACCGTACGATAACGTAATCGATGCAATTGGAAGAACATTTGGCTCAACTGTCTCGCCGGTGTAGGAAAAACGGCCATTGCGCTCACCGTAGCCGAGGAAACGAAAGAAGCTTGCTGCAATTTTTCGTCTCCCACAAACATGCGCCAAGTGCCGCTGATCATACTAGCCGGTGGCATCGGCTTTCCTGCGCATTCGCAAAATAAAACGAGATGTTGCCATCGCCTGGAAATCTCGCCGCGATCACATCGACAGCTCGTCATCAATCCATTATACACGACGATATTCCCCTCACTACCAGAGACAAATCCACCGTACTGGGTGTGCGTCTCTTTCCGCAAGCATCACTGGACAACATACTGACCGATCGTCCGACTGTGGCGCCTTTGGTCATCGAGGGAGGACATTTAATGCAGAGGTCCCGTTTGCCTACGCTGCGAGGGCCATCATCTGCTGTTGATCGTCGTCCGCAGGAGAGGCTAGATCTCTTACTTCACGAGAAGTCGGCCGTCGGTGCGGATATCGACCTGCTTAATCGGCAAATTATCCCAAGATCCAGATCTGCAACTACCAGGATTTTAGCGTCCATCGTGTACCTCCGCTACCTCTCTCATTCAAGAACTCTTCCACGCAGATGAAGAAGTTTCGCTGTGATTCTAGTCATTTTCACTCGTTATCCTGAATCCACCTGGCGGACGTGTCCTACCACGTGGTTGTTACACACGCTAGTGAGTTACCTTACATATTGCTGCCTTGGATTATTAATACGAAAGGAATCCGGTGTTGCACCACTCCTATGGTTATGCGTATAAATCTTTCGATGGCTTATCCTAGCAGCAAACCTCGGGATCGACCTGCTTTGCTTACAAGAGAACACCTGCAACGTCGGTGGCCTGGCGTAACATTGCTAAGACCTCGAGACAAGCCGAAAGCATGATAGAAAAAAAATATGAACATGATGCAAGCATACCTCATGTATGCTGACCTGAGTATCTTCTGCTTCAGGCGGCAAGTCAACGAGAGGGAAATTTTGAAAGCTGTGAATGTCACACGTGTTGGCAAAGGGATATCCTTCGTATCCATCCCTGTACGTACACTGAGCCAAGGAATACATCATATTTGCAGACCGGTAATTGGACGATGGTCCTCGCTGTACGACCCGATGACGTCTATATGTTTGAGCTCCCACGTTATAGCATACATGTCATTTGTCATATTGGTAACATTGGACGTGCAAGCCGACTATTCTCCTCGGCGCACGTCAGCAATCCACGCTTCGCCTGAAAGAGTACTTTGTTTCACAAGTAATGCATGGCTGTGCAAGCTTGCTGTGATGTTTATGTCGTTGGCGAATTTATCCTCCAGTAGATGCAGCTGAAATGTTGACTATTGGCGTGATATGTATAGCGACTGATGTAGGGATAATAAAGTGGATGAAGTGGCGAAGGCGCACTGGAATTCATGGGGCTGGTATTTTGAGTCGAATATGAATTACATCTGCAAGTACGTATTCTGAGTCGAGTCTCAGGCAAAGAGTGGGAAAAATGTATAGGAGAGGACCTCAGTCGACGGTAACAGCCCGACTCCGGAGATCGTTTTTGGCTTCATTGATTTCCTGTGTGTCGGACTGGACGACCATCAGTACATCCAGTCCTAGAGATGCTTGTACACTGCTTACCTGTAGCAACTCATGATAGGCTTCGGGACAGTCACGGAATGTGAACACCCCCCAGCCGAGACTCCAGAGGGAATATGATCCAAATGACACCAAGAGCCACCACTGGAATCTGAGTTTGTGGGTGCGCAAATTAAAGCGTCGGTTTCAGTAAGCTCAGGAAAAAGGACGCACGGCGGGAAGAATTTCTTGTACTGTACTCGCGTCAATGAGTGGTATGGGCAGGACCTCAAATAACACCAGTAGATAGACAAAAATAAGGATAGACGAGTATAGTGAAACTTGGTGCAAGCGAGCCATGTTTCAAGGTAATGGAGTGTCCTCACAAAGAAGTAAGTTGGGAACGCTTAACGAGGGCTGGTCGTCGTGCTTGACAGTGAGTGCCAGGGGACGCTTTCAAAGCTCTCAGGTCACGTGATTCACTTGAAGCTAAATTTCTTGCAACTTGCAAGTTGTTGATCTTTAAGTCAGCTATCGGGAACAATGTCTTTAACTTGCGTCTTTAGACGTCCCTCTGCAGGGCTTTTGTCGCCATCCCCATCATCTGCACTGACCAGAAGAAGTGTTTCTACTTCCCCGTACGGTCGCTCGCACGTCTTCAAGCGTCGTTTACCCACTCTGCCCAACCCAGTCGTTCCTCATTTCCCTCAGCGTGTCATTCGTGCCGATGGTTCATCATATATGCAATGGACAACATCACCGCGCTCACGAATAACTTTGACGCGTGATACAACAAATAACCCTCTTTGGAATGCTACCCAACGTTTGAGCGGAGCGGTCGGCGAGGGTGGTATAGAAGATGAAGAGCAGGAGGGTACTGGTCGTTTGGGACGTTTCAGGAGAAGATTCGGACAGGAAGTTGGTGCGGGAGAGTGGACTGAACTTCAAGAGGGTATTGAGGCTGAAGTGGAACCTCCACTGAGTAAAAAGCAAAAAGCTGTCCCGAAGAAATGAGGGCGCCGGTGCCTTGTCTTCCTTGGGCTCTTCAGGTGTGTTAACCTCTGAAATAATAAAAAATATCATCTGATCGGCGTTTTCCAGCTTCTCACTACTTTGTTGCATGCCTGCGCATGTCATTTATCACTACATAATCTCCATTCATGCATATTCATATCAATCGCGCGTTCAACTATTCGGGTATTGATATCGAGTACATCTCGAACAGTACTCCCTTCGTACTCCCGATGATTAGGGCTCTCAGTCACGGTTGCAAGACTGGAGTGAGTGTGATCTGTCGAGAAGTTTTCTCCGCTCATTGTCTACGTCACGTCCTGTTTCTTTTTGATTTGTCCCTTTCTTCGCATGAACTTTCCGGCGTTTGAGAATTATCATGTTGAAATTACTTACGTTGGCATTAACCTGTTACAGCATTCTATGGCAAGAGGATGCGCTATGCAGGGCACGACGAGTCCTTGGTACCGCTGTCCAGATTCCAGTAAGCTCTCTACCCTTCTCTCATTTCCGCCCCAACTCACTCACTCACCACCCAAGTCAACTGCTGTGTCGAGGGTAGATGGCGGTGAGGACCCAGCGTTTTCTGTGGACGCTGTTGTCACGATGTTATTTTGTGTACTGGGAAATGCACAATCATACGGTTCTCGGGCTTCTGTTGCGCAACATCAGACGATGTTGTACACGAAAGTGACCTCGTCCAGCACGCTCGTGCTCAGTAAACTCTCTAAGGACCAGGACAACACCTTCGATGCCAACGGTCGCAAATATAGCTCAAGGTTCGGGACTCGGTACCGCAAACTCTGGCCAAACGCAGGTATCTACTTGGCCTATTTGCATTTCCTGCTCTGAATACTAATTATCACTATGATTTAGTTCTCCATATACCCTGCATCCATACCCGAATTCGTGCTACTTATCATCCCGTCCGCATTAGAGAAGCGAATTGGGATGGAGATCACGGGCTACTACACTGGCGTCCATTCCCAGGCCCAAGTAGCATAGACCGGTGGATCTCTGTTGAAGAGAAGGTGGAGTGTGAGTGACACGTATTGCGCTGATATTCTGTCCTCGTTGACCATGAACAACTCGTATAAAATCTTTCCGCGACTCAACAGAGCCACTAGAATTCTACAAACATAGATTCATAAGTAATAGCATACAAACCAATGCATCATACTACGGGCCGTGGATAGGGGTAGTTCTCCGGCTTAGTCCAAGCTCCTAGGGACTTCATATTGCCACTTACAGAGTCTCTCAATGACCTCACGGTCAGCATCTTGCTATGTAAAGTGTTGGCGCTGATCTGATTCGCCCAAATAGGTCGCTCCAAGTTGTGCTGTACCGATACCACTCACCATACCGAGCGTCAAGATTTACGATCGTAAAATCTTCTTTGGCTTCCAAACAACTGAGCAGTGGCTCACCGATTTCGCCGAAGCAAATAGGGCGACTTATAGCCTCCCCCCGCCATATCTAATGTCTGACTTGTTGTATGCTTTGCAGATTCTAAAGCATTGCTGCGGGATCCCGAAGTTCAATTACGTCCGCGTGCTACCCGAAAGCTCATCCATCCTTTCTGGCGAGAAACTACAGGCTCCCCCAAAAGAATGGACGTTGATTGTATCAATCCGTTCGTCCAAAAAGAAGTCGTTTCAGAAGAGGCCGAGCCAGGGCGAGGTGGATCTGCTGAGGGAGAAATTAGAAGCCGAGGGGCCGACGTGATGGATGAGTTTTAATCGAAGGTAGTGTTGGGGAGGGTTGGATTCACGAGGAATGAACTCCTATATACAGTACTCTGACATCTGAAGAAAAGTCGGGGGATAATATCCAACCGGTGTGGGTCCTGGTAGCTTGGATGGGAGGTTCCCCGGTTTCTCCATCCCATATTAAAGGTAATCCTGTCGGTCGCTTGGAAACGCTTCAAAGACAACTTGAAACAACCGTGCTATCTTTCCCTCGTTGGGAGAAGAGCTTGTAGCTATCCCTGTCGAAGGGCTGCATAACTGGATTAGGAAGGATGGACATACCGTGTGCCAACCCTCAAGTTCTACCCGATTCTTCTGCTTACATTCTCGTCTGCTAGGCGTAACCATTCTCCCAACTAATTAGCAGAAAGTCCGAATCCCGCTCACTCCATGAAATTTAGGATGCACATAAAAGAAAGCTGTCTCAACGCCAGAACGATTCTGATTCGGAATTCCTCATTGGCAAATCTGGTAACCTCGCACAAATCATGCGTTTCTCCTTCCTCGTCGTTATCACTGCTTTGAGAGCATCTATGTCCATTAGTGCATGCAAGAAACCACTTGACATATGCACGACGGACAGTGAGTGCTGCAATCGTCGCTGTACTTTTCCTGATGTGAGTATTTATGAGTAGTTTGCTTTTCCTAGATTCATTATTGACCCCTGGCGCCTTGTAATACCAACAGTACGACGGTCATGTATATTGCCATCCCAACTAGTCCGATGAGCTGGTAGCCTGAGTAGCACATCGAGATAGTTAGTCATGTTTCTGCTTTTGCATTGGTGCTGTGGCTGACGGTACAATACGTAGTTCGTTGCTGACTTGGGTCAATATGGTTGCGATAAATTTCACTGCTGCTTGGGCATTGAATGGAGGCCCTTGGATAGAGGGAGATCTCAAACACTCAATGTGATATTACGATATTGATGTACGGGTGGTTTTTGGCCTTGATTGAACTATGAAAGCCTCGTAGCACAGCAGTAATGATACGTGGCAGCTTGAAAGGAATGCGATTGGATCAGATCTGCAACTGTTCGCTTTAGTCGCAATGTATAATTACTCGTTCACTTGACAAATCGACATCGTTTAGTTCAGATACCTCACTGTGTCTATATCGTTGAACCGTGCCCTGCCTCATTCCGCTCGGTCTCGGTCGGTCATTCGTACACTGTTCGTAAATGCACTTCTACTCCGTCACCCATCTTGTCTGAGTTCACCCGACAGAAAAACAGCGGGAAACGTACTGCATGTGTCTTCGGCCCTGGTATCATGTAGCATGTGATATTTTGCAGCTTTCTCCGGTCTATTCCGTCAGGAAACACCGTATGTCTGACTAGGGGAGACTAGTTCCTTCCAGGCACTGGGTAATCGGCGTACCAATGGATAATCAAACAGAGGTAAACTGTACTGGTATGCTCAGCGGAGGAGCAGCACCGAGGCCCAAGTTGGAAGCGGTCGGTAGAACTCCTCGAGGCATAGTATAACTGGGAGAAGCACCGTGCTAAGACGATAGGAAAGTTTGTAAAGGAAGTAAATATTGTCATAGCGGATTGGCAAGGTTGGTTCGTGAGATTTGCGTGCGGCGTAGGGGCAGGCGGAACAAAGATGCGACGCGAAATCGGTCAAGTACAAGTCGATCGACATGTTTCAAAACTGGTGCACCGTTAGAGCGTGACAAAAGCCAGCAGTTATGATTGTTGCGACGCACCAGACTGGAGTTCAAAAAAAGAAGAGGAATACAGAAAGGCTGGTCTCCGGTAAGTAGTACGGTGTCCTCGCTAGAGTCCTCCGAATGCTGTTCACAGCGATTTACGACAAAGTCATCAGTATCAAATCACAAGATCCATTTACTCACAGAACAGGTCCAAAGCATGGAACATGAGGCGCCCCTGCTCGAGTACCTGTCCATGCACTGTTCGACTAGATTCATGATAGACGAAGATCCGGAGTGAGAGTAAGAAACATCAGCCGGCATCAACCATTCGAAAGTGCTAGCACGTTTAAGCAAAGTGACCGACGACCGTTGACCACGATTTTTTTCCTTCGTGCGCTGCAAACGTAACATTGCGGCTGCATAATTGGGGTATGAGGCTTGAGATGCCGCATGTGTAATGCGACTTGGTGCGGCAGACTGGCACACAAGTTCATTGGGATGTTTGTCGGAAGATGAAGTGGTTGTTGAGGGCGATGAGTTTGTCGTGTTCAAGTTGATCGTTGCGGGTAACAATATCGAGAAATTAAACTTGCCTAGCTGATGTGAACGCCACTAAGGGTAATTCACCGACTTAGTTCAGGCCCTTAGGGGCTCCACACCGTCTCTTGCTCAATGAGTCTTGTGTCGCCGAGCCTGCTCACCACAATATGTTTTGTAAATCGTTCGCCTCCGTAGGTGCTGATCTGATTCACGGAATTATGTTGCTCCGAAGGTTCCTCCAAGTCGCGCCGTACCAATACCACTTGCAATACCGTCCATCAAGACCTACGATCTTCTTTGACTTCCAAACAACTGAGCAGTGGCTCACCAATTTTGCCGAAGCAAGTAGGACGACTTATAGCCTCCCCCCCTCCGATCCCATCCTGGACTTGGCCCATGTTTTGGAGATTCTAAAGGGTTGCTGCGGATCCCGAAGCTCGATTACGTCCGCATGCTATCCGAAAGCTCTTCCATTCTCTCTGGCGAGAAAATACAGGCTCCCCCCAAAGAATGGACGTGGATTGTATCGATCTGTTCGTCTAAGAAGAAGTCGTTTCAGAAGAGGCCGAGTGCAAGGTCAACAACTTACATTCGCATTCAAGGACCTGATTCGTCTCTTTTGCCTGCCGCTTCGAGTGGTTGTCCCCTTCTTAAATTTATCGAGTCCATTATTCTTTTTATTCCAGAGCAATTTTGAACTTCTCAATATTGACTTGAAGTTCAAATTTATAATAAACGATGAGATGAGATGCAAGAAGGATGCCCTCTGGTTAAATCAACCTCTCTAACCCTCCAAATACGGAAAGAAGAGGGGTCGATTACACACACTAGACGTGCACCAAACATTCCGGACAAGATAAAAACAATATTTATGTAACAAAACGCAGGTTGTTCCAATATGCATCAAAGGAGGGAAAGGCAATTCCACTCCCCAACCCTCCAAACCGATGTCCTCTAATACACACCCGCAGTGGTGCTCTCGCGCCAATTCCACCCAATGACACCCACATCGAATCCCTCCTCGCCTCCCTCATCCCCACGAACTCCCAACACACAAGTCCGCTACGTCTACCAGCCCCTCGAAGACCTCTAGATCCTCATCACTAACAAAGCTTCCAATATCCTTCAAGACATCGATACCCTCTACCTCTTTGCATGTGTCATGTCTGACATCTGCCACACCGCTGACGAGCGTGAAATTCAGATGAGATCGCTAGCATGGGTTATCGGGAACAGATAAATCTCATACAATTGAAGAGCATATTGGAGATGGAGAGTCACGAAGAGAAGATTAAAGATATTATGGCAAGGGTTAGTGCGTCAAACTACCCGATCCCTCGCTTATTTTATGACAGAACAAGGAAGCAGAGGCAAAAGAAGAAATCAAGCGCCTTGCACGCCAACTCGAGCTCTAGCGCCGCGAGCAGCAAAAGCGTGCAGCAGCATCCGGCGCAGGAGGTAGCTCATATCTTGGTGAAGGCACATCTTGATTCTCTACGGTTCCGCAGCGCTTCGATGCTCCAGAGGTCCCGGTGGCACGTGCTGCATTACCTGAACTTGCGGCCAGCACTCGCACCCAGTCCAAGGGCAGCGGTATGAAGCTCAGCCAAGCAAGCAGAGCTCCTAGAGCTCTCAGCTGCGACCTAGTCTCCGAAGAGCTTTCTGGCTCACCCACGCCTTCTATCTCCGAATCACTCCCAGCGCCAGCTCCCACAAGAGGCAGCCTGTCCTCAAAAGGTATGTCACGACGGAGGATTATCTTGTTGTTTGAGTGTTTTTGTGTACTAAGAAATGCATAATCATAATACAATTCTTGAACTTCTGTTGTGCAACATCAGACGATATTGTACGCGAGATCGGTAAAAGTCTTAAACTGAGCATAAGAAGCATCACTAGCTATATAGCTCTGCCAATCCAGTACCACACATAGCAGAATGACAAGATGAGGAAAATATGTAGTTCAGAACCTGCCCTCATAGTGTGCGTTTAAAATTCCCACGCTCCCTCTACCTTTCGCCGCCTTCCAACGTAAGACCGAAAGTGACCTTGTCCAGCACGCTCGCCCATAATAAGTTCTCTATCTAGAGACTAGGACAATATCCTCGATGTCAATGGTCGCAAATGCAGCTCAAAGTTCGGAACTCGGGACCACAAGCTCGGGTCAGACGAAGGTATCTACTTCTCCTACTCGCATCTCCCGCTCTGAATTATTGCCATGATTTAGCTCTCCATATACCCCGCATCCATACCCGACCTCGTGCTACTCGACACCCCGTCCGCATTAGAAAAACGAATTGGAATAGGTGCGGCGGGAGATCACGGGCTACTACACTGGCGTCCACTCCCAGGCGCAAGGTATCATAGACCGGTGGATATCTGTTGAAGAGAAGGTGGAGTGTGAGTGATATGCTATCGCGCTGACCATCATGTCCTCATTTACCATGAACAGCTCGTATAAAATCTTTCCGCGACCCGACAGAGCCCTTGAATCCCGGACTACTCTACACCGGAATTTCTGCCCTGACAACATCCGTCCTTACTCGCTCGCGCGCACTCCCTACACGCATCCTTCTTCCGCCCTGTAGCTCTAGCTGGCGCGTTCGCATATTTCCTTCCGGGTACTGCTTCTCGGGTCGGTGCATATGCCGAAGAGCTTGAAGATCGTTATGTTCCCCGCTTTGGAGAGATCAGAAAAACTTCTAGTTGCGCACAGCGGCATTGCATGGGAGCGCGCAAAAGAAGGCGCTGCTGCTGGGCGGGTGTCGGTTAATAATGGTGTGAAGAGCGTTGTGGAGAGCATTGAGCAAGGAACGGGGCTTAAGCTGAAAGCTATGGGTTGGGCGCAGGAAGTGAAGAAGGAGGCGCAGAGCGTTGCTAATGTGGCTCAAAAGGATATCAAGGAGGCTATTGAGAGCAAAAGCTCGAGTGCCGACTCGTAAGACTCCAAGAGGTGCGAGACTGTCGTATGTATAGAATCTTATTCGTATATCTCTCACAACTCCAGTCACGCTATAGCACTTAGAGATTAACGTTCCATGACGCTGAAATATCATGGCGCTCGCATCGCTCATAAACTGTTTTGTCCCAGAGATGAGCAATGAACTACGTACAGGCAAGTCTACAGAACTATCGTTGTATCAAGGCAGCAGTTCCTGCTCAAAGACAATTAGACGGCATTGCCGAGTCCCCATATATTCGCCAGACAGAAGGAGATCGTACATTTCTGACTGTCTTTTGCGCAACACATTGATCCAAGCCGAGGATACTCGGTGAACTGCAGTGCTTGCACGACAAGCTCGATGTGCTCAGCTTGCTTCAAGTATTGTTCCCGAGCAGAGCGCAAAACTTCACTACAAATCATTAAATGCAAGATACGAGAACATACAATCGTTGGGCTGATGTGAATGTTGCCAACATTTGGCATAGACATTTCAAGAGCCTGCAAATCAGCCTCGCGATCGACATATTATGATAGTCATGATTGTCTACTGTTTGAGTTGATCGGCACATTCAACCAACGCATTTTAAACATGTAGGGATGCTAGCATTAAATATATAAACGTATACACGAATTTGATGATGAAAACACGTATCTGTAAGTGGGTTGGCAAAAGGTTGGGGGGTGACTAGGACTGCCATTTGTTGAGGATGACTGTCATCTAAGTTAAAGTCCGGACGCCGCCGCCATTCAATTCGTAGCGTGCAAACCATACGTCTTACATATGCTTGTGTCATGTAAACATTAGGGTAATATTTGAGTTTAGACATCAGAATTACAAATCGCATGGGCTGTCGTGTAATGAGAGAGCGTGAGCAAAGTCCAAGGTTCAAGCACAAATCACAACCACGGACCGCTCCTGGTGGTCAAGCTGCAGAGGCAGAAGAGATGGGACGTCCACGCCACATGAGGCTTCTGTTATATCCGTAGAACGTTATACTGATCATGCGGCATGCAGATAAGAATCTGGTGACACTTGCAAAACTCAGCATGCGCGATGCACGAGAGCCAAGAGATGAAGATATGCTGGCCCTCAGGGGGTTCAGTTAACGGAAGTATCACCTGATGAATGGTTCATGAGCACGCTGGGCGACCCAAGTATGAGCGCTTACTCCAGCAACCCCACGAAAGCCAGGAACGCTTGCCTCTCGCGAGTGGAGGTCGAGTCTGGGGCCTGCCTGCGTCCGGGGGCTCGGTCTCTGCGATGATGTTCTTGCCTGCAGACTTCGATTTTACTGTAGCATTCCTCTGAAAGGAGATAAAATTCGCGAGCGCCAAACGTAAAACTTGAACTTACAGCTTGTTTCTTTTGTTCATGGACTTTGCGGTCATTGCGACGAAATAAGGGTATAGCCATTCGGTTGAGGACAGTCGCCGCGTGTCAGCCGGGCAGCTTCCAGTTGACTTCTAGCACGATCAGGTTAAGGCAGAGATGGCCATCTGCTTAAGCAAAAAGCTTTTAAAGGATACATATGGACTAGAGTCGGGCGCAGCCGGCGGACTTGTCTTTTTTCCTCATCGCCGACCATGACAGAGTCATAGCAGGGCAGGGTGCTACAAACTTGGGACCTTATGCGACGTGGACATACTTAGCAGTATTATTCGCATTCATGCAGTAGACACTTACTCATCGAGTCGTACTAGTATAAGGATTTACCAGTGTGTTCGAGCTTATCGTAATATCGTTCCCATTCAGTGGGGGGAAGCTCACGTGGAGAAATTGGACAGCCTCACTAAGAATAGCAAAGAATGCAGTAAATTCCAGTGCGCACCGCCAGCGAAATGCATTGCGATCTCACGATCCAGTACGCTACTACTTCCTCTGTGACTATCACTTTGACAACGCTCAACAATGGGACCACAAGATTTCCTGGTCAGTGACTTTTCTAGGCGACTGGATTCGTGAGGACTCACATGAAACGCCAGAAAATCAGGCAACCTAAGTCCAACAAGATCATAGCAGAGACTGCTCAAACATCGAACAAGTACGACAAGAAGACTCAAAAGCCTCCTCCACCAGTGAAGCCCCCGCCACAGAAACCGGCCAATTCACATACGAAACGATGGTGCGTTGGGTACCATTATCTTATGGGACCAAAACTGAAAAAAAAACCTCAGACGTTGAAGTGAAAGATTTATAACTTACTTCAAGTGGCGAGTGTGGGGAAGGAGCGGTACCATATTTAAATTGGAGTGTCGCGAGACTCTAGACTCGAGCCCTGTGCAGCGTGTCGGGGCCTCGTTTGTCCAGAAGAATGAGTTCGCTATAACATATGTTACATGTTACATAATAATATTCACTTGATACTTGGTACTTGATCTCTACAATGCTTGCTAGACCTTCCCGACAGATACTGAATTTGTGTTTTTCTTTTTGAGCAGTAAGTCTGTTACTTCAAGTGACATCTACTGTACCTGATTCTGAGGCTGTAGTAAATTAAATTGCCTGAGCGGTGGCCTCTTCCGAACTCTCGAGTCTCGATCTCCGTGCTCGAAATACCACTTGGACCCGTCAGTTGATAATAACTGAGATGCGGACCAAATGCAACATGTCATCTCTTGCCAAATCAGCATGATCTCACTCACTGGGATGTCTTTGGCCAAAAACATCCGCGCTTTGCTATGCTTTGCCGTACGTGCGAACAACTTGAAGCGACTATCAATTTACTTCTGATGCGTAAGGTGACCTGCATTCAATAACATCAACATATAGCAGGACCGGCGAGATATGGTTCACCTTCCCTCCCAGACCTCCCTTAGGTTTGCCACGTTGTGCAAATGTCTGAAGGCTCTCTTGAATGGACTATCTTCCATCTCCTCAAGATTGTTCAGGCGCCTGTTTGGCGTTCTGTTGAACGTCTTACGTTCCTGTCTGGCTCGAAACCCCACACGTTCAATCCTTCGACCAACTAGTGATCCCAGCACTGAGTCAGGTGTATCAGCGGAAATCGCTGCGAACAGTTTCCTAGGTGTTCCAACAGCGCTTGCCAGTGCACCCGGTGGGTTACATGTTCGCAGTCAACCAATTTATCCTTGCGGGACTCATAAATTTCTGCGACAGTCAACATTGCGTGCAGTTTAGTACCCATTAGTACCCCTTCCTTCACACTGCCAGGAGCGATTGGTCTTCAGTTGCAAGCGCCACCAGTCATGACAGTTCACCGTCGCAAAATTCCGTTCGTGGCTTCGGCTGTTCAGAGATATGGGAAGGATATACAAATGCAAGTCGTTCTTGGTGCTCCTTTTGGGGCAGCGGTTTGTTGAATAACATGCACCACATAGCAAACCTTTTGATGGATTAGAGATTATCCCGCCTCTCGTAAGACAGTATCCCAAGTAAGTGGTAATAGGTGTTCTGGTAAACGATCCGCAGCTAATGCTATGTAATTGAGACGTCAATTGCCCATCAGTACTGGTTGGACAGCTCACGTCCATCCCGAGGGTGCCCTGTATTTCTATCATCCAGTCAAGGTCAGGTCATCTTCTTGTTGTGGTTCACAAGACTTTGAATGATTTCGTTAGAGGGTCTTCACCGATACCGACGTCCAAGTGGAGGCATTCCTCAACGACCTAAACGACTGCGCAGATGATTTACTCGCTCTTGCTAGGAGCAGTGATATAGCCCTGACGAGTGACATTGAGCTGACACTGCAGCTCGGCATGAATTCAGATACTGGAGAACGAGTTTGCAGCTACTATTTTACTGACCGTGCCGAGCGTACCCTTTTCTGGCTCCATGAGTTAGATACTGAAGATCTTTTTGATGGAGTTCGAGGGGTCAAAGAGTACAGTCATATCCGTGAGTGTCTGCCCGACGTCGGAATGACCGGAAATCAATTTCCTACTACAGGTTATGTCATTGAATGCGAGTACTGGTAAACAACATCATTTGTAAGTAGTCCTTCAATTGATCTCGAGACAATCGCTGATCGACTGCTCATGCTGTATCAGTATCATCATACAAGCTAGCAAATCTGTTGCTACAGGGTGCATTGTGAGCGTTACCCTAACAGCAGAGAGGTAGAATCGAAAAACGGACTCCTTATGGAACTTAGAGAGATCATCGTGCATGCTAGTGCAGGTCAACTTATACCTCCAATTTACATCTAATTGACTTTACTTATGTGTCCGCGTAGATGTCATCACATCTGACAAGTCATTGTCGCCCTTCGGAGGCGAAGAGCTATCAAAAATACTCGAGTTGATCAATCACCTTCACGGTGCGCAGAAGTACACGATATAGCTTACTTATACGAAACAGCAGTACAACAGAAACCACTTCAACGGAGTGTCGCCCTTACTCCATATGTGTCATCGGTTTGTCTTTGACCCCTCAAACTTGCGTATTGTCCCCTCACTCATTTCCTGTCAGCACGATTTATGCAATACTTCGGTATGGTTGACCACTGCATCAGTATTTTTTGCGCTCTCATCATTCAGGAATAGCACGAGCTAAATTTTTCAACTTCTGTGGTCAACCTTGCGCACGTTTAGAAGCTGACCACTCGATATATCGCACAAGTGATGAGCATGTGGTGACATCCATAATATCATGGATAGCGGAGCTTCTATGTTTTGGTGCTCCCCATGCACAGATGATGGAACTGCAAAGAGTCTGGGTGGATAAAAGTACAACTTCACCCCGATGGAAAGATTTCAATGACAAGCTCAGCAGGGAATGGATTTCTATCACAATCTATGTGCGATAACATCTACCCCTACTTACCACGTCTGCTTCTTAAAACTGACTCGTTTACAGTCTACAGTGATGCTAACTGTGGATCTCAGCTTCCTCTCGGTGCCTAGTGTGAACGCCCAAACTTCACAATCTGTTGCGATTATCGCGGCTTATCTCTCAACGTTCTGCGTGGTCGGATCCCTGGTAGTGTCCATTTTGCTTGCAGGACAAATTCGCAAATATGGCAATGTGTCTGCCAACAGCGCTGTATGCGATACGTTTTACTGAACTGTGCTCACATTAACGATCGTCATACAGGTTGAATTTCTTACCAAAATGACGAATTCAATGCTTGGTGACAGAACGCTCGCGATTTTACACAGTCTTCCCTATGCACTACTTATGTGGGGGTGAGTACTCTTTGGTTTATCCCTTCCTATGCTCAAAGTATCATCGATTCAGGATGGTATACTTCGTCGTCGCATTTTCCTCCCTGGTGTTCAAATCTACCTCCGTTATACTTCTAGGGGTGGTTGGGGGTGGTTTGTCGATTGTCATCCTGCTCGCACTGTGGCCGATTTGGGCTGCAAGAGATTATCACGTTTCCGGTTGGCTTCGTGAACGGCTAAATTGTTCTGTATAGATGGGCGCGGCGTACGTACTCGACGACTTGTATATTACATATGTCCACTCTGAATCGAGCAAGACTTGAAGATATATTGAAAGGTCTAGGACTCGGCTATGCTCATGGTGCCTTCGAAATATTGATCGTTAACCCTCTGTCGCAACACAAGAGTCAACGCTTGGAAAATCAAGAATTTCTTGCGTTATATCTTCACGTTCTGTAAGTAAAAACGCGATTCAACCGCAATAACTATCTGTATGCTCTACTGACTGCTCATTCCTAGCAATCTTGCCCCACATATTTCCAAAAATGATCGGGGATTGATTGGAGATGGCATCGCTTACCCAATTGATGATTGCCAGTGTGTGAATGAAACTGAAGTCGGTCGTGCCGCACTATCTCTCAACAGCTTGACCGATCGATCGATCGACGGCTAAGAGATGCCAACTCCCGTCAGTACGATCCCAAATGTGAGTGCCGTCTGTTCAGCACTTGTTGCTCGATCCCATTAGCGCTGAAGATCAGAGACGCTCTTCGAGCGACGTTCCGCAGTGGATTGACCCGCCCCATAGCATGGCGTCAGCATCAGCTATACCAGCTTGCACGCATGGCGCAGAATGAACGGGAGCTCATTTGCGATGCCCTGCACAAGGACCTTGGAAAGCCAAAAACAGAAGTCCTCGTGGGTGAAGTGGGCGCCATCATTCAGATAGCTGTGAAGAATGCAGAGCAACTCCCAGAGTGGGCCAAGACTGAATATCCTGAGGTGCCTGATTGGCAGAAGTCGTGGAAGCCAACGTGAGCGATCGGATGGTTGAATCCGATACATCAATGTGACTGATGATGACCTATGATAAATACGCTAGGCTCTACAAGGCCCCGAGGGGGACCGTGCTGATAATCTCGTGAGACAGAAGGTACTATCTACATTCCGCTTCCTGATATCGCGCTTGAACAGGCCATGGAACGCCCCTATGATCCTCACTTTCCAACATCTCATTGGCGCAATCGCAGCAGGCTGCACTGCCGCACTGAAGCCCTCCGAGCTTGTCCCAACTTTCTCACAGCTCTTGGAGGAAATTGTGCCCAAGTACCTCGACCCAAATGCGTACCAGGTTGTCAATGGTGCTGTGCCTGAAACTTCAAAGCTTCTCGAGCTTCAGTGGGACCATATTTTCTACACGGGAAATAGCAGGGTCGCCAGGATCGTCGCCAGCGCTGCGGCTAAGCACTTGACGCCGCTGGCGCTGGAATTGGGTGGGAAGAGTCCCGTCATCATCGACTCCGCATATGATATCGACATTGCTGCAAAAAGAATCTTGTGGGGCAAGTGCAGAAATGCAGGACAGGCAAGTCGATTGGGCCTCTTGTCTAATTCAGCAAGGCGCAACGGACTGAACGGGAATTTTGGAAGGTCTGCGTGGCGCCTGACTATGTCCTCGTGCAGCGGGACAAGCAGGATGAGCTGGCAAAAGCCTTCCAGAAGCATTACAAGGCCTTCTTCCCCGACGGTGCGCTGGATTCGCCATTGTTTGGAAGCATCGTGTCGGAATTGCACCATAAACGCCTCACATCACTTCTCTCCCGCACAAAGGGCGAGATTGTTCTCCAGGGTCGCGCTGACTCTGCGAGGAGGAGACTTGAGCCCACCATCGTTAAGGGCGTTGCAGACGGCGACTCCTTGCTAGAAGAGCCAGTATTGCCTTGTGTAGATGGACATGTGATCCTGACAGCATGCCATTTACAGAGAAATCTTTGGTCCGATATTGCCTTTGGTGCCTGTGGATTCTTTGCAGCAGGCGATCGATTTCGTCAATGCACGGTAAGTGTTTCTCATCCCCATACTTAATCCAACTTGCCGTTCGGCTGACTTTCCGCACAAAGACCTCATCCGTTAGTTCTGTATGCTTTTAGCGACAACGAAAGTCTGAAGCAACAGCGTACGTTTTACTTAGCTGATCCGGTTGATTCATGCTGAAACGTTACAATCAAATTTTAAAAAGTTGTCTCAGAAACACAGAGCGGTGGTATTGTTTTCAATGATACCGTCCAACAGCTCTCTGGTATGTTTCCTGGCGGTATTAACATCATACTTAGATTGACACTTCTATCGGCCAGTAAATGAACTACCATTTACGGGGGTAGGCGAGTCAGGCTGTGAGATTTCCACTCCACCTGGGAGCGCAGAGAATGCCACTGACGCTGAGTGCCGTGACAGATGGATACCAGTTTATGAAACACACGTACGATACGTTCACGCAGCTTCGTAGCTCAATTGACATGCCGACGGAGTGAGTCCTTCTTTCAGTCGACTTTTTGTTTGATCTCAACCTGGATAGGGCTGAGCCATACCTGGCAAGTCGGTATCCGCCTTACTCGGAGGAGGCAGTGAAAGCCCTAACTGCTGCAGTGTATATGCCCATTCAACCGAGCCTGTGAGAAGAGATCAACGAGGATGAAACGCTATTTTTGATTCGAATACCACTGTATAATATTTTGAGATCCAAGCCATCTTGTATACGGACTACCTGCTGTACCAATGATGTATTTTCATGTACCCACAGTTTCATTTCGGAACAGGATGTACAGCTGTGCGAGACGTACCCCAGATACCATGGTCAGAACAATGAACAGGATGTCATGTTATGGATCGGATGCTGTGCCTAGAAGAAGCGGGAGATGTTGGGGATAAGCATTGGATGCGCGATCAGCCTCTCGAGAAAACTCTTTGATGGAAGTGACATACCACAGCAATACCACAAATTCGATGTGGTTGCAAGTTTCGAAAGCAACTCTGCGAACATCCAAAGAAAGCCCGACATGTCTGACTATTGTTTGCGCAACACCTCAATCCCTTAGGTGCGAACTCGGTGAAGAACTGCAGCGCTTGCACGCCGATGCCAATGTCATCAACCATGAACTTCAACGTGAAACTTGGCCAATGTCGAGTGCAAGACACGAAGATACGCAATTGCTGGGTTGGTTCGCCAACACTTTGAAATGCTTCTTAGTTGCAGACAAATCAGCCTCGCGATCGACGTATTGTGATCATTGTCTGCTGTTTGAGTCGTTCAACGAACACGTTTCAAACATGTAGGGATGCTCTAAGCATCAAATACATAAATGTATAAGCGAATTTGATGATAAAAATACGTGCCTAGGAGTGGTTGGCAGAAGGCTGGGAGGTGCCGTTTAGTTGACGATGTGGCTAGTGTAGGTCGTCCTGAATGACGGTCGAAGAGTCGGAGACTAAATGCAACATGACCACAGAATATTAGCGATAAGTTGAGAAAAAGAGGATGAATACAGCGAACTACTTCACAGCATAAAGCTCGGTGCCATCTTGATAAGGCGCGATTCTGGGAGGTCAGCAAAAAATCGGATAAAGAGAAGGGAACTGCAGATGATACCAGGAAGAGATTGAAGACGACGAGTCTAGTACTTGGTTGAATACCGTGTGGGAGTGCCACTGCACTACAAGACGCTGATTTCAATGTCGAATCTGAGATTGACTTGAACACGAATAATTTTTTGGTAGTGTGGCAGAGGCGAGTCCTGACCCCAGTATGGGGAAAAGTAGGGGAAAGGCTGAGGCTAAGCCCGAGGAGAGTGACGGTGATGATGATAAGTGGCTAGGGTTTTCGCTCAGGCTAATTAGCAAGGGTATCACATGACTGGCTAAAAAGCGGCCGCTAGTTAATATCCTCCTCCCGGGCTACCTGGCCAAAAGCTGGCTAATTATTCGCTGCATAGTTTTATCCTGAACCATACTGCGCAGTCCGTGGTTAAGCCGTGCAACGAATACGGAGATAAAGCAAGGAAGACGTGCCGGTAGAGGATTTGAACGGCGGCCTCCCATCTGACTCGACTCTGCATTGAACAAAACATTCAGCTAAAATTGCACCGCGTTCATTAGGTGAAGTCCCGAGCCAAAAAAAAGTCTTCACAAGCCCCTGCGATGCTCGAAAAATCGGCGACAAAGCCTCTCAAAAAGATGCAAGGACATACTGAAGACGTCAGTGGCATCCTACACCTGCCTGATAAACGACGGATCATCACCTCTTCAAGGGATGGCTCACTTCGAGTCTGGGACTTGAAAAGTGGAATGCAAGTTGGGGATGCCTGGAAGGACGAAGGAAGTGAAGGGGTGTTAGCCATAGCACTCTCGCCGGACAGCAAGACGGTAGCAAGCGGGAGTTGGGATGACGTAGTGAGATTGTGGAACATTGACACAGGCAAAGTCGTCAAAAAATGGACGGGGCATAAATGGGGAGTGCGGTCTGTCTGCTGGAGTCCAGACGGAAGCCGAGTGGTGAGCGGACCTCAAGATGGGACAGTAAGATTGTGGGACGTCGAGAGCGGAAAGACAATCATCGGACCAATTGCCGAGGCAGGAAACATCATTCCCTCCGTGTGGGCGGTTTCTTACTCGCCTGATGGCACAATGATCGCAACGGCCGGGAACTCGCTGAAAATCTGGGATGCCAACACAAGCGAATTGATCAAAACGCTCGTATACGTAGGTGCAAGTTCGAGTCTGAGCCTGGTATGGACCTCGGATGGAGAGACTCTTATCTCCGGAGGTAGTTACGGCCGGATCAGGAAGTTCGACACCGCCACATGGACCGAAACCACTGTTCTTGAGGGGCACGAAGATGGTGTCTATGCGATTTCATTATCACCGAACGAGCGCATCCTCGCAAGCACATCGTTGGACAAGACAGCGCGACTATGGAACCTCGAAACCAATCAGCCCATCGGACCGCCTCTACACCATGAAGACGGTGTGATGTGCGTGGCTTTTTCTGCAGATGGAAAGTTCCTCGCCACTGGCTGCTACGACCACCACGTATACACATGGGATGTCTCTGCTAAAGTCAGAGAAGCTGGCCTTGGTCACCTTCTGTCACATAATGTAAGCTTCGATACATTCCATCCGAAGTAACACTGGACAGCCTTACTTACCTTCGTTCATCCCAGAATGCTGTCAACAAGCCATTCAAAGATGTATGACATATATTTCTTGACTTTTTGCGTCATTCTGAGGATCTATATCCTAGGCTGATGCTACACGACACCGAGCCCCGCAAAGGCCAACCCAGAAAATCGATAGTGTTCATCGACTACCCCCAGGGTTTTTTGACGATGTAAATGATCTCCATCTGTAATTTGACGGTTTCTTTGACCATTTTTTATCAGTTCTCTACCTCGCGCGGGCGACGTGATCATGGCACCACAGTACCACATGAACGCACTCTCCTCGATCGCTTACCTTCCTTCCTGCGCCGCCGCTCCGATTCACACAGGAAAACTGAGCGCGGCGCAAAGTTTCAATCCCCCCCTCGCAGCTGGTCCAAAAATATCGTCTCCAACATGTTACGCAGACAAGGTGAATCGGATATCCCGTTGCGAGAGCCACCAATTGTCGACGTCCCGTGCACAGCGGGCAAACGTGTATGTTTTTTCCTTCTCGGTTCTTCTTATTAGTGACATATTTTTCACGCAGAGGAACTATCACGCAAGAGGGAAGACAGCAGGCAGATCCTCTCGACCTCGCAATACCTGTGTCATGCAACAAGCCAGCGGAGCAACACAGAGCTCACAGCCACCATCACAGCAAGCCTCAACATCCGCGGCACTTCCCACAGTCGCCACTACCACATTAGCAACTGGAACATCGCCGTACCCTGATATCACCATACGTCAGGCCGGATGCTGGACGCGCCTTTGGCTCTGGATTGGTTGCGTCTCTGTTCAATACACAGACAATCAACATTAGGGAAGAGGCATTCTTTTGCGCCGTTGGCGTTTTCTATGGTTTAATTCAGTCCCCTATGGCTCTCCTGCAATCCATCGTTGTATTTCTTCACTTGTTCTGCTACCTTTTTTGTTCTTTGTTTATTGCCCTACGTAGGCACTGCACCACGCTTCATGGGACATGCCGGATACAGATGAGCCACGGAGCCAAGTCCACTGGCAGGCAGGTCTATAATTGTACCATGACAAAAACTCCTGCGCGAAGACGATTAGAGGGTATTGATCACTCCCCTGGATCACAAGCCACTCCATACAGAAGCAAGTAAAACACTATGAAGCGTGCCGGAGGGTAGTTCGATCCAAATCCACTGCGACTATCTGCAGTACATTTCATAGCATGTCATAAATCATGATCTTCGATTGTATCAATGTATCGATCTATTGATCTATCTTCACGCTTAATCAATTTGACCATACCTCTTTAGTAGCGATTGATGTATCAGCATTTTCGCTACGCTAGTAGCAAGTAATATATCATTACCCCAGCTACAGGTGGTGCATATTATGAGAAAGCGAGACTTGGGCGCTTTATGAAGACAGCCCGTGCTCAAGCTGTGAATGGAACACAGGGATAAAGACGCACCGGTAGAGGACTTGAACAGCGACCTTCCTCCTCACTCAACTCTGCGTTACACGAAACACCCACTCCGTTTCAGTTTTCATTCCGCACGCAGTCGTTCTGAGTAAAATCAAGTACCTCTGCTATGGTGAGACACGGCCTTAGCTCTTGGTGTAGCGCATATACTTGTTTCGCGAGAGTAACCGAGGGATTTTTGCAAAGATACTTGCCGAGGTATCGTTTGCAAAACGCATGATGATACCACGATAGGCGAAGCTTCAAGTGATGGATGTCTCAAAGATATTTCTCGCCGGTGATGGAGACAAGCGCAGGTGAAGAAACACAGGAATGTGAGCTTGATAGCAGGACTACTAGATGCAATGCCGATATGCCGATATCGATGATGACACTGCGCGCACATTGTTAGAAAGATTGGGCGCTTGATCTACACAGCCCGTGCTCAAGCTGTGAACATGAGGACTAAAGCAAGGGAGACACACCTTGAGCAGCGACCTCCTCGACTCTGCATTGGAGTAAACACCCACTCTGTTCAGCTCTCATCCATTCTCTGCACGTTCGTTCTGTGTACGAATTAAATACGAGGCTGGGTAAGTGATGGCATTCGTTTAATGAGTAAGAGCTAAAATTGTACGGCACCCATTAGGTGAAGTCCCTGAGCCAAAGTCATGTCTTCACCAGCCTCTACGAAGCAAAAGAAACCAGCAACGAAGCCCAAGCCTCTACAAAAGATGCGAGGACACGCTTCGATCGTCAGTGTCATCTTACGCCTGCCTGGTGAACGGTGGATCATCACCTGTTCATGGGATGGTTCAATTCAAATCTGGGACTTGCAGAGTGGAACGCAGATTGGGGACGCATGGGAGGACGAAGGAAGTGGAGAAGTGTTGGCCATAGCACTGTCGCCGGACGGCAAGACAGTAGCAAGCGGAAATCAGGATGGCGCAGTGAGATTGTGGAACATCGACACCGGCAAGGTTATCAAAAAATGGATTGGGCAAAAAAAGATGTGTAGTCTGTCTGCTGGAGTACAGACGGAATGCGAGTGATGAGCGGATCCTTGGATATGACATTCAGAGTGTGGAATGTCGAGAGCGGAAAGACGATGTTTGGGCCAATCGAGACGCCAACGGAGGATACCATCATGGCAGCAATTTGTTACTCACCTGATGGAACGATGATTGCGACGGGCACCGACAAACTGAAAATCTGGGATGCCAACACAGGCGAACTCCTCAAAACACTCCAGAATAAAGTTTCCTGCCTTGCATGGACGTCGAATGGAAAGACCCTTATCGCCGGCATGGCAGAAGGCAACTCTATCAGGAAATTCAACACCGCCACCTGGACCGAAACCGCTGTTCTGGACGGGCATGAAAGAGTTGTCGAGAACATCTCACTATGTCCCAATGAGCGCATCCTCGTAAGCGTATCCTGGGACAAGACAGCGCGACTATGGAACTTCAACAACAATCAGCCCATCGGACCACCCCTCCACCATGAAGACGAGGTACAAAGCGCGGCCTTTTTCTGCCGACGGAAAGTTGCTCGTCACTGGCTGTGTGACAGACGGCCACATATATACCTGGGATGTCTCTGCTATCGTTAGGGAAGCTGGCCTCGATGCCCTTCTGTTACACAATGTAAGCTTGGACACAATTCATCCCCAATTGGCAATCACACTGACGGCCTTATCCTTTCAGGTGGTATGTTGTGTCAGGTTCCTTCCACAGCCTTCCTCACTCATCTTCGTTCATCACAGAACACTGTCAAAAAGCCATTCATAAATGTATGTCATGTATTTCTTGACAATTTGTGTGATTTTGAGTATCTACATCCCAGGCTGATCCACGACGCCGAGCCCCGCAAACTGGAGGCGCTCGTCGACTACCCCCAGGGTTTTTTGACGATGTACGAAATCTCTATCTATAATTTAATGATTCCTTTGACCGATATTTTTTCAGTTCTCTACCTCCCACAGAACCCCATCCCATGGACGACGACAGGGAGAAACTGAGCGCGACACTCAATCCCGACGCAGCCCTCTCAGCTGGGCTCAAAATTTACTATCGGGCATGCTACGCAGACGAGGTGGATCGCATTTGCCACCAATAGTCGAGGTCCCGCTCACAGCGGGCAAGCCTGTACGTGTTTCCCCCCTCTAGATTCCTCATCGTTAACACAACTCGACACAGAGGGACTATCACGCAAGAGGGAAGAAGAAAGCCACCAGCTCCTCTCGACCTCCCAACCCTCCGAATCCAGTGCAGCAACACAACGGAGCAACGCAGAGCACATCATCTCCTCAGCAACCACCTGCCGCGGCCACTGACATCCACGACGCTTCCCGCAGCTACTGGCACTGCAGTGCCGGCTGGAACAAACTCGCCTCCTGACATAACCATCAGACGGGCTGGATGGCGGACGCGTTTTCTGTTGTGGGTTTGCTGCGTGCCGATACAGAACACGGCAGGCCAACCTTAGGGAAGCAACATTCCGTGCATCGCTGTCATTTGCTGTTGTCTCGTAGTCCAGTTATCCATGGCTTGTTGTTTGTTGTGCGGACCAGTATCCATCAGCGTTATATCATATTACGCCTATCGAAAGAATGCAAAAGTTTGTCGTGAAACTCCTATCATTGCACATTGTCCTGCTACACAAGGAAAGCGCGCTTAGCCAGTTACATGAAAATATAAACTACAATATGAACCCCGTAACGACCATGCACTAGAAGGAACGTCTATCTTCATTCGCCTAAGGTCTACCTAGGGGAGGCACCTGCTGTCAACGGAAGACCTGCTCATAGCAGCAAGGGCTTTCGTCCTGAAAAACATGCGCGTCCTACTTGAATACTTAGCATAACAGAGCCGTACTGCTAGGTTGACGAATTGTCCGCTAATTCACATCCATATGTTCCGTTTAATAAACTGGAGCCAGTTATGGGGATCAGAGGATAGGTAGCAATAAACCATATCGACTGCGACTGGCTAATATTCACGTTAAATGGCACTGCAAGGACACTTACACCTATGCCCATCATGACGGTGGGGCTAACCGGGATCAAGTGACGGAGTGCGACGCTAAGATGATGGTACGCACGTAGATTGTGATTCCAATTGAGATTTTTCATGTACACCCATATTTGAAAAACCGTTCGGGTGCGTTTGGCATGCTCGCTGAAAAAGAGAAAGACTGGGGGTCAGTGGATTAAAGCCAGTGACCTAGTCGTACAACGATTTCCGGCATCGAGACGGGCAGAAGGTAGACCGAAAAAGTTGTAACGTTCTAAGTACATAGAAAATGAATGAGCTGTGCGCTTAGGAACTGAATCAAAAACATACTGAAGCGTTTGCTATGGTACAAATGATGAATCTTCAGGGGAGCACGTAATGTATAAAGATTTGCGTACCGATGACGCCAGTGGGATGAAGGAAAGTATTCTCCGGAAACGTGCAATACTTTAGAAGATAAACGTTTCGAACGGCTCGCAGGCAAGGGGCTGGATCGCATCATCTATGAACACCTGTCCGGGACCCTCTTTACTGCCAGTCGTCCAGAATGTAGACACACTTTCTGTGGCAGGGGTAACACAACCAACTTACCCAATTGTATTGCCTTCGCAACTAGGTCGAATAGATCTAAAAGCTGAACCGGGGATGATTCGGGCTGTTGCGCAGACTCCGAGAGAAGGAACTCTATGCACATGGAGACATACACTGCCGCTCCGCATGGAGAAGCGAGGATAAGGAAGGAGATCCTCTTGCGCAGCGAGTGACCCTCTCGGATATGGATGGAACTTGACGAGCTCCTGAAGTCAGGTAGGCAGTCGAGAGTTGAAGTTGTCTTCCCTATGTTATGGTGAGATACTCCCAAAGCTCGTGGTGCGGCGCGCATACCTAATTGACGAAAGGAATAGATGGCAGATGATCGGAGCAGCGCGTTCCTGTATGATGGTTCATTGGGTGATACCGATGAATGACCTTAACGATGTTTCTAAGGAGGATGACGGATCTGGCCGTGCTGTTCGGCTCTGAGCAGAAATGTAGCACAGACAAAGACCAGAGAATCCCATTGAGCTGGAAGAAACCATGAATGCAGGCTTTGGTGATAGTAGAACTACCAGATGCATTGCTGAGAATGACAATCGAGATAAGAAAACTGTGCATATTGTGAGAAAACAGAACTTGAGCGCTTGATATGCACAGCCTGTGTTTAAGCTGTGGAATGACGAGGATTTGAACAACGATCTCCCTCCCGACTCAACTCTTCATTGAAGGAAAACTTACCACTCCGTATCAGTTGTCAATCCGCACGCATTCGTTCGGTATAAAATCAAGTAACTCTGAGTAAGTGATAGCATTTGTTTGACGGGTAAAAGCTGAAATTGTACCCCGCACATTAGGTGAAGTCCCTGAACTGAAATCATGTCTTCCCGAGTCCCTGCGAAGCAAGATAAATCAGCGACAAAGCCTCACCAGAAGATGTAAGGACGTACTGAACACGTCAGTGGCATCGTACGACTGCCTGATAAACCGTGGATCATTACCAGTTTAGAACATGGCTCACTTCGACTCTGGGACATGGATAGTGGTACTTTGTTCAGGACTTCGCACGCACGTTGTCTCGCATAATGAGCGTGTTCTTGAGATCGCCGAGAAAGGGGGGGCGAGGTAAGTGGAAATTCGTACCAGTCCTCTATGATGCGTCTCACTTGCGTCAATTTCGTCTGAGACCATCATCTGTGAACAACATTTCTGATTTGTCTCACGATGATGGTGTCAGGTGAATTCAGAAAATTTCCCCCCGGTCTGCATATTTCCTTTCGCGCTCTTCTCCGTTAGCTTCTTATTCCGTATAACCATGCCGAACATGAAACCTACTACTTCATCGTTGATTGCACTAGTAAGTTTGATGGCTACTACGTATGAACGTCTGGACACTGACAATGTTCCAGCACGGTTCATGCCCCTCTTCAGATAGAAGTTCAAGCTCGTCGGACTTCATCAAACTGGACTCGCGGCATATGGCTGGGGACGACGTGAAACTGAAGCTGCGTCCGGTCTGTATCGCCATGAAGAAGGCGGCGACTGTCATCCATGCTCGACCCCACACGTTGACGGCTGCTGTGAAGACGATGACTCGGGCTCTTACTGGCTTTAGGAAAGGGGTGAGTCGGTCTTTTCTTTTGATTGTGGTGTTAAACTCGTCAATTGTTTCAGAGGTTGGATAAAGAGGAGGTCTGCATGGCTAGTCCTCATCGAGATATGTTTAGGAGGAGGACTTCAGTCAGGATCAGGCCAGAAGAGGTCAGTACATCAGCAGTAGCTTTGGCATGGACAGGCACTAATGAAATTCACGTCAGCCGTTCTACAGCCTTCCAAACCTATACTTCTCCGTGCACACTCTACCTATGGAAAAGGTGCGTTTATTCATTTCAGGTCTTTGAACCCTCCTGACGTCCTCGGGCCAAGACTGTTGGACATCACGCGGGAAGAAGGATCACATCCAGGTCACCGTCCTCGATCGTCCATAGACATAAACGATCTCGTAAGCCACGCTGTCGAACCACTTTCGATGTGACGGAATTCGTTGAGGCCGTTGCGCCATTATTGTCACCTGCGCCCTCGTCGCTACCTGTGCCCTCATTGCCATCTGCGGCCGCGCACGTCCCTCTCGCTGATCCCACCCCTGAAGAGCGTGAATCATCCCAGCGCATTCCAGGCTATCTCGAGTCCACACAGGGTATTCGCCGCTTTGCGCACTGGGCCGACTGCGCATTCCATCACACCATGGTCTTCCTAGCGCTCGTCGTCGCGCTCGTGTGGTACAAGGCTGATGTGGGCGTTCCGGTGGCTTGTGGGCTCATGTCCAGGTTCATGTATGTTTGGTCGGGCTTCCAGTTGGACTCCAGATTGAGATGATCGACAGAGTTTGTACTTGTTGGCGAAGGGTCGGCGTTTGCGAACCACACGGCGCTTATTAAAGGTTGTGAAGGAGAAGTGAGGATTGCCTGGTGGAGAGATGACTGATGATAGAGGATCGCAATGTAGTCTAGCTATTACGTACACAGTATATATACATCTCGGTTTGTGGATGCTCTAGGTACTACATAATCCTGAACTGGAGCAATTTTATCAGAAACGCTGGTCAGAATATCGTCTACAATCTTGTTCTAATAGGAGGTATCAGTTTGGAAAGTGAATCAAACGAACATCTCCTACCCAGATAGTATCCTGAATTGTATGACCCTCATCGCTAAGCACGAAATCGGTAACCTCAAGACTCAAGTATTCGACTTATTCGTATGTCCATCGCGTTGTCAAGTTTCCATGCGTGCATGGTGTTTACTTACTTGCAATGTGCTTGATCATACCCACATACATACATTTCTTGCGTACATGCGATGCGCAGGTTGTACTTGCATATATGGGAGTTGATACGTTGCACTCAGCTGCAGTCTGCAGATCTGAGTGCCCAGCGGTCGAAGTGGCTGTGCTCTGGTCATCTCGGGACACTTTTGAATCTTCCGCTCATGCGTCATCCGAAAGTTAGTACCCGCTCACTTGTAAGAAACATATACCTGCGCGCAGATGTCTTTTTATATTATTTTCACCAACTGTAACACTCTCACCGTTACTTACAAATTGTTTCACCATGTTCAGAAACTTGCTTGGGAACGTCATCAACCCATTACTAGTGAGTTACTCAAACGAGCTGCTTGAACGATCAAAGGTGGGCGGGCTGTCAAAAGTTTGCTGAGCGTGCTCTATTTATGGCATTTCTACCTGGCACAGACTCGTTGTGTGAGTTGCCAAATTTCTTCAAAGGCTTTTCGACCACATCGTTGATCCACGCCCGTCCTGCAGAATTTTGAAAGATGATCGCCAAGTTCAATGTTGACACCACGAGACATTATCCAAAATCGTCTGAGTAAACGGTGCCCTGGATCATCAAGTCTGTCGGTTGTTTCGTATGATCCAACCTGCTCGGCCTCACTACTTCTCATGATTGGTGCATGCCTAGTGGCGATACTGAGTTGTATGTGAGCTCGGGAGAAATATTCTGGTAAAAGGACAGACGTATGATCTCCATCATCATGAAAAGACAGGTAGAAGTCTGCGAGCCACTGTTGTGCAATATGCACACATGCTAGAATTTTAATGGCACACACTTTGCTTGAACTGCCGTCAACGAGACGCAGTAACTGCCACGTTAGCTTTCGTCAATGATAGATATACATGGCGTATGTGCACATTTTGGCCGCGACCAGGTACGAAGAGAGTGGGACAAGAGACTAATTATTGTCCTGCTACCCACAAACGCGGGTACAAGTTTACCTAGACTGATGCGCTACGTCTATAAGTACCCACCTCTGCACTGGAATATTAGACTACTCACTGAAACACAGTCACTCGCCCAAACACCTGCCGGTAGTCGAGCACGTGTTCCAAGTTCTCCGTGATTGCTTGCTAGCGGATGACCTTCATGATGCGATATTGCACCTCGACATCGAACGAGTTGGGGTTGAGCACCATAATCTCGCGCTGCCAGTCGAGCTCGGCTTGCTGTGCGTGGTCGCGGTGCCACTGCGGGAGCCCTGTGATAGGTGCGAGGTTTGTTTGGCTGCGGAAGCCGTGTCGAATCACATCTGAGTGGGAAAATACATACAAAAGCAAGGTAAGAATTAACCACTGTGCATCCTTGGGACGTTGACAGCTGATTCACCCTGCACGGAATTTAGGTTGGCTACTTAGTGAAAGCTCAGGATGAGCAACGCACCTAGGCTGCAAAATGGAAGGTGTCCTCGTCGTTCTTCTCATTCGTATCGATAGCATGGTGTTCCCGCACCTGCTGCACGAGCTCAGTGGAGTAGTATACTAGTAGTATACGAGTTTCTGCAAGTAGCTCGATGTGGCAGACATGTCGAGTGCGACAGGTACGGTAAGCCTTAAAGCGGCCGTCTTGTAGAGGTGCAAATGCCAATGCGAGAGTGTCTTGAGGAGAAAGCTGCAAGTGTTAATGTTGTAAGCGTTTTAAGTGCTCAGTCCTGGCAGCTCAAACGGGGTCAGCCATAGCATTTGCGACGAGACGCGAATTTGCGAATAGACAAGTAGACATCGTTCGTGGCAAACGGTGGTACCGACTAGGAAGACTGCACGTGGCTGTGTTCAGAACTTGATCAGCTGTAATTTATGCGAGTCAGCGTATGGTAGCTTGATGGCACTGTTGAAAGTGGCAAACATCACCATTCGAAGTCGGCACGTTGAGGCTACAGGACTGCTCTAGTAAGTATAGTCACTACAATCGCAACGACAGCACCTAGCGTCAACATCGGATAATCACATCCGATATGTGAGAGAAGCGAGAGCAGTACATCGGTGAGGATCTAAGCTGTGGCGCAGATTTGGAAAGAAGGAAAACTGCGCACATGGAGAAGGCACTGCCGCTCCGCGCGGAGAAGCGAGGAAGGGGAAGAGTCTTCTTCAGTAGCACATAGACCCTCGGATAAGGATAGCGCTTGACAGGTTCCTGAAGTCCAGTAGGCAGTCGGAAGTTGACGCTGTCTTCTTTATGCTATGGTGAGACATGGCCTGAGCTCATGCTGCGGAGCACATACCTGATTCGCACGAGGAAAAGATGTTCAAGAATCCAAGTAGTACTGGTGCGTTCCTGCTTGATGATCGAGTCATTGAGCTATCGATACTGGTCAACCGGGGCATGTTTGCAAAGATACGGGAACTGCATGATTTGCGAGACACGAGCTAGAGAAGACAGCGCAGTGAAGTGGGATGGACGTCTCCGAGTCTCAGAGATATGTCTTGCAGGCGATGGAGATAAGGGTGGGTGAAGAACGATAGAAATGCGGGCTCTCTTGATAACAGGACTACCAGATGTGATGCTGAGATGTCGATGTCGATGAAGAAACTGGTTGTCAGACAACGTGACTCGGGCGCTTGATCTGCACAGCAAGCTGCATGAGGATAAAGCAAGGAAGACACACATGTACAGGACTTGAACAGCAACCTCCATCTAGCTCTGGCAAGCATCAAACAATAGGTCCATTCATTTTCAGCTTTCATTCGTCCTAGGCGGGTGTGTTCTGTGTAAAATCAAGTACCTCTGAGTGAGTGTTGGCGTTCATTTGGTGGGCAAGAACTCAAATTGTCCCGCTCCTATTAGGTGAAGTCCCCAAGCGAAAACCATGTCTTCACGAGTCCCTGAAAACCAAGAGAAATCAGCGAAAAAGCCTCGCCAAGAGATGCAAGGACACGCTGATCTCGTCTCTGGCGTCCTATGGCTGCCCGATAACCGGCAGATTATCACCTGTTCATGGGACGGCACACTTCGACTCTGGGACTTGGAGAGCGGTATGCAGGTCGGGAAGGCCTGGATGGACGAAAGAGGTGGAAGTGTGTACGCCATAGCACTTTCGCCGGACGGCAAGACAGTAGCAAGCGGGAGTGAGGATAGCACAGTGAGATTGTGGGAAATTGATACAGGCAAGGTCATCAAAGAGTTGACGGGGCACACAAAAAGAGTGGTGTCTGTGTGCTGGAGTCCAGATGGAGGGCGAGTGGTGAGCGGGTGCGACGGTGGGACATTCAGAGTATGGGACGTCGAGAGCGGAAAGATAATCCTCGCACCAATCAAGGCAGGCGACTGGGCGTGCGCGGTGTACGCAGTTTGCTACTCACCCGATGGCACGATGATTGCGACGGGCACGGGCACGCTGGAAGTCCGGGAAGCCAACACAGGCCAACTGCTCAAAACACTTGACTTCATAATTTGGTGCCTGGCATGGACCTCGGACGGAAAGACTCTTATCGCCGCCGAGTCAAACTTCTGTATCAGGAAATTCGACACCACCACCTGGACCGAAACCGCAGTTCTGAAGGGACACAACAATTTTGTCGATGCTATTTCATTGTCTCCGAATGAACGCATCCTCGCAAGCATATCATTGGACAACACAGCGCGACTATGGAACCTAGAAACTAATCAGCCCATCGGACAACCCTTCTACCATGAAGACATGGTGAGGTGTGCAGCCTTTTCTGTGGATGGAAGGTTGCTCCTCACTGGCTGCAATGACAACAACATATACAAATGGGATGTCTCTGCTATCATCAAGGAAGCTGGCCTCAATCACCTTCTAACAGTCAATGTAAGCTTGTGTACATTTCATCACACTGATAATGGGTCACCCTCTCAGGTGGTATGTTGCATCAAGTTTCTTCAATAGCCTTTCTCACTCATCTTCATTCATCGCAGAAGACAGTCAAGAAGCCATTTAACATGAATGTATGTTATGTGTTCCTTGACCTTTTGCATGGCTTTAAATATCTACATACTAGGCTGATGCTACACAGCCACGACTTTCTAACAGTGCTCGTCCGAATCGACTACCCCCAGGGTTTTTTGACGATGTACGTGGTTTCCATCTGTAATTTCATGTCCTCTTTGACCATTATCTTATCAGTTCTCTACCTCCCGAGGATGAAGTGTCACCACAACACCAAATCAACAAACTCTTCTCAGTCAATTACCTTCCTTCCTGCGCCAGCGCTCCAATTCACGTGGAGCAACCAAATACGACACCCCATCCAGATCACACCCTCGTAGCTGCGCTAAAAACATCATGTCCAGCAGACAATGCAGACAAGATGGATCAAACATCCAGTTGCGAGAGCCACTGGTAGTTGACGTCCCGTGCACCCCAGGCAAGCCTGTGCGCTTTTTTCCACCTCTATTCTTCTTATCACTGACACGTTTTCATGCAGAAGGACTATCATGCAAGAGGGAAGAAAGCAGCCAGCTCCTCTCGACCTTCCAAAATCCATGTCATACAGCAACCTACTGGCGGAGCAACCCAGAGCACACCCCCACCAACATCATCACAGCAAGCCACGACATCAGCTGAAATTCCTACAGTCTCCACTATTACGGCGGCGGCTGGAACCTTGCACCTTGATATCACCATACGCAGGGTTGGATGCTGGACGCAGTTCTGGCTCTGGATTGGTTGTATCTCTGTCAAAAATAATCAAATATAGGCTATGCTTGTTGTTCTTTTTTTATTGCCTTATGTCAGTCCAGCTTGATTTCACTTCATACTGTAGAAGCTGGTTGCTTAGGCTTTTCTACGACTCTTCTACGATACATTAATTCTGATGAGCTTTTTCAGTGGAACATTATGACCAACTTCAATTCCTCCGCTGTGGCGCGTGGCGTCAGCAAGGTCGTTCAAAAATCTATGATAACAGCTCTCAAGTCAGATGTACAGATTTCAACTTACCTCCCTTTTGTGGAGGTGGTCCACGAACAAGGTTTTGATGCCCATGTTTGGGATATCGTACTCAACAAGGAGAGGATGGTGATTCTTACCCTACCGAAAAATGAGTCCGGGCAAATCCCGCTTCTTCTGAGTTAATGAACCAACAATCTCCCTCGATGTATTAGACCGTCGTAACACACGCGCAGGGTACCTTTTTTAAATACCTCATAGCACACAAATGTTTAGAGTGCATCATTAAACCTTACTTTCTATTGTGCGCGCTATACTACTTAACTTGTTAGCAGGCTAATCAGACATTGAAACCTAATGCATGAAGCAGAAACTCAAGACTCTTGCCATCTATGTTGTCCATGCTGCTTACATGTTTCAAGTGCATCACAATCCAAGCTGCCATCTGTCGTGACGCAGTTCAGGTAGCATTTTGCCGATTGCACTGGTAATCATTCAATGACGAGACTGCTCAGTCCTGAATGCAACACTCACATGACCGTGTACTGGTATGGGCAAGTTAGCACAGTGCACGATGCTGACTTGCATGTCATGGCACTTGGTATTAGTGCACACGATAAAAGCTCTGATGTGAAGTGCCCACCCAATGTTGCTCTGGTGCTCTGCTATGAGCTTTTGTGTGCAACCCGGAGTGGAAGGCTGGTTTGTCTTATAACTGATCACTGCCAGGGAATGAGTCACTGGAAATAATAGTGTGAGAGATAAAGGGAATCAGATGGTCCTATAAACGTGACTTGAAGTGCACGTCACAGCGCATGCTAGCATACTCGAACCATGCAGGGTAAAACCCAGGCTCGTACCCACCACAGCTGGAGAGGTTTGAGGGCGGTCCAAGTAGACAGACTCGGGACCAATAGATACCACGTGAATATTCAAACCCAGCACAACCTTATCCCTCAACCTCTCCAGCAGCGGCTGGCACAAAACGTTTGTAAACAAAGGTCAGCCACCTTGATATTGTCAAATGGAGTCTGAAAATGCATTATAATATATGTATATTATCAGGCTATACTGCCAAAATTAAGCATAATCCTCACTGATAAGCAACAAGGAGGTTTTGTAAATTTATTTGTAGTCTACAGATCCCACATGATTAAGCTTAATGGCTTCTGATATTCTCCAGTGTCCCAAACCAGCACTAACACCTGAAATATTAAGGTAGAGGTCTTGCGAATTCGACAAACATCACATGATGTGACCATAGTGTGACATGCTTATGAGACGACAATGCTGGAGCGGCAAACACTGTGGAGTCACAATTAGGAGAGCAGTGCGGTAAGTAGACAAAATGATGGTAGGTACATCAGTAAACTGCTTTGTTCTGTACAGAGCTGGACAGAGGTTGACAGCGCCACAGCACTACAGCTTGGTCCCAACTGGACAAATACTACCGTAACTGTACAGAGCTGGACAGAACCTCCCAGAGCTCACAGCAGTACCTTCAATACACAGTATTCTTTTGGTTTTGTTTGATTTCGATAGGAATCGAGTTTCAGACAATTGAAAAAATTGGAATCAATGTATTGCATTCAACTACTCTGAACATGAACAAATCTAACAGTTACTGAAAGAGTGCGAGAAGGTACTACAAGGATATTGGGTGCCGAGAGGGTGCGAGATGGTACTGGGAGGTGCAGGAGGTGATAGAGCATGTGGGAGGGTGTGATAGATTGAGGGCAGCTGGTGATATCATAGGCTGTTAGTAGATAATAAGAAAAACAGAAACAAAAGGACTTACAACTCAAACCCAAGTCAACTAAGGTCGAAGTAGTTAGTGCAGAGTCTGCCGACTGTGCTGAGAGAGTGGGAGAGGGTGGTTAAGGTAAATAATAAGCAAGCAGTAATAAGAAAATAAAGAAAATAAAAGACTTACCTGAAGGATGGCAGTGGTGCAGGTAGAAGTTAAGAGTCAAAGTGTAGAACAAAGACTTCTGAAAATTTTGACGAGTTGAACCATGACTTACATCAGCATTGCCAAGTTCTGTGAGGCTCTGTGGTGCTGTGAGAGCTGTGAAAATTAGCAAACACTGTGCAAGGTTTGGTAGTTTACTGATGTAGCAGATACTGTATGTACTAGTATGTATATAGATCATGGATAACATATTACCTTGAATTGGAGGCCATTAAGCCTTCGGGGAGGACCCAATGTCCTCGATACTTCCTCACAGCCCATGCTGCTTGAGCTCCGTTTCTCTATTCCAAAGCAGACAGTCAATATTTTGCCACTAAGAACAAAACAGAATACTCACATTTTCTTTCTGTGAGCCTCCAGCCTCGTCTCCATCTCATCTCGCCCTCTTTGACTGACGCGCAGCTGCAGCATTGTTGATCTGTGCTTTGTGACAATGTTTCCGCCTCCCCATGGGTTCACGACTCAGAACTTCGACTTGTGCGACAGCAGACGGCAGCACCCAGCATTGAATTTCCATCGGACTTCAAACTCGTTGTTCACATATAATCAACCCTACAGAAAGCTCTCAAAATTCAAAATCTTTTCACCATCTCCATGCAGTACTGATTTACTCTATAGATAAAGTGTACAATTGCTTTTCCCGTATTTCGCATAAATTACTTTTATGCATCCTAGCCCTGTTGGATTGATTTTGAATTTCTCAACTTCATCACTCTAATGTAACACTGGGCACGTGATGTTCATCAAATTCGCAAGACCTCTACCTTACCAAATTTAGATATTCCAGTATCCTCACCATTCTCACATATCCCTGCCAGCTCTACCTGCTTCACCACAGCTTATCCCCCTCACCACTCCTGTATATAAGTAGTAGCTTTACATATATATACATAGAAGAACTCAATAGACCGCTTTCTGAAACCTGTATAGCCTGCAGTGCTAATATGTGCACCCCAGGAGGCCAGGACTAAAACATATTCGCATTTTTGCCCCTTTAGCAGGGAAGCAATTCTGATGATATATAGCATGTATTATAGTGTAAATTGACTTATTACACCACTTGATTGCATCTCTGAAGCATCCTACGTTAGTAGATAGCTTACATACCCCTCAAAACATAAATCAATTCGCATTTTTCAGGGGTTTGACATATGGCCTTGTAAATATGCTCCCTATAACGGACTTTTGTGTATATATAACATACTAGAAGCTCAGGGCATGAGGACACTTCCATGTGGTGCTATGTATGCACCTTCTCCTGGTGGTTTTCCCCCTGAGAAAGTTTTTCATGCAGCTCCGGCCCTCTAGGATTATATGTGACATATTATTATGTATATATAGAATATATAGAATATATAGAATATATTGATCATATAGATATATCAGCACAGTATCAGGATCTTTCTCAGCAATCCAAAGTCTCCTTCTGCCTATACTATAACATATTTTTGCATATTTTCAGTTTTTTACTACATTACCATTGCATAGACTATCTAGACTGTTTATGTATTACTTATGGTACATATTTTAAGCATTCTAATGGTCATTATCATGCACAGATATGTCAGACTACTGAGATCAGTATATTCTATATATACATAAGAATATGTCACATATCATCCTGGAGGGCTGGAGCTACATGAAAAATGTGGGCCCATGGGAAGGGATACCTGATGCTATCAGGTGGGCCCCTGTAATGTGTTGTTTTTAGGTATTGGCCGGCTGATTGTCTGTATTGTATTAGGTGGGCCCATGTTAAATACTTTGCCTGTGTGTATCAGTTGGCCAACAGCAAGTGTGAAGCCATCATGTGGGCCCATGGGAAAGAACATTTGATTCTATCAGGTGGGCCCATACTATGTGTTCCGTGTGCATATCGGCCGGCTGATGGCATGTGTTGTGTCAGGTGGGTTGATAAGGGAAAAAAGGTCAATCCTATCCGGAAGGCTGATATGGAATGCATTGCCTGTGTACGTCAGTCAGCCAATGATGGGTGTGAAGCTATTGTGTGGGCCCATGGGGATGAATTCCTGATGTTATCCACTGGGCTGATGTAGAATGCCCTGTCTGTGCATATTGGTTGGCCAATGCTTGCTTCATGTGGGCCCATAGAATGTGTTGCCTATATGTATTGGCCAGCAAATGGTCTGTATTGCATCAGCTGAGCCCATGCAGAATGCATTTCCAGTGCATATTGGTAGGCCAATGGGATGGATGATGTCGGGTGGGCCCACAAACAAGCAGTGTTCGATTCTATCAGGTGGGCCAATGCAGAATGTGTTTCCTGTGCACATCGGTTGGCACATGACATACAATGTCAATCATCTCAGCTTGGCCCATGGCTTCCATCTTCACTTTCAGTCGAGTGGTGACATGGCGAGATGACTTCAGGGATTCAATCAACATCATTTATTCAAATTAATTGACAACCTTATCACTAATTGATCCAAAAGGCTGAATGTAACTGTAATGTAATCTGATATACCATGACACATCGTCTAAGCTGAAACCGAGACATCCCAATCTACATCCTTGTATTTCGCATACTCTGACTGAGGTGTCCCCACAAAATTGTGAAGGCTATCACACATGAACCATGCCCACATGAACTGATCACCCCTGAATGTGATGCCATGCCTGACAATGTGTCCGGAGCAGCCAACAATGGCACCAGAGTTATATCACAACTGAATGCTGAGGTTGGACAGCGTCATGAGGCCATCGCAATAATGGCTGACACTGGTCATAATGTCAAACCCTTCTGGAGTAGATCTTGGATCTTGGTGAAGAGGGCATTGCCTGTTACACATGACAGCTGCGCAGTTGAACACCGAGGCCCAAAGTTGCAGATGAATATACATGCCATTGAGGTCATTTTCCATAGCCCATCGAGCAAGTTTCATCTATGTGGTGACCGAAGCCCAATACAACTCTGGGTGCATCACCTGCAGAGCCGCCGAGGCTGGGAGTGCTGAGCGCTGCATCAATATTATGACCTTTGGACCACCTTCCCCCTTCAGCATTGCTGAAACCTCCAGGGTGAAACCACCGGTGGGGGGGAAACCATAAGGCTGACACTGTTGAGTGAGTGTTGGCATCACAGATGAAGAAGCATGTCATACCTCTCAGCCTTGCTGGAACCAGCAAGGGGCTATGTTGATGCATCCTGGGGTTAGCAGGTGGCAATCGCTCAGATGAAAATGACCAGAGAATGTTCTCCAGTTGGTCTCTTGTCCACTGGTGATGCTTGTTTTCAGGAGGTAGCCCATCCTGACCATGGCTGCTTCCATCTTGGCCTGTGGGGTTGGTGTAAATGGTTGGCCCACAGGCGATAATATGTAGCCTTACTTGAATCCACAGACTAATGGCATCCAGAAGGTACCATAAGATGATATGGCCTCCGGAATCCACGAGCACTGAGGCCTTCTCTAACAATTGTTGGGAACTACAAGGAAATTTTTGGAGCAGAGCATCTTCATGTTTTGTGATCCTCCCTGTGGACCATTTGTTGATGGCTTTGTTATACCAAATCATGTCAAGATTAAGCTGAACTGTGATTTGTTAGTAAACCTCTGACCAAATGGCAGGAATAACCAACTCGTGTTTGCATAGGCATTGACAAGCACTTGGGCTAACTGCCGACAAGCGAGCATGGTTGGTACATCCAGTGCCAATGGAGGCAACACCAATGGTCACCAGCTGCTGACATGGCAAGCAAAGAGCCAGCGAACAAAGTCAGCAGCAATGCATGTGGTATGCAAGGCCCAGTCAGTAGGAATTGGGGTCATGATTCAGGCAGAGGAATGCGAATCATTCATTGATGGCTTATATACAAAGGCAGCGAAACACATTTAATAATACTATGTATATTGCTGGTATTTTAGGTGATATTGGTGATAAGGCCGTATGTAAAGTCACTGGTCCATGCCAAATCGCCTATGGGAATGAATGAGCGCCTGCTTCACCTCATCAATTAGCGCCTCAAGTTGGGATATAGTGGAAGTGGCTGCTGCAGCAATCTGGATCTTCTGCTCCAGCAAAGAGGCCATCGCCTCGCCAAGGTGTTGGAGATGGGCCCTCACCGCCACAATTTGATTGAAGAGGGGATCACCATCCACCTGACTGGTCACAGCAGGACCTGGCATGAGCATGGCTCCAATCGGCTAAACATTAGCATCAGTGGAAGTCCAGGATGAGTGAAGGAAATGACTGACCAGTTGTTCAAAGTGCTCTCAGGTCATCTCCATGACCTCCTGAATAGTCAAGATTGGGAGCTCGAACCCTAACCTGTTGAAGTGATCCTTCCACCAATCATGGGGATAGTTACAAACAACTTGGTGATTGGACCATAGTTCTTGGTGATTGGGAGAGCAGCATGTGAAGATTTCATTGTGCAGTTCCTTGGTATTGATGGTGCTGGTTTGGAAGTGGGCAAATTTGGCAATGACGATGCGGAGGAGGTTGGGCATGGTTGGATGAATGTTCATCACCAGACATAAGTTGATATAAGGAAAAACAAAATGCTGATGGAGGCATTAGCTACAATAGCATACCAACTGGCCAACTGACCGAAGAGGCACTCACATCTGCCTCCCATTGAAGGTGCTGGACAAAGCTGGCTTTGTAAGCTGGCATCTGAGGCACATGGCTCCAGTCACATACAAGCCAGATCACGGCAAATTGAGATGTAGCATACTCCAAGATGTTGGCAGCATCCCACACAGTAAAGTCATTGAGTTCATATGTAAAAAGTGTTGTGGAGTTGGACATGATGGGTGGAGCTGGGACTAGTTAAAATTTTGACCGAAGCAGAATCACAAGTTTTATAGGGATCAGCATTGTACTCATTACCAATCCACTGTGGGGCTTGCCATTGTCCAAATGCATGTGCATGGACCTCTGTCACTCCACCACCACTGCCACCCCTTTTGTTCTTTCAAAACTGTCTTGTCCATGCTGTGAGAGTCAGAGATACATCCAAGCCTGGTGCACTGCATAGCAGCAGTGCTTGACCATGTTGTTTGCATCGGCCTCCTGCAATCAACTGACCCATTGTTCTCACATATTGCAGTAACATATCTCTGTATTATATGAGTGAACGGATGTGCATAATATCCCATATGATACGGGCCAGCGAACCATGGGCCGAAGGTAGATATATCCTCGACTATGATGGATGGGCTGGGAGTGTTATTATTCCCGATGGAGATGGGTGGGCCCATGTAGGGAATATGTAGAGTAGATGAGTGGGCCGATGGACATGAATATTCAATAGATGGATGGGCCGAGGTAGTTGGATATTATGTAGATGGGTTTACCAAGGTAGATGTGTATCAAATAGCCGGGTATGTCAAGGGTGCTTGTTATCACATAGACAGGTGGGCCCAAATATATATCATGTTAGACGGGTGGGCCGACAAATTAAGATTATTTTGTAGATGGGTGGGCCAACATATTGGTATTATTTTGTAGACGGGTGGGCCGAGGGAGTGGTGAAATATTTATTATATATATGGGTGGGCCGAGGGAGCGGTAAAATATTTATTATATATACGGGTGGGCCAAAGGTAGTTGTATATTGCATAGATGGGTAGGCCGACGTGGGGGTATATAATATAGACGGGTGGGCCCAGGAGAATGATAATTGTAGACATGATGGAGCTCAGGTAGTTGTATATCATCCAAATCAAAGGAGGTAATAATTCAAAGTCATCTAATGATGTCATATGGCACGGAGATTTGCAAAGGGGTGAAGTGGAAACTCGTGTTCCAGGCCCTGTTCATCAAAGCTTTTAGATAGAAGAGGAAGGTCTTGCAGTATGGCACGGAGCTTTGCAAAGGGGTGAAGTGGAAACTCAAGCGAAGTGTACTGAGTTCCAAGACCCGGGTCTCGACAAACAAATATGTGATATCCATCACACTTCCAATCATCTGGTATTTCATTGAGCAATGGATGATAATAGATCTTTGAAAGCCAACATCATCCAAGCCTACCAAATGCCAAATGCCAAATGCCAAGTTCCGACTACCAAAAATCGAGTGGTGTACCCGAGATCCGAGCCCCGACTATCGAATCCCGATTATTGAGTATTGAGTCCTGACTATCGAGTCCCGAACATCGAGACTCAAAACAAAACAAAACTCAAAACTCAAAACTCAAAACTTGGAACTCATATATTTTTGTGAGTTTCGGGTCCCGAACATCAAGTCCCAACTATGGAGTCCCGACTATGGAGTCCCAAAACACGAGTCCCAAACATCAAGTCCCAACCATCGAGACCTGAAACCTGAAGCCCGAGATTCGAGACTCAAGTTCCGACCATGGACTCCCGGGTATCGAAAATTGAGTGAAGTGTACCGAGATCCAAGGCCCAGGTCTCAACAAACGAATATCAGATATCCAACAGACTTCCAATCATCTGGTATTTCATTGAGCAATTGATAATAGATAATAGAACTTTGAAAGCTAAGATCATCCAAGGCTCTCTTATCTGATCCTCTCTATCTCCACCCCTTTAACACCAAAGTGCGGACATCCAGGATTCAGCTTCTGATCTCACAAGATCAATTCAATCATGGATGTTTCTTCCACTTCCGATGATGAAATAACCTTCTTGCGCACTTGGGCCCTGACTGTCACTCATGTGGCATGTGAATATACCGAACAGAAATTCAATGCAGAGAAGACAGGAGGAGACCCAGTTATACCTTCTCCGAACCTAGACACTGATCTGGTGATGGCTTGTGATCGATTGGTTGATCGGCTCATAAAGGCATATAAAAATCCTAGTGAGTCTTCCTGCAGATTGGGAAAATTCGTTTGATCAGTCAAATTGCTTCATCACAGTTCAGATGCCGATCGATATTGCAAGATATAGCAAATTGATCTCCCCAAAGGACACAGGGCATAATGAAGAGAGAGAGGCGAGGTTGTTCGAGAGGTGTCCTCCTGGCCATGAGGGCACAAAGTTGATCAACATACCTGCGACAATTCTTGATGCATCCGGTGCCATCATCGCATGGTACCTCCCGGACGCCCTGACCGATGCCACCCAGGTGTGTTATATATATTGTTACTGGATGGATATTGAACATCAAATGGTTCCTACAGAAGGAAATTTGGGCGGCCTTGGATTTGCTCGCTCTGATACTCGAAAAAAGCGTAAAGCTCGATGGGAATTGGCGTACTAATCAAAAGTGGTTCACACCAAGGTCGCAAAATGATGTCCTAACTCCCAGATGCATTAATTTATCTCCGGCATGGTTTCAGCAGGGGCACGAGGTAGGATCTGATGAGATGGCGATCTAGGTAGTTAAGCTCACAAATCCCCCAGAATCAGGTAGACCCAGCAGTTTCTGCATCATTGAATGGAGCATCCTTGGAGGATATCCTGAAGGCCATTGCGAGGCCAGCAGCCATTGCAACAGCAGCACTCAGGGTTATGCATCCTGAGCAGTACTGGGCAGGGTTGCGAGCCTTTGCGAGCCTCAAAGAAAAAGCACGAAGCAAGGAACTGCTGAAGATGTCAGAGACTCTCCAGTACTGGGCAACTGTGTTTAACAGCCTCTCCATGATTTGCAATTGGGAAACCCCGAATCATCGAGACCATTCATCGATTCCTGAATGCTTCGATATTCTCACTAGCGTGGGGAATTATTCTAATGCTCGGATGAGTATGCCAAGCCTTCAGCTGGAGTTCAGGTACAATCCAGGGTGTATGATGGCTTTTTCAGGAAGGATTGTCAGACACGGGGTTCATGCAGTGGAAGGGGATCGGATTGCCTGGGCATGGTATATGAGGGATGCTGTTCATATTTATGCTGGGATTCCGTCGTGTGGATGGGCAAGGTTGGATTGGAAGAAGTAGAAAAGGTAGTTACACGTGTTAGTACCCACCTTCAAATACATGATATTAGATATCAGGCACTCCATACTCGTAATTCAGGTTTCGGGTCTCGATAGTCGGGACTCGATATTGCAGGATACTCGAAAGTGTTATTGTACACATTTCACTGACTACCGAGTACTGGGTTTTGGGTTGCGGTACTCGGCCCGACCAACAAGTCCCGACCATCGAGTCCCGAATATCGAGACCCAAAGCCCGAAGCCCAACCATCGAGTCCTGACCATTGAGTCCCAATGATTGAGTCCCGAATATCGAGACCTGAAGCCCGACGATCGAGTCCCGAATATTGAGACCTGAGACCCGAAGCCCGATGATCGAGTCCCAAATATTGAGACCCGAGACCTGAAGCCCGACGATCAAGTCCCGACGATCAAGTCCCGAATATCGAGACCCGAGACCCGAAGCCTGACGATCAAGTCCCGACGATCAAGTCCCGAATATCGAGACCCGAGACCCGAAGCCCGATGATCAAGTCCCAACGATCAAGTCCCGAATATCGAGACCCGAAGCCCGAAGCCCGAAACCCGACGCCCAAAGCCTGACCATCGAGTCCCGAATATCAAAACCCAAACATCAAGTCCTGAAGCCCGAATCCCGACCATCGAGTCCCGAATATCGAGACCCGAAACCCGAAGGACGACATTTGAGACTCAAAACAACTCAATACTCCAAATTCAAAACAATGACACTCATGCATTTTAACGAGTTTCGAGTTTCAATTTTGAGTCAAGAAAATATACATTTAATGAAATACAATTTTGGGAGTTGTCTTCTTGAATCACCGAGTACTGAGTGCCGAGTACCGCAACCCGAAACCCGGTACTCAGTAGTTGGTACTTGGTGATTCAAGAAGACAACTCCCAAAATTGTATTTCATTAAATGTATATTTTCTTGACTCAAAAATTGAAACTCGAAACTCGTTAAAATGCATGAGTGTCATTGTTTTGAATTTGGAGTATTGAGTTGTTTTGAGTCTCAAATGTCGTCCTTCGGGTTTCAGGTCTCGATATTCGGGACTCGATGGTCGGGATTCGGGCTTCGGGACTTGATGTTTGGGTTTTGATATTCGGGACTCAATGGTCGGGCTTTGGGCGTCAGGTTTCGGGCTTCGGGACTCGATGGTCGGGCTTCAGGTCTCGGGTCTCGATATTTGGGACTCATTTGTTGGGACTCGATGTTCGGGACTCGATATTCAATGGTCGGGACTCCATACACGGGCGTCGGGTTTCGGGACTCGATGTTCAGGTTTTGATATTCGGGACTCGATAGTCGGGCTTCAGGCGTCGGGCCTCAATTGTCAGGACTCGATGTTTGGCACTCAATACTCAATGGTTGGGACTCCATACACGGGCGTCGGGTTTCGGGCTTTGGGACTCGATAGTCGGGACTCGGGTTTCAAGACTCGGTAGTCAGCACTCGATACTCGATAGTGGGGACTCGAAACTCGAAACTCGTAAAAATGTTTGCGTCAAGTTTTGAGCATTGAGTATTGAGATTTGTGTTGAGTCTCGAGTCTCGAGTCTTGAATCTTGGCCTTTGGGCTTCGGGTCTCGATATTCCAGTCTTGATATTCAGGACTCGATGTTCAGGACTCGACATTCGGGACTCAAGATATCTGGCTCTCAATACTTGACATTGGGTATGCAGGACTCGGCATATAGCAATAGGTCATATATTTGGAAGTCAGTGTTTAATTTTCAGTACTTATTACATCATGTACAGAATTTAGACTTCAACATTCTGAACTGAAGGACTAGAACTACTCCGGTCCCCTTGGCTTCAATTTGGTTAGGACAGCTGTGTACATCTGAATCTCGGCCATCTTTTCATGGATGCCATCTTGTTGATCCTCAATCACTGTCAGGAGGTGTTCTCTCATCCACCTCAGTGCCTTCAGTGATGCAACCGAGCTTTCAGCCACCTGCTCGGGAACAACAAGATGTTCGTCCTCAATGCCAGACTAGAAAGGATCAGTAACCATTCAAGGAAATTCGGTAAAAGTCTTACTAGCCAATGCTGGTAGTGACAGACACAATTGGCGAATACCTGATCCCATGCCCATAATTCCTTCAGGATTGCAGTTGGTCCGGTCCACCATTGAGTTCCATAGGTTGATACAATCCGGGAGGGATCCCCCAGATCTGCAACATCATGGAACTTGCACAGGTGGGATGAAAAGACGTCATCCGGAACCATGTTCCAGGTGAGCTCGGGAATCAACCGAAGAATATGAGTGACCGGGCTCGGAACAACCAAAATGATGTTCCTTGCAGCTGAGTACTGCAGGAGGGGAGTCACAAAAGTCTGTTGGAAATGTCAGCATTGACCACCACAGTCATCAGTCTCTTACAGCTATCTCCCATTGCAGCCCGGCTTTAAAGTGCATGATCCGAGCAGCAGAAGGCTCCTCGGTGTGGGTAGCCTCCATCTGATATTGAGAGATGGATGCTCGGATGCGAGATGCAGCCATTGACATTGTAGCTGCAAGATCTGCCAGAGTGAGTGTGAGGGGTTGGAACCCATCGCTGGAATTCTGAGAATCAGAAGGGGATGTAGGAGGAGTATGTGATACAGACATGGTTAATGCAGTATTATGAACCTGGAAATGACAATCACAATGGCAGTTGGTTCGGAGGTGAAGATATGAGCCACAGGTTGATGGATAATTTTTTCAAACTCCGACATTTTTGGATCCGGGCAAACTCCGTCATCGGTTGACCCGGCCAATTCCCAGGACTAAAATGTTTGGGTCGATGTAGCTGTTTCATATCTTCGGCAAAAAAAATTCATTCATCTCGAGCCTCTATAAACCTGCTCTTCTGGTCTTGAAATGCTGCCTGGGCATCCTATGCCAGCAATGAATACATTTGGGATTGCCTTCCTGAGTAGCATGCATGACCCAGAAGGTTTTTCACCAATGATTCGCGCATCCTGTCACCCCATCGGGATCACCGATGGCAGTGCTGATTTTGAGCTGCTCCCGAAGCAGGGGTTTGTATTTCTGAAGCTGGTCTTCCCCCAGCTCAAGTTGCATCATTTGCTTCCTTGTCTTCATATATATACTGGCATGGAGGGACACTGCCTGCTGCACAGACGTCACCTGGGACCAAGCTCAAGTTTTCAGGGCCTGGGATTTGGCTTGCCTAACTGTTGTTCAGAACAGAATTGCCTTGTTGCACAAGTGAATTTGGAGGTTGTGAAGGGAGTCATTGGCCTGCCCTTCACGAAGAGACATCTCCAGCGTAATGAGATCCTCTGCCATGCAGCGTCTGCATCGATCTACTCCGAGGTTTGATGGCAATGGGATGACAGTGAGCTCGGGGGAGTTCACCCATGTGTCAGATGTCTCGGTGAAGTCTGCCAAGTCATCATCGAGATCATCGAGAATGTCTACATTCAAGTCATCAGGATCATCATCTGCATCAAATCCCTCTCCAAGATGAGTAATAGCAGACCGAGTGAATCCATCTATCTGGCCTTGGAGACAATCACATTGCCGGGCTATGTCTAACCTCTGTGTCTCGGTAGTTCTTCTACCAATTCTTCGGACCTCGATGAGCAATGCGATTTGAGCCTCTTCAATCTCCAACCCAATTGATATCCATGTTGCCACAGATCTGCGAGCAGGTGCTGCATTTCGGGCATCACCCTCCTCTAGTAGTCTAAGCTCAATCTCCTTTTTGCTCGGTGCTGGGTGCAAAGTTAATTCAGACTTTGGATGGAGACAAAGTCAACTTACCCTTCTTGATATTAATCTCATATACATCCATAGCCGCAGGATCATTTATTCTGCTGGACTGAGCGATCCTCTCGCTGGCTAACCATTCCGTCTTTGAATCGCTGGGTGCTGCTTCATCGAGTCTGTCGAAAGCCTTTTCACTTTCGGTGATGCCATTCTTCGCCTGCTTGTATTTACAGCAAAGGGTCTTTTCATGCAGATCATCTTGCAGAAATTGGAATCGTTCATCTGATAATCGAGACATTCCTTTCGATGCGGGGATGACATTCCCCAAGCAGCAGGGGAAATCAGGTTGAGACGTGACCATAGGGTCTCCATGATCTCTCCATCGATCCGACCAATGCCTTCGATAAAATTCGATGCATATCAGACATAGCAGCTGTCCTAATGTCCGTGGATGTGCCACAACCCGATTCCGGGAATGATGGTCAATTCCAGAACCATTTCGAGAAATCGGCTTCGATCCACCCGAACCCGAAAGTGCTTGTTGTATTGACAGTTGATATCATAGAAGGTGACCGCCCTCGTGATGCCTTCCATGTTGTGCTGGGCAGCCTCACAAAGGGCATAGTCCATGTTCATTTGTCTGGGAATGATGCATGGTTAACTCATGAATGTCGAATGGCAGGGTGGGCTTGCCTTTCGCCTTTTTGAAAATCTACCATTGAGTGAGGAACAAAGCAACTGTGTCGAGCACAGGCTACTCCCCCGATGCCTGTGGATTCCAGCTTGTGCCGAGCTGCATTTGCTTGATTTACTGCCCGGTGATTGCTGCAGCTCGATTTTTCTAAAGTGTCGGCAGCCTCTGCAAGATGCTTTTATACCTGTCCTTTCCCACCATGAATCCCAACCCATCTGACAGCCAAACTTCATCAAATGGCTTCATGGGATGCAGGTGTTTGGCTTTGAAATTTCCGTCCATAACAAATGACTGGGTGTATTTCCACCTTGGAGCTGTTAACATTGCTGAGGTGACTTCCGTATCGAACGAGACTCACTCATCAAGTGATTCATCCCCTGACAAGGATACATTGATCCCTTGCTGAGGACAAGCGGGGCAAAATAATGCGAGATCACCTGCATTCGGGTTGTCGGAACGATGGCCAAATCCATGCCATTTCATGGCTTTCAACTGCCTCCATTGTCGGGCGACTCTCATGAGCTCTCAGTATCGGTCCTTGCCACATGCTTTGTCAATATAATGTCCTTTAGATGAGTGATATAGCATTACCGGTACAAGGTGTGGAAACATGTTGGAGGTCATTCGCCGGAGCTTGCTGTAATAGTTCATTGCTGGGGTCCCACATTCAAGGTTGTCCAATAGAAAATCATCGAGCACCCTGAAGGTGAACAAAGTCTTCGGCTTGTTAAATGAAGCGGGGAAAAATCCATGTTGAAACATTTGAAGGTCTGGAGTCATGGCATTTGGACAATCACAGCATCGAACCTGGAGGCGATGAACTCCGGACTTGTCGACGATAACCATGGTGTTTTCCTTTGGCTGGAACTCAGGTCCCAACACAGACGGTAGATCTTCAGGCTCAAGCTGGTCTTCAGGTTCATCTTCTTCAAACAAATCCCACCTATCTGTAAGTACTGGACATTGTTTGCCCTCATGACCGAGGTGTATGACGAGTCCGACGTGAGCGAGACAACTTTGCTCAAAGAATTGACCATTCCATTGACTGATCCAGTGGAAGGGATTGCGAGAATGTTGACTTCTGCAACAGCCAGTGCAATATAGTGGCTCCCAAAGACAATCTTGACATTTGTAGACCCCATCCTAGTCGCAGACGATGCATCTCCTATCTTCTGGTGGAGCTTCTCGATCCAGGAGGTGATGTAGATATGATTCCTGCCTTGGCAGCCATTGCCTGAGGTAGTCATTCTGACTCTGCATTTGTTATACTTAGCTATCATTTGAATTGCAATGCAACATTTTACATGAACTTGCCATGGTTTTTGGGAGTTGCAAAGGCTCAAATGAGCCTTGGTCATGCTCGTAAGTATTGTCAGGAATGTCTTCCCAAAGAGGTGGTGCCTTAACAGGCTGAAGTGTTGGTGATTCTGGGGGAGAGTTAGGCATGGACCTGTAGGCATGTCTTTTTGTGCTTGCAAGTGGGACCTTGACCCAAGTCTTCCTACCTTTGCTGCCCCTTGCTTCTACCCTGTGGGATTTTTGCAGTGGGGTGCATCTACCTATCTTCATCTTATTTTCTAAGGCTGCAAGCAAAGCATTAGCTCAGGAATGTGAATAAATTGTTATTGCAATGTGATGTTATGCAGTCTTGATGCGTCATTACAAATTCATTTCCATTAATGGAATTCCGTCCAATATGGGTAGATTAACCAACTGTTAGGCTTTGCTCAACGTTCAACTTGTCACCATTATTACTTCCACCTTGCTCATCCTCAGCCCTTTCTGCAATCTCATTCACAATGGCAAGATCAGGTCATTCCACTCAGTTGACTTCCACTTCTGGAAGACTTAGGGCGCGTCAACCACAGACACAGAAGCTCACGGACAACGAAATTTCGGAGTTGAAAAACTACCTTCCTGAGTGGACTTCGGTGAAAAGGAATGAGAAGCGGGCAGTTTTAACTGCCATAGCCAGGGCTGCCAGGCTATTTGCTCCCAAGGTCGACCAAGCACAATGGAAGAAGAGGAAGCGGGTGATTCATCCTTGCTTCATTCAAAACTAAAATTTTAACATTTATTCTTCCATGAACTCTCAGATGTACAAGACATGGTTGTTCAACAACAAGAAAAAGAAGGAGAGGAAGGACATGATAAAGTATGGGAGGAAATGGACTCCTAGGCAGGTGATCTACCAGCAGAAGCGGGAGGAGGTGCTGAAGAGGATCGAGGACGAGTCCGGGGCAAAGCCAGGAGGTCCCGGTATGTTCAAGTATTATCAGGCGGCTGTAAAGAGAGTCATGACTGAATTGTCCGATGATGAGTTGGAGAAGGCGAAGGACACAGCCGAAGAATGGTCAAACAACTTTCCACCTCCCAAGATACAAGCACAAGTGGCTCGTAAGAAGGGACCAGTGTATATGGAGCACTTTTCGAAGGAGATGTGGAGGCAATGCGGGATGAGAGTGTTTGTGATGTCGGCATGGAAGAATGAACAGGGCGAGGTGCTGTTCAGGATGTAAGTCAATTTTGTCATCTCAGATCCTCAATCTCAATACATTTCATGCAGGCACGATGATAACGAGGCATTAGGAGATGGGGACAGTTTCATGAAGATGAAGGAGTGGGAGGACATTGAGCCAGTTTGGCAGGAGTACGCACAGGAACAATTCGGTGAGTGTTTGAACTCTGGCTACTGGAATGAATTGGTTGATCTTCTTCATGATAGGTGCCGGGGCACGGGATGGAGGGCGACAGGTGATGCGAGGTCGAAAGAGAATCAGGAAGCCTGCTTTTGAACTCAAGACCGACAGGGATGGGATGCTGGTGCTTCCAGGCATCACCGAAACAAAACTCGAGGAGAAGAAAGCCATAGTCAGAGCATTTCTTACATTGCACTATCATGAGTCCATCATTGCGACACCCGAACATTTGTTGAACGCATGTATACAGGTATCTGTTCCGGGATTGACAAGGCAGTTGTGCCATGGAGTGCCATCATACAAAGTCAGGATGACTTTGTGGCAAGAAAGTATGTTCCGGCGGATGTAGACTTGAAGGAGCCATCAAAGTTGCAACATTGGGACACAACCGCCTTACTGACTTTCTGGTATGCTCGGCAGGAGGAAGGCAAAGGTCCAACATTCCTGTTCAAAGCATGGAAGAACAGAGATGGGGACATGGTAGCCTCGGTTGTATCTGGGAATTCACCATCTCATCGGACTCATAAAGTCAGAAGAGATATGATCCGAAGGCCTCGGAATTCGGAGACCGAAACTGACAGTGATCCCGAGACCGATCACGAGGGTGATCCCGAGAGTGAGCCCGAAGGTGACACTCATGATATGGAGGATGATGCTGGTGATGATGCAGCGGAAGGTAGATCCCCGCAAAAGAGACCCAGAACAGAGCCTGGTCCTTCGACAGCACATGAAGGAACCGCTGTCCCACGTGCAATTCCAAAGCCTCGCCCAGTCAATGCAGGGAAAACTGGTGCACTGCTTACATCACGAATGGGCGACCTCCTGGCTGGACTGACTGAGAGAGTCACTGGCAATGTTCAGGAGGATGGTGCAACCGAAGGAGTCAATAGGTCACTGGCACTGAAAAACATGTGGGGAAAGAAAGGGGTGATTGAGCCATCGGCGAGGACAACCCGGAGTAAGTCAACACAACAGCCATTGGACACTAGCCCTCGAGTGACCAGAGCGAGGGGAAAGAAGTAATGGACTTATACTACACTGCCTGCTTTTACCTGCTATTATGTACATGTCAATGTGATTCAATCATATTGAATAGAGTCCCGAGTATGAGTATCGAGTCCTGACCATCAAATACCGAACATCGAACATCGAGTCCCGAGATTTGAGGAATGAATCCCGACTACCGAGTCCTGAACATCAAGTCCCGAACATCGAATCCCGACTATCGAACACCAAGTCCTGACTATCGAGTATCGAGTATAGAGTCCTGAGGATCGAACATCGAGTCCCGAACATCTAAAATCCCCAACATCAAACATCAAGTCCCAAGTATTGAGTCCCAAAACACGAAGCCCGAGATTCAAGGAATGAATCCCAACTATCGAGTCCCAACTACCGAGTCCCAAACATTGACCATCGAATCCCGACTATCGAACATCGAGTCCCGACTATCGAACACCGAGTCCCATACGACGCCCGGTGACATGCATTGAAAGATCCGGTAGTGTACATGATGTGGGGATATCAATGAAAATTCAGAGGTTGTAATAAGGTAATTTACATAGTCATTTGTTCTTCAAAGTGTTGAATCATGGAATCTACTACCTTGAGCATTTCAATGCTCATCTGTTCAACTCTTTGCAACCTCTGCAGGTCTGCATCAGCTTTTCTCAGTTTGTCGGAAGTTTCCGCCCAAGCAGTTCGGAATGGTCGCTCAGCCTCCATTAGTTGTTGGATGGAAGGGTCAGGAAGACCTCCAGTACGGCATTTGTAATCACCGAGTCGATCTCGGACAGATTGGTCTTCCCGAAAGATTAGCAAAAAGATAAATGCTCTGCTTTCAGATACTCACATTCTGGGTGTTCGTATTTCCGAAAGGATGAAGCTCCCGGACCATCAAACGTACATCTTTGACATCAAGCTCTGGCTCATCTGCACGAAGTTCGGTAGATGATTTGGTGGCTTGGGAGATACAATAAGTATCAATAATCATCTAGAATGAATAGACCCACATGAAATAGACACCTCTAATGTAGCCGGTGCAAAAGTGGGAGGATCAGCAGAATCCGGCAACTCATCAACATCAATGACATCATCCTCAGGCCCGAGGTACAATTCTGGATCAATGAGACAGCTGGCATCATCAGCCTCACCCGGATGTGATTGATCTTCAAGGGTGAAGTTAGCATGGATGGTGAACAATGATCATAAGGAATGTATAAACATACCGGGCATTGCAGGCAATGCATCTGGTGGTCCGGATGACATAGAATCATATTCTATGTCATCATCCGGCCCAAGGTATAAGTCATCTAAGTCATCTGAGGGACACCCGGTAAATTGATAAGGAATGATAAGAATACAACATACCTAGTGATACCCAGCCCATAGATGAGTCATCCACATCCATAGAATTATAGTTGGTCACCGGGGGGTCATTAAATCTAATGGCTGGATGGGAACTCATGTGGTGTGGAGAATTGGTGGACTGGTTGACTGATAATTGAAAAAACTTCGAAGTTCAACACACAACCGGCGATTGCCGAAAGTTCAACGACGACCAAACAAACACAAACAATCAATGATTTTATCAATCGTCCATCAAATGTCTTGTTTGATTTGAAACTTCATCCTTCTGATAACTGATCTCAATCTGATTTCAAGATCTTTCAAATCTCTCAACTCACTCATCATGTCCACTCCAGTTGCCGACTCTTTGACCTGATCTCAAGAATTCCACTGCCCAGATCATGGCCATCATCAGTGCCGCCTGGCAGATTCCCCCAGGTCCCAGCCACTCAGCTCTGGGAAAACAGGTTGGTACACTTGTGGTATGTATTTTTTTTCGTGTTTTTTTTCGTCTCTAACATTCCAGGTAGTCTAATGTAGCAAAGGAGTATGGGTCTGGGGAAGGTCCTATTCCTGGACTCATCATTTCGTGCCTCAAAGAGCTACACCGCATCCGGAGCATGGTTCCCAAGGTCTGGCCCGACTGGCACACCATCGGGTATGACGATCCCCACGTTTTGAGGCACCCCTGGCACCCCAAGGTCCTCGCCTGGGAGGCCATAGGTGACCGGACCTTTGATCTCCCAACTGCTGCCCCCCCATCCACAGGTCCGATTCCAGTCAACCTTCCCTCCCCAGCCATCCCTACCAGCAATGTCGCCGGCCCTTCCACCAACCCCACCACCGAGTTCTGGGACAAGGGGAAAGGTAAGGCCAGTCTTCGCTGATCCATGAGCCTGAGGCAGAAGGCAGTAATAAGAGGAAGTCCCCTTGATTTCGGGACCACCCTCCCAACCCCCGAAAATCCGTGATGAAGAGTCGCAAGCATCTGAGGTTGGCTCGCAGTGGTGAAGTCCAAGCCCATGGTGGAGTCAGAAGATGAGGAAGACACGATTGTCAAGGTATGTCATCTCGTTCTTCTTTTACTTGTCTCACATTTTCTTGTAGCCATTTTCGGGTGGAGGCACCGGAGGTCGTCGTTCCCCTGCTCTCCACAGTTATTGCAAGGACTGCCCAATTCGCCTCAATCACCCAGGGTTCCGACGAAGAAACCCTTTGGCCCTGCCACGGTAAGTCACGCTTATGCATCCAGGACTCGGGTGTATGCTTACTGTTTACCAGGTGATTGCCGGCAGTCGCCCAGCAGTCGTCGAGCCCTCCCTGGCCAACTCCCGAACCCCCTGGTGCAGGCACCCCTGGTCATCCCTGCAGTTGACATTCTCATTCCCGGACCGGTGAGTACTTTTATATATCTCAAGTGTATCCATACACTAATACAACTCACAGAAAAACCCATGCTACTGCTTGCAACAAGCTACAATGGCCTTGTGCAACTCGGATGGACAAGAGGACCGGGGCTCCAGTGTATGTCGTGCATCTACTGCACGACAAAGAAGATCAAGTGCACCCCCGCATCTATGGGATCCCCGCCTCCTCGCAGTGGTGCCTCCTCTACCACCCGGAAGACGAGGTCCAGGACACCATCCAGGGCTCCCTCCAGGGCTCCCTCCAAGGCTCCCTCCAAGGCTCCCCCAGGCTCCCCCATGTCCCAAACCCCTGCCCCCTCCCAAGCTCCCCCTGCCTCCCAATCCAAGGCCCAAACTCGAAGTCAGTCTCGTGGCATGGCCGGAACTCCCGGTGTCAATGCGGTGACAACCCCCAAGACCCAGACGCGTGGTCACAGCAAGACCATCACTGCCGTCAAGGCACCTGCACCTGAACCAGCTTGTAAGTAACCCGAGGTTTATTTTTATCATTGTCTGACCTTAGGTTTGCATTCTAGCTCTTCCGGCCTCGAGTTCGGCAGTCCCGGCTGCAGCACGTGGCCCGGCAGTCCCTGCTGCAGCACTTGACATGCCCATGCCGGATCTCCATTCCATGGCCATTGCGATTCGTCAAGGTGCAGCTCAAATCGCTCTTCTGGAGGATCATGTGGCAGAGCAGGATGGTAAGATTGATACCCTGCAATGCCTTCATGAAGGCCTTAGGCGCGAAATCATGCTCCGGCACCCCTCATTCCCACTGCCCGATCCTCCTGCCAATGCATCATCCTTGTTGCTTGATCAATCCGGCCCCCCCACCATGTCACCCGCTGAATCTGCACTCCCACCTCTCATTGATCTCACAATGGAAGGCATTGCTCCCACAACCGCAACCACAACAGTCCCGGATGCCTCTGCCATTGATGGCCTCCTGTTTGATTACAACCAAGTGGCTCATCCAGAGGATCCAGATGCATCTGGCGAAATTGTGGACCCAGGTGATCTGAGCAACCTTGTCCCAGAATATAACTCCTCCGATGACATGGATGTTGAGGTTGAGGTGAAGGTTGAAGAGGCTTCTGAGGAGGTTGACATGGCTACATAATTGCATAGTGATAGATGTATATACAAGTTTTCAATGAATGTAACCTCTGCCAGTCCATTGATCGAGTGACTGAGTTCCCAGTACCGAGACCCGACACCCGAGATTCGGTACTTGGTACTCGGTGATTCGTGTGTTCCGAGTGTCCGAGTTTCAAGTTCGAGTACCGACACCCGAGTACCGAGTATCGACACCTGAGATTCGTTCGTGTGTTCGAGGTCGAGATTTCAAGTTCAAATGGAGTTGCGACTTTCGAGTTTCGAGTCGAGTACCAACACCCAACACCCAAGTACCAACACCCGAGTACCAACACCCGATATTCGGTACTCGGTACTCGGGTGTCGGGTGTGGGTGTTGGTACTCAGATTATGTGAGTTTTGAGTTTCAAGATTTGAGTTTCTTGATTCGAGATTCGAGTTTCGAGTTTCTAATTGAGTACCGACACCCGACACCCGACACCTGACACCCGAGTACTGATGATACACACGAATCACTGAGTACTGAGTACCGAATCTTGGGGTTGGGTGTCAGTACTTGACTCAAAACTCGAAACTTGAACACACGAATCACCGAGTACCGAGTACCAAATCTCAGGTGTCAGGTGTCGGGGTCGGTACTCGACTTGAATCTCGAATCTCGAATCTTGAAACTGAAACTCACATAAATCTGAGTACTGACACCCAACACCTGACACCGAGAGTACCGAGTACCGACACCCGAGATTCGGTACTCGGTACTCGGTACTCGGTGATTTGTGTGTTCGAGTTTCGAGTTTCAAGTCGAGTACAGTACCGCACCGACACCGAGTACCGACACCCGACACCGAGATTCGGTACTCAGTACTTGGTGATTCGTGTGATCATCGGTATCGGGTGTTGGGTGTGGGCGGGTGTCGGGTGTCGGTACTCAATTAGAAAACTCGAATCTCGAATCTCGAATCAAGAAACTCAAATCAAGAAACTCGAACTCACATAAAATCTAAATACCGACATCCAAACACCGACACCCAAGACTGAGTACCAAGTACGAATCTCGGGTGTTGGTACTCGGGTGTTGGTACTCGACTCGAAACTCGAAAGTCGCAACTCCAATCTGAAACTTGAAACTCGCATAAATCTGAGTTTCAAATCCCGAGACTCGAATCACGAGTGCCGACCCGACACCCGAGTACCAAGTACCGACACCCCGAGATTCGGTACTTGGTACTCGGGTGTCGGGTGTCGGTACTCAATTCGAAACTCGAATCTTGAAACTTGAAACTTGAAACTCGTATATATCTGAGTTTTCACGATATTATGTCCGTACATCATCAGTAAGTATAAAAACAATGACTGACGAAAAACTGCTATATGACATAGAGCTATCTTCCAAAAATATATACAGCTGTGCGTGAGGATGGAAAGGGAAGAGAAAACACAGGTGATTTGGGGGGATTTGGAAGAGGGGAATGAAATGGCGGTAAGATTTGAGATGGAGAACACGGGTGAAGAGAGGAATACAAGGGTGAATGAGAGTAGTACAATGGAACAGATTTGGGGTAAACCCTTAGCTAAGAGTTGCAGATGAGACTCATGTCAGCCAGCAACAAGACTCGCATAGTAGAGTCAATTACAGATGAAGCAGGGGAGTTGAATGGGATGATGTATTGAGACTCTAAGAGTCGAAGCCATGTGAGTGCCTTAAGTGAGCATGACTCGGTACTCGGTACTCGGGTGTCGGGTGTCGGTACCCGACTCGAAACTCGAAACTCCTATATGATACATATCTGGGCCCACCCATCTGTCTAATATTACCCGACGTCGGCCCACCCATCTAGGTAAAATTCCCCACTTCGGCCCACCCATCTATCTAATATTTCCCTACGTCGGCCCACCCATCTATGTTATAAATATTTCACCTCACCCTCAGCCCACCCGTCTATCTAATATTAACCCACATCGGCCCACCCATCTATATAATAAATATTTCACCTCACCCTCGGCCCACCCATCTATCTAATATACCCCTACATCGGCCCACCCGTCTATGTAATAAATAATTTGCCTCACCCTCGGCCCACCCATCTACCTAATAATACCCCACGTTGGCCCACCCGTCTAAGTAAAATACCCCACGTCGGCCCACCCGTCTATCTAATATTTCCCTACGTCGGCCCACCCGTCTATATAATAAATATTTCACCTCACCCTCAGCCCACCTGTCTATCTAATATACCCCTATGTCGACCCACCCGTCTATGTAATAAATAATTTGCCTCACCCTCGGCCCACCCGTCTACCTAATAATACCCCACGTCGGCCCACCCATCTAAGTAAAATACCCCATGTCGGCCCACCCGTCTATCTAATATTTCCCTACATCGGCCCACCCGTCTATGTAATAAATATTCCACCGCTCCCTCGGCCCATCCGTCTATATAATAATATTTGCTATACATCTCTCCTCAGGTCTATAATATATGTCAATCCTACTCTACATATTACCCATATGGGCCCACCCATCTCCATAATAATATTTCTCCCAGCCCATCCGCCATCATCGATGATATATATAACATCAGCATAGATGGGCCCACCCGTCAACATCGGAAATAATATTTCTCCCAGCCCACCCATCAACATCGGGAATATACATAACATCGGCCCATAATCCGCTGGCCTGTATTACATGGGATATTATGTAGGTCGGGTGACCCATATAGTACGGGATTTGTCACTGAAGGGGCTCTTGTTCTGATTTGTGAATAAAGAATTCAACTGTCCATGTCATTTCCTGACCGACCAGCAGCAGTTCCTCTGCCCAACAGTCATGCAGTGCCAGTGTCTGAAGCCAATGGACACAGTAAACTGTCACATGAAGAAATTAGCACCAAACAGGAATAGGTAGGTCAGTGAAGTGCACACATTCATTCATCCAGTCATTACTTCTGGAATCCCCCTGGACATCAATGGACCAAAACCATGTCAGCATGCTATTTCTTTGACTGCATGCATTTGGGTCTTCCACCACTGTAGTAGCCTTTAAGTTGGCCTTCTCCAATGGCCGATATTTGGTCAATAAATCATTGGCACTGAGATGGACAAGCTGCTTGCAGCATTTTGAGTGGATCTGCATGTTCAAGTGAAGGACCTTGTTGACCAAGTGCACATGAGCCCATGCCCTGGTCGACCGTGCTTGTGACTTTGCTGACTGAACTATGGTGCGAAAGAGAACAGCCTTGTTGGCCAAGTTAACCCTGATGGCATGCAATGCATCATTTGCTTGGCCTTGTCTTAAGGATATTTCTTGCAACACCAGGTTGGCAACGCCCCACTTGGCACACCTTTTGATGCTGATGTTAGACAGCAATGGAATCACCACAGTCTCGGGATTGAACTTGACCAGCATATCAAATTCTTCTTCATCTGACCAATCTGGATTCCAACTGGTCATAGCTGTCAAATTCATCAAGTTGGTCTTGCCATTTGTGGCGACACCGAGTGATGGCCAGCTTCTGGGTGTTGGTTGGCTGCTTTCCCAGTTTCTTCACATCAATCAGGAGGACTACTTGTGCCTCCTTGAGTGTGATCCCACAGGCCAGCCATGTTGCAGCACCACAATGGATCTCGCTGGTGGGCCATTGCATCTGGTGGTTCAACAGGTGCAACTCTTGCTGTTTTCTTGTTGGTGCTTTGCCAAAGCATATCAGCATATTGCAAATGGATGTTCTGTTTGCCCGTACCTTTGGTCAATTGAACTTCATATATGTCCATGGCACTGGGATTATGAAGTCAGTCATCCTGAGTGGCAGTGGCCTCTGCTTCCCATTTGGCAAGGGTGTCATTGTTGGCGGTCTTGGTCAACTGGTTAAATGCATATTGGCTGTATTGGACTCCCTGTACAGCTTCCTTGAATTTTCAGCAAAGGAATTTGCCTAGATGCTTTGAGATTTGTGAACTCAGTCAAATAATATTGCTCACTCATGCATATCATCTTCATAAAATTACAGTCGTTCATTTGAAAGTCCAAACACTCCTTTCGGTGGGGGGTGGACATCCCTCTCCCTGACAGCAATATTATGTTCAAAGGCACCCAAAGGGTCTCCATGATTTCACCGTCAATCCTGGCTACACCGGTGATGAAGTTGGATGTGTACCATACATAGCATTTGTCTTGATGGCTATGGACATGCCAGAGCCCAATGCTTGGAACAATCTCCATGCCCCATGGAAGGTCAAGATAGGGCGACTCCTCAATCTGCTGGTTGAGATACCTGTGATATTGACAGTTAATGTTGTAGAATGTCAATGCACAGTCGATCCCATCGGTGTTGTACCCCAGAGCTTGGCACAGTGCATAATCCATGTTCATCTGCCTTTTGGCTGACTGACACATCAGTTCAACTCGGTTGATTTAGTATATCAGACGGCGAACCTTTTCCCTTTCTGAAAGTCCACCATTGAATGGGGAATGAAACACCCATGTCTGGCACAAGCACACCCGCCTATCCCTGTCACCTCGAGCTTGTGGCACAACACATTTGCCTGGTTGACCGCTCAGTGGTTGTTGCAATCTGATCTCTGCACCATGTCCTGCGCCTCAGTGAGATGCATTTTGTATTGGGCATCACCGACCATGAAGCCCAAGCTGTCGGTCAATGCCACCTCATCGGTTGGATTGGCCAGATACAAATGTTCGGCCTTGAAATTGCCACCCATGACCAAAGATCTTAAATACAACCATGTATGGTTGGACCCATTCCTATCTGAAAAATTGACATTTACCCCGGGCTGTGGACATGCAGGACAGAAGAGTGTGAGTTCCCCTGCCTTTGGCTTTCTCTTCTCATGGCTGAACCCATGCCACTTGAGCTGTTTCACTTGATTCCACTGCCTACCCACCCTCATCAATTCCCTGTATCGGTCCTTCTGGCCATTGTGAGTGATGCAGCAGAGAACATCAACATCACTCACTGGAACCAGATGAGGAAACACACTGGAAGTAACTCACCTCAATTTACTGGAGTAGTTTATGGTGGAAGTCCCACATTCCAGGTTGTCCAACAGGAAGTCGTCCAACACCACAAATGTGAATGTTGTCTTTGGCGAAGTGAAAGATGCCGGGAAGAGGCCCATTTCAAATAGTTGCATGTCAGGGCTTAGTGTGTCGGCGCACTGACAGAATCTGATCATCAGGGAGTGGAGCCCTGACCTGTCCACTACCATGGTTGTTTGAGGATTATTGACCAAGGGTATCCAAGGGCCCTCAGTCAAATGGTCTCCTTCATCATCTGTGTTGCACCACTCGTCTGTGAGACCAGGGCAAGGCTGGCCAGCATGACTGAGGTGGATTTCCAGGCCAATCTTGGTCAAGGAAGTATCCTCAAAGAATCCCCCAGTTCATTGACTGATCTGATGGAATGGCATGTGGCTGTGTGTCGTCTGACAGCAATGAGTACAGAAGAGTGGCTCGGCCACGCAGCCATAAAATCTGTAGACCCCATCCTTTGGACAGACCAAGCAGGTTCTGTTCAAAGGTGGACCCTCTCACCGAAGGAGCAAGTCCAAGTAGTCGTTGGTCTTGGACTGCCACTCACGCAGATAGTCATTTTGACTCTTGATACTCGGTGTCAGTGAATGGGAAAAGGCAAGCAAATGGTGAGCTTGCAATGGACTTATGAAGCCGACACGGCTCCAAGTTGCATTGGGCGAGGTCATGGTGTTCATAGTCACCCTCCACATGAAGTCCTCTGGCAGATCCCTGCTCGGTAGGGGATTTTCTGGGGGATGAATGAACTGATTTGGTTTAGTTGGAACATTGAGCTTTGACAAATTGTCCTTTATCTCCCCTAGATGTTTGTTTGTCCTCACATTGAACCAAAGAGGATGTTTTCAGAGGACTCCAGGCCTTTGGCTTTGACTTGACCATGTTCCAAAGTCCTACTGTGATTGTCTGGATGTGTTGCTGGAAATGGGATGCTTAGACTTTGGGACAATACGGTGCTTACATGCAACTGCCAAATGCAATGCATCATATGTAATAGTCACTTTTACCTCACATGAATCATTAGCAAGGATATTCATGGCACAATGTCAATGGTTTATAGTGATTGTGTATATAATACATTGAGAGCACTTTAGGACCTCTTACTTCACTTGACATACCTGCCCATGCATCTGCACCACTCAATAAGTCTTGTAGCAATAGGGGTCACACTATTTGGTACAATCTAGCCCTTAGGGCTGCTCAATTCTAAAAGTTCGCGTTCACTTGGGATCCGAGTATTACGATACAAGTTATTTAAGTCTTAAGCGCTTCATTTCCGCCTCCGTAAATTAGTCCCAAGCCCAAAGAAGGCTGGATGTGTCTGGCTCGTAGTTATTGTACTGTTAACAACTCCAGCACTGCAGCGATGGATTACTACTATCCTAACAATGGTGGCAGATATAATCAACATCAGTTTCAGAGTAGGGTTGAGCATCAACAGCAGGAGCAACTACCACATGGCTATGTCGTGCCACATGGAGGTGGACAATGTTCTGCTCCACTGGGCAGTTACGAGCACCAGGCAGTAGTGCCTGCACACAACACGAGGCATCAGCATCAGCAACAGCAAGAGAATTATCATGCAGAACATTACTGGTTTGACACGAAACAGTAGGTCATTATTTTCTCAAGCTCTGTATGTGACTGATTCTGTATCGTGAATCCAGCCAGCTGCAGTGGGAGCAGCCCTATGAATCAATTCCCTGACCTGAACATAATCAGCAATCTGAAGTACAAGTGAGTAGCCAATAGCATGAATGGAATACTTGACGAATACTGACTAGCTGAAGCTTCCTGATATTTGCCAGGTGCTCGAAGCATGTGGTTGGCCTCAACCAAATGATTTAAATCAATTTGTCTATGGTCCAAGTCAGGCAAACGAGGCAGGAGGTGATCCAAGACCTCTCCCACCTCATTCACAGCAGCAACCATTGCCAGCCACAGCTCTGCAACCACAGAAGCGAGGACGTGAGGAATATCACGGTAACCTCCTCCTGGAAGATGGTGACAGTGCGAAGAAGATAAGGAAAACTGAGAACGACACACCATCAACTCGGATTAGTAGTGAAGCCCATGCCAGCAAAGGATTGAAGCGGAAGGCCACAGGTGCAAAGCTGAAGACAAAGGCAAAGACGAAAATTGATGGGGAACAAGCTATGGCTCACCTTCAAGAGCAAAGCCATTGGTCAGACGAGGACACCAAACTTTTGCTCGAAACCCTGCTAGGTGGCGACAGTGAATTCTATGAAGGCCTCACTGGCAATGCTAAACACATCTTCAAAAAGGTAACAAAGGTGCAAAGTAGACTTGCCTTGATAATTGCTAATACCATACCATACAGGTCTCCGAACGTATATTGAAAGGACGATGCAGCCCGGAGTCAATCAAGGGACATTACGAGCGCTTACGACGAGTGTTTTCATATATCTTGAATTTCGAGTCCATCACTGGCAATGGCGGTGGTGATCCTGATGTTGAAGTCCTTGACGAGAAGATTGAGAATGCTCGAACAGCTGGGAAGGATATTGGGAACTTATCTGGGGCTACCTTGAAAAAATGGTACGACGAGGGATGGTACAAACTGTTCAACAACAGGTGAGTAGCTGAACCTCTGTGCGAAACATTACTGACACGAGTTGGCAGACTTGGTGAGCACCCGGAACTTGTGCAAGAGGAGGATTTTCGCTCTGGAACGATCTTGGATACAATCAATATCAGCAGTGATGAGGGTAGTGATGGTGAAAGCAAGGACAGTGATACGGAGAGGAAGACTAAGCCAAAAGCAGGTCAACCTGCGCGCAAATCAGTTTTATCCGCAGGTGACAAGAAAGTTAAGCCAACATCGCAGAAAGGAGTCCCTGTGCCGCGGCACAAACGCAAGGCTTCGCAGACTGGTATCGGCAGTGAAGCTGCTGAGTTTTTCGCATCAAATGTCGAATTCCTGAAGGCAACAGCAGATAGCGACATTGCATGCTTGAAACTCCTCGAAAAATGCGAGCTCCGAGAGGACAAACAATATAATTACATGGTAGAGAAAGGGCGGGCTGAGATGACACTGGCAGAACATGAGGCGAAGGTGAGGCATGCAAAAGAGATTTTGACTACAGATGGGATGCCAGATAAGCTGAAAGCGGCAGCTCATCAAATGTTATTGGACTACTTCACTATTGGAGGTCAGTAATTGCTATCGAGTATCATAATGGAAAAAGATCATTGAGAATCGCGAGACGACGATAACGACCAGCTTCCCTCAACCACTTGTCTGACTCCCAAGCAGGAAGTTCTGGTTCATCATCCCCGGCGGCTCCGCCATAGCCAGAGATATCAACATCAGCTCGGTCATCCTCAGCGTCGTCATGATCAGGGTCAGAACTATCAAACAGTGGAATGAGCTCAGGTACATCTCCAAGGTCAATGCACATATTGTGCAGAGCAAAAAGTGCCTCGACAACACGGTAAGTATCTCGGATATCTTGCTCAGGCGGCAAATCCTTCAAACTGGGAAAACGGCCCTTGAGCATACCAAATGTATGCTCAACAATGATGCGCTGTGAAGATAAACGCTTGTTGAATTTACGGCGGCGTGCTTTTTCAGCGGTTCGGTGAATGGGCGGAGGACATAGGGCGACGACGGATAGCCTGGTTCAGGGTCAGTGTATGAAAGATGTGAGGGTCAAGAAGAATAGACCTTTATCAGTGAGAAGGAGAGTATTGTTTGGGAAATGATCGAGCCGATGTTGCCAGACGTGAGACTTCTTCCACATTGTCACGTCCGAAACTGATCCTGGCCATCCTAGTTCAATTGCTGTGAATCATTTCTCGTGGTCGACAACAGCTTGAACATTGATCTACATATCAAGTAAGTTAACAGAAAGTGTCGTGTTTGAGATTTACTTACAGCGGGATATTTCTTTCGACAAATAAATGTTAGGCCATTTCGATCCGGCATCTTGGTAAGCCATATGAGGGAGCCATCGAGCATCCCAATGCAATCTGGAATTCCCGACCGGTCCATAACCCGTCTCGTTGTTTCATTCTGACGATCCTCATCACCCCAGGTAACTACTTGCATTCCGATCTCTCGCAGAGCATGCACTATGCGCTTGCAATAGAGGAAGACAGTTCCGAAACCAATCCCAAGCTTATGGGCAGCTTGCAGGGAGTCCCCGCCACGAGTCCCATAACAAAGAAGGGAACATGCAAGCTGATAGTGCACAGGTCGCTGTGGTTTCCTCCCCATCGATTGAAAGATGGGATTCTGCTCTAAGATTCGCACTAAGCGGTCAAAAGTTGCACGACTAATACTACCAGATCATTAGTGTGTTAATAAGATCGAAAACGAAACACACTCACCGATATTCATGACGAAAGTCTCGATCAGGCCAACTCAATGATATATCAAAGAATTCATTGCACTTCCGCCACTGGATATAGGGACCATGAGAGCCGGGCACAGATATCATCAGAGAGAGAGCATGAAGGCCCATGGCTGTCCCATGCAAAAAGTGAGTGAGCCGTTCGTTGCCTTTGTCGTCATCAAGATCTTGATGATCTGGAGTGAAAAGCTCCCTGAGGTGGCCTTGCTCACGCCTGGATACGGCCAATGTACTAGCCAGAACAGAATGTAAAATTAAAATATCCCTATGATCTTGCTTTCGTCGCTGTGCACAGGGCATATTGATCACCATTGAATGTTGAACAACGCGTTGAACGATGGGAACTGATCAAGTTGATAACGCGGGATTCTGAAAGTCACCGGCTGACGGCCAGCATCCGGTTCCAAACAAGGAGTTGTAAGCATCGGTAATCAGTGTCGTAACTTGCTCGGATCCCAAGTGAACGCGAAATTTTAGAATTGAGCAGCCCTCTTACATGCAATTATTACACTGGTATGTCACTCATCTGAATCATTGCTCACACGACCCTTCCTTCCATTTTCTGTTCCATCAACCATATCAACCCTCTCCTGCATTCACATTTGCAGGTCCTTCACTCTAAGCTACCTATTGTGACATGGCTCAGATGAAGATAAAAACAGGGGATTAGCCTTGGTTGAATGACAGAGAGACAACTACTCTGCAGTCCCATGTTGAGGACTGGGAGAAGGTAGATGGGACCAAATGACAACATATCTTTAAAGCAGCTGCCAGGGAGGCCAAACTCTTTGCTCCAAAGATGGACAAAGAGCTCTTGAAGCAACAAAAAGAGGTAAGTGTTTCGGCTGTGATGTTGGGTCATGCTGCATTGCAGTAACGATGGACAGAAATACAGGCAGTGGTTCCATAATCACAAGAAACACAAGGCCAATACAAATCCACCAATGAAGCTCCAAAAGAAATGGAAGGCTGACATCCTTCAGCAAATACAAGAAGAAATTGAGGAGGAGACCGGGGAGAAGCCTGAGCAGAAAGAAGTTCTCAGGAGGTATCAACCTAAGATGATGGCAATCATGAAAGGGCTGGACGACAATAAGTTGGAGGAAGCCCAGGCTAAGGCTGATGAGTGGACCAATCAAGCACCTGATGCCGCAGTCCAGGCCAAGACGGCAAAGAAGAAGGGCAAAAATATGATCAAGCACTTTGCCAAGGAGATGTTCATCAGGAAAAAGGGTTTTTGCCATTTTTGGCTGTTTATTCAAATAGAGACACTATGGGCTATATTTAAATATATGTACGCTATATTAACAACTTGAGTGATATAGAGTTAGACTCTTGCTATAAATCACACAAATCATATATATACTAAGTATTGACTACCAAAGCGTCTGATAAGCAAATTTACTTGACCAATTGTTAAGAAGAAAACTGTTGCATAAGTCCAAAACATTAGCAGACTTCCAGCTGGAAGGCCAACTAATGTTAGGACCCAAGTGAGGAATAAGATGACAAGATTGATGTATAGTAGAAAGAGAAACTATGTCACCTGGAACAATGTTGTTGTTCTGGCCAATAGCCTTAGTGACTGAATACATATTATGATGTCGTCCTGGCTGTTTAGAGAGTGTGAGCCATTCCACATAAGCCAAATGTTCCTTAGGCCAGGCAACTATAGCATTATCCATGATCGGAATAGAGTCTGGAAGGCGAAAAATGACTTTTAGCCTTCCAACTTTCATACCTGCAAATGTATTGGTCAGTAAAGCTTAACTTGATAGGAAGTACTAGTAGCATTAGGTAGCGCACCATGAAGTCCAGTGGACTCAGCTTCATCTGACTGTGCAACAACTACAACATAAATCTCCCATCTCCCACATCCTCAGCTCTGCCTTTCCCTGGCTCAGCCCTGACTGAATCTATCTCCTCCTGGCCATCTACATCGTTACCAAGAGTGTCCAATGAAAATTTAAAGGTGTGCCAGACATCCAGTTGATGGAAGGGTAAGTGTGCGTGAGGGAGCTGAATGTGTGATATGGCTTCCCCTCTGGGAAGAAAGCGATTAAGATACACCCTCAAATGGTGCAAAAAAGAAGGACATCTGTGTTTTGATATGATGCTAGAGAGTGGCTGAGAAGGTGATGCCGGCTTCTTGGATATCGCTAGCCCTACTCCTGGACGTGTTTCAGACTCTAGTGCATCCTGTTCCTCCTGCTCCCTCTCTACTTCAGTCGGATGATAGTCCTTCAAGTAGGTTTCAAACATTGCGACCTTTTCCTGACGACTCAACCACTGAGTCATCTGCGGTAGTTCATCCCTGAAATTGGTAGCCCTCCACCCCTCCTTTGCGTAGTCAATGTGGAAATGCTCAAACATTTCTGTGTTGTAATTATCAGTAGTACCGAAATTTCGAATACACTCAGCATAATGCTGCATGGAGTGCAGCTTAGGGATGTTAAAGTGGTCGCAGATGCCTAGATCAATCAAGATGCACTTGTTGGCATGGTACTGCTCTAAGGCCACTTGAAGATATCCCAGGGAGTCCTTGTTGTGTGAAGGATATTGAGAGATATATATAAAATCCAGTAGCACCCAATAACAGGCTACCATCTATAATTTTTAAAGGTGAGTGAGTATCCCAATGAACTCCAATGAACTCACTTGAGACGGAGCTTTCCCTATTATGCACCCCAGAAGTATCCTTCTCATGTCTTTCCTCTCCTTCCCAGATATCTGAGCCAGGTGAGACCATCTGTTCTTGAAATGTCGCATACCAAAACAAGGCAGAAGTGATCTAATCCTAGCATCCAATTCAGCGTCGGTCATCACGCTGCTGCACCAGTGGATGAGGTGCTTTACCACCCCTTGGTACAACTGGTGCAGTACGTCAGGGGTGATGGACATGTGTATGTCGCAATGTGGGAACACCTCCCAGAATGGGTGCCTCACCCCTCCTGATACATTGTCCTGCTTGCAGCGCTCCTGAAAGTTGCTGATAGATGTAGAGTTGGCCCTGGCAGCTTCTATTATCTTCAAGGTTTTGCGTTGGGTCCTCCATGGACCCGGGTCTCCATCTCCCATCTGGCTATCATCCACCTCGCACTTGGGACAGGTCCCGTACTTAGCACAAGTTACCAGGCACTGCTCCGGGTAATCTGCCACATAGCATGCTAGTATTGGGTGCACCATGCGCACTTTACCGTCTCCTCCAGTCACCTCAACACCACTTTTTCCTGCTTCTATTAGCGGCTCCAAAACTATCCGCATAGAGTCATGGAAGAGCTGTTGAATGCGGGTAGATTTTTGTTTCCTGCTGAGCTCATCACCAACCATCTTGCTGACAGAAAGGTATGTGACAAGGATACAGGCATGCTGGGATGGTTTCCATCTAATGGCTCTGAGAAGGTTCCCCAAGGTAAGGTAGACAGGGTAGGCAGTCTTGTCGCCAGCAAACTGGGTGAGCTGGGTCTTGTCAGTGGCGATGATGACTGGAGCCACACAAGACCCTGCTGGAAGTCTGTCCTGAGTCAATGAAAAGTGAAGAGTCGGTAAACCAGTACTACCAGGGGTAAAAGTCATTAAACGCTCACTTGGACAGTGTTCCACCAGTCCCCAGTCCACATCTCGTTGTAGATCCTACTATCCCTAGAAGCATTTGTGAAAACTCTCTTGGGTCTATAGACAATATTGTTTGCGTGTGCTGGATTTCCAAGTAATGTCTTGACAGCGTCGATCGGATTCCAATGATAGATGATATGTTTGTGCTCTGGGTCATTCTTGAACCAAAGTTCATGAGTCTTCCAGCAAGCATGTGGAGGTACACTGTTGACAATCTTGTGCAATCCCCTAATATTATGGTATAAGAGACCTAGTCTTTCAGAGACCTGTTGTTGGAATGCATTAAGCAGAAAGACAATTGTGAGGTAAAATAGAACCAATGCTCACCCCAGGTATCGCCATGAGTCGATCAAATGATTTGTGACCTATGCTGTCCTGAATGGCCCAGCAGGCAACTCTCCACTCTAGCTCAGATTCAAACGGTGCAAACATGTTCGTCTTCATGGATGTCCCCTCTCCCAAATCTTCCATCACCACATCTACGTTGGTATCAGATCCTCCAAATTCTCTCCTCCATCTCTGATGCACCATTTCATCCATACGTATCACCTTGCCTGCAGTGGGATGCCCATCTTCAACTCGCATGTCTAAAGCAGAGGATGGGTCGGGGGATCTTGGGTGTTCAGGTGGGTTCCCGATAGGAATGAGATTGAAGAGTCTATCATGGAAGTCTTCCATAACTTGACCTGGTTCCTCCTCCATTTGTCCTTCCAGTCCATCAGGAAGAGGCTCATTTATTTCTCGCGTTAGTACATCTTCATCAACTGCGAATTCTCCTGGAAGGGTTAAAGCCCTCAGCTTCCCTTTCTTGTACCATCTACAAGACTTGGTGGTACTAAGATGAGTAGCCAGTCCTTGGGTTGTCCTCAGGCGCTTGTGACAAGCAGGACATACTGTAGGGTCATCGTCCTTAGCTCGAGTGTGTTCAACATTCACATTTAAAGCCTGCAGGGCAGAACAAAAGCCTGTCATCTGGACAAAGGTAAGATGGTAAGACAAAGGTGACGGTCTATAAATGTTAAGCTTACAATCAAAGGATCCAGATAAGAAGCGGCTATAGGGTTATCCTAAAGAGAAGGCATCAGGCATTGTGTCCCACGCCATCACTGCAACAATTTTCACTGACAACGTGCTCATCATCCCGCCTCACTTGGGAATGTTCACAATCCAATTATTGCAAATCCGTATTTGAAAGCTACAAAATGATCGCTACAAAACCACTTGGGCAAATGTTTGTTGAAGTACATGAATGAAGGTTCAAAAAACATGGTCCTCAGTCCAGCCATTGAATACATGCAAGCGACCTCACCACTAAGTATCTTATCCTCTGGATTTCCTCTGACGCTTCCCTTCCCCAGAGAGATTGGATGAACTGACAGATGTGCCGGCTGTACCAGATGATGGGAAGACTGATGATGAAGTAGTCACACTAGTGGAACTGTCACTGTCCTGCAATAAAAGTGCCTTGCGCTTCTTTGATCCCGAGGTGTTCTCTGAGGTCTGTAAGCTCTGGCGGATCTCATCGGGAGTGTAGATTTCAAATCCGGCGAACCCAGAAGATGCAGAGATATGGGTACCTGAAGGTGGTAGGGATGCGGGCAGGTATTCCATTTGGCTAACCATGACTGCCTGCTTGGAGGTCAGGTTAGTCAACGAGTTATGGTATCTCTCCCTCGCTGTCACAATCAATGACTTGTCTGGTGCACCATCCTTGTCAACTGGTACTGCATCAATCATCTCTCACAGGACATTGATCAGCTTGGCATGAGTGAGCCCCCAGCACTTCTCTGCAGGAAAAGGCCACAGCAAGTTGTAGATCTTCTTCCATATTGCCATCATGTTGCCGACCTTCCAGTATGGATCAAGGGAACGCTCAAATGCATCCCACATCAGGTTCTCCTTTTGCATTATCACTTCATCGTCTTGGAAGTTGGAAATGCCAAACTTCGCCCATTGAGGCACTGCACAAGAACACACAAGAAATTCTGGAGAAGCGGCTGTGGCTGCAGTGGTTCTGGTATGACTGCGGCGTGTCGATGTGGGGGGGGGGTGTTATTCTCACCCCAACCTGCATTAGAATGTTTGAACTTCTTTGCGGTGAGGTTGGCTGAATCAACTGTGGTGGAAATCCCTGTCTCTATGGCATCGGTATTATGAACAGGGACAGGCCAATCTTGAAGTTGATGGTAAGGACCCATAATGTTCACCCCGAGCACAAATATGAGAAAAATAAATGACTCCAAATCATGGCAGATATTGGGGGGATGTTCTCGGTTGACACTACTGTAAGGGAAAGTTCCCTACTTTCATATGAGCACTCGAGCAAAAAGCAAGCAAAAAGGATGAGCTTACCGTTGTAGTCCACTTCTTTTTCTCTTCCGAAGCTTTCTCCGAGTCATCCAAGAAGTCCAGTGCTAAGCCGAAGTCCCCTGATCATTCCAGGACGCATGGGAAACCACTCAGATTCTACTATTTCTCCACAGAATTTGGGCACTCCTTCATCAATACACCAATTAGGCACAGTGTGATCTTGATCTGCTATGGGCACCCAAAACCATGTATTGCCGTCACTGGTATCATGGTGGATCAACCCACATAACCAAGCATTGAGATGACCTAGGTTGTGGACTCTAAGCATTCTGAAATTTGGGACTGAGATGTGCACTCACCCTTCAAAGCACCTATCAACCCTGAGAAGAATTCCTGGTGACAGGAGAACCAGGTACACCTGACTGTGTTTGTCTTGAAGATGGTTCAATAGTGCACAAGGGGATAGATTTCCGCGGACAAGGGCTTCATGATGTTCGCAACACTGTCTGGTACTCGCGCCCCATCACAGTCGATCATCATAACAGGGTGCATAGGACATGCGTTGGTCACGAATAGGGAGGTGTCTGGGGTAGGAACCTTCGTTGTCCTCATCATCCCACTGCAGGTTTGGGCCATCGCTTGAACAAGACTGACTGTGACTTCTTCTCAGCCTCAGTGTCATGAATAACGTCAGGATAGGGAATCTTTTCTTGCTCTATTAAATGTAAATGAGATGCAGACCAATGAGGCACGGATAGTTCAGAACGCACCTAGTTTTATGCAGAGCCTTTTGAAGGAGCTCCTTGTCCTCCAAAAGTTGATGGATCTCTCTGTCCGGTAAGAAACAGGTCAACCTGCCAAACCTCCTTTACAATTCAAAGTCTCTTGATCAACCCCCAGTTGCTGTCTTGGGCCTCTGACCGCCATCACCCTGAGTGGTGCAGGCCAAATCCTGGCGATACCATTATAGATGATTGAAAGCACCGTAGTCGGCACCATGTCTTCTTCTGTGGTACTGTTTGCCTTCATCAACCACAATGACAGATTGTCCGTGGAAGTGGGAGCTTGGTAGTAGGGATCGTATCCAAGATACCGAAGTTCGGTATGCATGAATCAAGATAAGACTTGCATGTATTTGATAGGATTGGCATAGATATCGATGGGTTCAGAAAAGGCCCCACAACCACGAGTGAAAAGAGCAATCCTCATTTCTGGTCCAGTCAAGAGAGCTCCTACAAAGAAGCGACGATGCACTTGGTTGGTGAAGACCAGCCAGGAAACTTCTACCATGTACTCCTTGGAGGCCTTGAGAAGAGCCTCGGAGTGGCGAATACTTGACATCGATAACAGATTTGACATCTGACCACTCATGTGAGTCATTGGTCACAAGGGTGACATCCGGCTTGCGAGCGCCAGTCCTGCTTGTCTTGGATGATGCCGCCACCCCTGATCTGGCTTGAAAGAATGTGGTACTGGTGCTTATCCAACGGCGATGAGGATTGTCGGAATTGTGTGGCTGTATGACTCCCAGCTCTGTGAGGTACCGATCCACCCACAAGCACGTCTTCGCACCGGGAATGAGTCACAAAATCCGCGTGCAATGGATGCCAACTCACCTTGTTCAAAAACTCAACCAGGCGCACTTCATCGGAAGGACTGTACAGCCAAGGACACACATCCTTTGACCAATGACTCACAACGAATCCTTCAGCTTGGTTTCATGCCTGCAATGAGAGATCATGAGGGTATGTCACCTGAAAACAAGATGCACGTACCTCTGTGACAAGTGTCTTAGTCACAGCCATTGCGATTGCAGTGTTTGTGTCAAGGTCAGCAACATTCGCAACTTCCATCAAAACACTGAGAAGTACAGTATTCACTCTCTGGATTTCTATCTGTGACTGCACTAGGATATCGGTTGATGATGGTGTCTTCTTGCTGGGCACTTTATTTGACATCACTTCGCAGCCTACTTCATGTATCTTCTGCGCCATGTCTTGAAGTGTGTCGTCTGTGAGGTTTACAGAATGCAGAAGAAATAGTGTCCGGAGTTGTGTGAACAGATCATAATATCAGCTGTCATTGATGCAAGCTTGCTTGACAGCCTGCAAATTGGCCTCATTGAGGAAGGATGGCATGGATACGCTGCCGTTCAGAAGAGGAAATGTATTCAAGGAGCAACATCTGTTATTGTGGAAGGCGCAGTGTTTTAGGGTCTTCACAGCCCAATATTTGGTATCTGCCCGGAGCAGTCCCTTTGCATCCAGGTTATGGACACAAGAACCCATCTGGTGGCTGATATCAATAAAGCGAACTAGGCATGATTGTCTAACTGACATGATAGTGAACTTTTTTGAACTCTTCTTTGGCATTTGGAAGAGTAGTGTCAGTTTGGGGGAGAAGTGCAACATTTTCCGTTCCAGTCTAGTGGAGTGTCCACCAAACAAGCAACCCAAATCCCACATAAAAAAGGTTAGTACTAATCAGTTGTGTCAACAGATGCTCATACATCCATATCAACAAGAGCAACAAAGAAAGTAAATCTTCTATACAACTGCGATGTTCGAGGCGATCAAGATGAGTTGCATTCAAACAGATTTACCAGACTCCATCGATAACCACTAGTGAGTCAAGCTGGCCCTAATGGTACAGTGCTTCTGTGTGGGAATTTCCCGCCCATCATTGCAGCGTGCATCGCTGCAAAATGTTTCATTACCATATAAGGAACTGCCCGCACATCATCCGGAACAACGAGCTAGAAGAGGCAAAGCCCCATATGTCTATTCAAGTTTCCTTAGACGACACAGAATTTTCTCTGGTTTTGGATGCCCTGCAACTCATGCAAAGTGAGCTAGCTGTGGCTCTTACTAATCGATTACTCACCCATAACCCACCTTCGCCACATTCAACCAAAGATGATCCAGTGGGAGACAGGCAATACGCAGGTGGATGTGCTCTTTCGGGTGGCAAGGGATCTCACCGGATGCAACCTTACCGTCATTGCCCTAGGAACTCCAGGAATTTGGCTATGGGAGGAAGGTGGACCATTGGAGAAAACACAGCCCGTTCTTCCAATGTCTCGGCAGAAGCCTTCATTGGGGTAATTGCGGCCATGGACACTGGTCTTCAGTCGGATCTGGCCCAGTGGATGGAGAGTATTCGCTCTGTGGCATCTGAGATTCAGTTGTCAGGTGATACTGTGACGTCTTTGACTTACCGGTGTAAGGTTTGGGGCGGAAAGGGTGTTGGGTGGAGTTTGATTTCCATGGTGAACTACATGCAGCTAGCAATGAAATGCCAGAGGTGCATTTCAAACATTCATTTGACTTTCATAATCATTAATCGAATGGGTATTAGTATGATAGATTCATCCACTACCTACAGCAATTTATATGAAACCCTACCGGTGGACAGACCTACCATTCGCACCTTTCTGTTCTGGATTGCCACGGGTTTCAAGTTCATGCACTTGGCAGCAGGGGGGTCATTCTATCTACTAATTCTCGTGGCTGCCAAAGACCTGTGATGGACTGTAACTAGGATGCAAGCCAACATGCCCTGGGAAATTGCCAAGATGTTGAGAAGGCCAAATGCCTGCGGTAAGTCCCGCCCATATCAGCAGTTCATTCCTGTACCTGAAAAACCGGAACAGAAAGCGATTTACGACGACTCTACCTCTATCAAGACGCTCCCAAAGTTGATTTCCATAGAGACAGCCTTTGACCGTGAGGCTCCTGAGAACCGACGCAATCCGGTTAATGGCAACAAAGTGCAGAACTTGCTGTGGACTATTGAGCAGTGAAAGATTGTTGAGGAGAGTGCAGTAACAATCACTGACACAGAAGATTTAAAGGCGAAGGTGAGTGTTCATTGTCTGGGAATGGTATGCAACTGACAGGTCTTGTACGGGGCAGCTATCCATGTTCTACCCCTCCGGAATTAAACAACCGGACACCTACATCAAGATTCCAATGTCTATCCTTCTAGGAGCATTGGAAATTCGCAACTTGGATGGGAGCCTCATGGTGTTCATCTGCAATTTCATGCCTCCTTCAATGCAAGATACCCTTTTCCCATTACTGAAATCTGCTTTTGATTGCCTAGATGTGTTCAAGAATCGCACCGTGTTGTCCATCTCTCAAGAGACCCAGGATCCTGAGGCCATATCACAATCTGAAGCAAATGAACTGTTTCGCTGCATTCACTTTAGCCATTGGAATAGATACGGTCTTTCGGTGAGTACATGCTTATGACCGTTGATATGTAGACACTGATATCCAGTAGGGCAACACGGCACCTGCTGACACGCACCCTCATGATTTGGTGGCTACATCAGGCAGAACTAACCTCACACAAACGCTGCCTTACATGTCACGCGAAACTTTTGAATACGAGCAACTGTATCTCAACATCCAGAATAACCTAAGGGAGGTTTTTGAGTGGATAGAGCAGACAGTGAGTAGTTTTTGAGTATTGTAGTATGTTCTCTGATGCATATTCAGGTAGCTCATTATCTTCCAGATGACTATACTGTTCTTGCTGAGCTCATTGATATTCTTCCCAATGCTGGTGGATCACCGGTAAAACCTTTCTTGTCTCTGGTGGTGAACATCAACGTCTGCACAATAGGTCATTGGGACGGAAAGGACTTTCGACTGTGTTTAGTACTGCCCATCGGTAACTTTGTAGGGGGTGGACTGGTGATGAGGGAGCAGGGAGTTGTTGTTGAGATGCGTAATGGAGATTTTGCTTGCTTTAGGTCCGATGAAACAACACATTTCAACTTGGACTACCTAGGTGAAAGAGCCTCCTTGGTACTTCATTCAGATGGGGAGTTTCAGAAGTGGAGGGATAAACGTAATGGTTGGAAGGATCATGGGTGCTTCAATTCCACTTAGACTCTTTCGAAAACCTGTAGATCTTACAGTGCTGTCCAACAGTCACTCAAAGTTCAACCATGGACCTATCTGTTACCAATGCTCCTAAGAGTCCACTTTCCCCATATTTTGAGGGCATAGTAAGCAGCTTCTATCTGCCTCTGAGCTTATCTTACAGAAGGTAACAGTAACAGAACCACATCTATTTGCTCTGAGCCAAAGTTTATGTAATTCTTTGCTGCTAATATTTCCTTTACTTTCCCATTCCTTCTCTCCTCTTCTACCCATGTCTCGGCCTAACACTAGAAGCGCCTCAGGGCAAGGCTCATCTGTCCCCATCCATGGTAATGGAGTCTCCTCAACACATGGAACTGTGCGTGGAACAGGACGTGGAACTGCGCGTGGAACTGCGTGTGGAACTGCGCATGGAACCGGACGTGGAACTGCACAAAGAGGTAGAGGCATGGCTCAGAAGGGTGCAGTGGATACCAACAAGAACACCAGCACACCACCGACCTCTACTAGCGATACCTCCTCATCTGCCTCTCGGGCATCTCAGGCATCTCAGGCATCTGCCTCTCAGGCCAAGTCCAAGTCTGCGACTCCTGGTGGCCTTTCTGCTCAGGAGGAGAACCTGTTAAAGGAGCTCACTGCTAAGAAGAAAGCAGTGGCTTCTCAGGCAGCTGAAAATGTCAAGAAAGGTAAGCATTAGAGCATGCTAAGTAAAGTATGCTAATATGTTGTCAATAGCATCATGCAAGAGGGCAGCAGATATTCTGTCTAATGAGACAGATAACGAGTCCGCTGGCTCTGCAGATGAAGGAGAAGACCACCATGCACAGTTACCACCATCAAAAGTCAGGAGGATTGGGCTATCAGGCTCACCTATTGCAGACTCTCAAGATACTGGTATGGTACAATCAATTCTTGATTCTGAACTTGATAGCATGGATGAGTTGGACAAGGAAGACCAGGAGTACCAGGAGGAGGAGGAGGAGGAGGATGAGGAGGGGGTGGGGGTGGGGGTGGGGGAGGAAGACATGGAGGGGGTGGAAGGGGAGCACGCTAAATTTTCTGGTGAAGAGGTAAGTGCTCATTGTAATTTGATGCAGATAGCTAACAGACTACTACCACCAGGTGGAAGTGAGCGTGGAGCCTTGCATTACGACCAGCATTCCCAGATCAAAGGTATCAAAGTTAGCTACTCTCAGTCATATGGAGAGCCCTTGCACCAAATGCATTGCCATCTCTGGCCACAAGGCCCTAAGATTGCATGTTGCTACAGTGGAAGGCTTTCCCTCCTCCTCTGATAGAGACCAGCTGTGTTGGGACCTCATCCTGGAATCGTCCAAGCAAAACAAGCTGTTGTGGGAGAAGATGAAGGAGATACAGGGTGATGACACCCTCAAGGCTCAACTCATTGACTATGCAAGTGACTTTCTCTTTCTAATATCTATAAGCTGATTAGTACTCTTGCAGACATGGAAAGGTGCCACTCAGATAAGGGGTGAGCTTGTCGCCAAAGCCAGAATTAGTATTCCCGCCTGTTTTGGAGTTGGCACAGGCTCCGACTGGACTGATGATGACCTCCAGGAAGCTTTGAAGTGGTTGCTGGATGATATGAGGTTTATGAATGGCGGCATGGATGTAAGGGTGAGTCTTCAACTTGGACCAAAGCAGAGCAGGACTAATACTGATCATTCATATACCCAGAATCTCACCTGTGACACACAGGCACCACTCAAAAACCCAGCATTCAGAGTACTACTGGAGGCTCAGTGGTGGGGTCCCAAAGGTGAAGGTAGGAGGTGCAGTAGGAAGGGAAATGCCTACACAGATAATCTTCCTATCCTGGCTCTTATCGCTTGCGCAGTAAGTGACCATCCTTCATGCTTGAGTGTGTGATTGATGATGATTGTAGGTGGAGTGTGTCCTTCTTGGAGTAAAAAGAGGATCACCGGTAAACTTCTCAGAAAGTTACTTCAAATCTTGGTTTGATTTTTTTTTTCTTTTTTTTTGTGTATCTAATGTATTATCGCAGGTGGGAGAGCTTTATGGAGTTGCTCACTAAATTTTCCAACAAATGTCCAACTTATTTGGAGACTGTCTGGGATGAGCTGAAGGAGGGGCTCTGGTGCGTCCATGATTATCACATTTATAGACTCTGCTAACAGTGCCAATACAGGAAAGGCCACACTGCTCTATCAACTGACACTCCTACTCCAATATTTGATTTCTCAGCCCTAGAGACAGCAGCTAAGGTATCCAAGCAGGGGAAGGTGTAGTAGTTAATTGCAAAATTTTGTCACTATGATTAACTATAGTTTGAATTGATTTGTCTTTGCTCTTACTTTTTTTGATGTGGAAAGTGAATATAAATGCAAATATAGCAGACATATAGCAGAAATATAGTGTAGTAAAGGAAAAAAAATTGAGGTGCCTCCAAATTTTGGAAGTTGAATATATATGCCTATATGTACTCCTAGCTACAAGTAATGCCATATGTCACTATATGTCCTCTCTATAGAGGGGGGGATTGCTTTAGATCCTATGATGTCTATAGATGCTATATATTCATATATAGTGCTATATGAGCTAATATAGCAATAACCCTTTTTCCTGATGTTGCGCCCTCTGTAAGAATACATAAGACGTATGGTGGGATTCTCGATAACTAGACACTCACAGCAAGATCACCTTTCAACACCTGGAAATACTCCTGCCATGCAACGATTATGAGCTCACAAAGTTTTGTGTGGTGGGGAATGTCTGAATCGGTCAAATCCTTCCGCAAAAAATGTATCAGGCGTCGAAACTCCACACATTTGATAATGTTTATTGCCTGCAGAAAATGAATTAGCAAGGGCACGTAGAAAGTAAATATCAACTTGCCTGATCATCCGCAACTATGAATTTCACCAACTGACGGTGCATCTCATCAATGCTGAAATCTGGGATATAATTGTCCGGAGATAAGGTGGTTCCAGGCAGAAAATTGCCGTGTCCCTGATTAGGGATGGTACCGAGCAACTCAATGTAATATGCAGGGTCCTGGTGCCTTTCATGGATAGCTGCCAAAGTCCACCCTTCAGCAAGTCGCTCATTGAGTGGCTGTACATAGATAGGCCAGCGTAGGCGCTCCGCCTCTTGCAGGAAAATGTCAGTGTGGTGATAGAAAGCATGAGTATGACGGGCAGAAGTGCCAGTTGAGTGCTTATACGACATAACCTGGTGTGAACTGTCCACCTTCTGCAAATCCCTGGACAAGGCCGTAAGAAAGAATGAAATAATTGCAGACGCAAAACTCACTCGCAAATTCGGCAAATCTTGTGTTTAGTAGCTGAATCTTCCCTAAAGAAGTGATTGATATCAGCAGTGCTTTTAGGCTGCATTCCTTGGACACCTGTAGCCAAGGGATCGACTTGGGTGGAGTAGATGGTACTTGTAACTGTCTGCAGAGGGCTGGGAACTGGAGGAGCCCTAACGCTGGGTGCAAGCAAGTTATCTTCTTTGTCCCCAGAGACATTGCCAATGTCAATGTATTCTCTGTCATCTGGCATGTGACTAGTGCCAGTACGAACTGCGCTATTATTGTGGAACCTCAGAGGCAGTTGCCGTTGCCTTTGGGGGTGTTGAAGCATAGTTGCATTCAATGCAACAGTGGCAGCGATGGGCGCAACAGTGGCAGCGATGGGTGCAATAGCGGCAGCGATGGGGGTAACGATGGGGGTAGCATCAATTGGAGCAGCGGCAGTAGGAGTTACAGCAGCATGAGTAGGCACAGTGGTAACTTGAGACTTCTGCCCTTGTTGATGAGGAGGCATGTTTGAGTGACAGTAAAGATTCAAAGACACAGTCTTTATGTATCTTCGTCAAGGGAAACAGTGGGGAAACACCAATGCTGAGTCAACTAATGACAAGTCCAACGTGTACGCACAAGCGAAGGTCTGAACAACATTATTAATTGTGATATGACACCAGGAGGACAACTGAACGTATGCCCAGGGTACATACCGTAAGATCTTGTTCATTTGAGTGGTCCTAGGCAGCACAATATATGTGTGGGGTTTCCCTGATGCCCACTACTTACCCAATGAGAGGGATACCGATACCATAAGATGTGCATTCTGATGTACCCCAGATTTCGCAATCAGTTGGTTATATCGAGCACAGTAAAGCTTACCTACATCCTCAGAGTCAACTGGCTGTCCAGAAATCAGATTGCGATATAGCAAGGACATCCAGCGAAAGGGACATCTCATGTTTGCAGAGGGTTTGCCATGGTTGTTAGGGTGGGTGGTTTGACGGTCACTGAACACATGTTTCAAATATCAACCAATGGGTCAAGCGAGTTAATGCTTACCTTTATTCCAGGAGTCGATGACTGATTGATTGAGCATTTAATTGTGATACAGTGCAAGGGGATTGGGGTGTTTGTGGAAAATCCCCCATGCATCGTTGGTCATGACAGTGATATGATTCAATAAGGCGAAACTGGTAGATGTTGGGAATCAGGCTTCAGGAGTAAGGTACAGGTATCCAGGACAAGTTTGTTTCTGTAGCAGGCCGACCAATTTGCAGAAAAACAGCACTTGCAACTTGCAAGGAGGATGGGCAAGGAGATGGTAGGGTGAGAAAAAGATAAGAAGCTGCGTGACTCAGCGTGGAGTTGGCCCTCGGGAGTCAGGAGTCGGGATTCGGGAATCAGGCCTAGGGTTCAAACGTTCAAGACGCAAATTTGTCAACATGTATTTGACCGCATTGAACAGTTTGAAACCTATGAGAAACACATTGTAGACTTGTACACTGTACAGTTATGTAGAGATAGAAAGACATATTCAACAGCGTGATCTAGCAACTAATGGCTTTTTCCGCAGTGCAGTTGGGTGCATGGGAGAGGTATTACGTTGGTGTAAACTTCAAAATCACATTAGCTTCAGATTGTGAATGGGAAAATGAGACAGAATACTCACACATGAGTAGATCTGTGAAGTGGTGTTGCATCCGGCAGACATGGGGCCGCCTCGGCCATCCAGTGTTCATTGGAGATTGAAGGGTGATGTGTGATGTAATTATCGGGCATGCTGAAATCCAGCAAGCATGTAGATGGCGCAGCCAAGGTGGCTTGAAGACCACAAAGCAATGAACGAAGATGCCCATAGTCAGGGTCTTCCAAGAACGCAAGAGAGCGCGTGTAGATGAGAACACTTGCGAATTCAACGGGAATTCCATTGCATAAGACTTCAATGGTGGTGTTGACCTTGCGCTCGAGTATGGAAGAGCTGGAGAGTTTCTTGTGGTCACTATTTAACCATGGAAGGGAGCCGCGTAACAGATAGATCAACATGTATGTAAGCGATTCAAGGTCGTCACGACAACCCGGGTCAACTCCTAAGTGGTTGTTGATTGAAGCGAAGGCAGGAGTGCCAGTGAGACGTTGATTTTGATGAAAGGGAATATGGACTCTGGTTGCAGTGTCCCAGTATTCCTTCGCGATACCGAAATCAATTATAAATGCAGTGTGCTTCAAATGGCCAAGGCCCACCAAGACATTCTGCAGTTTGATATCGCAGTGAACATAATTGTTCGAGTGGATGTACTCAAGACATGAGAGCTGGAAAATGGGTTAGCCTATCTGCAACAACCCAGCACAAACCGACTGACCAGTTGGATTCCTAGATTGACAACAGTATGAAGGCTAAATTTTCGATCATGTGCGAGGAAAAGATCATGCAGTGATGGCCCAAGGAGGCCGAGAACCAAAGCATGATATGTTGATTCTCGACTGAACCAGAGAGCGTGGGGTATCCCAACTCCACCTTCAAGTCGTTTCAGAATGGTGTATTCACGCTGTACAGAAGATGGCTGGGCTGTGATGGATTCGAGTTTGATGGCAACTGCATCATCTTTGATGATGTTCCAAGCGTGGTACACAACAGCTAAGTAGGGTCCATAGTATGTTAATTTTTTATAATCATAGTCAGCTTGTGAACAACACACTGTATGAACCAGATCCCAAAACATCTCCGAGTCTGAATCTACTGTCAACTCGTATCGGGACCTTATGGTTCATGGTGGGTATACTATGAGATAACTTGAGCCTTGAGGCCTCGAGGAGCAACAGTCAAACTAACCGGGAATGAGACTTCAACAGAGACGTGATTTCGTATTTATAAATCAGCTTGAGCTGGCCTCAAGCCAGCTCGAGCTGCTGTTGTTTATTTTTGGCTCACAGTTGGTTCGTGAGACTCCAAACGGCTAACGAACCAGACCAAACTATATATAAGTAGCCTGGCTCACTAGGATAGCCAAAATACTTGCAAACCGATGAAGACCAAGCCGGAGCGGGCCGTAGCCGAGCTGCGGTTGCACTACTTGGTAGCGGTCCAAGAAGCGATTCGTCTTCGGCTTGACTGATTATGAGGCATTGTCGGTTTAGGTTGACGTATAAGCAGATGTGTACTAGCGTGCAGAGAGGCGATATGAGTATTCCGATAAGACTTTGGCACGTTCGGTGACACAACCCTGCAGTAATGTGTAACTTGTTGCGCCCAACGGATTGAGTTGAGCAATTTTTGTGATGTTGAGCTGCAAGTTAATGCGTGAGTTGTAGCTGAAAAAATCCAGACGTCATAAAGATGACATGAAAAGCAAACAATATTGGTTTGTTCCCGACAGCGGCAAATATATTGCAGCTATATTCATATCGATAGACCAGATTTCAGATTTTTGCTTTATTTGTCTAAGCTTGGAGGCTTGGAGCATACCAAACAGGAACGACTGTCTTCCTTCATATTGGTCTGCCTAAGGGAGACTAATACCAAACAGAGGTGCACCTTCCCGTACTACTTACCTTGGTAACTTGCAACTTTGGGAGTACTTGACTATGCTCGGGAACCCGTTGGCACATACCAGAGCTCGCTGTCAAACAGCAGCAGGTCACTGTCTGCTCGTAGCATGGGTTCGAACTTTGACATAGGGCAAGTGGCAGGATAAAGCCATCCAACTGCCAACCGCGTGCTTCGGCTCTCGCAACTATAACTTTCAATGCTGAGTACAACCTCATTTGCAATGACATGTATTTTACCGATGACCTGTTTGCTTGACACTGAGACTACGTCGAGAATTTCGCAGTTGGGGCCAATTGGGGCGAGTTCATCACAGAGAGCGCCCAAAAGGTGAGCACACAGTTGTCGTTCTGATAAATTTCGCCCGAATAGACAAGTCTGACCCTTTTATTTGTTTAGCTCCACAAGTAAACGGAGGCGCTTAGACGATTTTTCCAAACCCTGGTCTATCGATATGAAAATAGCTGTGACCTTGCTTCGCAAGGTTGATATTTTGTTCCACTCCAAATTAATATTGATCGGACCATCTGTATGAACTACAGATATATGTAGGTTCTTCCTACATCGCCATGAATAACAATATTCAGCACATAAAAGCAAGCCGTCTTCCTACTGTCCCCTTCAGATCCTATGTCACATCCTCACTAACAATCCGTTGCTCCTGTGTCCTCGCTGTTGTTGCTGCGTTGACAGCATCAATATCTGCAGCATCGGTACCTGCCGGTGACCCTGACAGTGTATGTCCTTTATTTTGCCGGCGTAATTCAGACTGCACACACAGGGTCGTCACTGCGTGAGTATGAGTAATTTGCGTCCTGTATTTAGCCACATGACTCACCGTCGTTCGGTGGTCTCCTCAGCGCGAAAAAAAGAAGAATAAGTATTAAAGTAAGGTGCTCGAACATGTTATGCTCATTCCCTGCTATGCTAATCCCCTGCTTTAAGAAGTGGATACATATCCGTAGCAGAGACTTATTTTGTATCTGAGACAGAATGGAGTTGGCGAACTGCAACGTTAACGTTGTGGATAATTATGTCTATCATTCCTAGAATGATCTACCCAGCCTTTGAAGCGCCGGATTCGCGAAACTTCCGCTGGTTGACATGATAATGTCATCCTCACGCCTGAGAAGGCTCATCTGGCGGAATTGCTGAATAGTAAGTACTTAGTCTAGTCTATCTTTGCCCTCACAACTGACCCGAAAATTTTCTTAAATCCCCATCACCCCTTGACCAGGATCATACACGATAGAATATCCCGAATGCAAGGAAAGTAGAAGAACAAGGTGAGTTACTTATCTATGTGCACGTAGGGTATACCATGGGTATACGCGCAGGTCGGAAAGTCAACACCGTACCCATACCCCTCAACACAATACCCCTACGGGTAGAGGTACAGTGTTACCCGTACTAACCCGCGGGTATGGCAGCTTACCCGCAGTATGCATTTACTTGCGGGTACACATACTACAACTTCAAGAAATAGCACTACGTAGGCGAGCAAAGGTGGAGAAGATTGACCCACTCTGTGCCTGTACCTTTCCGCTACTAAATGCAAGGTCAACTGCCTCTTTGCCACAGCAGCCAATGGCATGGTGCTTCAGATTAGTAGTCGAAGACCTATCCTTGGAATCTTGGAAGCGTTCATGAGGACGAAGATGATCGGTGAGCTTTTGCTCCGTTTGTTCTGCTGGCGATACCATCCGATGGAAATCAGTAGTACGTCCGTCCGGCTGATAGGACTTGAAGCGGTAATACGTCTTGACCAGGAATTGATGGTTAGTCGCATTTACCATGTACTACACACATCAATTGATCCTGAGACTTACGGAGTAAAACATAGGGAAGATAAGACAAGTACATGATGAGTGAGCTAATAGTAGGCTACTGATAATCCACTTGACTGATGTTCCCTGAGTATTTGGTTTTTGAGAGTGCCAAAGTACTAGTGACCTGCGTCCGACGGCGCTCACGAACTGCTGATCTGTCAACTCTCCGACGTAGCATTTCCAGTGACAAGTCTTACAAATGTTTCCGACTGGGGCACGACATAGTGGCATAAAAGCCACGACCGAAGCAGGAAAACCCATCATTTCGTGAACAAGTCACAATATCCTCTCCCAGTAAGGCATTCCTCTGCTTACTAGGAGTGTGGCCGACACTAAGCATAGCACACAGTGACGAGCACGTCGTCGGGATTCGGAAGGTGCATGACAGAGTACGCACTCAGCCAAGGAGACATCATAGTAGCGACTCTCTGCAAACCAGAGGGCCTGTGCGATCTTGCGGCTCGATATTCAAGTTCCTGGTGCTCAAGGTCGATGTCACGAAGCAAGAAGATGTCGATGAGGCATTTGATCGCACCCGTGAGGCGTTTGGATGGTTGGATGTGGTGTTCAATAATGCGGTACCAGCCTGTCACGGAGGTGGAAGACATGCCAGTTGAATGTTTGAAACGAGTTTTTGGGGATTGACGAATGTTAGTCGTGCTGTCGAGTTTTCTTAGGGAGGTGAATGAACTGGGAAGGGGAGTGAGGCTGCTCGTATAGTAAAATTTGCAGTAGCTTTCGAGGGGCCTCCTTGCTTTGCATTATGAGCTAGCACACGATATGAATACAAAGGGCGAGATCCGTATAAAATCGAGGTACAAATCAGAATGGGGTAAATATCTCTGTTCTAAGGACAACTCGCTACGATGGCCTCGAGCTTCGTGTGTGCCCTTCATTCTTCATCGAAAGCTGAGTGAAAGGGTAATTATCGTAGCACGGATAACATTACTAGAGACTTACTATTGATCCAAGCAAGGAAGATGGCCTTCGTGGCCTCATCGCTCATGTCCATCATGTATCGATACGATTCCAGGGCTGCTCCGACTTTACCTGACCGAATGAGTGCATGGTAGCGTTGCTGGTTTGCAATTTGCCACAGGGACTTGAGGTCCCAGCCGAAAAGCTGGAGAAGCAAGCAGTTGAGCATAAAGAGGATTCTCGGTCGTGTCATATCGACGTACCACAACAAAGTCCGCGTACATAGCATGAATGTCCAATGTAGAAAAGAAAGCGGCAGCCTTGACAGCTGCTGTGAAGTGGTTTGCAGCTTCTTTGTGAAGCGCACCGTCCACGGCAATGGTTCCCAGCTGGACTCGCAGATACGCCTGATGCGCGAAAAATCAGTGAGGATACGAACCTGGGCTCCATCGAGTGCATGATACGTACTTCCACGACACGAGAACCAAGAGGATCAGGATTGGGACGGGTAGCCAGGTCTTGGACGAGCAGCATTGCCTCCTCATGTTTATTTGCATTGAAAAGTGCTATCACCTGAAACCCGCAATGAAGTACAGAGTGTGTAAGAAAAATGCAACCTGCCTTGATCAAGAAAAGGAAAAAAGGAGTCTTTGAATCTCCATCCGTGAACGCGAACGTAAACGCGAGGTCAAAGGCTGTCGTCGCGTCCAACACCTGCTGTTTCCCGTAGAGAGCGATACCTTTGGCAACATACCCTGTCAATGAGGGCCGTATGCTGAGGGACTATATCACGATTAATGTCAGCCTATGTTGAGGGAGCACGGTGGGTCAGCATACTTGCCTTACTCGCGTCATGAAGTGCCCGGTCCCAGTCAAATTTGCGTGCCATAACGAGCGAGCGGTCGGCGTAGGATATGTCATTATTGGCATCGGTTTCGATCTCTTGCGTGAGTATCTTTTCAGCTGCAGACAAATCTCCCGTAATGCAAGCTTTTCGGGCGGTTGTGTTGATGGCAAGGATCTGCATGCAAAATGCTCGAATTATGGTATGCCATTGAAGGGTGGAAACATGCCTTTGAATCAGGGTGTTGAGCCTTGGAATTAAAAAAGATGCAAGATGAGATGGCGGAAGTGTAGGGAATCGGCGGGAAAGTACCTCTTCTGGCCAAGCGTACTCGGGTACTTCCCATTCTGAGATCATCTTATCATCACCTCCACTGAGGACATGTTTTCCGTCCATGGAGAAAGTGACGCATGTCATCCAGGTTGAGTGCTGAAAGATGGCGATGGGTCGTCGATCTGACAGCCGCCAGAGACGGACATGGCTGTCATAAGATGCAGAAGCCAGGTAGGTGCCCTCAGGATGAATGGCAATGGCGACGATATCATCAGTGTGGCCCGTCCAGGGATCACCGACCTGCTTCCAGGTAGATGTGTCCCACTCCCGTATGCTGGGATCGTCTTCACCACCCGATGAAAGAAGGCGAGTGCCATCGGGCGTCCAGGCGAGTGACTGGTTGCCTGTTGTCTTGACTTCGACTCTGGCGAGAGGACGTCCCTCAAGGAAGAGGTTGTGTAAAGGATTATGGATTTTGATATTGGTCTCTGTTGCGATCGCAAGATGTTTACCAGATGGCGAATACTGAACGCAGTTGACTTCACTATCACACTCGAATAGGTCTCCTTCCATCCGCCAAGTTTCCGTTCTCCATAGTTTCATCGTTTTGTCTGTTGAACCGGTGGCTAGCACTTTACCATCAGGAGAAAAGTCTAACGCCGAGATTTCCTCGGAGTGGGCTTTGATAGGTTGGGTAAGTGGTTCCCCGGTTTCTCCGTTCCAGGGGATGATCTCTCCCTCGTCATCGCCACTTGCTATCGTCTGCCCATCTCGTGATACCGCCAATTGGTTCACTTTGGCACGATGCCCCTCCATCTTCTTCAACAACACGCCTGTTTCTAAGTCCCACAGACAAAGTGTCGTGTCATCCGAGGCCACGATCATACGTCGTCTATCCGGGAAAACTGCTACAGCGTGTATAACTTCCATGTGATCTTTGAAAACTCGAATGCGTGTGGTGAAGTTTGGAATGAGCTGCGACATTTTACTGGAAGTTAATGGTCTTGAATACGGTCGAGGTGGACTTGGGTGGAGGAGTTATGGACGTCTTGCTCCAAGCTGCAGAGCCTTGCTTGTGTACGGTGCTTTCTTTGGCTATTGCACTGCATTTACCTGCCTCGTGTTACATAGACGCCCAGGGCACAACTTAGATAGGAGATTGCAGGGTAGTGCCTCACAAACTTACATAAAGTCAACAGTCCGCGTGCACTACTAAGCGTTCAGCATGTAGTAAGTTCCTGTTTTGCGCAGCGGTCTACATAGTAGCCCGCTGCTCACGTTGTCTTCACTATTGCGGAGCTGAGTGATGATCTAGGGTGGAAGTGAGCTTTGAATTGAATGTTTGCAGTCTATGTTATGTTCTTATTTTTGTTTCTGGTTTCGCTACCATTTATTCATCTGTTTCTTTCCTGCCCTCTCGTTCTTTGTTTCGTTTCTCCTTCATTCTCTGCTCCTCTCCTTCCTATGTCCCTTGAGCGCAGAGACTGATACCAATAAACCCACTGCACAGCAGCACTCTCTATCTTGCAGCGGACGACACCTCCACACAGGAGTCTGCGACAGGAGAACACAGCGGGAGTCGTGTTATTTGTTGCCCTTGTGGATGGCACATGCACAGGAAGTGTCATCGTCATTTTCGCTGCCCTATTATCTCCGATGCGTAGGATCCCTTTACATAGGCTGCCGTCCGAGCGAGTCATGGATGTCCGTGTTCAGATATCTGCAACCCCACTGGGGAGAAAGTCAGGGAGAAGTTTCTATTCGTGTCGAATCTCGATACGACAGGGAAAGGTGATCCTCCATATGAGCGGCGATGTAATGTGAGTATGCGTTGATTCAAAATGATCTGCATCAGGTCGTGTAATTGCATTACGATGCTTCGGTGAGGACTTGGTTGCGGTAGAAGATGCGAGCTATGGCATCTGCGAATTCTGGTGCTGTATAGGGATGTCAGGCTGATGACAGCAAAATGTCTGAGTCGAAGTACTGAAATCGATCTCCGCTCTCCTAGCCATTCTCAGTGCCTAATGCCATTGGACAAGCAGCCGCTCAGATAAATGTCAAGGACGAGCTACTACTACGTAAAGTAAGGACGAATTGAACCAAGCGGCAACACCCGGGGATGTGGGAGCCTCGATGCAACTCATACCGAAGTAACCGGAACTTCGTTGCCAACATGGTTGTCGAGATTACGCCTGCAAGTTGGCGCTTAGAAGTGCTGTCCTTGCTCGTTATTGCTTCATTTCTATCCCAACGTCCTACAGGTTGATTTTGGTTGAACACTACATAGCCTGGCGTGCCCAAAATGTCCCAGTTCCCGGCACCTGAGCGGCGCGTCCTCTCATTACACACCACTCTAGGGACAGACCCAGTGGAACTCAAGTATGTCACGTTGTACTACCCCGTCTCCTCCTCCAAAGACGGCCTCACACTCGTGTTCACACATGGAATCGCTGGACGTGAGTTCTTTCATCCATATCTCGTACAACTAACCGAAAACGGTGTTGGTGCAGACAAGGAACAGTACGACCCTACCATCACTCGCCTGCTCTCACACGACCAGACTCGTGCAACGATCAAAGATATCTGGGTGCTCGATTTCCCTAATCATGGTCAAACGGCGCTTCTCAACCGCCCCGTGCTTGATGCGCGTAAGGCAATTGGGAAGGGAGCATGCAGTGCGTTCCTCGTCCTCCATATATGTTATCACACTAATATCAATGTTGCCTGCAGCAACGGCAGATTTTGCGCTCTACCTTCGAGCCTTCCTTTCCTCTCCCTGGCTCAACACCAGTTCGGTAGTAGGCATCCCTCATTCCGGGAGTTGTACCCTATGGATCCTCGCACTCGCATCCACCAATCCATGCCCGACGCCCTTTGCTCTTGTCATGATCGAACCCACATTGATGTTCCCCTCTCTCTCCCCAACTGACCCTCGCTCAATTCACGGGGCTGCAAACGTTCGAGGCTGTCTGGCTAAACGAGACCGTTGGGAGAATATGGAGGCTTTGGTAAAGTGGTTAGTCGGTGGGAAGGGTGTTTGGAGGAAGTGGGATGAGAGGGTTTTGAGCACTTATGTTCAGCATGGGTTTGAAGAAGTGAATGAGTCGGAAAGTGATGGGAAGAGTTATGTTACTCCTACTTTGAGGAAGGATGAGGAGAGCCCGTTATATGCGTGTTTATCGCACACGGTGGAGCCGGAGGCTCTGGGGCGCGCGTGTCGAGCGGTGGAGGAAGCTGGGAGGGGTGTACATGTGGTGTGGGCTGAGTTTGAGCAATTTATGTGCGTTTTTTTTCTTCAAGTTCGTGGTCGGGGAGTGACGCTGTATGTGGTAGATCCAAAGCGGCGAGGGAAGAAATTTTGGACGCTGCAGAGAATAGGGTGGTGTCTCAGCGGATTATTAAGGGGGCAGGACATCTGGTATGTAGCCCCGACATTCGAGCTTAGTTGTAAGATATTGATTCCTCCCTATCTAGATTCCTCAGGAGAAACCGGACGGACTCGGCGAGGCACTCATCGAGATTCTGGATGAGATCATGCATGGTGTAGGGAAAAGGAAGGCGAAGATGTAGGATCGTAAGTCTTTTTTTGCAATCGTTCTCTGCTGGGGACGTTCGGCTGATGATGTGTTGATAGATATGAACTCGCTTGATGTAATATAAATTCTTTGAAACTTCTTTATCGCACATCACACGAACACTGGAAGAAAGCTTGTCTAACTGCGTGTTGTCCAGCTGGGGATGAACGATGAAGAAAGTGGCGTGTGTTCGAATTGAATCACATACCAGATGCTGAAGGACCTGAGTATGGCAAGTGACCTCTGCTCTCTTCACGTAGACATCATAAGACACCATACGATTTCCATCGTACTTCGCATATTTCTGGATGCTTGCAGGTTAGCATGGGTCACTAAGGCTAGTGAACTCATACTGTCTTCGCATACGCTACACTGAGATTTCGACGAGGTCCGACATAGTCCGACAGTGGTCTGTCATTGAAGAATTGGTTCAGGAGTCAAAGATTCGGCTGAATTGTGTTTTGTGGGACGCTTGTTTCCAGTCATGTGCGGCGCTGAGCGAGGATCAGGTGGGAGATTTCATACTTCATATGTCGGTGACTGAGCGCCATCTTCTTACAGTTTCGCCACGAACTTGACTCAAATATCTGCACTCTGATCTCACATTCATTGCGAAACCCTTCTCAGTAAGATGGCCATTAATATTCTCGTTGATCTATGTGTCTCAACAACCTTGTCAACAGCCTTCAAGACAGATTCGAACACGGACGTTATGTCTGACCTTGATCAGGCCATTGAGGCCCTTCGGGCTGTATTACAACTCCGCCCCCCGGGTCATTCTGGGAGAATCGCAGCTCTCAACGATCTGGCCATCAAACTTCATGAAAGATCTCAGCAACGGAGCGTCTTGTCTGACCTTGATGAAGCCATCGGGCTCCATCGATCTGTACCATTACTCCGTCGCCCCGGTCATCCTGAGAGAATCCCGACTCTTAACGATCTTGCCATCCTAATTCACGAGAGCTTCCAAAAGTGAGGCAACCAATCTGACCTTGATGAGGTCATTGGGCTCCATCGGGCTGTACTACTCCTCCGTCCCCTCGGTCATCCTGAGAGAGTCGCGACCCTCAATGATCTTGCTATCATCATTCTGCGACATTGTTCGTCGTAAGACGGAGTATCACTGGGCGTGGGTTGATTCGTGTTGCATCGACCAGCATAACAATGTCGAGCTTCAAAAATTGCTTAACTCCGTGTTTGCCTGGTATCATAATTCTGCGCTCATAATTGTCTTACCTGTCGGATATTCCGCCTTTGTCCAAGCCTGGCGCACTAGCACAGAGTGCTTGAAACACCCGAGGATGGACCGTCCCGGAATTCCTGGCTCCCAAAGTCATTTGTTTCTACCAACAGGATTGGACACTATATCTCAATAACGACTCCTTCAACCACAAGGAGTCTAACACGATCATGCAGTTGCAGGATGCAACGGGGATAGATGTACGCGCCCTCATCGCCTTCCAACCAGGGATGAGACACGCCCGAGAGAAACTCCAATGGGCGTCTACTCGTGTCACCACTGTGCCGGAGGACATCGCGTACTCTTTGTTTGGCACCTTTGGCGTCCAACTACCCATCCTTTATGGCGAGAATAAGCAACGTGCGCTCAGGGAGCCCTTGCAAGAGATCGTGGCTCAGTCGGGCGACATTGCTGCCCTCGACTGGGTTGGACAACCATCCTGTTTCAATAGTTGTCTTCCAGCCGAAATTTCCTCATGTGTAGCTCCGTCATGCGCCCTCCCATCTTTGTCTGAAGATGAGATTCAGACAGTGGTCTCCTCACTACAAAATATTGTGGCTGTGGGACTGGCTTCGAAATTGTATGACCAACTTGACAATATGAGCTCTCCTCGCTTCGCGAACTGCAGACTGCATCTGCCTTGCATCACATTCCGTGTCACGGAAGTCATGCGGAATAGTGGCCCACCCCTCGAGGCTTATTTCACGTATAGAGTCAAGGCAGACGGGCTTCGCGACCTGCTGGTCACCACAAAAGAGACACTGATTCAGTTCACGCCTGCAAGGCCCCCTCTGCAGAATTTCTTACTTGTCCGTCCATGGGATCGTCGCCTCCTTGAGCTACCTGATTTTGCAGATCTGCCTGACTCTGGAGACGATAGGCCAAGCGAGGATGATTTTTGGTCCGTGCGGGACTCCGTCAGACGAGTTTCCCGGCGGTTCTCGTGGAGAACAGGAGCTGGTTGATTCGAAATCTTTCTCGCGAGGATCGGGATTGATTGTTCACCTTGGACAACAGTTCAGCGCATTTTGCCAGCGCGGCGGAGAATACAAGAGAAATTAGAATCGCGTCGGATCGTGACTCATTGCTCAGGTCATTGACGCGACTTCCGTTCTCAACATGATGGACGGAGTCAGGACCCTAGAAATATTGTAGCTGTATGTGTATTTCTTTTACAGCTGATTGCGTAACTGTGCAGAATCGCAAATCAAAACTTGTTGTAAGCACGCTGGCTTACCTGAGTTCCCATACTCAGTATATATACTGTCGCTGATACTGAAAGCTAAGCTTTCAGTATTCTACCTTTTGGTGTAACGGTTATGCGCGTGCGGCAGTCAGACCAACTTACACTTGTGCATTGGAAACGCCCAGACAAGGACCCCGTAAGCACCTGAGGTAGTAGCGCTATAGTGTACATCTGTGGCTCGCTGAAAGACGATGTCGTCCCTATCAGATTCCCCAGAGATACCTGAATTCAAGGCTACATTCATTATTCACCTGGATACATACACCAAGATTACTACTGAAAGTAATGGCAAAGCAAAAGCCAAGGAAGTGAAATCCACAAAAGTCAAGGAACTTATCCAGACCAAGCCCAACTACATTGAATTTTTGACTTCAATTCTCGCGAAACACGACAAATCACACTATAGGGTCACTGAGAGGAAGAAATATAGTTTCAAGTACTACCTTAGCAATTCTCAGGGGCGAGTGATCTTTGTGTCATTCATGGTGTGACGCTGGCCTTATTCTTGCTGTGAATGTGCTGTGAGGGAAAGAGCCGTAAAACTTTGTATACAAGAGTCTTTTTGACTCCAAGTAGATGGCAGATATGCTTGATGGAGTACCCATGTCGACGTAGAACAGGGATTCAAGCTTTCAAATCATCTGAAACGGTGTGCGGCGGCATTGGACGACACAGATGTTGTGATCAAGCGCTGTAAATTCTCTCACTCAGCCCTCATTTTTCAAACCCCGATCCATAACATCGAGACTAGGGATTCATCTAAGGTCAGTCCTTGATTCGAAGGCCGTGAGACTTAAATTACAGTGGAACGTCACTCCTAGTGACGGCGAGGTCCGTGACCGTCCGTCTGTCTTAACCATCCTTTGCCGTTCATTTCCCGACCCTTCGTCATCTCATCTAGCGTCTTGATATGAATTTTTGTTCAGCATAATTTCCTGGGATCCAAACTGTGAGCGAACCAATCATATCCCGTGCCAGCTCATGCCACATCTCGTTCGTGACCCTCAAATCAAACGTTTCATGTGGCTAAGTGCATCAGTGAACTGATGAGCCGCAGATAATGTCTTATATGACGATATATCGTCATATATTGAGCTTCTTTCCTTCATATTGGAATATAAAGTCATATAAGGTCATGTAAAATACCGTAATCAACGTAACCTGGGTAGACTCACGAGTTCTCTGATGACCGTAGTGTCGTCTCTGAGCCGAACCCGATCGTGCCTGCTTCGCAGGGGTTATAAACATGCATAGCTGACTCTCACTGCAGTGACTGCACACATATGAGATTTAAAATGTTGATTAAAGCTAATCTGTTGGCCTTGTCACAGGCTTTGCTTGCACTAGAAGCATTATCTTCTCCGGCGACCACCGAGTCTGCACCCATCATCGACTTAGGTTATGCTCGGTACCAGGGGTCGGTAGATACAGCGACAAACATCACCAGCTTTCTCGGAATACGGTACGCGGCTCCTCCAGTCGGTGCGTCCACCTTCGTTTGTTGTATACAATATCAGTTTACGCACTAGATATATAGGCGACTTCAGATGGGCAGCTCCGCAGCCTCCATCGACCATCGCTGGGGTTCAACAAGCTACCACCCAACCAAATAACTGTTATCAAGCGCCCATCGGCAATTCTTCGACAAATCCTTATGAAAACACCTCTACGAGGAAAAGGGCTGTCAGTCAGTCGGAAGACTGTTTATTCTTGAAGTAAGCCCTGCCATGAACGATGATGTTAACATTTACGATTGGTAGTTGCATCCGATAGTGTATACACTCCCGGAAGCGAAGTGGTGGCCACACCATCGGGAGGGCTCCCAGTTGTCGTATGGATTCACGGAGGAGGGTAAGTATCATATGCAATATTCGTCTGTCGATGAATCGATTTTCGTACAGGTATATTTCAGGAGCTGCGAGTTTATACAATGGCGCAGATCTAACTATGGAATCGAATTATGGTGTCATTACTGTCTTAGTGCAGTACCGCCTCGGTTTATTCGGTATGTCTTCGCCACTTCTTCGAGGTTTCAAACTTATAAGTACACTGCCGACTAGGTTTCCTACCTGGGAAAGCGGTCAAAGAAGGGGGTGCACTCAATGCTGGACTACGTAGGTGATTATCATGGACTGACAATCCTTCAGACTCGGCTGAACCTGATATTCTAAGTCGACCAAAATTATGCTTTACAGTGGGTTCAGGCCTACGTGAGCAGAAATATCTCCTTGCGTGTTGTACCTCAACTGATAGGAAAATTACTTGAATAGATAAGTAGTTTCGGTGGGGACCCAACGAAGGTAACGATTTGGGGACAGTCTGCTGGTGAGCTGAGTTAGGTACCTCATCATCATTAGGTCTTGTTTACTACTCTCGCCGTTTCAGGTGCCGGTTCCGTGCTACAGCATCTTGTTGCTCATGGAGGAAACACGCAGCCTCCCCTCTTCAGAGCTGCCATGACGAGTTCTGCGTTCTTGCCAGTCACAATACAACTATAACGACCGAATTCCGGAGGTGAATTTTGTTTATACGGTCAACGTCCGTGCGTCCTGAATGCCACTACCAGATGGTGTACAGTGAGGTCGTCGATGGAACAAAGTGAGTCCTTGCAAAGGTTTTATGTGGCCATTTCCGAGCTAATACTCTCAACTCACAGCTGTACCTCAAGTTCGGATACCCTCTATTGTTTGCGCGCTGCAGACGTCAATACGTTGCAAACTTTGAACTATAACATCAACCCCGACAGCTTCCCTGGCACGGTCGTGTTCCCCCCTGTCGTAGATGGCACTTTCATCGTGGAGAGACCTACGGTGACGATTAGCAAGGGTCGCTTGAATGGCGTATGATCAATGGATTCTATCTCATCAGCAAATCTGACCCCTTTCCCCTTTCCTTAGAACTACCTTCTTGCCGTAACCAATTCTCATGAGGGGAACCTCTTCGTGAACCAATCGATGACATTGGATATCGCAGATTATGTCAAAATGATTTTCCCGAACTTCGGTTATGCTCAGGCTGCAGGAGCAGCGATGATGTACCAGAATCAGGGAAGCAACGTCGACCAGGCAAATCTCGTGATTAGTGAATGTACGTATATCCTTCAAGGAATTCGTCACTGTCCCTAATTTCATGAGTCGATTCAGCGATATTCGTTTGCCCTACTTATTATCTTCTCAAAGCATTTGGAAAGCAAGCTTGGAAGGTAAGCTCCAGGCAAGTCTCGCTTTATGTATGCTCAACAAAGGCAGGGCGAATTTTCAATTCCACCTGGCCTGCACGGAACTGATGTCGCATATTACTTCACTTCGTATTCGTAAGTCGATGTGATGAATTAACCCTTACTCTGACTCTGATGCATAATGCTTCAGGGGTAGTCCTCCATACAACAATTCCCAGTTCATCACTGCTTTCTCGAACTCATTCATGGCTATGGTCATGGACAAGACTCCTGACGACAGATACACGCCAGGAGATATCACACCTTCCTGGAATTCTTGGCAACATGGCTTCGCAGAGATGATGTTCAACGAGACATCCGCGGGAGCACCCGACGTTTACACTTTCAAGACTGACAGGGCCTTGCTTGAGCGTTGCGCGTGAGTACTGTGCCATATTTACAATGAGCCAGGGTGCTGAACTAGGCGCATGCATGTAGCTACTGGCAAAATGTGTCCGCGTATTCGGCACAGTGAATGGAAATTAAGCTCTGGTATCTGGGTCAATCGAAAAGAGGTGTAAATGTTGAGCTGAGAATACTGCCACATTAGTCTACCCTATACAGATGAGGATAGCCGTTCCTTGTGCGACATGTTCATAATCCATATCTTCGACCAACAGATGGATGACACCTCCAAGCACAGGATGTGTTTATTTGACACTTGCCATCACAATTTTCTTTTTCTCCCAACCTTAGACAATCAACTGCTCGTAAACTCAAGCACACAAATAGGGCACACCCATGCCAGAAACCATCGACCACATGCACACGACACGAAGACTGAGTGGTGTTTGATTCCATGCAAGTAAGTAGTTAAAACTAGTGTGGGGGATACAAGTACGTGAAGTGCATGATGAAGGTGAGGGGGACGTGATGGCGTGCAACAGAGCAAAGTAATAAATGAGCATAAATGAGGTCGACTGAGATGATGGATAAAAATTACTTTCCCCGCGCATCTCAAAGTCGCAGGTGAGGCAACGTCAACTCGTGCAAGCCCTTAGAACCCGCCCATTCCCATGCCGCCCATACCTCCCATTCCGCCCATGCCACCACCCATACCACCAGCAGGTTTCTCCTCCTCGCCATCTACAACGCAGCACTCGCTCGTCGTCAACAAGCTTGCAACACCTGCAGCATCCACGAGTGCGGTCCGCACGACCTTAAGCGGGTCGACGATACCACGCGCGATCATGTCGGTGTATTCGCCCTTGGACGCGTCATAACCGTAAGCGAATGTGTTGGACGAGTTGATAAGCGTGCCGACAATAACACTTGCTTCCTCGCCGGCGTTGGTGAGGATGGTGCGTGCGGGTTGTTGCAATGCACGACGGATGATACTCACGCCGAGGCCTTGGTCGAAGTTGGCGGTTGGGATGACGTCGGGGTCGGAGGAGGCGGGTTCACCGGGTGCAGCGGTCTTGAGGGCAAGGCTAGCTTTGAGCAGTGCGACACCACCACCTGGGAGGATACCCTCCTCGACGGCTGCGCGCGTTGCGTTGAGGGCATCGTCGTAACGGTCCTTCTTCTCCCCGACCTCGACTTCGGAAGAGCCACCGACCTTGATGACGGCGACACCTCCCGAGAGCTTCGCGAGACGTTCCTGGAGCTTCGTCTTGTCGAACTCGGAGGTGGTGGGGTCGTTCAGGAGTGCGCGGATCTGCTCGCAGCGTGCGGAGATGGCGTCCTTAGAGCCGGCACCGTTGAGGACAATAGTGTCCTCCTTGGTCACGGTGATACTGCCAGTGCTGCCAAGGAGGTCAGCCGTTGCGCGCTCGAGCTTGATATCCAGTTCGTCGGTGAAAACTGTGCCGCCGGTGAGGATAGCGAGATCACCAAGGATGCTCTTGCGGTTGTCCCCGAAGCCCGGAGCTTTCACGGCTACGACCTGGAGTTGGCCGCGGAGCTTGTTAAGAATACAGGCTGCAAGTGCTTCGCCGTCTACATCCTCTGCGATGATGACCAAGGGTCTGCGAGCGGCGGCAGCAGTTTCAAGTGATGGGAGGATGTCCTGCAGCAGGGAGATCTTCTTCTCTGACAGGAGAATGAAGGGCTTTTCGAACTCGACTTTTTGAGTCTTGACGTCTGTGATGAAGTACGGAGAGATGTAACCGCGGTCAAAGCGCATGCCCTCCGTCACCTCAATCTCATCGTCGATCGTCCGACCCTCTTTTACGGTAATGACACCCTCCTTTCCTACTCTCTCCATCGCCTGTGCAATCAACCCACCGACATGCTCGTCACCGTTAGCGGAGATGGTTGCGACCTGGGCAATCTCAGCGGTGGTAGTGATGGTTTTGGTGTTGGCTTCGAGGAACTGAACGACCTTTTGGACGGCGGATTGGGCACCGCGACGGAGGTCCATGGGGTTGCATCCTGCAGCGACATTTTTCACGCCCTCGGCGTAGATGGCCCGAGCGAGGACGGTTGCAGTGGTAGTACCGTCACCAGCAATTTCGTTGGTTTTTTGTGCGACATCCTGGACGAGACTGTTTGCGATGTACGTAAAAAATCGAACGTTGACAGTGGGAGGAAAAAGCTTACCGAGCGCCAAGGTTCTCGAATTTGTCCTTGAGAGAAATGCTTTTGGCGACGGTCACTCCATCTGATGGTGACGCAGGTGAGAGTAGAACTAGAGGAAAAAAGGATGTCACCTACCCTTGGTAATTTTTGGTCCACCGAAGCTCTGCTCAATGATGACATTGCGACCTGTGAAGTAACGAAGAAAAAATCAGATCACGTTCGGTTTCACAAGAGTACAAAAAAAGGGACTAACCCTTTGGACCGAGGGTGACGCTGACAGCATTAGCAAGAATGTCGACACCCTTGAGGATGCTAGCACGACCGTCATTGCTGAACTTGATCTCCTTGTGTGCACCGCGGGTAAGAGTAGGCTTAACCTTTGCGGCAGCGCGACGGAGGGCACGGGATGACGTGTGCATACTTGAACTTCAACAACAGCAACGAACGAACTAGAACAAGTGGAAGAACGAGGAGAAGAGTAGTTGGCAGAAAAAACTCGGAATAAAAATCTTCTGGGAAAAATCTAGAATTTTAGCCGTCACGTGCTACCTAATTATTTAAATAATGTGTACACAGCCTTCCGAGTCTGAACACCCGGGGTTGATATATGATACTCGTGCCAGGCCGCGTACATGAGGGAATCCCTTGCTATAGTGATTCCTGATAGTAAAAACCTTACCTGTAACCTGCACCGTAGTGTACGTCCGACTTTCAAGATAGGAAAATTTAAAGTAGGAAGCTACAACTGAGTTGTAGCTACTCGTAGTCGTCAGGATCACCCTACCTCAGGACTTTCACCACCGTCAAATTTAGGGCCCTCAACCATCTTCAGCCATTCATTTCTAGAGGGGCTGCCTATGATATTCACACAGAATTTGATACTCCCAACTCTACCGACCCGAACCGACTCAGAAGTCATCGAAGGCTCTACAGTATGGAACCAGAGCATGCTAGTGGCCTATCTTGCATCCTCAAACTCCTCGCACACACGTTCTCGTTCTACCTTGACCAGCATGACTACAAGTACAGAATCCCGACAATAACGACGATGTGATGATTCTGGAGAAGAGACGGAGGGCGAGCTTTAACCGCTCACGTTCACAACGCCTAGTCGATCGCATTCTCATCACTCGGACGCGGATCTGACTCAAGACCATTCCTTTTTGGACGTCGACATTAAATTGGGCGACCCCCCTAGTCTTGGGAACCTCGGTGGCGCGTTTTCTTTCCTTGCGGCGGAGCGTGCTAGGTTTGCTGCCCGCGACCGTGGCACGGGCAAAGATAGTTCCACGAGCGATGGCGCGTGGTATTCCCAACTATCGAAGAGCTTTTCAATGGCTCGGACTACTTTGAAGGCTGCGGGTACCAGTACAATGCAACGTACCCGATGACCCACCCCTCGTTTACGAGCGGATACAACGTTTATTGAACAAATCTTCACTTCTATCCTTCAACTCACTAACTTTACTTCACTTGGTGAGTTTCGTTGCCGGCGTCTGTAAATCCATGCTGATAACTAACAATTTTAACACCCTAAGTCAGGACGCTGAAGAGATACCTGTCAAACACTTGAACATCTCATGACACGCGCGTTGAACGTTTCCTGAAAAGCCGGACGAATCTCCCCACTCGCTTTGATGCATTTTTTCGTCTTACGGATTCCATACTTGACGTTTTTCTTATCGCGAGTTTCTTGGAATCAGCCTGCTTTGGCTCTCTGATGCAGCCCTCCTCCTGGCCTCTGACATCCATTCTACCCGAGGTCTTGGCAACCACGTGCACACCCACGCGATAGCTATTCTTCAGCTTGGTACCCCTTGCCGCCCCGTGTCCTCTGCAGAAAGACCCTGCACATCCACGATCCACATTGGCCTTATTGGTGATCCTGCTCATGTCTACCGTCTTCCGCGGAAGACCAAAACTCAAACGTCACGCAGGAGTTTAGGCATTTATGGAGCAGCCGTAATGAGCTTCGTCGATTCAAGGATGGACATATTACGCAGAATTTGTTTGGGAAGTCAACGTCCGATGAACGTGCACATATCTGACGAGCAATGCGAAGCCAAGGCCTCCCAGGAACCGGAGATTCATTCGTGCCCCACGACCCCATCGTGCCGCACATTTCCCTTTTGAGTAATTGCCGCGTCAACTTCTCATGACATTCGCAGTTCTTCTCGATTCTGCGGAGACTACCGTACATTTTGGCTCAACTGTTTTTGCCCAACGTAAAGTTTCGGCTATAAAACACCTGCCTGCTACTATGGCTTTGCCTTATTCCCTTCCACAAACTCCATGATGTTGACTTCCCGTTCCATGATGTTTGCGCTGCTCAGCTTCCTCGCTGGCGCCAATGCATGTGTATCCTGCCCGAGCACATTGACGGTCAACGGTGTTGTCGTGAAGCAATATAATGTGATCCCAATCGCGGCCGTCCAGATCACATATTGCGAGTACATCGCACCCACGCATCTTCATTAAACAAAATAACTAATAGTCCGGCAGATACATGACGAGCGACGGCACACAAATAACCTGTGATTATCACACCGTAAGTGCTTTCTGGACATCTCAATGATCTTGGTTGACATTGTAGCAATGGCATCAGGAGACCGGCAAGCTTTACTATGGGTCTCGGGCGAAGAACAAGATTGTAACTCCGTATAATTCTTGTCCGCGTACAGCAACTTTAAAGGATGGGCATATCTGCTGACCGTGATGTAAAGAGATGGGGGAGACGAGACACCCAACAGGAGGAGAAATGTTCGTCTGCAGACAGCCGGGTGTACACCAGTACTTAGACACCAGTACTTAGACACCATCTGTTGCGAGAATGGCCAGATAGTTTTGTCTTGCCTCGGCCAGTTGCATCATCCCAAGAATGGGCCCCGTCACAACAGATCTAGGATTGATATAAGGTAGATGATCTCACATTTGCAGAATTCCTTATGGAAGTAAGCTATCATGAACTCGCAAACCACAGCAAGACGACCCATGTTCCTGGTGTGCAACCCGACACGCAGCAAGTTCATAACATGGTCGACATTGTCATCATCGCACTCATTCGAAAAGGAGGAAGGTCCCGCATGAAAAGTGGCATTTCCAGTACCCCTCATACTGCAACCAACACGCTGGCATTACCAAAGGTTAGTTGACAGTGATAATAAAAATACTCAAACTGACGAACCGTTAGTCTCTCCGAATGTGTTTCTTCAGGAAAGAGATCAGCCGTATAGTCTGTGATGATTGATGTTTGTCCTCCAAATCATTGCGTCGGCGGTTGAGGTCATGCCCAACACCTCAATTCGGAGGACAATCTCTTACTGACTCGATCCTGACCACACGTCTATGTACCTCTGAGGCATCGAGACTGGGGCAAGTGCTAGCTCATGTTGCAGTGAAGAAAACGACGATGCCCCAGGGCCGCTCTAGGGAGGGGTCTACAGATCTCCGAGGGTGAGACTTGGGACGATGGCATGCGTGATTTTGAAACGCCTTGTAACGGTCACCACGCATGATAGGGGGCAGCGGGGTGCCTAGCGTCGGAGGGTGAGTTGAAAATACCATCCGAACGCTCAAGATAGTCTTTTGCCTACAGAAGTTCCTCGACGATGCGATGGTTCGAGGATAATGAGGCTTGTCTTATTTGTAGTAGACCATTCGTGTTTATACTTCGCGAATGCCCTTATTTCCGCTACCGATGGACTAGAGTCACTAGACCAAGTACTTGAACAATTCCGCCAGTGAGGATAACATCATTATGTCAACAAGCGGAAGTTTCACGAACTCGGCGCTCCACAAGCATACAGATATGACTGGGTAGATCATTCGAGGAAGATCATTAGACAGAGTTATGTTGCAGTTAGGAAAGAGTTCCGATTGTGGAAATCACGTTTAATTTTTTTCAACTCACTTGAGGATGAGAGAACCAAAAAGAATTGAAGTGAGAGGACTAGACTAGTCACTGAACTACGGCCCCCAGGAGGTCAATGAAAGTCCACTCGCTCTAGTTTATTGAGCGTTAGCTTGGCGTTGCGGTCATCGAAGAAGGACCTTCATCGTATCCGATAGAGGTCTATGTCGAGTCCACATATATAATGGTTGCCGACAGTAAAAACCTTACCTGCACCGTATTGTACGCGTCGTATATCAAGAGAGAGCTACTTACAAAAACGAGTGTCACGGTTCACGTGACGATTCCAGGCTGTGACCTGGACCACCTCGCAGCGCTAACGGTCCGACGGAAGTCCTGTTGCACCAAGCCGTAACTCGCAAACTGGCAGTCATCAATAATACCCTCAACGGCTACCACGAGCCCTCTATGGAGGGGCTAGAGAACGAGCTCCCTCTAGTTCTCGATGGCCAGGTTCCGCTCGGCGACCTTCTTTCCAGGGTGGCTCAGGCCATCTATGCTGAGTTGTCTGAACTTGTAGAGACGTGAGTAGGCCCCATGTTCACTCCACATATGCCCTTTGAATCAACCCCATGAAGTCTTCCGAACATGTCTGACAGTGCTCGAAAACGCACGCTCGCTGATTGGGTCGTCAAGACTAAGAAACAAGTTGTAAAGCTGTATGCTATCACTAAGTGGGCGCGGGATGCAGAGACTGTACAAAAATGCATGGCGAGTGACGCGTTTGATCAAGACCAACTCTTCATGACCTTTTCTTTCAGAACATCACTGCCTTTCTAATGAATCAGAACCAGCAATTCGAAGATGTCATGAGAGGCCTGACGTACGCAAAAGAAAGCTTGGATCCGGCCAGGTACGGAGGAATTGCACGTCCTCGTACTTCTCCTCACGCGTTCCATGCCGCAGGCTACGAAATCATGATCTACTCACCTCGCTGGATGTCCTTACTACTGGCACGTATCAGCGCCTCCCATCTGGCATCAAGGTTTTCCCCCCATCTTGCCATATGAGGATCACGCTCATATCTCTCCATAGAAATCTATCGTTCCCATCACTCCCCTAACGGATCCTGAGATCATTCGCACCCTTAGTGACATGGAAAACGCCATCCGCTACCGTCTCCGCATGACGGAGACAATCCCAGTAGAAATGCTTCAACATCGCATTGGTATCTTTCTGAGCTTCGATTGTCAACGCCCCTTACTCATTGATGTATCTCAGCTAATGGACGCGTGCACTTTATGGTCCCCAAGTTGTTCGAAACTGCCATCTGCCTAAGAGGTGCAGAGAAGAATGACGGGTGGTTCTTTGTTAGCGTCAAGTTCCTCATCACCGTCGGTGGTGACCTTACGGGCATGCAAGGTATCACTGGCGTCTAACTTTTTGCATGCCGTTGTTTATATTGTTTATAACCTAGAATTCCCTTCCGAGCCCACTGGCGTCCTCAGACGACACATTGCAGACGAGGCAGACTCACGAATGGCATGCTACCTTCCGCTCCCAGATAACCCAGAATTTGCTCCGAACCCAGAAGATCCACCGCGACCGCAGCTTCCCGAGGGAACAGTAGATGCACCACTCGTTAGACTCTTTAATTTCCTTCGTAAGCGAAAAACTTTCTTGTCGTTCAAGTGCTTACGGAGACTGCAGAAATGATGTCCATGTCCTATCAACTTGAAATATTGTGTTACCAAGTAAGTAGATATCCATCATTACAACCTGCCGGCTGACGGCTTTCCCGCAGGCTCAGAGGATGCGCTCCCTTGGTTGGGCTGACTTCTTGAAAGTTGAGATGCGCGATGGGCGGAAAACACTCGCCGTATCGTACTGGATGTAAGGCTTTCCGTTTTCATAGATTACTATCTTGTTACTCATGTGCGCTCAGGCGACCTCCACAACCCGGAGTCCCCGCGTCGGCCCCCAATCGGCTCAAGCTACCACCGCATGGCGGCACATTGACTATATCTATTATTGAAAATGTCAACAAAAAGACCGCGCGATCACCCATGTCGCGGATGCTTGCCGAGCTTCAACGGAGGTCAAAACTAGGTGATATGCGCCCTTCTGATGATGTCGAAAGCCTACAGTTTGATGCGAAATGGGAACCGCTGAAGGGCGTGTTGGCTGCCAATATCGATGCTGAGGAAGCAATAGCTGCGGTCAAGGAGCTTGTGGTGGTATGCCAAAGTGTTCCTGCGCGAGGAAGTTGCTCACACTGCGCGGTTTGGATAGGACTCTGGTAACATTGACTTTGAGTCGATGTTGAGAAAGGTGATCGAGGTGCACACACAAGCAATTTTGAAATTCTACCAGGTGCAACTTCAACGGGGTCCTGTTCGGGTGTTCTCCCCTGAAGGCAAAGTGGTTCTGGTTTCTGAAAGTGGGTATAAAACATTGCGACTCTAAGCTCTTGCTAAAGTCATACAAGGAGGTTATCATTCTCTTCACGTGCATCTCTGTGCGGATGAGATCGCTATCGTGACCATCGATACCAGGACAGGCCGTCTGAGCATACGAGATACAGGTGACCTCGCAGCAGCTGGCCGAGGACCACGATTTTCTGCTATCTCCGACAAACTCAACGAGGCCCCCAACATGCTTTTCGATGTGCTCATTAGGCTGCGATTTAACGTGCGCACAATTTGGTTTTTGCTCCGATCATGATCCTCACTGTGTTATGTATTGACAGACGATTTCGGATATTGTGGAACAAAAAGCCAACTATCTCGGCTTTCAAGTGTTCCGACACCGAAACTTCTCCAAAGAAGGTTTGGTGCTGTCAACTCATAGTTATGCTCTGTCTTACCTCCGTCTCAAACAGAGATTCAAAAGCTTGGAGCTGCAGCGCGCGGCATGATGTATATCCAGCTTGCTAACTTCCCTACGCACTACCTCGTGCTTGTCCTCACAGATGAAGAGTTCAGGTATGCGCTCATATCGACGAAGATGCTCTCGGATACGATGTTTGGCAACATGATTATGGAGGATATTGGGTGGCTTGATGTGAGACGAATACGAGGTGATAGGGGTGCTGGCATGGATGAGGTTGTGGTGTCATCTCTGTCGCATGAAGGACTGATGGGGCAGAGGAGAAGACGAGAGGATATCCCTCCGGAATTGTCAAGAAGCGAGGATAGGTGAGATTTTCTTCAGCTCTCGAATTTTTGTTGCTAACCGTGAACATAGTTTCAACTTGGAAACGCAAGTGCTCCGGGAATTATATGCGTATTGCTGGTATGAAATCTCGTTCTTTCATCATCTAATACTAAATCATTGTTCTAGCGCACGCGTTGCATATACCCGAGTCGAGCGCCAGTTCAAGCTCCGTGGCATCCCTTACACCCATGTCAACCCCACCATCACCCTTCCGCAGATACCCGAGCTTGGGCACATTCAATCATCTCTCGCCCGTTCTGTACCAGCACTCTGCGTTCAGTCCTCCGATATTCTATCCGGTGCACCAGCAGCCGAGGCGGCCATGCCCAACATCCGCGTCATACCATTGAACTGGTGGTCGGATAAGAAGGCCCAGGTGGTAACCTGCGTGAAGTTGAAGTACGTACAACAACCCGTTGGGAAACGTGCTGCGGCGGGATCTAGCAGCAAGAATATCATCCGTCCATCGAAAAGGATCATTTATGATGCGGCGGAGGCTGTGGTCTCCTTTTTGTCTGAAGAGGTCGACACTTGTGTGGACGAGTTTCTGGAGGAGTGGGCCCGTGTTTCTAAAATGGTTGTCATTGCCCGTGAAGGTGTGCTGTGCTCGAAGTTGTCGAAGTTGTTGTTGATGCTTACGCAATGCAGTGGCACGAATGGCGAAAGAGAAGAAATGGCGGGATGTCAGGCTATTATCATTTGACTTGCAAACTGTAGAGTTTGCGTATGCCTCGGTGAGTGAATGCTGTCCATTCGTCGAGCGATGTCTCACGTCGCCTTCTGTAGGATTATACCGTCCTAATCACTTGTACGGATCAACTATCGCCTACGGGTGGATCTTTCGAACTTCGCTTTTCGCGGTGTACGCCTTCACCGACACACCCACAACCTTCCTCTCTCGCTCCGCCTCAACTTGGCTTCCCAAATCATCACCTACGGACCAACCCCCATGAACAAGCCGAGCCATACCTCCGCCATGTTCTTCGCCACGGACCACTGTCGTCCTCACTTGACCGTCTTGTCGAACTGCTTCGAAATACTCTTCCCATAGCGGTGGAACTTGAACATATTAATGCAAGCGCCCGTGATCTCAAGCAGTCACCGGGTCGTGGTAGAGGTCGGCCACGTATAGCTGGGAAGACCGCTCCCTCTGAACCATGGGTGGATACATATGTCAAAGGCTTGGGCTGGTGGAGGGTTCTATATGGTGACCTCAGGTGCGGTTCTTCACTTTAGCTTGTAACACTCACTGAATATGACGCGGTAGACATGCTCTTGACTTCCGGTTAATGACGGGACAACGGATCGCTATCCTAGATGCGTCCTACTCTCTTTTCGGTACAAGCTCGCCCGATGCTTCCGCTTCATCTTCTTCACCGTCTTCTGAGCTTCTCAGCCTACTACCGATTCCAGACTTCAAGACACTTGTTCTCGATGCCATAAAGTCTGTTCGTGTGAATGACGAGCATGCAAGGGCTGCATGCATCGACGTCGGGGTGGTCTGTGATAGCTCTGTTCTGAGCGCTGTGGCGAGGGCGTTGCATGAACGAGTGTTGAAGAAGTTGAGGGGTAGGTGATGCGCACTGACTTATCTACTTCATTGGCATTCTTGACGTACATCGTGAATGCATCCTTTGAAAACATTTCCGCTATTTTATGAAGTGAGTCTTGTGATTTTCTCGGTTTACTGCGAAATTTACAGTTTGTGCGTGCTGCGAACTTGATCTTCAATCGTTTGTTTTGTTCGCGCTCTATTACTCACTTGACAGCGTGTGCGGTCGTTCATCCAACACCTGCCGTGTTGGGTGTTCTTTAATCGTGGCCTACCTTTATCGGTTTGGTTGACATTGGTCTATAGCTTGGTTGTTTGCGGGTGGGTGTGCTTCCGGTACGTTTTGACAACCAGTTGCGAGGGATGGTCGCTTGTCACAGAGTCCGAGGTTGACCTTGGCCTATCTTAGGGGTCGCAACAAGTCGGTCGGTTAGATTTGCCATTGGTTGAAATCTAAGAACCCACCGCGTCCTGTGAAAGTTGGCGACTGGTTCACCATATTTCCGACCGTACCCACAGCAGGTATCTCGATATCATGAAGGATTAGATGATACCTGAAGTACTTCGAGTCCCGTATTGCCCAGGGTCGGAGTAGGTGCGTCTAGGTTTTGTGGCTGAGCTGATGCCCACTCCTCTGTTGCCTGAGCATCGTCTTTTTCAGTGTTTCCAGTCGTCCATGCACTATTTCTTTCACTCTTAAGAGATTCGAGTACGCACTTTGCGTATTCGAGCCCATAGCCACAGCTGAGGGAATATTATTTCTAGCAAGCACAAGTCTCGACGTTCGTCTACACGATGTGCTACACGGTAGCTTGTGCTTTTACTACCGAATGCTAAATCTCTTTCGTGCAATTGAATCAGTATTAATTTCGTAGCTAAGAGCTATTCCGAATTTTCTCCATGTCTTTCCTTCATCCTCTGTTGCAAGTAAAAGCCAGAACCACCAGTTAGGTACACCAGCCGACCATTCCGACCAGTTCTGTTCGCCAAAGGTTGCCAATACAACTTCGCCCGGTCTCTTGTCTGCCTTCTGAGTCAAGAATGTTCGTCTTTCCTTGCGCTCCTCGTTTGCGATATGCTGTTGCAAGGTGAGTGGACCGACTTGGAAAACCCCAGAATGGCGGCCGCTATTGGAAGGCTCCAAAATTCCCCCGATATGAGATATTCCGGAAGTAAGTCGATGGGGGAGTTCAGCGTGGTGTGGCATGAGGTGGATCTCAATATTGAGATCATCGTGCTCTGCCACAACATCTGCAAAACTCATTTCAAGCACTTTCCCCACTTCGAGACAGTACATAGACATATGCAGTGTGCCTTCGGGGTCAACATGAGGCAAGAGTTCGGCGTGCGGGGTAAGGCCAAATATATCGTTTGGCTGCCAGCCAAAACCACTAGGTAACCACGATAGCCCGAGGCCGGGATCATCCCTTTCGTGGGCTTCATGCCGTAGTGCAAGTAAAGCAGATAAATCCCCGGCTCGGACTCTCAAGTAGACAAATATGGCAAGAATAATCCCTGGTGAAAGTTGATAATCCACTGGGAGCGAGTGACGAATTTTTGGGGAAAACAGGGCAAGAATGCCGTAAATGGTATCATGAAGGAATGAGCACTCTCGCTTGCGACAATACTGCAAGCAGAGCTCAGGTGACATTGGGCGGTCCCAATCCGATATCGGGAGGGAAACAGGAAAATGATGGCTAGAGATGCTGAGAAACGAGCGACAGGCAGGTGAAACCGAGTCACTGATCTTGAGCATTTCATTGGCATCGATCCGAATGTTACTAGCGCGAACTACAACTTTTGAGGCCAAATAGGTCTCCTGGAAGACCCAGAGCCGTTTGGCATGATACCCCTTCATCCAAGTTACAATCCTGCGCCAAGCATCATCGCTTCTGGATTGGTAATCGGTATCATCTTGTGGAGGGCCTTCAGCAGTAGCATAGCGCCTGCGTAGCGCTTCAGATACAGCAACACAGCATGCTGCGTTGCGGTAATAATCGCTCATCCTCGGTATCTCACGCGCGACATCGTCTGGGTCCGCTTGGTTTATGCAGATGCCGTCTATCCAGACATGCTCAATACCCATCAACAAAGCTTCCCTGGCGAGAAGGAGAAATATCACTTGTAGATATTCCCGGGATAGCCCTACTGGCACCTCTGAAGGACAACGCATACGATGCAGCTCATTTTCCCCTGCATCAACCACCTGGATGATGTTTGGATGCATGAGACAAGTGAGACGGAGCCAGTCGTCGAACGTGGGTGCGTGGGGTATGTCTCCCTTCAGACCAGTATAGTGTTCTCGAGTATCCGTGAATCTGTCTGGATTCCAGAGGTAGGATGCAATGACATAGCGCTTCGTCATATCATTGCAGATTTCTTCGATTTGACCCGTAAAAACGTTGATCAGCCTTGTCGGGACCTGCGGTGGGGCTGGTAAGGCGTCTATGTGGTCATCCAGCACATCAAACTTGTGCATCGCATCGATCCAAGCTGCGTGAGCCCGGTTTGTGTTGATGAATGACTGGCCATCCAAGGTCCTCGACGACCCCATTCTAACAATGAGAGTTCGTAACCAGCGACACGACACTACTAAGTATAAGAAGTAGGGTGGATTGACCCGATTCCTGCAGCTTCATGAGATGTCTCCGAAGTCGGGAAAACCAAGCTGACACAAATGCATACCCTATACGAGATTGGTGAGATTGTGAGAAGACAGTAGCCAATGATTTGTTACAATGGATGTAGTGGGAATATTGCTCAACAGTACACTCATTTCAGAAAGTCTTGCCTCACGTGTTTGTGGCGGCTGAAAAATCAAACAAATCCAAAAATTAGCCAACTTGCGTCATTCTCGCTGCAACTCAAGCAGAAACACATATGACACTTACATGAATACTAGGCGCTGTTGCTGGCGATGTCCTTGCCTGCTGTAGGTGGATAATCTAAGGGTGTGTCTTGGCTGGAACCTTTGCGGCGACACAGTGACAATGGCTGTCAGTGGCTCGATATCGCTGCACTCAGCTAATCTATGGCACGCCGAATCCCTGCAGGCTGAGACAGCCTTGAGACAGCCAATGATCACCAGGCCTTGTGCATGGCAAAGAATATCTTTGGTGATTTTCATCATCAGCACTTCCTTAGAGCCTAGACGCCGCGACATTCCTAGCAATTCGACATTGAAATAGCTATTCTATCTAGCTATCCTTCGTGCCATGTCACCATATTCCGTCAGATACGCCCGAATAAAGTGGTACGGGCCAGCGCATGCCGCGGCGCAAACGTTGCACAGGCGAGGTCCGAGTCGAGCGCTACGAGAGCGGAGGAAGTTCTAGCAGTGGATGCTGCAGTTCTTGAGTGACGGCATTTTTGCTGGGACGAACTTCCTGAGCGAGGGACGGGATTGTACGCGTTCAATTGGTGTTGTCTGAATGCGAGATCCCGTGGATATCATGATCAATGCTATTATGCGTAGATCGTTGGAGAGATAAGTTACAAAGTAGGGCAGCTGACTTTTAGGGGCTACGCATAAGACTCAAAAACAAAAGCACTGTCGAGAAGGGCGTATAGTTATCAGACCGGCTTATGGTCATTAACATCCCAGAGAACACAACCCCTGCCTTCAACCATCCTGACGGAATACTCCTTGTTCCGGAATGGCACCCACACTCTCGCCGTACAGAGCCTCATATCTGCACACCAAGTATTGTATTTTGCACCACCTGGAGAGTTTGTAGCATCAGCATCGTTGTATCACAGGAGAGGACAGGAAGTTCACCAGCACACGCGGCAGCCATGAGTGACAATGGAGCTATGGAAGTGCCCGCAATCGCGGGGGCTCTATGTATCTGGCCAGCACGGAAAGCGTAACCTACCGAAACTACCGAGGCAGTGCCAGCAGCGCAAGCAACTCCAATAGTTCTTAGCATTTCCCTAGAGTCATCACAGCTGAACTCGCAACTGCGCAAAACAGTCCCTGCATCGAAATCATTACACTGCACCCGACGCGCTTCAAAATGGAGTGGGAGGCTGGCCAGGTGTACCGTCCAGCGTTCTCCGGGCTTGAGGTGATTTTTCCAGTTGGTAGGGACACCTATGAAGAAAGCTACATGGATGTCTTCATTGAAGTCGTTGATGATAGTGATGTCTGGCATCTCTTTTGGAGGATAGTAGAGCTGTGGTGAAATGAAGGAGTCGTCTTGAGGATACTGCGGCTTTTATAGCTGTTGACCTCGAGGCTACCGATAGACGTGCCACCCTCACGTAAGAGACACCTCGATCGAGTTGCATAGAGAAACGAGTGCCCTGTTACTGTTCCGAAATTGTTCGGCTCCCAAATCTTCAGAAGAACAAGGTACGTGCACAGATCAACTTACATACCAGGCCAGGACTCCAGTCACCTGTCTTTAACACGCAAGGCGCAAATTCTATGGTGCAACGACACTCTCTCCCAAGGTTGGTATCGCCGTCGAGACTCAGTCTCGGTGCCACTGCAGACACCGTTTCGTACACAATCAATGAATTGCTGGCAGGTCTATCACAGATCACAAACACGCACACGTCTCCGCCATTGCATCGCGCTGTCTCGATGTTTTAGCTCGTTGTGTTTCTGAAATGGTTGTCATTTCCCGCGAAGGTGCGCTGTGTTCGACGTTGTTGATGTGTCGTTGATGTCGATGCTTGCGCAATGCGGTGGCATGGATGACGAAAGGGAATAAATGGCAGGATGTGAGACTGTTATCGTTCGACCTGCAAACGGTGGGGTTTACGCATGCCTCGGTAGGTGAATCCTGTCTATTCTGAGTAATGTCTCATGTCGCCTTCGCAGGATTATACCGTCTTAATTACTTGTATGGACCAACTATCGCCTACGGGTGGATTTTTCAAATCACGCTTTTCGCAGTGCACGCCTTCACCGATACACCTAAGTACAACGTTCCTCTCTCGCTCTGCCTCAACTTGGCTTCCCAAATCACCAGCTATGGACCAACCCCCATAAACAGGCTGAGTCATACCTCCGACATGTTCTCCCCCACAGACTACTGGCATCCTCACTCCTCTCTTTTTCGCCCGAACTCCCCCACATATTCCGCTTCATCTTCTGAGCTTCTCAGTCTGTACCAATTCCAGACTTCAAGACCCTTGTCATTGATGCCATAAAGTGTTTTCGCATGGACGACAAACATGCAAGGACCGCCTGCATCGACATGGAGGTGGTCTGTGATAGCTCTGTTCTGAGCGTTGTGGCGAGGGCATTGCATGAACGAGTGTTGAGGAAGTTGAGGGATAGGTGATGGCATCGACTTCCCTCCTTGACTGGCATTCTTGACGTACATTGTGAACACATCCTTCCACAGAATTATTGCTACTTTGTGTAGTGAGTCTTGTGGTACATGATTTTCTCGTTTTGCTGCGAAGTTTACAGATTGTGCATGCTGCGATAGCGTCAAACCCTGTCTTCAAGTGTTTGCTTTCTTTACGTTCTATCACTCGCTTGATGAGGTATGCAGCAGTTCGTCGGATACCCGCTTTGGTTGGTTTCCTGAATTGTGGCCTACCCACCTCCGCAACCGATCCGTTAGATCTCGAGAACCTACCATATCCAGAGCGAAAGACGGTGACTGGTTCGCCGTGCTTAAACGATATTTTTGACCGTGCCCAATATCGAAATCACGAAGGTTTAGATGATGTCCAAGGTGCTTTGGGCCTCTCATTGCCCAGGGTCAGAGTAGGTGCGTCTAGGTTTTGTGACTGAGTTGCTGTCCGCTCCTGTTACCCGAGCATCCTCTTACGATTCACTCTTTTTCAATCTTTAGAGATTCAAGTACTCCGCACTGTGTACATAAGTAAGTGCATGTATTCGCGCCCATAGCCACAGGTAATAATTATGTCTAGCAAGTATACTCCAAGTCTCAACGTTCATCTACACAACGGGATGCACAGTAGCTTGTGCTCTTACTACCGAATGCTAAATCTCTTTCGTGCAATCGAGTCAGTATTAATTTCGTGGCTGAGAGCTACACCAAACTTTCTCCATGTCTTTCCTTCATCATCTGTTGCCAGTAAAAGCCAGAACCACCAGTTGGGTACACCGTCAAACGACCAACTCTGTTCGCCAAAGGTTGCCAATACAACTTCGCCCGGTCTCTTTTCCGCCTTCTGAGTCAAGAACGTCCGTCTTTCTTCGCGCTCCTCGTTTGCGATATGCTGCCGCAAGGTAGGTGGACCGAAGACGAGATAATCACGGCCGCTATTGGAAGGCTCCAATATCCCTCCGATCTGAAATATTCCGGTTTGAGGGGGACGTTTGCGGAAAAGCTCGGCATAACGTGGTATGAGATGGATCTCGATATTGAGATCATCATGCTCTACCGCAATAGATGCGAAACTCAAGCTTTCAACCACTTTCTCCACCTCGAGAAAGTACATAGACATATGTAGTGTGCCTTCAGGGTCAACAAGAGGCAAGAGTTCGGCATGCGGCATCACACCAAAGATGTCTTTCGGGTGCCAGCCAAAGCCTCTAGGCAACCACGAGACGCCAAGGCCTGGATCGTCCCTTTCATGGGATTCATGCTGGAGCGTAAGTAAAGCGGAGAAATCCCCAGCTCGGACTCTCAAGCAGGCAAATATGGCGAGAATAATCCCTGGTGAAAGCTGGTAATCCACTGGAAGCGAGTGGCGAATTTTGGGGGAAAAGAGACCAAGGATGCCGTAAATGTTATCATGAAGGAATGTACATTCTCGCTCGCGACAGTACTGCAAGCAGAGCTCAGGGGACATCGGACGATTCCAATCCGATATCGGGAAGGAAATCGGAAACTGGTGACTAGAAATGCTGAGAAGGTTGGCAGAGGCAGGTGAAACCGAGTCGCTTGTCTTGACCATTTCGCTGGCATCGATCCGGATGTTACTAGCGCGGACTACAACTTTTGTGGCTAGGTAAGTCTCTTGGAAGACCCAGAGCCGTTTGGCATGATACCCCTTCATCCAAGTTATAATCCGGCGCCAAGCTTGAGCACTTCTGGATTCCGGTCCGGTGTCATCTTGTGGAGGGCCTTCAGCAGTAGCATAGCGCCTGCGTAGCGCTTCAGATACAGCAACACAGCATGCTGCGTTGCGGTAATAATCGCTCATCCTCGGTATCTCACGCGCGACATCGTCTGGGTCCGCTTGGTTTATGCAGATGCCGTCTATCCAGACATGCTCAATGCCCATCAACAAAGCTTCCCTGGCGAGAAGGAGAAATATCTCTTGTAGATATTCCCGGGATATCCCTACTGGCACCTCCGAAGGACAATGCAAACGATGCAACTCCTTTTCCTCTGCGTCAACCACCTGAATGATGTTTGGATGCATGAGACAAGTGAGACGGAGCCAGTCGTCGAATGTGGGTGCGTGGGGTATGTCGTTCCACAAACCAGTGTAATGTTCCTGAGTATCCGAAAATCTGTCTGGATTCCAGAGGTAGGATGCAATGACATAGCGTTTCGTGGTATCGTTGTGGATTTCTTCGATTTGACCCGTAAAAATGTTAATCAGCCTTGTTGGGACCTGCCCGGGGCCTGATAAGGCGTCTATGTTGTGATCCAGGACGTCGAATTTGTGCATTGCATCGATCCAGGCTGCATGAGCCTGGTTGGTATTGGTGGTCGATGACTGACCATCCACTGGCAAGGTCTTCCGAGTCAGTCCCATTCTAAGAATAAGGGATCGTAACCAGCGACAGGACGCCGCTAAGTAACTATAAAGCAGGGTCAATGACCAAACTCGATTCCTGCAGCTTCACGAATCACGATATACCTCAGAAGCTGGGAACCAAGCTGATACAAACGCATACCGGAAGAAACGAATCTGTGTGAGATTGGTGGGATTTGCAGAAGGACAGCAGACAATGATGTGTTACTATGAATGTAGTGAGAATAAATATTGTTCAACAGTACTTGACCATGCGTCAGTGGAAGGTTGCCTCGCCGCAGACTGCTGGCAGGCACTAGTACTGGCTAGGCTCAGGCTGTCTTACGAAGTGTAACGTCATCCCAGATCAGGAAAGTTCACGCGTGCTAACTTGGTACCGTTGTAGTGCAAGATCTCACACATATCGCGATCAATCACCTTTATGCTTCACGTAGTGCTCACAAAATCTGTTGCATTGCGAAGGCTATGGTAGTACCTGGTTGGAGATATGACATTGACGACGCACAAGTCATAAATTAGGGCAACCGAGGTAGGGGCTACGTATTAGACTTAGGATCCAGTGAAAACAGAAGCGTTGTCGAGAAGGGCGTATGGTTATCAGACCGACCTGTTGTCATTAACATCCCAGAGAACACAACCCCTACCTTCAACCATCCCGACAGAATACTGCTTATTCCAGAATAGCACCCACACACTCGTGGTACAGAGCCTCGCATCTGCACACCGCTCTAGCCATCTCAGCAGAGCCTCGCAAGGTCAAGGTTCAAACTCATTCGCGTCACAGTACATTGCTCTCTTAGCATTGACATCTGCCTGGTGATCACATTTTATGGTCGTGCACGGGAGCACCTTTCGAGTTTCAGGAAGTTCTTGGTTGAAGAAAAGTTTTGGACGCAAGGAGAATGGCCTGGGCGTGGTGGAAAAGAGCCGTGTGGAAGGGTGAAGCATAGAAACCATCTTCGGCACTGCTAAGTGGGTTTGGTAAATGTGTTGAGGATGCCTGACTGGAGAACAGCGCGCAAGTGTTCCTCGAAGGCCTGGAAGAAGTGGTCAATGAAATGAACTCTTGCATGTGCTGTGTCCCATGTGGTGCCCGGAGGGTACGGAGTTGGGCAGAGAGCAGCCAAACGTGCAGGTTCGTGATTGTAAACCAGGACTGGAAAGCTGGCAGAGGAGCGCATGCTTGCTCGGTTAATTAAGCCGGCTAAAAGTCGTATAGAGTTTCTGCACACACCTTCTCTCAAAAACGCAGACTCCTGATCAGCACGCGTGGCATATAGCCTAACGTAGAGTGTTGGTCAAGTGCACGGCGCGCCTGTTAGCAAACCGTTGCGGCTGGCCAGGTGCGCCGTCCAACGTTCTCCAAAGCTAGAGGGGATTTTTCCAATGGATAGGAGCCCCTAAGAAGAAAGCGACGAGGATGTCTCCATTGAAGTCGTTGATAATAGCAACACCGGGCATTTACTTTGGAGGGTGGTAGAGTTGTGGTGAAATCAGGAAGTCGTGTTGAGGACACTGCAGCTTTGATGGCTGTTGACCTCGGGGCTAACTGCTCTCGCAGGAGACGTCTCGATCGAGTTGCGTGCTACTTGCGGCATCTCTAGAAACTTCCGGAAGTTGTTCGATAAGCTGCGTTATGTTGATTGGATAAGGGATGGAGGTTGACCACTTCGTTCAAGTGTAACGGCAGCCAGTTTCCAGCAACGAGGATTCAAGGGTGCCAACCAGACTAACCAAGAGAGCACAAGCTCTTAAAGCGAACCAGCCGTAGCTATTCGGTACTTGTGGACCATGCAACTGATACATACCTGTCACATCCACCTCTTCGCTTGTTTCCGAGCCTTTGTCTAATTTGAATTTTGCTCGCAATGGGAGGTGCGACCGTCCCGATTCCCGATAATAGTCAAATTCTACGATGGCGAGCGCCACGGCCACCGAGTCTACACTGACTCGCAAGTAGTGCACAGTAAGTATACCATGACAGTAACCATGTGCTCCAAACTGGTGTGGCTATTGGCCACTCGGAGAAGGTACTTTTTCTCAGCTGTGTGCTTAACAACTGATCAACAGTGACACGAAAGACAACAAACTCAGTACGTACATATGTCAGAAAAAAAACGGCCAATGTGTTATATAAAGGGTGTTAAGTTGCGGCGCACCCCTGCTGGCGCTGATGGTGATCCAGCCTGGCGAACGTCTGTGCATGATCGATCGGTAAGTAACGTGGTATAGAATTGGAAAGGAAGATAATACTACCCGCGGAGTTGAATAGACAGCATCGAGTCGAGCTTCAAGTGAGAAGTGAACATTGATGTTCGCAACATAAGTACATATGATGTAATGTAAAAATGCTGTATACGGCAGCACCTGAGAATAAACCCTTGTACTTTCCCGCATGCATATTGACCTTCTGCAAACGGGACGAAACTACTTAACCCTGCTATGGCCATCAACTTTCTCTCCTCAGGATTGACTTCTTTTCGTTTAACAACTTGAAGCTTCTCAGCTACCTTCAGCCATGCACTTCCTCTCTCGACGCTCTGCGGAGCCGCTAAGGTTATCTACTGATTTGGATATAGCTGGAGGAAAAAGTGCTGCAGCAAACACTCCCCTCCAGGTCCAGGAGAAAGTTTCTCCAAATCGTGTCTTTAAACGCGTCACCACCCTCTTCAACCCTCGCAAAAGAACTTTGTCTAAGAACATCTGCCCCATGCGCCATGGCGCGGGTGGCTACGGAGCAGTCGGATTCATTCGTGATGCCACTGCAGTATATCCCCGATTATCCAGTGATTCCTCCATTGGATCACCGGACGAAATTCGGAGACCCAGCGGCCTAGGTCGCAGGGCCAGTTTAATGGAGCCTTGGGAATTACCAAGTGGAAATGTTGATCTAGAGCCGTTGGGTGGAAATGGAGGTAAGCCAAGGGCGTTCATGTCTTTGCCTGATCTATTGAATGAAATCCGTCACATCAACTCCATCCAGAACCTCTTGCAGAACCCACGACACAAGCTGGCAATTACCGGACAGGAATCGCGATCCAGAATCTTCCTGTGGAGGTCTTAGAGACAATATTGTCTTTTTTGCCCAGGTTCGATCTACCGCGTATTGCCCTTGTTTCGGCTCAGTTCTGCCTCCCAACGCGTAACGCGTTGTATCGGAAACTCGACTTCCAATCAATATCAGAGCCACAAGTTGAAAAGCTTTGTACCATCCTCGCCACCCATGCGTCTCTCGCTGCGAGGGTTCAATCTCTCTCCTGTCACTTTTGGCCCGCGACAACGTCAAGCGATGCCCACCTTATACCATCTCCTGATTTTACGACCGCGTTGCAGAATATGTCGAACTTGGAATTTTTTACGATACGGACATGTGTTCCAGTACTTTCCCAGTCGCCTTCTCTTCCTTTCCGGTTGAAAACACTGGTCATCCTTGACGACACAATCTCTCCGCAACAAGTAACCGACATTCTACATTTTCTCAAAAATCAAACCTCCCTACAATATCTAGCTTTTCCCAACGTCGTCGAGACAGCTTTTTCCCCCGAATATTCCTCTCATACATCCGCATTCGGGCTCGCACGAGAAATCATACTGCCGTCGCTCTCTCAACTGCACGCTCCCCCACAACTGATGACGACAATATGCTCCTTATTGGGACACGTACTCCATAGTGTCGTTTTGGATGTCACCACCACGCTTTACACGGGGTTGCGACCTGCCGCACTTCTCCGTGCTATTCAAGGTGTCTCCAAACTGGACGTAGTCTTCACCCACGAGGTGGACAAACGAACGGTTGAAAAATTCTTGGGTGCTGCCGGTGGAATACTGTCAGATAGTGGTGCTTCCAATACTCGCGGTCTCGCCGTTTTGGAGGTGGAGGTACTTTGGATGGAAAATGACACCGCTGAAGTCAGTGATATTTTCCGAATTCAAGCATCGTTCATTCTGACGCTTTGCACGAAGATACTCTATGGCATCATTGATTCAGTCATCTCGCGTTTTAATGGCTTGCGCACACTCAAGCTCACCACACCATTTCGTTCCATGCAAACAACACCCTCATTGTCTGTCTCCGTCCCACCGCCCATACCTTCTCCGACTGCCACAACCTCGCTTTACCCTTCATCGATGCTGATTACTTCGCCTCTGGGTGATGTCCTATCAAGCGACTTTGTGAGCTCAGGTACAGAGAAGACACATGCCAAAATGTGGACGACAGCCTGCTCTACACTTAGTGACATCCAATTTTACTTTCCGGATCCATCACCGCAGGCAGACGTGGCACTCTGTGGAGTGTGGTTTCACAGGAAACAGTGACGGTCGAGCCTCAGCTATCGTTCAGGATACAGCAGAAAATATATTTATCCACTCGGACAAGACACGGATGTCTATTCAACTAGACAATGATCTAGCAGAGCTGCATCGCCGACCCCTTCCGGGCCCCCTTTACTGCTATGCGGCATTGTATCCGAGCTTAGTGCAACTTGGAAGTCGACGTTTTCATCCGGGATGTAACATAAGGTATATATAGATATGCAAGTAATATGTACGGGGGAATTAAATGACTGGATATCAATTGTCTACCTTGGTGTTCTAGCGACACAAGAGGCGTCTGCCATGATCTAGCTGTCATACACACCATTGTAAATTATTAATCTGTGCGAGGACGTTTCTTGGCACTCCCGTTCGTATGACCGTTGGTTGCCGCAGCATCCACCGTCGAGAAGTAGTCCAAAGATCCTTTGGGATCCGGCTTGATGGTTTTAGCACCCTCAGTCCAACCCAGAGGGCAGACCTCTCCATGTTCCTCCTGGAAAAGATGCAGTGAAACGTTACACCGTACAAATAACAAGCCGTACCACAAATTGGAAGGCCTTAAGAAGACGGATGGTTTCGTCCACGGATCGACCGACGGGCAGATCATTAATGGTGATTTGCCTATATTAAAGCGTCGGTAACCTATTCCAGGAATAGAACGCAGACTCACCTGACGATACCCTTGGGGTCAATAATGAACAGACCGCGCAGTGCAATGCCTTCTTCCTCGATGAGGACACCATAATCCTTGGATATTTTCATGTTCCTATCCGCAATCAAAGGAAGCTTGAGGTCGGGCCCAATGCCACCCTGCTTCCTCGGTTGCTGCGCCCATGCAAAGTGGGAGTACTGGGAATCCGTGGAAACACCTGTGACACCATCAAAACGTGTCCAGTAGACGACAAAAAGAGAACGAACCGAGAACGCGTCCATTCAGCGCTTCGAATTGAGGAAGCGCATCATTGAAAGCCAAAATCTCAGTTGGACAAACGAACGTAAAATCCCTGTCAGCGCGTGGTAAGAACACGGCACTTGAAGAGAACGATTATCCTCACATTGGGTAGAAGAAAAGAATCACCCTAGTAGACAATGCTAATGTTAGCCACTGCTCTCACGAATGTCTACCGTAAGACACGTACCATTGGCCCAAGAACTCAGACAGGGAAATGTCCTTGAATTCACCCTCAATGACTGCGGTAGCTGTGAAGGCTGGCGCGGGACGCTGAACGAAGACGGGCATCTTGACAATGGAACTGGGTTGCGAAGGTAGGAAAAAGGCGAATATCGAAGTGTTGATGCAGATTTTAAATTTAATTAACCAACGCGTTATGTGCGTGTATTTGGCTGGTCCATGGACCTATTGCTCGGAAGCGTGCAACTACACCTTCCTAGTGTGCGTACTTACATGCTACTCGGGGAAAATATTTATTGTAAGTCTTTCATAGACGGAGGAATGTTTGATCCTAGTAAGGTGGAGGGATCTCGACAGTCACAGGCCTATCATTCAGGTGCCTGTCACCTCACCCCAAAATATCCCTTCACAGCTGCGGCCACGCGTCAAAAGATACCTACTATGTAGCAGTGACTGCAACAACATCGCAACCGCCGCGCTTGGTTTTGGGGCAGCAACAAGAGCGAGGGACTGGAATATCAATAGTATGATCACAGTGACACAGGGACGGTCAGTGGAGAACGTGTGCTAGATTGGCTGACTCGTCGTACTAGGTGACCTCTTCAATACCGGTCTGAAAAACATACATGTTACTTCTCTCGAAGCTTGAGAAGAGGAACTACATTCATTAGAATACACACGGTCGATCACGTTCATGTTTGACCACTGTATTCGTTCATCAGCGACTGGTGAGACAACTGGTTACTGAATTTACATATTTTACTGACCAAATTCTCGCTTTCTCAAGACTATCGTGATGCAGGCCATGAATTTCTTAAAAGGACCAAGTCTTGGGTCTGACTAGTTGCTGACCAGTGACTCTTGGCTCGGGGAGCTCAACTTAATCCGCCGGCTACCGCACAGCAACGGTCACGTAACACCATAAGTATGTCTCCAGCGTCTCACAGTGTCCATTTTAATGTCATGTCAACAGACCTGAATGGATTCCTAGAATTGTAGTTAGCCCACTCGGACTGACTTCGAATGACCTGGTCGATTACACATAGGTTCGGCACTTTGCTAGGTCCGATCATCCGACCGGCACACGCAGGAGATTAATGAATCCTATCGATGTCCTGGGCCTAGCCTCAGGCCCCAGTCAGGTCCACAGGCTCGCTAAGGGCTTCGACGGACCTGTCCTGGGCGGTTTGTAGGCCCTGGCCAGGGCTTTCAAAGTTTTTGCCAGGCCCGAGCTCCCCTGAAGCCAGGCCCACCCCTGGCTTTCAGGCCAAGTCAGGCCCGATACATCACTACGTGAGGCTTCAATTTAAAAGACGAGGCAAGTCAATGCAGTGAATCAGTATAAAAACACTCAATACACACGCTTCTGTAGCTTGGAGCAAGACGCCCATTATCTCTCTACCCAAGTCCACCTCCACCGTGTTCGACACCATCAACTTCCAGTAAAATGTCGCACCTCACTCCAAGAACCAAACCCCTTCGACTTTTTAAAGATCACGAGGATGTCATACGCGCTGTAGCAGTTTTGCCCGATAGACAACGAATGGTCACAGGCTCGCACGACAAGACACTTCGTCTTTGGGACCTGAAGACAGGTAGAGTGTTGAAGAAGATGGAGGAGCATGGGGCCGACGTGAACGGAGTGGTGGTATCACCAGATGGGCAAATAATAGCAAGTGGTAATGAGAAGGGACATCTCATCGCCTGGCACGTAGAAACTGGGGAATGTCTTACCCATGGCATTATTATAGCCCACTCCGAAAAGATCTTATCGTTGGACTTTTCTCCTGATGGTACAGTGCTGGCGACTGGCTCCACAGACTCGAAGGAATCGACGAAGCTGTGGAAGACAAAAACATGGCAGCAGGAACTCGACAATCCAATAGAATGTAACGGTATTGTCTTCTGTGTTCGGTATTCGCCATCTGGCAAATATCTTGCCATCGCAACAAGCATCAATATCGAAATCTATAATCCAGACACAAGGGAACGCATCACGATCATCCAGGATCTCAACTGGTCGCTCGCGTGGACGCCCGATGGCACACGCCTCCTCTCAGGGGGAAGTAGTGGCGATCCGACCATACGGGAGTGGGATGTATCCACTTGGCAGCAAGTCGGTGATGGCTGGAAGGGCCACACCGAGCGTATCAACGCCATTTCCATCCATTCTGCGGGCACACTCGTTGCCTCTGCATCTGAGGACATGCATGTCCGTCTCTGGGGGCTCTCAGATCGACAAACCATCGCTATCTTCCAGCATTCGGCCCCACTTTATTGCGTCACTTTCTCCATAGACGGACAGAAGATCCTCAGCGGAGGTCGTGATAAGATGATCTCAGAGTGGGAGGTGCCAGAGCAGGTACTTTTTCATTCATTACCTACCCCTTCGCCACCATCTCATCTCGCGCCTTTTTCATTCCAAGCCTCAAGACTCTGATTCAAAGGCATGTTTCCGCCCTTCACCCGTATCACATGATTCGAGCATTTGTTATGCAGATCCTCGTTATCACCCCGACCGCCCGCAAGGCATGTATCGCAGGGGACTTGTCCGCGGCGGAAAAGATACTCACGCAAGAGATCAAAGCCGATGCCAACAACAACACCTCCTACGCCAACCGCTCGCTCGTTATGGCACGCAAACTCGACTGGGACCACGCGCTCCAAGATGCAGATAAGGTGTCAACAACATCATGCCCCCTCAAACTATGCTAACTTTTGGTTATAACATAGTCCCTCAGTATACGGCCCTCATTGACTGGTTATGTTGCCAAGGGTATCGCCCTCGGCGGGAAACGAAAGGTCTTGGACGCGATGAAAGTATTCGACGTCGCGTTCGCGTTCACCAACGGAGATTCAAAGACGAACCATTTACTTTTCTTGATCAAGGTATGTAAATCTTCGATTCGTACTCTGTGCTTCATTACGGGTTTCAGGCTATCGCGTCGTTCGATACAAACCATAAAGAAGACATGCTGCCCATCCAAGAGCTAGCTGCCCGTCCCAATCCAGATCCTCTTGTTTCTCGTGTCGTGGAGGTAAGTCTTCTGCACTCAATCGAGCCCAGGGTGATGTCCTCACTGATGTATCTGCGCTTCGCACATCAGGCGTATCTGCGAGTGCAGCTAGGAATCATTGCCATGGAGGACAACCTTCATAAAGAGGCCGCAGAACATTTCACTGCAGCTGTCAAAGCTAGTATTTTCTTTTATAAATCGGACATTCATTCTATGTACAATGACTTTGTCGTGGTACGTTGATATGCTGTGTTCGAAAATCATTTTGATGCTCAACTGCTTGCTCGTGCAGCTATTCGGCTGGGACCTCAAGTCCTTGTGGCAAATCGCGAACAAGAAACGCTGCCATGCACTTGTCCGGGCAGGTCAAATCGGAGCAGCCCTCGAAGCGTACCGATACATGATGGACATGAGCGATGAAGCCACGAAGGCCATTTTCCTTACTTGGACCAATAGTAAGTCTTCTGCAATGTTACCTGTGTTACGATTCTCACCCGTATTCTACTCAGCTCTCAATGGAGCATAAGGCTCACTCTACTACACCGCACACGAAGATGTCGCCATCGTAGCGAGGAGCGCGATGAGCATCTTGACACCAACTCTTTTGCGCTGTCCTACTCTGTACCTCTACTCTATACAGATCGCGCCCTTTGTACTGGTTGGTATGCTAGCTCATAACACGAACTACAATATTTCCACACCCAGAGTCCCTATGAATTCAATCCTTGGCAGGTCGTCAACTTAAAGCGCGTCATTGTCAAGAGGTTATTTAACACCCTTGCAAGCGCCGACCTAATCACTCACCGAGTCACCAAAGCGTCCACGAAAAAGGAATTCCAAGTGACACAGATCATTTTGGGTCAGCGCATAACTGCGGTGGTGACATGAAAGATCAGCGTCAGGGTGCACGTTAGTCTCCCGTAGTCAGATCATATAGAAGGAAGACAGTCGTTCCTTCTTTATAATGGCGGTTGGATAAAGTAGGGCCGTGCAGTGGGCCCGTTAGATCGACTCTCTGAAGCTGAGTCGTTACAGCCCTTTGCATAAATTCGTGAAAATGGGAATTTTTTTGAGCATGTGTGGCGCGGGAACCGGTGACATTTGTCACGTCTTCCGCTACTCTTTCGTCATACAATGGGTCGCGCCATCAGTGAAGACCTCAAACATAGGATTGTGCTCATGTATGAAACTGATGGCTTGACTATGGAAGTGATTGCGGAGACACTGCGTGTCTCAATTGGCCTTGTATCGAAAGTCATTTGCCTTCACCAACTTTATGGACAAGTGACCAACCCTTTCGGTCATCATACAGGACGTCCATCACTTCTTAATAACGACGACCTCCAGTTCATCTCAGCTATCATTCATGCTAATCCTGGCCTGTATCTTGACGAAATTCAGAACAAATCGGCAAATGTGTGGGACATTCAGGTGTCAATTGCTACCATTGCCCGAGCTCTCCATCAACTTGATCTGACTCGCAAATCAACAACTAGAGCTGCTGCACAGCGAGATGAAGAACTTCGGACACTTGGGAAGCCGTGCTGGCCAATTTCTCGCTTTCTCGAGACCCCAAATACTATCATGATGAGGCCATGAATTTCTCAAAGGGACCAGGTCTTAGGTCCGACTCTTGGCTCGGCGAGCCAAACTAAATCTGCCGCCAGTTCACAACCCGTCATCCAGTTACCACATAGCAGCGGTGTAATACCATGAGTATGTGCCTCAACGTCTGCAAGTGTCCATTAATGTCGTGTCGACAGAGCTGAATGGATCCGTGGAATTGTATTCAACCCACGAATGACATGATCGATTATACATCATGATTGGCCCGGCACATCGCTAGGTCCGGCGCTTGTAAGCCAGACCCGAGTCAGGTCTGCAGACCTGCTAAGGGCTTCGAGGGGCCTGGTTTTTGGGCCCTGGTCGGGGCTAAGCCAGGCCCGAGCCCTGGCTTTTAGGCCAAGCCAGGTCCAGATCATTACTACTAGTTTTAAAAACGAGGCAAGTCAACACAGTGAAGCAAGCACAGAAACCCTCAATACACGCGTCTCTGCAGCTTAGAGCAAGACGTCCATAATCCCTTCACCCCAAGTCAACCTCGGCCGTGTTCAACACCATCAACTTCCAGTAAAATGTCGCACCCCATTCCAAGCACCAAACGCTTCCGAGTTTTTAGAGGTCACGAGAAATCCATACGCGCTGTAGCAGTTTTCCCTGACACACGACGAATGGTCACATGCTCGTACGACAAGACGCTTCGTCTTTGGGATTTGACAACAGGTCAAGCGTTGAAGAAGATGGAGGAGCGCGCCGAAGTGGATACATTGGCGGTATCAAGTAATGGGAAAGTAATAGCGAGTGGTGATGCGAAGGGACATCTCATCCTCCGGCACGGGGGAACTGGGGATCGTCTTACCCATGGCATTATCATGGCACACACCGAAAAGATCAGATCGCTGGACTTTTCTCCCATAGGTACGGTGCTAGCGACTGGTTCAGCAGACTCGACGAAGCTGTGGCAGTGGAACACAGAAACTCAAACCTGGCAGGAGGATCTCGACGATCCAATAGAGTGCAATAACATTGTCTTCTGCATTCGGTTTTCACCATTTGGCGAATATCTTGCCATCGCAACAAGCAAAAATATCGAAATCTATGATGCAAATACGAGAGCATGCATCGCGATCCTTCGGGATCTCAACTGGTCGCTCGCGTGGACGCTCGCGTGGACACCTGATGGCACACGCCTCCTCTCAGGGGGAGGTGGTGGCGATCCGACCATACAGGAGTGGGATGTATCCACTTGGGAGCAGGTCGGTGATGGCTGGGAGGGTCACACTGATCGTATCAACGCCATTTCCGTCCATCCTTCGAGCAAACTTGTTGCCTCTGCATCTGATGACAGGTGTGTCCGTCTCTGGAGGCTCTCAGATCGACAAACCATCTCTATCTTCGAGCACTCGGCCCCGATTTTTTGCGTCACTTTCTCCATAAACGGAAAGCATATCCTCAGCGGAGGCGATGATAAGATGATCTCGGCGTGGAATGTACCCAAGGATGCCTTGCCAAAGGTACTTTCCCGTTCATTTCCCTCCTCTTCGCCATCTCATCTTGCGTCATTTTTATTCCAAGACTCGAGACTCTGATTCAAAGGCATGTCTCTGCCCTTCACTTGTATCACGCAATGCGAACATTTGTTATGCAGATCCCCATTATCAATGTGACCGTGCGCAAGGCATGCATCGCAGGGGACTTATCTGCGGCTGAAAAGATACTCACGCAAGAGATCCAAGCCGATGCCAACAACGACACCTCCTACGCCAACCGCTCGCTCGTTATGGCGCGTCAACTCGAGTGGGACCGTGCACTTCAAGATGCAATCAAGGTGATGACGACATCATGCCCCCTCAAACTATGCTAACTTTGGGTTTTAACATAGTCCCTCAGTTTACGACCCTCATTGGCAGGTCATCTTGCCAAAGGTATCGCCCTCTGTGGGAAACGGCGGATCTCGGACGCGGAGAACGAATTCAACGTCGCGTTGGCGTTCGCGGATGGAGATTCAAAGACGAATCATTTCCTTTTCTTGATTAAGGTGTGTAAATTTTCGATTCTTACTCCATGCGTCATTACGGATTTCAGGCCATCGCGTTGTTCAATGTAAACCACGACAAGGAGAAGATGTTGCCTATCGAAGAGCTAGCTGCCCATCCCAATCCAGACCCTCTCGCTGCTCGTGTCGTAGTAGTAAGTATCATGCACTCAATGAAGCCCCAGTTCGTGTCTAATGTATCTGCGCTTCGCACATCAGGCGTATCTGCGAGTGCAGCTAGGAATCATTGCCATGGAATACAACCTTCACAAACAGGCCGCAGAACACTTCACTGCAGCTGTCAAAGCTGGTGTTTTCTTTTATGAATCGGACATTCATTCTCTGTATGAGGACTTTGTCGTGGTACGTTGATATGCCGCGACCGAAGATCCTTTTTATGCTCAACTGCTTGCTCGTGCAGCTATTCGGCTGGGACCTCAAGTCCTTGTGGCAAATCGCAAACAAGAGACGCTGTCATGCACTCGTTCGGGCAGGTCAAATCGGAGCAGCCCTCGAAGCGTACCGATACATGTTGGAAATGAGCGATGAAGCTACGAAGGCCATCTTCGTTGCTTGGACCAATAGTAAGTCTTCAGTAATGTTACCCGTGCTACGATCCTCATCCGTATTTTACTCAGCTCTCAATGGAGCATAAGGCGAGTACTCCACTACACCACACAGGAAGATGTTGTCATCATAGCGAGGAGTGCGATGTGCATCTTGAAACAGATATTTGCGCCGTTCTGATTTGTACCTCGACTCTATATGTAGCGATCTCGCCATTTGTACTTGTATAGTATGCTAACTTATCACACGAACCGCAACACTTCCACACCCAGAGTCCCTATGAATTGTATTGGTCGTCACCTTAAAGCGCTTTGCTGTAAAGAGGTTACCACTTTGCAAACGCCAACTTGATCATTCACTGAGTCACCAAAGCGTTCATTACAAAGGAATTCCAGGTGCCATCGCTTTTGGTCGGCGCATAACTACGGTACATCGCTCATACGTATGAAGATCTCCACTCCATATACCTACGAATCAAATCAAAACTCTTGCTGGCTTTCTCCCGAGTGCGTTAAGGATGTCTGGGTAGCCAACATGCTCAACCCACGCGGACGACAGCCTACAGGAAATCTACACATCGCAGATAATAGCAGCGAAAATGACGATGGCGATGCCTCCTGTGCGATATCCACAAGGGTATCATCTGTCTCTGAGACATGACTCCTCAAATATACTAATGGCAGTACTCTTTCCTCAACGTCAGTATACCTCCAGGACCTCGCTAACAAATAATACAGCTCCCGCCTTCTGCTTTCTCTAATCGAGCGTCTAGTCTTGCGTTGAGGGTCCCGTCGGCTGCGAGGCGGGGGGTATTACTGATAGTGGGTTAGTTAGCGTCGGTCTCCGCGGCGAATATGCTTATGAAAGGGAGGGAAGCAGAGGATGTGAGAAACAGCGGGGAAGGAGGGTGAAAATAACAGAGATTAAATGGGAGGAACGAAGCCAAAAGTAAATGGTAGCGAAGCCAAAAAAAACAGCGGAGACAGAACGTAGACTAAAGATAAATCACTCACTCCCACCCGAGATCATCACTTAGCACCCCAATCAGCGCATTCGTATAGTGCGTGCCTTCCTCGGACCACTTGGCAGGATGGGGAGGTCGGCACGGTTTGGGTGAGTTGGCAGAGGAGAAAAATATCAGTAGAAGCCCATTGTCAGCCCCCATGCAATACAACAAAATCAGAACCCACCTAGGATCAGTAACCCGCCCAAGCTCCAGTACGCTGAATACAGACCCATCTGGTGGGCGGTGGGCGAGGCGGTTCGAAGATTGAAGGGGAATCGTGAGGGGCGGTTATGTTGGGATAGTAGGTGTCGCGGCACGAGGCTGATTCGAGGATGGGTGCCTTGAGTGGGAGGTTTGGACCGGTGGGGACGAGGAAAGCAAGTCCGGTATTGGGGACGATCCTAAAATATCTGTCCAGTGCCAGTGATAAGTAACACCTCGGAGATTCTAGTACCGCACCATGTTCATGTTGTCTCCAGTAACTGCCATGTAACTGCAAAAGAACTTGTCAGTCAAGATTTTTGTGCTGGTGTTTCTAATATGGAGACGTGCTCCTTTACAACTCTTAATCAAGCTTCAAAAATTGATGGATTTGTGATGATTCTGATGAGCACTGCACTGACAATTCATCAAGAGTCCACTGATAATGAGTTGCAAGACATTGATCGCTGTGAAAATGTGTGTGGTTTGGCAGGCAAAGGCGGATGATGAGTGGCAAGACATTAGGGGCGCTCAAAGTTAAAATGCCCAATGCCCAGTGCCGTTTGAGCTCTACGTGAGCCTGAGAACGTTTAGCTCAAACAAGTGCTTACTAAACGAGCGAACGCGTAACTAAGACGCGCTTTGATAGACGCGTCTTTCATCTCGCTTTCATCTCGCGTTCGCTCACCTAGAATTCTTAGTAGAGAGTCATCCGCGTTCTTATCACCAAACAACACGTTTCTATTCTGCAATGACTAACAACGCGTCTAACTCTGGATTACCAACAGGAGTAGGGGGAAAAGACACTTCTGCCCTTAACCCTAATGGCCCAGGCCAACATCGGGCTGACACAGATAGACTCGCTGACGGAGTCGTCAGGAACAGGCATCGCGCAGTATCTTCGACGCGCGATGTATTGCAACGCGAAAACGACGCGAGATCCGATCGAAACAGTGATCGAGCAGATCGTCGAGTGACGACGTCGGGCTATGTCTCCGATGACGAGCTGGTGTTAGATCTTCCCGATAGCGAAGAGCGTGCTCTACCAGATCCTAGACCCATTGACACGAATAGGCCGTTGATCAACGCTTTCAGTGTGGTCAACGCACTCACACCCCACTCACGCGATGCCTTCAACGCGATCATGATTGGTAAACAACAGGGATCTACGGGAACTACTATCCCGGATCCCCCTACTACGAGCGCTAGCAGCGCGTCATCTTCAACCCAACTCGCATATATGGACGATGATGTGGTTATGGTTTCGTCAATCGACGACGTTTACGAGATACCTCGGGTAGTGATCAATCTCGCGCTCGCGAGGATGCATGTACCTCTCACGCTTCTGACTGCGGAAGCGATCGAATGGATCCACACGGACCCCTCGTCCTTCAGAATGAAGAAAGGCATCGTGTCAGACGACCCCAAGAAGTCCGTCATGGACCCTTCCACTTTCCCACCGGAAACCTCCCTCTCAGCAGCTCAGTTTGGGGAGGCATCCGAGAATTTCATCAACCTCCTTGCTCATGTCGCGAGCCCTCTAATCATTGAACGCTTCAAGTGACACCGTCGCTTCTGCCTAGCTCGCAAGCACTTCGAAGACAACTTCGAGGCCATTTTAGCCTTCGACATTGAGACGAGAAGGATCTTCTTCAATACCAAGTCTTTCTTCACCAAAGCAGCTTACGAGCGCCGCTGGAACGAGATTCAGATGCTAGTCTCCAAGTGTAAGTCTGATGAAGCCTCAGCCAATGCCAACCGCAAAGCAGCATGGATGGCCACGCTGGTCGCACGTCTCGAAAATTCCAATAGTAGCAATCGCTACAACCCGTACCCCCCCAAACAGAAGCAGGACAGCGCTAACACGGGCTCGGACGGGAAGTCCTTTCGGAAAGGCAAAGGGGCCTCATCCGACGGACCCCTTTGCCTCCTCTGCGGTCGGAATGGTCACAAGGCCAGTGACTGTACATTCACTCACTCCGCCAAGAACACCCCCATTGTCTGTGTCTGGCAGGACAAAATTGTCCTCAAGTCCTCTTCCGCCGTCGTCTGTATCTCTCACAACATCGGAAGATGCATCCCGGGCAAACACGGAGCTGACATCATTCATGTCTGCTCAGTCTGTGGAAGCAAGGCCCATGCAGCCTCTGCCAGATCATGTTGATAGTATCCTCAATCGTGTCGTCACTCTGTACGACGCCAACACCTTCAAATGTCTCTTGCACAAGTTTAATCTCACCTCTCGCTATCCCAAACTCGCTTACAACATCAGACACGGCTTCCCCATTGGCAACATGCCCATTTTAACTCACTTGTACACTCCTCCCAATCACAAATCAGCACTCAACAATCCCGAAGTTATCCGATCCTACCTCGCAGAAGAAGTATCCCTTAATCGTATGTCTGGACCCCTCTCTGCCGCCCAGGTTGAGGCAGAACTGGGAGGGTTCTTTGTTTCTTGCCCACTCGGCCTTGTTGAGAAGGCCGGGTCCCCAGGACGATTCCACATCATTCGCGACTTATCATATCAAAACAAGGAGGATTGGTACTCAGTCAACGAGCATCTCAACGCGGATGACTTCCCCACCGAGTGGGGCACAGCTTCACAGGTGGCTGAAATTGTAAGTACTGCTTCTTCTCGTTTGTACACACCAGGTGCATATATGCACCGGACTGCTACTCTTTTGTGTGGTGTTGTCCGCTTTGTTCGTTGCAGAGCTAGGTGCATATATGCACCTAGCCGAGCTCTTCTTTGTGCGGTGTCGCCCACCTCTTCTTTGCAATGTCAGTGCTTGATTGCGTCCGACTGAGCTCTTTCATGCACGAGGCACCACAGAGTGCCTCATTTGTGTGCATTGTCGTGTCAGCCTGTGCCATCATGCACATAACCTTATTCTCCATGATCCTTGCTGATCAACTGGCTAGGTGGCTACTGCACCTTTGGGCACACAAGCAGCTACACTCGATATTGAAGCTACATACCGTACAGTGCCTGTATGGCCTCCCCACAAAAGATTCCTTGTGGTGGGATTTGACGGTTCATTCTGGATTGATCACAACTTTCCCTTCGGTCTTACCACCACCGGCGGTGTTCAAGGTCACGTAGCGGATGCCACCATCGACATCCTGCACGCAATGAACATATCACCCATCAAGAAATGGGTCAACGACCATGCAATGTTCCGTTTCCCGGTTGCAGGAGGCGTATTGGGCCCCGACGGGTCCTTCTCATCATACAAGTACTTGTTCGACTTGCTCAGCATCTTTTCGGCGACTCGCCCATTAGGCATCCCATGGCACCCCAAAAAGTGCACTGACTTCAATACCGTCTTCACGTACCTGGGTTTTCTGTGGGACTTAGTGCACCATTCAGTCTCGCTTCCCGAGGCGAAGCGTCTCAAGTACTTAGCCAAGCTTGAAGCCGTCTTGCTATCCTTATCCAAGTCACCCTTCATGTCTCGCAAGGATGCACTCAGCATCCACGGCACACTATCCCACGTTGCATTTGTTATTCCCCATGGTCGAGCATTCTTATCAAACCTCTCCTGTTTTACATCCATGTTCCCACATGAGGCCCGCTTCGCACGGAGAAAGCCACCCCCATCTGTCATCAGTGACCTCAAATGGTGGCGTGACGTGCTTAACACCACACCACCTGCGCGTTTACTCATACCAAGAGGTCCTCCACAGGACATTGACCTCTGGGTCGATGCATCGACCGACTGGGGCATCGGACTTGTTCTAGGCAGTCAATGGAGCGCTTGGTGCACTGTTAGTGGTTGGAAAGGGGAAGGCAGGGACATAAGCTGGCTCGAGGCAATCGCCATCAAGCTGGCCGTCTTAACATTGCAGTCAGCGGGCTGGAAAGACCGTTCGGTGCTGATATACTCTGACAATCAAGGTGTCATAAGCGCCTTCAAGCATGGCCGCAGCCGAAACTTTCAGGTGAACTTATGCATCAGGCGTGTGCAGGCCATCGCTATGGATTCCAACATGTTACATCACCTTTTATACACTGAGTCGCTAGCCAACAAGGTGGACCCTGTCTCTCGTGGCGAGACAGGCCCAGCTAGCTCTCGTCTACCCTTCCTCCAGCTGCCTGCAGAGCTGGTACCATACATTGTGACTTATGTCTGATGCACTCGCATCACTGTCAGCAAGTGCTGACTTGGTGTCAGCCATGGTCCAGCTTTGGAACGCCTTGAAGAGACAACCCGAGATTGGAATGCCGCCCACAGCTGCTCACAAGATCCCTAAGCCTCGTAAACCAAAAACACATAACAAAATTGCACCTTCCCAGTATCGGCCTCATGTTCTTGCTCGCGACAGAGTTCGTCTCTGGTCCACACCTCATTCAGACTCCTTCCACTCAACCCTCCTCAATGATCTTCCACTGAACACTGCATCTTGTTTACTTGACATCGTCTTAATCTCCGTCGAACCCAAAATGCGCGAGAACTACAGTGCAGGCCTACTCCGTTTCCATCAATTCTGTGACTCAATTTCCATCCCAGAAGACCGTCGCTTACCAGCATCAGAACATCTTATAGCAGCTTTCATTTCTTCTTGGGCGGGTCGCGTCGCCGAGACAACCGCAGAAAATTGGCTAGCAGGGCTGCATTTTTGGCATCAAATGAACGGGGCACAGTGGCATGGCCACGCTCTCCTCCGAAGGGCTAAACAAGGGCTGGCTAAAGTCGTTCCTGAGACATCAAAACGACCTCGTCGACCACCCATAACATTAGACCACATGCATGCCCTGTTTTGCTGTCTCGATCTTTCCAATTCCTTTGATGCAGCTGTCTACTGCACAGCCAGTGTTGCTTTTTGGTCCTGTTGCAGGTACTATCACATTTACGTTCGTCATTCATAGACTCACCCTCCCTAGACTTGGAGAACTTATAATCCCATCACTTAATGCCTTCGAACCCACACATCACGTTTCTTGCTCTGTCACCATCACGTATTGCACGACCGCAGGCGGTGCCAATTATGCATCTTTTCACATCCCTTGGACAAAAACCACGCATGGCGATGGGGATTTCATAACCGTTTCCAAGGTCGACGACCCTACTAATCCTTATGATGCACTCATTCACCACATTTCCGCCAACTCAGCCGTCCCCCCATCAGCACCTCTCTTCGCATTTGAGACAGAGACAGGCTGGGCTCCGTTGACACGTCCATGGTTCATTACTCGGTGCAACAACATTTGGAAGTCGGAAGGCTTAGAAACTTTGTCTGGACATTGCTTTCGCATTGGCAGGGCTACCAAACTGTTACTTAGAGGCACTCCCCCCGACATAGTCACCGCTCAAGGACGTTGGAAGTCCAGATCATTCTTAGACTATTGGCGTTGCATCGAGTCAATTCTGCCTACCTTCATAGCTAGTTCTCTGCAAGATTCGCGTTTTTCTCTCATTAAAGCCTCAATGGACTCTTATGAGCATAGATACAGATAGTTTGTGCATGTATCCCATTCGTGTTCGCGCTCGTTACTCACAAGTCTTCATAAGTTGGGGGTCGGTGTTTTCTGCATGACTCTGATGTAAGCACTTGCTCGTTTCGGGTTGTGTCATGTTTCAGAAAACTTCCCAAATACCTCTGCTTCACACTCGAGGGTTTCCGGCTGTGTCTTATCCCCCGGTTGATTCTTTTTGCACCCATTTACTCATCGACCTGGTGGATATCTTTGTCTGCACTGCCCGGCAAAAGCCGAACCAGACCACAGCCAAAACCCCCACCCCCAACTGAAGAAAGTCGTGTCACTGGCTCTAGCATTTAGCCTTCACTAAATCCCGCCAATCAGTCCTTCGTCGGCCAGTCATACCACTGACCTGATCTGCGAAATTTTATCGTGAGTCACGCTAGATAGCATCGGTGATAGAAATTTCGCAGACGTCACTTTGTAGTTAGCTCAATGAGCCATAGTAAGCACGCCCAACGCCCAACCTCATGACCAAAATGAGTATACCTAGAATAAATAGAAGTAAATACCGAGTAAAGTCACCCAAGCCTACATGATGAGATAAGCTACTTACCTAAACCTTGTCACGCGAAGCGCCGAAACCTTCACCAAATGTCTCCCCCTAATCCTCAGCATTTCTAAACCTTTTCATACTCCTCTCGTACCTAAAGCTCGCTGTTTCTAAACCTTTTCATACTCTTCTCTTACCTAAACCTCGCCGTTCCTAGCCCTCACCACAACCTTGTCATATATTTTATTGTAGCAACATGTAGCTGCATGTTTTTTTTCCAATTTCATTGGAATTTCACAAAGAAAAATTATGTCTGAGCCTCAAAAACAACTCAAATAGTCTGCTGAAGGTTAGGAAAGGGTTAGGAATAAAAGTGAAAGGTCTCCTAAGGCACACAAAGGTTTAGGTACAAAAAAAAGACTTTAAAAAGGTAGGGGTATGGAAAGGTTTAGGAAGTGTACCAATACATGATGGACATGAGCGATGAAGCCACGAAGGCCATTTTTCTTACTTGGACCAATAGTAAGTCTTCTGCAATGTTACCTGTGTTATGATTCTCACCCATATTCTACTCAGCTCTCAATGGAGCATAAGGCTCACTCTACTACACCGCACATGAAGATGTTGCCATCATAGCAAGGCATCAGTGAACATATGAGTCCGTGATATTGT